AACGAGTTCAAGGACCGGATGGAGAAGGCACTGGAGGAGGCCAAGGCAGCCCTCGCCAAGGCAAAGGACGACATGGCTCGGTACTACAACCGCCGAAGGGACCCCACTCCGGTCTTCAAGCCTGGGGACAAGGTGTACTTGGATGCGAGTGATATTACCACCACACGCCCCTCAAAGAAACTGGCGCACCGCCAACTTGGGCCTTTCAAGGTGGAGGCCGCAGTTGGATCACACGCCTATCGCCTGAAGCTTCCCCCCTCGATGCAACGTCTCCACCCTGTTTTCCCTGTCGTCAAACTCACTCCTGCAGTCCCAGACCCCATCCCTGGTCGAAGAGCTCGCCCACCCCCGCCTCCAGTCATCGTGGATGACCAGGAGGAGTACGAGGTGGAAGAGATCTTGGACAGCCGTATTCACCGGAACAAGCTCCAGTTCCTGGTGAAGTGGAAAGGGTATGGCTACGAGGAGAACAGCTGGGAACCAGAGGAGAACGTCAACTCCCCCGTTCTGGTAGCTCGGTTCTACCGCCAGAATCCGGGTGCCCCTCGGCGTATCCGTACCCTTCTGTTCGAGGGTATGCGTTGGAGAAGGAGGACAGACGAGTTGTGGCGGCCAGTCCCGGTGCATCGGGGCGCTGCACCTTGAAGGGGGGGTAATGTAAGGGGACCAGACGCTTTCTCTGACTTCTCCTGTATCACCGGCCCCTATGTGGAGTAAGGTAAGCGTGATTACGAGAATCCTACCTGCAGATTCTCGATGGCTTGGACGATGTGCGTCATACTTCCATTTCGGGAAGTAGTTTCCCACGACCCCTCCAAAACCTTTCCGACACAGCTTGCTCCACTGATGTGTCTCAGATGCTCCACAGCATGGGTGGCTGCATCAACTGTATAGTTTAGTCCCACGGTCTCTAGTAGTCGATCATCGTCGCTCCGCACTGACAGGTTTCCTTAGGCTTTTGTCTTTGGATTCTCCCCTGTCAGGTAGGCCCTTGTAGTTGTCGTTGTTTCTCAGAGGCTCAATAGACTTTGGATTCTCCCCTGTCAGACCCGTGTGTGAGTGTCCACCGGTGCGGCTAGGGTTGCCCTTACAGCGGCGGAGAACTCGAAGGGAACGTCCTTGCGAGTGAGGCGCGTAAGGGGAACGACGATGTCCGAGTAGCCATGGATGAACCGGCGGTAGAAGTTCGCGAACCCAAGGAAAGACTGGATGTCCTTCACTGAACGGGGTTCGGGCCAGTCCTGGATGACTTGGACCTTCTCAGACGACATGGTGAGCCCGTCGGGGGACAGAATGTACCCGAGATACTCGACGCGATCGACATGGAATTCGCACTTCTTCGGGGAAGCGAAAAGACCATGTTTGCGAAGTCGACGGAGTACCTCCTTGACGTGCTGACGATGCTGAGTGATATCGTCCGAGAATACAAGGATGTCGTCGAGGTAGACAATGACTGAGACGTCCGTCATGTCTGCGAAGATGTCGTTCATGAAGCGCTGGAAAGCCGATGGTGCGTTAGTGAGGCCAAAGGGCATCACCAACCACTCGAAAGACCCATAACGAGTACGAAAAGCTGTCTTCCACTCATCCCCATCCGCGATGCGCACAAGGTGGTACGCGTGCTTGAGGTCGATCTTGGAGTAGATCTTAGCACGCGCCGGGGCCGCAAGAAGGTCCGAAATGAGAGGTAACGGATAGCGATCCTTCTTTGAGATGCGGTTGAGAGCCCGATAATCCACACAGAGGCGAAGGGAACCATCCTTCTTCTTGACGAAGAGAATGGGCGCACCAAGCGGGGAGTTCGACGAACGAATGAAACCTGCGCGCAAATTCTCGTCCAAGAACTCGCGTAGCGCTGTGGTTTCCGCCGGGGAGAGGGAGTAGAGCCGACTCGGAGGAAGGGGCTGTGACTCATCCAGATCAATGCGCAAATCATAGGGGCGATGTGGCGCAAGCGAATAAGCCTTCGCGTTACTGAAGACGTCGGCGAATTCGTGAGTGGGGAGAATCTTCTGGTAAGAGCTGTGTGACGTTAGGCGGCGGAGTTACTGTGGAGGATTTCTTCTTCGATTCTTCTTTCCTGGATTCGGCAAATTCGCGGGCTTTTACGGCGTTGTCGGAGGTGCAAACAGCAGCGTAGAAGCTGGCTGTCTGGAGGCGTCGTAACTGGTGATAAGGTGGGTCGGAGACTGAGGCGGTAGGGGCAGGGGGAACTGTCACACTCTACAACCTCTTCCTTGCTATCGAGGTGGCAGTCGATGCCAAACCACTTGTCAGGGTTGAGGTCTTTACTAGAGGCGAAGAAGTGTGGGTATCCTGCGCAGCTAATCTTGACGGTGTCGGAAAACCAGAGTTGCCAGAGTAAGACCTGATCGGCAGGTCAACCAGAGTGCCAGGGGATCCGGAATGCAGGGACAACGATCGGCGTTGCCAGTGCACGGGGGTAGCTTGACCTAATGTCGCGAAGAGCGAACACTAAACCAAACCAAAGACCAGTGATGCGGAGCAGATAAGAGCGGCGAGTAAGATAAGAGCGATGAGCGACAAATGCAGATGAAGGCTGAAGCGATGTATTGACGAAGAGGTCAAGCTGAGGAAATACAGAGCAGACTACCTAGCTTATATACCTATTCTACTGTCTACATAGCCGCAGTGAGTCAGAATGACGAACAAATGGTGAAACATCGAAGAACAATAAGAAAGGTCATGAGGCTGCGCGAAGGCTGCGCGAAGAACAAGGATGAAACAATAATGGAACAAGAAGGTGTCAGAGTGTGTCAGAAGGCAGTGCGTAACAATAAGGGCGATAGGGTAGGGCAAAGGGCAATGCGAGGCAGTGTTCCATGAGTGAAAGAGTCCATAGAGGGAATAAGGAGGCGAACGGAGTAAAGGAAAGTGGAACGATAAGATGCGAAACAGATTAGATAAGATAAGACGAAAAATAGGGGCTATACCGGCTGTTCACGACAGTAAGGCTTGGTGGGTCTGATCGGTGGTGTTGACGAAGGGCTCTGTCGCCACTCAAGGGTACCCTTCCTCCAGTCGATGATGGGGTTGGCTTCCTCAAGCCAGGGAAAACCCATGATGACTTTCTGTTTTCCAAGGCCGGTGATGTAGAAGGTAATGGGTCGTGTGTGTCCGTGGATAGTGACGTTCATGGTGGTTGAGTATCGGATGGTTCCTTGTTTGTTCAGGGTTCCGTCTACGTTGTAGACTTTCAGAGGGGTTGGAAGGAGTTGCGAGTGGGAGTTTCTTGTTTCGGGCAAAGTTTTGGTCGATGAATTTCCCTCCAGCTCCAGAATCTATCATTCCTTCGGTGTCGACGATTATCTTTCCACTCTCCGTTTCGCCCTCAAGATGCATTGGAATAAATAAGCATTTATTGTTCTTTCGGGCTACTAAGGCAGAATGAATCGATAAATAGGGAGACACTGACGTCGATGCAGGTCTCCATTCTAAAAACCCTGGTTGGTTTCGAGTTCCCTTGTAAAATTCTTCAACGACTTCCTCTCCTGCTTCTTGGATCGCGGCTCGGATGTTGGTGTAGAGATCCTTGCCATTCTTTGGGCGGAAAGACCAGTTTTGACGGTTACTGGTGTTCTGGTTGCTGGTTCCTGCAGAGCGATTGTTGGTGGAGTTATTGGGGCATTCCCAGGAGCGATGTCCGTCTTTTCGGCAACGGAAGCATCCTCCTCTCTTGATCAGGTCAGCCCTTTCTTGGGGAGAGAGCTTCCCGAGACTGATTGCCCTGATGTGTTGCTCTAAAGCGGTCCCTGCAGACTGGTCTAAGCCCTTGACTTTGGAGATGATGGCATCGATATCCATAGCCATAGGGTCTTTGGCGGGAGTGGGGCGACTGAAGTTCCACTGTCGGGTGGAGGTCGAGGTTTTGGCAGGAGCCTTGTTGGTGAGGGCAAAGTAGCGACGGTAGTTGTTGTCTTTTTCGATGGCCTTCTCTGTCCACTCCTTGAAGGTTCGAGGTGGTTTCTCAAGGTCGAAGAGCTTCTTTCGAAGCGGATCGTTCAGACTGGCTTGGAAGTAGTCTCTGGCTACAGTGTCTCCAGCGTCTGCAACTCTTTGATCTTCGGTCTTGTTGGCGTGATCCTTGGAGAGGAGATTGGTTTTCGATAGGACAATCTTGAAGTCGGCTACATGTTCTTCAGCCGTCTTCTTTCCTTGGGTCATCGTCTTTAGGCGCTGTAAGGCGTCTTCTTGTTCATTGATCGGAGTGAATGCCTGTTTGAAGATGGCTGACAAGTCCTTCCAGGTGCCCCAATCGATATCGGAATCGGTCACTAGAAAATCAAGTGTCGAGAATAGAGCCTCAGAAAGATCCAGTGCACGGGCGGATATAGAGATAGAGGAATGACAGAATAGGACGTACTTCGAATACACAATAACAAGAACCCGTTGGACAGCTCGCCAAGCGCGCGTCTAAAGTCCACAGGATTATCCGGCGGATCCGAGAGTTCCGGCACAGCCGCGAGGCCGCGCGCGCGCGCCAGTCGTGACCTTTCCCACGCTCCGCGAACGTCGCGCGTCAAAGTCAAAAGAGGAACCGGCGGGCTGAAATGAAGTGGGTATAACAAATAAAATATATTAGAGAAAATACGAATAATAATATCGAATGGTGTTGAGGGTGAAGGAAGGGTGTAGTTGCACGTATCGAGACCCGGCGGTTGCACGAGCCCTGACAGTCTCCGGCTACCCTTGGCCAAACCCCTACCCCTGACTGAGGGGTAGGGGTTTTGGGGGGTGGGGGTAAGGGTAGGTGTCCGGCTACCCGGGGGTTACCCCTGTCCTTCCCTACTTTCAAAATGAGCATGGGTTAAACCCCAACGCTGAAGAACTAAAACTGTTGCTGGGGGAAGTTACGGTAGGGGAAAAGTCATACCGGATAGCGTTGAATGTTAACGTTATTCTAGTCCATTGGAAACCAAGGCTATACGTTGAAGACCCTACACAGCTGGTTTCTCGTTCGCCAAATGAACAAGAGAAGGATGGAGTCCGGAGTCAAATTCGTCAATTCCGAGGGAACTCGAATCATGTCAAGTGGGTTTTCTGTTAATCTGCAAATGCGGTTGGAAATCAACTGACACGACAAAGGGTGGATGGATGAACATGGTATGAACCCTTCCGTAGCAGAACGTAAAGAAATCTGCAAGCTTCTTCAGGTAAAACAATTGAGCTGGTCTCAATGGATGACCACACGTTAAGATTACTACAGGCAGCCGGGAATGACCATTACACACCCAAGAATGTTTTGCATTGGTTCAAGAATCAACGGGCAAGAGGACCAAGGAAGGCGAGCGCTCCTGCATCGAGTGCAAATCATACCACAAACCGCGAAACCACGGGTAGTCCCACAATCTCGAGCACGGGGCTTTCCCAACCTGTTGACAATGGCGGTATGTAAATTCCTTGCGTCCAAGTTTAACGCTGAACATTCCAATGAAAGGGGATGGCCCAGAACTTGCTGAAAAGCTCAGCGATTTTCAAATCAGTGAGCTCCGGCTGCTGCTCGAGGCCACGCCCAACCCCACTGACGAGATAATTGCAATATGGGCTCGACTGTCCGGCGTTGAAAAAGGCGCAATTGAGGCTCATATGCAATCAAACAGAATGGATGTCGACGTGGATTCAGATGGGCTGGCAGAAATTGAGCCTGTCGGTGGTCTTCCGACTCCTGCTGCGTCACCGACGGCGGAGCCTTTAGCCCCTTTGTCACCCTGCACTTTACTGGCTGCTTCAGAAGAGTATCTGCCGCCAACGTCAATATCGCCACTGCCAGGCGCTTCAATTCCTCCAAAGGCTTTATCCAATGAAAGCGACTTCAACGACCCACCGCCGCCACCCATTCCGCCAGCCATTTCTGCCGAATCAGTTTTGAAGGTGGAAACAGGTTTGGTATTGCAGGCTCTCGTTGATGGTGTGCGGGAGGCGGCGGCTTCTAGTGCCGTGCATGCACCTGCTCCGCGTTCTTTGGAAGATTTTGACCAGCTTTGGAACACCTTCTGTTACGGTCAAGGGACGCGAACTCAAGTGAGCATGCACGTCGACTGTAGAGTCGTGGTTCCGAGGCGAGTTCGAGGGTATAGGCGTCTAAGAGTGCCTCACAAGAGGTATTGTCTTTAAGACGACTAGAGCGAGTTCGAGAGAAGAGGAGAAGTGGGTATGATTCACGAGAACTAGCTAAGGAACAAGAGAGGTATCTACAGAGCTTATATACCTATCTAGCTACGTGAATATGAGTCAAGAGAAATCAGAGAGAAAGGCTGCGCGAGCACAGGTTACTGCGGAGCGCAGCAGAGATAAATTAGAGAACAATAGAGAGTGGCTGCGCCGCAGCAAGAAGGAGTCATAAAGAGTCAAAAAAGGCTGCGCCGCAGCAGTAAGAAGAATTAACTGATAAAATAGTCACGAGATAAAAAAGGGGATCATGTGAACAAGAAGATGAGTCATGTGATAGAGAAAGGACGCGAAGAGAAAAGATAGGGGCGGAATTCGTAACACCTTCCAACCAACGCTCGAAAACCTCGCTTTCACTTTGAGCAACCAGCTATGTTAATCTATTCGCGTTCTGCGCACTTGTATGTTTTATTCCCAAGTAATAATAACATTATGTAGCACTTTCGATACTAGTAGCCCAACTTCCGGAGGTACGTAGGGTTAGACACTTGCATATGCTAGTGGATTTGACTCGCGTGCGCAGTGTTGTAGTCTTTCCATACTCTCCACTGCAATTTTGCGATAACCCTGCTTGCAATTTCATTTGTATGTAGATTTCTTTTTGTGATAACAGTGATATGCTTCCATATTCGTCATCCCTGGTGGTCTCGAACATCGAAAGCCATTTCCTCTCTTCCGAAACTTGGTTTCGTTTTCCTTGGTCTACCTCCCGGTTTGGCCCTGATTCATTCTACCTTAGGAGGGGCTCAGGCTCCATAGGTTCAGGTGAGAGCCGGGGCAGGCAGAAAGGGGTGGAAAGGTTTGGGAAAAGTACCAGAAAGTGCTGGGCAACTGATCACGTGATCATGGGTCTTATTGGAACCAGTTCCGAGTTATTTTAACTCGGTTATTCATTGTCTTCCCGCTGCGATTGCCCCTTTGATCCCATCATCGCGCCCACGTGATCAGTTGCCATGTGATCGCGGCCCGCTGCGGTCAAGGGTTCGATTTCGGCCGAGGACATTTTCTTTTTTTTTTTTTTCCGTTAATTTTCGATTAATTCTTCATTGATATTATTTTTTTATTTCGCCCTCCTTGAGTTGAAATAACTCGGATCTTGCCACGATGGAATCGCTGGCCCACTTTTCGCTGGTTAGTTTGAAAGACCCACTTGGACTTGCTTCAGCAACGCGTCGACTTGGGGTGTTGTAGGGTAAAGGCCGTGCCCTTTACTGAATGCTGGAATCGAGAAATCAGCATCAGTCGTCCTCTGACAGTCATGCAAGACCTACCAAGCAGGATGGCCAGCCCTTCTGGGTTCAGATGGCGAGGTGCCCACTGGCATTGGTGTTGGTCCGTTGGCGCGTCTTCTTTGTTCACTGTACATCGAGGTGAACTACGTCACACGTGTCTGCCTTCCCACCGTGGGCGAAGTAGATGACATGGTTATTTGAAAGGGGACAGCTGCAGGGCGTGGTGAACATGGTTTTTGGGAAACAGATGGCATGGCCGATATGATCACTCAAGTTCCCAGTTTGCTTGTGTTTGGGACGTGTCAGAGTGGGTCTTGGTGGTTCAATATGGTCACAGAATGAACGTTAATGAACTCTCAAGGAATGAAGCTCGTCACAGTGACACATATCCAATAGGCGAAGGGGACCCCGGAGTAGGGCTTCCCAAGACCCTGTCTGGCTTCTCATCCCGTGATGTATGTGGCCTTTGGCGCGTCCGATAACACACAAGTAACAAGCAGAACGTTCATCTTAAGGAGAATAAGAAAGAAGTACATCAGATTGGTTCATTACCCTCGGTGTACTTAGACGCCCATCCGGTCGAAGATCTTCGGAGATATCAAGGGGTTCCGCGCGTCTACTGGCATGAATGGTAATGCTCCGAAAAAAACACCGGTCTATCATTACTCAAACAGCGTACAATGAGCAGAGAACGACGGGGTGATGTCTAAGAAAACAAGTCAGGAGCATCGAGGTTAAGTCGAAGTCTATGTGCCGTCAAGAACGAAACGGGTAAGTGAGAGCTTGCACTCGTCGAGTATACGGCTCCCAGAATGAAGGGGATTGGGGATTTAGTCCTGCCTGAGAAGCAGCAACAGAGGGGTATGTAGCCAGGATCTCGCGGATATTTTCCACCATGGCGTCGAGATCTGGATCGCGTTCTTCAAAGCTATTGCATTCAATGGGAGTGGACGGAAAAGAAGATTCGGTCGGGAGCAGGGAGTTCAAGGGATCAAGCTGGTCTGGCGGCCCATCTGGCGCAAGCGACGTGGCACCAAGAAGCTGCTCCGCCGATTCATCCTTAGTCACCTTGGCATCTACATCCTCTTCAGAAACACTACCCCTGCTCCCCGGCAAATCTGGCGTACTCGGTCGTCGCCCTTCGTCGAGCTCTTCGTCAACTCCTCTCATGGACCCTGTTTCACGATCCGGTTGCAAAGTGTCAACATCACCTTCAAGTTCAGCAAAGTCGACATCGTCTCCAAAAGTGGGATTTGGAGTTCGCGGTTCTCAGAAAGAGGTTGCGCGTGTTCTGGACGTACCCACTGAGTTTCAAGTCCCATGCGAGAGAGAGTTCAGAGTTTTCGTACCTCGAGTAGTATATGATTCGCCTGACGCCGCAGGGTCATCGCCAGAGTCGCGCGGTTCTCCGTCTTCTTCAGACGATGCCGGAGCTCTGCTCGACTGACGCAGAGCGCCCAGGTGGCATGTTTCCTGCGTGGCGATTTCCTTCCATATTGAAGCCTTTCCACTTCGACGGTCGCCCTCGTCTGGCAGTGGAGGGAGAGCCAGGTTCGGATTCAGCTGTGTAGTGATCGTTTCCTGCTTCCTGCAAGGACAAAGACCATGAGTACGTGAGAGACGCAATTGCAAAAACAAAGCATACCACAACTCGACTGAGCAGCCCCTTGCATTGCTCGTACGTTGGGTTGGGTCCATATTCTTGCTTGAATTCTACAAACATGTGATCGTTAGATGCGCAATAGAAATACTTGAGAGGAAGCCTACCGTTCAAAATACGCAGCCCTTCCTCAGTCAACTGCCGCCTCGTCCTCATGAAAGACTTGACTGAAGCCAACCAATTGGCTTTGGCTTTTACAGCTAAGGCTCTCGCAGCCCTTCCGCTCCCATTCCGTGCCTCTCTCTTCTCGCGAAACCATGATTGAACATCGTCAATAGTGTAACTTGAACCACCAGCAATCTAGCTTTCCCGCACGTAGTTGCTCGACAAACCTGGAGTTGTCCATGCAGCGTAGCTACCTCCTGGGATGTTGGGTTCAGACCGAACCTATCCGCAAAATCTAGAAAAGCGGTGTTAGTTTTCAGCGTTGACGCAGAGCGCATAGAAAGTACGTACCATTCAAGATTCGCGTTCCTTCATCGTTCAACCCCACCGGACACGTCTTCCCAGTGGTGAACAAAAGGCCTTGATCGCGTCTGCGCTTGTCAACACTAACCCTTCCCCGCTTCTTAGGACCATTTTCACCAGGCGGTGGTAGCGCTTCCCAATAAGCCATACTCGCTTGCTATCCGGCACTTGAGCAGCAAAAGGGAAAAGGGAGGGGGTAATCGCAACCCGGGCTCTAGAAATTTCCTGCCAGATAAGGTTTTGAAGGCACAACTGTCCCAGAAGTACGGCTCAAGACACAGCTTCATGACTTGGGAACCAGTAAGCGGAACCAACCAAACACGCCCTGGTACAGATGACTCCCTTCTCGTTCCAAAGGAATGCACGTGGCCGTTTTCGGCGTTGGTTTTTGCGTTTCATTTCCCCAGTTCGCACATCGCGTCAACGGTAGACCAAAGATGGCTTTGATTGCGACTGAACCCAGGAGTCATAGTCATGGAATGACGAAGTCAGTCTGCGGATTTTGTGCAGGTGCGGCGGTTGGCTGCGTTGGACAATCGTATGGTTGGCATTTGAAATCGACAGCTAGGACAAGAAGAAAGCAATCGCGAGGATATCTATCGCAACGCCCGCCGGGGCTTGTTGATTTGACGATACGGGCGCTAAAGTAAAAACGATGAGAGTTCCCAGCTCGAATGCAACGTGCCTGCGTCCGATATGAGCTGGTACGTCGAGATCAAGGCAAGCTGTAATGCTACGTGCACACCCATTGGGCATCGGAAAACGTAAAAGTGTCAGGATGATGATGTCAAACTGAGGCAATGAGGCGAGGTTGCGTTGACCTAACTTGGGTTGGAATCCAGCCCAAAGAAGTTCAAGCGAAAGTGCGGTATCGTCCATCAGAGGCGAAGAAGACCAAGTGACAGACACCTGGATTCCTCAGAGGATAGAGTGGACGAGAGGATTGACCGGGTTGCTTGAACTCCCCTGTTGTCGGAATGCATGGTTGTGGTCAAGGAGAAACGAGCGCCAGTGCCTTGCGTCCTGCTTTGCGACCTCAGAAGGCAAAGTCCGGTAGAATTGATCCGTAAGTTGATGGCCGTGCGGATCAAACTCCCCGTGGCACATGAACGGCTCATGATCAACACGGTTCTCCAAGTCGTCTCCACGGTTTGCCCCTCTCCATCGTCATTCTCCGTCTTGGAACTGTCTTGGACGACAAAAGACCGACGCCAGTATAAAACCTCCTCACTGAACCTGCAACATACAACGCGCAGAATGGACCATCTTCTCGCCCTTGAGACACGGAGAAAAGACGGACTCGGAACAAGGAAGTTAGAACGAAGGAGAGCGAGACTCAGAGCGGCTGACGTTGACGGGTAGAACATTCCTGTTTTCACATGGCCCAAGGCTCATTAGTGTCCCGGTATCTCTTCGAATGCCACTCCACTGGCGGCTGTAGCGACCATCGTGCGGAGGCAAACATCACAAACGGAATCCATCCACCATCCCTGTCGTCATATCTCTCCAGAGTCACTGGCCAACTCCAAAAGGATCTGCAAGGAAAGGCTGAGGGTTAAAGGACGGGACATTCGGTCGTTCTACCCGGCGTCTCTCTATTTCACCGAATTTCGAGTCATTTAGGCTTTTGGGTTGTTTACCACCCCAGAATACGACTTGACTCGACTCTGAATATCCCGCGTCCCTCCAACTCGTCGTCTGCACGCTTGTGGTGAATCATGTCGCGTTCAAGGTCTGGGAAGAAGCCTGTGGGGTTCGCCACCCATATCACTGCCGGGGGCATCGCGGGAGCTTGCGAAGCGGTTCGTCTAATCCTCCCTCTTCCTCGAAGCGCCCAAACATCATAACTCATTGCTGTTTATCAGTACAGCTGGTATGTCAACCCCTAGATACAATAAAGGTTCGGATGCAGCTGTCCAGGTCGGGTAGAGCACCAGGGGTACGTCACTCTCGATTGGTCCCCGTCGTCTCCCGGCTTATGGACCGCGCTTTTCCACTCGAATGCGCAGACGAAACCGAGAGGGTTTTTCGCGACGGGTGCCTATATCGTGAAGCGTGAAACGCTGCTTGCGTTGTACAAGGGTCTGGGTGCCGTGCTCTCTGGTATTGTACCCAAGATGGCCATCCGTTTCGCAAGCTTCGAGGCGTACAAGGGATGGTTGGCAGACAAGTCGACTGGGAAGACGAGTGTTGGAGGGATCTTTATTGGTGCGTCCCGCACTTGTTTGGTGTTGAGAGCGACGCTGACGTTTGTGTTGATGTCGCATAGCTGGTCTTGGTGCTGGTGTGACCGAAGCCGTCGCGGTTGTAACACCAATGGAAGTTGTCAAGATTCGATTGCAGGCGCAGCAACACTCTCTGGCCGACCCGTTGGAAACCCCAAGATACCGCAATGCTGCACATGCCGCCTATACCATCGTTCGAGAGGAAGGATTCGCCACGCTTTACCGCGGTGTTTCGTTGACTGCTTTGCGGCAAGCGACTAATCAGGGTGGGTGCTGCGAGCCATTGCTGTTGGTGGTGAAAGGGGCGCTCATGATGATCGCATGTTAGGCGCCAACTTCACGGCGTACCAAGAAATTAAGAAGTTTGCACACAAGCTGCAGCCGGATTTGGAGGAATTACCATCATATCAGCACATGATGATTGGTCTCATCTCTGGTGCTATGGGCCCCTTCTCCAACGCACCAATTGATACCATTAAGACTCGTACGTGCCCTCGGTATTCACATAGTGACCTCTACTTACCCGTCTTTTTCAGGCCTACAAAAAGCAACCACAGTTCCTGGTCAAACCTCGATGCAGCGTATCCTCTATATCGCGTCTGACATGTGGAAGAACGAGGGCTTCAGGTCTTTCTACAAGGGGATCACGCCTCGTGTACTGCGCGTAGCCCCAGGTCAGGCTATCGTGTTTGCTGTATATGAACGCGTCAGTCAGATCATAGAGAGGATCTCGCCGAGGGTCCAGGAGGCGGATTATCACTCGGAGTAGTGGAAGCGTGTATTGGATGTTGTATCTATAGCTATTCGTCGTTGGAGAGGTGGTGTTTTCGTAGTAGGTCGCGATTGTACCATGTGTCTATTGTTTTCCTTGTACCAGTATAATTTAAAATGTATTCTATTCAGACGTCTCAACTGTGTTTCTTAACATCGCCGGTGTAAGGGGCGTTGGACTGCGGTGCGGGGCTCGGAAGCCGGGAATAACCATTTTGCCTTACCTCCGTCATGTCCTTCAATTCACCACCGCGTCCACGTCTAATTTTCCACAGGGACACCAGTCGACGGTGATAATCTAACCAACTCCTAAAAAGACCAGGTCAGCAGACCACGGCCTATCAAGAACCCAGAGCAACTGGAACAAATTCGAATTGCAACCTGTAGGCAATTGTGGATCCCGTGTAATAGCCGGTGTTGTCGCTGCTGCAATCATCCGCCGACACCGACGCCCACTCGAGACGCTCCTTGACTCGTTTCCGCATCCACGTATCGTTTGTCAAGCTGACTACGGCTTGCTGCTGGGATTCTTCTTAAACCCTCAAGCTTGGGCAGGATTAGAAGACTAGAAGAAAGTCAAAGTGCAGGCTATTAGAAGGATGTCGAAGAAGACTGTGTTGGTGCTGCATGGGTGAGTTTTTTTGCTCTGGATTCCGATGCTGAGGGTACTGGATTGCTGGTGCTCTCTCGACGGGACATCTCTTATCTACAGAGAGCTGACGTCGACTGTTGAACAGGTACTCCCAGAACTCGACGATCTTCAGCAAGAGGGTGAGTTTTGATACACCTACACGAGAGGAGAGGGTGCCCAACCGGATCGGACATGATCCCGGTGGCCTTATTGGACGGGCTTTGGGACTCAGTACTCAGTCTCCATTCATAGCGCGCACCGCGATGGCCTGGTTTCTGATCCTGCATCTTCCAGATCGGAGCCCTTCGCAAAGAATGTGGAAAGAAAGTCGATTTCGGTGAGCAATCCTTTTGGGAGGGTCCCTTGCTCGTCGGGCGACTCAGTCCACACCACATCGCAATACTCACCCGTCTTTTCTACCCAGTCTTCATCGATGCGCCGCACATCCTCCAACCGGCCGACCTGGTCTTCAACTCCTCTCGTCTTGAAGAACTCGGCCTCCGCGCTGAAGTGCAGGCAAACGAGGCCGCCATGGCCGACGATCCCACCCTGACCCCCCGAGCTTGGTGGAAGCCCAACCCTGAACGTACCAAAGCGACTGGAATTGAAGAGTCGATTATGAGTGTGCGGGAGGTGTTGATGAGTCGGAAATTTGATGTGCGTATTCGTTTCAGTTTTATGAGCGGTTTAGTTTGGAATTTGGCTGATCATTTGGAACTGACCTATAGGGAGTGTTTGGGTTCAGGTAAACTCGAACGAATCTGTATCGTGTTAGGAGCGACGAACTCATTGTGACTCAGTCAGGGAGCAGCCTTCGCAGCTCTAATCTCGGCTTTGGTACGTGGTTCTCTCGATTCTTTCGTGTTCCCTGCACTGTGCTCACCAAGCTCCATTCCATTATGATTGCGATCTTCCCTTCTGCTCTCATTCGTCATCTGCATAATGGAATCATCGACCCTCCTTCTCCGTTCATCTCGGTTCACCCTCTCGCTTTGCTTCGAATCTCGAATTGCTGAACTGGATCACGACGATTCTCCTCGGGATCGTAGCTCGAGCGTCCAGAAGCCTACCCTCCTTTCCTGGTAGACGGCAAGGCTCCACACCCTCCCTTGTACGTCTCTGATCTGCGTCCCCTTTAGCCCCTAGCCCATGGCGTAACTCTGACGCCCTTGCCTTTTGCCCCGATCCAGCGATTTCTGCGTGGCCGTCTCAGGGTTCAAAGTTTCCGACCCGATCTGCGAGCCCATCTGGGGCGAAGACGGGTTCTCGACGCCCACGCTGCATGTCATTGGTAAAACCGATGTCGTCGTAGTGGAAGAACGCTCTCGTGCGCTTTTGGCTATTTCCAAGAACCCGAGGTTGGAGGAACATGTTGGAGGTGGGTATTTCACCTTCCTTGTCTTTGTGTTTTTCGGAATGGGAAGGTTGGTGCACTGCCTGACACCTAACCGGGCGATACGGTGCTCGTGTTTTCCGAGTTGAGGAAGAGTTAACTTGAGTTAGCCTCGACCTCGTTGTTGCTGGATGCGGTTACAAGACAGGGAGACTGATGTGAAATTGGTTTTGATAGGTCATTTCGTCCCCAGCAAAGCGCCATGGCGCAAGTTCCTTGCAGCGTATCTGAGCAACTCTAGTGGTGACGTTCCGTCTCCTAGCGTTACAGAAGCAGCTTCGTCCGAGGCTTCCTCGACTGTACCATCGCGGAGTGAGACGCCCCAAGCAAACTCCGGAGGCGGTGGTGGTAATCAGACGAATGCTTCACTGACAATGAAGCTATGATGTGAATGTGACTGGATTTGACACCGGTTCTTTGCATAGCTCCAACGCCGGAGATGACTTGCTTTGAATACCCTTATCTACACTGGTTGGATTATTGGCAGTAGGAGGTGCGTTGTATTCGTTCGATTTCTTTCGGTGCTCGCTTTTTGATTATTTTTGGGTAGATAGAGAGAGTTTGAATGGATTGTCCGTTGCGATCAACGACCGACCGAGATAGCACCGCAAATTATATAGAGGACCAATCGATAAGGAGAGTGAAATCGACGGTCTATCAACGACGATATGGGTTTATGAACGATAGGTTTGGATAGAGCTTGTGCTGGTGGAGTTGCCCGCTGAGGCGGCGGGAAGCCAAGGCGGAGATAGGGGTAGGCACTGGGTTTTGCACCTTTGCTTCGATTTGGAACAAGGCTTTGCAAAGGGAAGGTGCCCGACCCATTCCTCAAGCAGATAAAATCATTTCAGAGGGATTTGGTCGATCAACACGTTTTCCCTCACCGGCCCTGGGTATGTAGAGTAGTAGATGAGGATTACGACAGGCGAGGCATCGTCCTCGGGTGAGGATTGGTGGAGGCAGTTTCTGTGTGATGGAATCATCGGATAGTTCGGGAACGAGGTGGCTTGAGGACGACACGAGACAACTAGTCCTCGAGAGATTGGTTCCCCGAGGCCTCATGTACCTGTTTTACTGGTCCCTTCACACATGAGGATTTGAATTCAGAAAATAAAGAGAGGAAAGCTGTGGACAGACTAGTTCGTGATCGTGGCAAGCCTGTGACAAATGGTTCATGTCGATCAACAGATGCACACAAAGAGGGTAACGCTCAAACTGATATTGACGGCCACCAGTCCCTTCTTCTGACAACCACAAGTTCCCTCAAATCCTCTTTTCTAGCTTTCTCTTCGTCCACAATATCCATCTTTTCGACAATCAAACAGTCCTAATCGACACGATTTTGACGCCACAATGGCCCCTTGGACCCCAAATCCTGCCGGTTTGCAGGAGATCTTGCAAACTATCCACGAATCGACGGCAGTCAACAGCACTGCTCAGCGCAATATCACAGAAGTAGGTCACCGATGACTTTTCCAGTCTCCAAAGACGCCCAGCTGACCACAATTTACTCTCTGCCACACCCAGAAACTCAACCAATTTACGCGCTCCCCAGAGTACATCGCCTATTTGGCCTACATCCTGAGCTCTATGCCTCAGGAGGAGGATCGTATACGGACAATTGCTGGATTTCTCCTCAAGAACAATGCCCGATACATCCTCACCGCTCCCCCCGAAGTCGCAGAGTTCGTCAAGGCTGCCATCCTGCAGGCCTTCACCGACTCGTCGATCATGATTCGTAACGCGGCGAGCCAGGATATCGTGACGTTCCTAGGCGTCCTCGAACCCAGAAACTGGCCAGAGTGCCTTCAGCACCTCGTCAACGCGTTGGATGACCCCGATTTGGACAGGCAAGAGGTGAGTTTCCGCCCTTTTTTTCTCCTTCGACTCCCCACTCCTTTGGGCTATGACTTTGTGGCTCGTTCTGGGCTCCGCTGTTTTTCGCGTCGTCCACGGCACTGTCACACTGTCAACCCCTCGCTTCTGGGCCGGCATTATGCTAGTTATTGCCCTTGGACTATGTACGATGCTAACCGCTTCTTTGTCATCTTTTTTAGGCCGCGTTCAACGCCCTGGAGAAAGCCTGTGAAGATTATCCACGGAAAATGGACATGGAAATCAACGGCACGCGTCCTTTGGACTATATGATTCCAAAATTCCTCCAACTCTCCGAGCACCCTTCGGCCAAAATGCGATCCCATGCGGTCGCATGTCTGTCATACTTTGTCCCCGTCAACTGCCAATCTCTCTTCGTCCACATCGACGCTTTCATCGCGTGTCTCTTCAAGCGGGCATCAGACGACGATCCCTCTGTGCGTCGACATGTTTGCCAGGCTCTTGTCCTCCTCTTGGCGGCGAGGCCGGACAAGCTTATGCCAGAGATGGCGAACGTCGCAGAGTACATGCTGTATTCGACCAAGGACAAGAACGAGAACGTCGCCCTTGAAGCATGCGAGTTCTGGCTCACATTCGCCGAAGACCCCGACCTCGTTCCTTACCTCCAACCACTGCTCGAGAAGGTGGCACCTGTCTTGTTGGACTGCATGGTCTACGGAGAAGATGATTTGCTGTGGCTCGAAGGAGATGTCGACGACTCTCACGTCCCCGACAAGGAGTCTGATATCAAGCCTCGACACTACGGTGGCAAGGCCCATACATTCGAACGCGATCCCAACGGCGATCCCAACGAAGCACCCAAGCAACGCATTGGCGCATACGGCGAAGAGACCATCGACTCGGACGAAGAAGACGATTACGACTTTGATGATGATGACTTTGCGGACGAAATGTCGACCGAATGGAACTTGCGCAAGTGCGCTGCTGCCGCGCTGGACGTCCTCGCTGTGAGGTTTAGTGGGGAATTGTTGCAGCACTTGCTTGGTCCCTTGAAGGAGAAGTTGTGGAGCAACGATTGGTTGCAGAGAGAGAGTGGTATCCTGGCTTTGGGTGCCATGGCTGAAGGCACGATTCCTGATCTATCCGAGCTTACACTTAGCTGACCATTGCCGTTACAGGATGCATCGAGGCTATCGAACCTCATCTTCCAACCCTTATTCCATACCTAATCAATATGCTTAACGACCCCAAGGTAGGTCTTCCCCGCTGACGCACTTGATCAATATCACTTACGTTTTTGACAGCCGCTCGTTCGGTCTATCACTTGCTGGACTCTCGGCCGCTATGCCAGTTGGTGCACACAACCCATTTCCGAAGAACATAAGAACAACTACTTTATCCCGACCATGGAAGGGGTATGTTCCTTCACATTTAATCTATGAATGGCGCCTCTGATTCCGTGTGATATTGCAGTTGCTTCGCATGGTTCTGGACAACAATAAGCGAGTGCAAGAAGCAGGTTGCAGTGCCTTCGCCACTCTAGAAGAAGACGCCGGTCCCGAGCTGGCTCCCTACTTGGAGCCTGTATTGCGCAACTTGGTGTTTGCGTTTGACAAGTACCAGCACAAGAACATGCTGATCTTGTATGACGCGGTCGGCACTCTTGCAGATGCCGTCGGCCGCGCTCTCGCCAACCCACTGTATGTGGACATCCTGATGCCCCCTCTTACCAAGCGCTGGTCCAAGTTGGCAGATGACGATGATGATCTTATTCCTTTGCTCGAGGTGCGTTGAGATGTCAATCTAAGCCGGATGTGCTTGCTAACGGGATTGTCATCTCAGTGTCTTGCATCAGTCACAATTGCGATGGGACCGGCATTCCTTCCTCATGCCGGCCCAGTGTTCGAGCGTTGCTGCAACATCATTCACAGCTCCCTTTTGCAATACCAACAATACCAACAGAACCCTGATCTCGATGAACCGGACAAGGCCTTCCTCGTTGTTGCCCTCGATCTCCTCTCTGGTCTCACGCAGGGTCTCGGAATGCATTTGGAGAACCTCATCAATACCAGCAGTCCCCACTTGTTGCACCTCCTCACCGTATGCTTGAAGCACCCTCAGGCACCCGTTCGTCAATCAGCGTACGCCCTCGTCGGTGATATGGCCGTCAACTGCTTCCCCTTGTTGAAGCCGCACATGCCTGGTATCATGAACGAGCTGATCTTGCAGCTCGATCCAGAACCCAAGTTCGAGTTCGTCAGTGCTTCGAACAACGCAGCCTGGAGTGTTGGCGAGGTCGCTTTGCGATATGGACGGGGTGAGTACTCGTGATGCATCATTGTGCTGTTCTTTCAGGGTCTGATAAATTCCTTTCTTAGATGACCCCGAGTTCCAACAATGGGTGAACCCTCTCATCTCCCGTTTGATCCCCATTTTGTTGCACCCGAAGGCACCTAGAAGTCTTCACGAGAATGCGGCTGTTTCCATCGGCCGAATTGGGTTGATGCACCCTGCACTCGTCGCTCCCCATCTCCCCGAGTTTGCGCCTGCTTGGTGCCAGGCTCTGTACGAGATTCGGGACAACGAAGAGAAGGACTCTGCGTTCAGAGGATTCTGCACTCTTGTGCAGACGAACCCTGCTGGAATTGCAAAGGTGCGAATTTCCCTACATCATACCTTCACGATCAATTGTGACTGACAATCATCTTATCTTTGTGGCGGTGTGATAAAACAGAGCTTGTTGTGGTTCTGCAATTCGATCGTCAGATGGAACCACCCTTCTCCCGAGCTGAACAATATGTTCCAGACTCTTCTCCAGGGCTTCAAGAATCACGATCCCCAGGGATGGGCAGCTCAGGTGGCCATGTTCCCGCCTGCCATTCAAGAACGATTGAGCCAGCGATACGGTGTTTAAATTTCATTTTGTGTCGAATCCTTTCTTTCTTTTCCTGTCCCTCTCTGTTTTGCTGTGTACCATATTCAATCGATAAGTGGTTCCCCGGTTCCTCTTCGGTTGGCTTCTCCCGTTCCTCTCTTTTTCGTGATGATAAATAACAACGACAACCTCCCTCCAGCTTTCTATGCTCGCTTTTTTCTCTTGTTGATATACTTTTTTCTTGTCTCCAACTCCCCTGCCATGCCATTCTCGTTTACGACCCATCCAACCCAATCCATACGTCCGCCCGTTCTATCCCGTCCATCGACATCCATCTCTATTACCCCCCGGCTCGTTTGTTTTCGTCTTGCATCAGGAACCCTCTTTTTTCAGTAGCAGTAGTAGCTCTCCATCTCATTCCGTTCTTTACAAGTAGCAGTAGTCAATTCTCTTCTCGGCCTCTCGCAATCCCATCTTTTAGTAGCAGTAGTCAAATCTTCTTTTCCAATCCAATTAGTAGTGTAGCTTTAGTGATATCGTTCTCGGCCTTTCAACTTTCGATTCGCTCCTTCAGTGTCTTTTTGTTCTCCTTTCTCCCTGTCCTTGGGTTTGTCGGTTGTAGAATGCGGAGGTGGTTTCAACTGGTCGTTGAAACCCGTCCCCTCGTCCGACACCACCAGGCAGACCTGGTTTTCTTTTCGGTTCCGATCGCTTTTTACATCTTTTTTGTAGGTAGTAATTTGTAGTGTAGTATTTCTCTTTATCCTTTGCAAGTAGATAGTCTGTCTCGGTTCTTCTGTCTCTGTCCCATTCCTGTTGTCTGTTGTTCTACAAACACCCCCTCCGCTCCTATAGCTATCACCCCAACCCCGTTGGGCTCCGTCGTCTATCACACCCACACCCACTACAACCACATCCTGGATCCCTTGTGATGTACACTTTCTCTTTTTGTAAACCGAGCTTTTCTGGCATTTTTTGGTAGTAACCCCCATATACACGCTCGAATACCAAACAAACCCTTTTGTCTTTTTTTATAATCGATAGCCCATAGCCACTAGACTATGCGTACTTGGCCTGCATGTCACTCAACTAGAAATTTGCCATCTGGGACTTGGAACTGATTGAAGGAAAGAATAACAAGATAGATCGACCACTAGGTAGACACGGTAGCAGAAGGATTACAGGGAAAGAGTGCGTCGTATACTAGTATGTCTGTCTGACCACACAAAGTTCGTACATAACATGTAAGTAGCAGCAGTACGCGTACAAACCCTACTACGACAATAGCGATCAGTACTTCTTGCTCTCGGCGTACCCGTACCCAGGGCTCTTGGGTCGAAGACCGGGACTGGTAGCCCTCAGACCAGCGCTGGGCGGAGCGCTATACGCGGAATTGGGGGGAGCACCATACGGCGAGCTGGGTCCTCCAAAGCCAGCAGTAGTGGGCGTATACGCGTTCCCAAACGGCAGCGCGCTACCCGCAGGGGTGTACGGTCCGGCAGAACTCAACCCAGCGCTAGGCGGTCCGTAGCTGCGTGCGCTCGAGGGGCTCTTGAATCCAGCCGAACCCATCCCGCCAAACCCGCCGCTGAACCGCTGTCGGCGCTGGTACTCCTTGTATGCGTACCATGCGCCGGCGGCGATGCCGCCGAAGAGGAAGACCTTGAAGAAGAAGCCGAGCCAGGAGCCTGATTTGCGCGAGGGGTCGTTGGTCTTTTTGCCTGGGAGGGACCATTTTTTGTTGGCTTTGATGGTGTCGCGTTGGGTGTCCGGAGGGGACAGGATTGCGGAGTAGGTTGTTACGGAGATGATGCTGAAAGGGGGCCAGCTTGAGTAACGAGGAAAGGGGGATGGGGACGTGAACTTACTCGTGAGCATCAGAAACATCACCGGTCATAGCTGAGAAGCCGACGAAGGGGTTGGTAGGGAGGGAGAGTTTTGGAATCGTGAAGCAGTCAGTCCATTCGTCCCCTGCGAGAGATGTTAGTCGAGTCCCGGATAGCAGGGCCAAAATGGCACGTACAGGCTTTGTATTGGATCTTAACGTCTAGGAACTCGTCCTTGACATAGGTGACCTTGAGCTTGGTTGCGACATTGGTCCTGCGGAAGTTGGCCTTTGGACAGGTCAGCATAGACGAGACCGGTGATCTACGAGACACATACAGAGCAAGCGCCGAGTGCCTGTTTGTCGGCATCATTGTGATAGTCGTATTTCGTTTTACCGTCGAGTCGCACGCCGAGGATTCGAGGGAAGCCGTAGGTGTGTTTTTCGTTGGAGTATCTAGTTGCGAAAGGTCAACGGGCGCTTGTGAAGGCACAAGGCTCGATCTTACGTGTCCAAAGCGATTACGAGGCCGTTGAAGTAGTCCTTGTTGCCAAAGATGGGCCCTGTTTGCGCGCGTTCTGTCGTGATCCACATGGCCATGCCATCGCCGTACAGATGAGAAGTCTCGCCGCCGATCTATACGACAAAAGGATGAAATTGAGCTGGTGCTTGGTATTCGGGAGACTGCACTGCACACCTTGAATTCAGCTTCGATGACCCAGTTGGTGGCAGTTAGAGCAAGACGCGACCACAGCCATCCCTAGAGGAGAAACAATTGGTCAAACCGTTGCGATGGATTGGAAAGGAGATAATTACCACTTGAGAGGGCTTGTGTTGTGTCAATCGGATGTGCTTGTTGGTGTTCTGAAAGGGCTGGTCGGCATGCAATAAGGCAGAGACAAGAATAGGGTACACACGACATATGCATCGGCGCCAAAATCCCACCACCTGTTGGAGAAAGAATAAGGGATTTATTCAGAGCATGGTGCTGTGTATTTTCGTACCGATTTTGGAGATCCTGGTCGATATACGGAGGGTATAATGAGTGTGTTCTGAGTTGCACAGTCTGAACAGATCAATTAGTTCACAAGACTACACTCATTTCCCTTGGAAACTGTGGATTCACAGAAACAAGACTTACCCTTTCTATTGTGCTGTTCCCAATCTTCGTCGCTACTTTACTGCCCTCCTTCGCCCATACGCCAGCCCCAAACAACAGATTCGCGAATAGCAAATAGGTTGGCAGCATGCTCCAGCACCCTGACAACATATTGAACAGAAAAAGGGGATCTAGGAAACCAAAAGTGGGTCCCGCCTAATGTTCCCTATTATTTGAGTTGTCCTAAGAAATTAGAACGGATTAACCGTAAAACTAGAGCGTGAAGGGGAAAGTCGTCAAGGTCAGAGTTGCGCTCGCCGACGATGTCGAAAGCGCCAAGCCAATGACACGAAGCACTGGGTCATGTGATAATCTGATCCGTAACGGATCACAGTCCGGAGGCATGATTGTCGCCTACGACAGGCCTCGAGGCAGCCCCCTTCTTCGTCTCGACCACATTGCCATTTCCAATTCTTCTGCCTCATTGCCATGGTGCTGCAATCTGTCTTCCCTCGGCTATCTGGCCTGTCCCCTGCATTTCACTCGAATATTCAAACCCAAAACATGCTCTGAGCATGCTGCACAGGGCGGCCATCTATCATGCAGCCCAAATCCGTTTACAGAGCGCGGCGGAAGAGTCACTCAGGTGCACTTCCATGGAGAAGGGCAGCCTGATCGCATACGCTTTTGGGTCGAATTCCGAGCCGAGGAAAGCTGTGAACTTGCCAAGCACGCAACCTTTTGACCATTCAATAAACACACCGTGACTCTTCCAGAAATCTATATAAGAGCTAGCGAGCTCGTTTAGCCGCCCCCTCCAACAAGACCCATACTTTTCACCACACAACTTACCCGGAACACCACAACCCATCTCCACTTGTTTGATAACTGCGCTCTCATGGGTAACGATGCTGTGTGAGTCGTTCGTCATCGATATGTCATCCTCTCAATTGAAGGCGTGCAATGTCTAGACGAGGATCGAACATTCAGTTCAAATGTAAGTGGCGCGCCAGGTAGATTGTACTGAGTTTTGTCTGGACTCATTAGCATTCACCTTCCAGTCCGGAAGGCGTTGAACCTTCGACGCAAGAACGGGGATGCGCCCAACGCAGCTGTCTATGCCAAGTATATCACCGACGAGACCGGTAAGAAAGGCAAGACCGACAGGACTGCCCTGCGGAAAAGCCACAACCCCGTCTGGGATGAGAATATCAACATGAACATGTGCGTATGCCAGGTTCTGCGGCACCATCGCGTTTTGTCTGACATTCCGCTGAATATCCTGTCATGCCTTGAAATTATTGAATTGCCATCACAAGGCAACGGGATAGCAAGGTGTCGATGGACACTAAAGTGACGTTCATCGTCGTGGATTTACCCAATCCCTTGCTCCCACTGTCGTACACTAAGATTGCAAGGTCCAAGCCATACACCGTGAGCGAACTCTTATCACTCAGAGATGCAAAGGAGGCTTCGAAAGAAGGCGAAGAGGGTGAGTCTTACCTCCCCTCACCCTTCCCCGAGCCAAACCTCACCTTGCTTCCCACATGTAGGATTCGCAGTGGCCCTGGACCAGGACGTAGTCGCCTCGACCACTCAAACGAACCAGCAGCCTCCTACATTGATACTATCCCTCCAAGATTTTTGGTCAGTAGACGACAAGAAGAAATTCCACGAGCAAGTCAAAGCGCAGTGGAAAACTCGAAACCAGCAAGATCTTAATGTCGAGATCGATAATCTGCGAAGAGAGTTCATGGCTTTGAGCGCTGACCTTCCTACGGGCATTGTAAGCGATTTTTCTCCGAGTTTCCAGGGTAGATCCTCATGTGTGCTCAAACCGCTATTGTCTTTCAGAACGAGAAGACGATTGTGGACATCGCTTTAGGAGCTCTGAGCCTCCTCGTGAATGTAGGTCCACCTCTATCTTGGCTCGTGTTTCTACTCTCGCTTCGCAAAGCTCGATGATCACGATGGGCTCATTGACTGACACTCGCGTCACAGGTCGGTTCGCTCCCTGAGATCCACGAGGATCGCACCGTCGTCTCCTTAATCTCCGCACAATGCGATAGTTTCAAGAAGATCCGCGAGAAAGGACCTCATCATTCTCCTGACACTGTGATCAAGCTCTATGGCCAGATATGCTCAAAGATCATTGCCTCTTTGCGATCGTTGAGCTATCTTACAGCTAACGGGCTGAAACTCGGTAAGTATCCAGTCCTTCTTTCTTCCTCAGTGATATTCGACAACTTCGAATTCTTCGTCCTGGCTTGATAATCATCTCCTTTTGACTAACCGTTTCTGACTTCAATGTGGGCTTTTGCAGGGCCGGCACGGTCAGCTCTGACCGCAGAAGCCTCGAAAGACACTAAATGGTTCGACGATTTTGCGGGTACAGAGGTGAAATCGGAGGGATCCAATGGTGTTACACCCCTATCCAGAGATGTTTCCGCAGCTAGAGCGAATCGGCGTTCGCAATTGACAGGTTCGTGACTCTTCATTCAGTCCTTTCATGCATTGCCTCCTTCCATTCCATTCCATTTCATTCCAAGTGTTTGCCTCGGGATTCGTCTTCCGCTGTCATCCCAACCAATCCATCGATTATGGTTCTATCCTTTAAACGGATATGATGGCTAACATAGGCGCCCGCCATTTTTACAGCATCTCAACCAGATATCACGACCAAACTACGCCCACTCTCGGATATGGATGCGCCACAGCTTGGCACTGGTCAAGCAAAGAACGCGACGTCTGCTTCCAATGCGACTCAGTTGGTTGCGTCGTGGACGCTGGGTGTCCCGATGATCGAGGCTCCGAGGGTGCTCTGGCTTTATGGAGGTGAAAACACTGGGAAGAGTGTCTTTGCGGGTCGGATTGTCGAGGCGTTCGAGGGTTTGGATGCTGGTTCTCCTGCATATTTCTCTTTTTCTGGTCCCCCGGATGGGGAGAGCGACAAGGCGAATGAAGGTGTACACGGGTTGCACACGATGGTTGCGACGCTGGCGTTCCAGTTGGCCGCATACAACGAGGGGCTGGAGTCGGGTATCTCGAATACTGTGAAGCACTGTCCGGCGCTAGAGGGGATGTCCTTTGAGGACGCGTTCAAGAGGCTAGTGCTTGACCCCCTCTCCATGGCATCGAATGCGCAACAACACGAGAACGCCGATGGCAAGTCTAGATCGACGTCCTCCCGAAAGAACGCGATCATCATTATCCTCGACGATATCGAACAATGTACACCTCAAGACCTCGACAAACTCCTCAAAGCTCTCGTTGAGTCGCTGGATAACCTCCCGAAGAACGTGAAGATCCTCTTACTCAGTCGGGACGTTTCCTCCATTCGCGAAGCACTCGAGGGACACAGACTCGCTTCGAGCTGTGAATTCACGAGTCAGGGAGGGGAGGGGACGCCTATGAGCCCCATCTTTTCACCGGTGCGTTTGAGCTTCGGTTTGAATTCGAATGGGAATGGAGAGGGCAGCATGTCGAGGTCATCTTCGATTAAATGGTCGTCGAATGAACCCTTGAGGAAGGATTCGGGTGGTGGTTCGAAGGGGAAGAGGAGGAGTGGGGGGTCGGTCACGTCGTTAGGGGGTATTTCGGAGCTTGAGATTGGGGATCCTGGGAAGGTCGAGGGGACAAAGTCGAGTTAATTTCTGCGGCGTGTGTTGGGTTTATGCGAGATCTGGTTTTGAAGCGGGGATCTTTGCTTGAAGGACAGGTTCATTTCATTTTGTTATTACCATTATATTATTCGAACTTTGAAGCGAACAGGCTGTATTTATGAAGAGGGGGTGAGGTATGGGCGTGGTAATCTCTGTCGGATGATCGGTCAGTAATGGTCGCAGAGAAAGTCAAAGCAGAACAGAAATAGCTCAGAACCGCAAAGGCGGATTTCGATGTGATCTCATATCCCATCCAAGCATCCACCAGTCAAAAGAAACCAAAGTGCCAGCCCGCTTCCGTCGTCCTGTGAACCCCCGAACCTGCGTTGTACGCACGTAACCACACAAAAACCAAGCATTGAGCTCGAGCCTGGGCGCTTTGAACGTGCACTGGTAATGAATATGTCGTCAACTCTGGAGATAACCACATCTAGAGACCACCCGTGGCGAAGTGGAGCTTCATTCGTACGGGCTCGGCTTGGACGGGAACAGGAGCAAGCAGTCTGGACCTCTTCGCGTGAACGAAAGATTCAAACTTGCTTTTTCCTGGTTGTACGACCCTGCCTTTACCACCCGGCCGTTGATCTATGGACCAGGTAGTCTGGGTTGTAAAAGGGTCGTTTATGGGGAGTTTGAATGTATGTCAAGCCTTACACCCTCCAACAAATGGCCTTTTATTGGCGGATGGGGAATAGACACGGGTTTGAGCGGTTCTGGGAGGACGAGGGGCTGCGGCTGGGGTTGATCTCGATCGAAGAGGTGTCGATTGGACGAGTCGACCCTTTTACTAAAGCATCTTTGCGAAAGTGAATTGAAAAGGAGATTACTCACATTTCAAGGTACGAGGGTGCATGAGCGTTCGGGATCAAGTCGCGTTCCGGACGCAATGAGCCAAGCCCAAAGAAAAGGTGCCGCCAAGCAGATGCAAATACATTATGTCAGCGTACGTCGAACACGTCGACGACTCTGTGCGTCAGGGATTTGGGCAAAACGCCTTCCTCGTTCCTTCGTTCTAATCTCCCCCCTTTCCGTCATGAATCTCTTTAGATTAGCGGGTAAGTTCTAGTCATTATCTGCCAGAGAGGATACTGAAAGAAAGGTTTACAGGCGACCTTTCGCACTTGGCGTCCATTTTTATATTATTGCATAAAATCCAAACGACCAAATCATGCCGGGGTACGTGTTTTGGAGTTTATCATCCTTTTATCTCGCTTCGGCGTGTAGTGAAGGATTAAAAGTGTGCTGATCCTCGCTGCTGTGCAGGAATCTCATTCAAGACGCAAGCTCTCTATGTCCTCGTCTTCATCACCCGCTACCTTGACCTTTTCTGGCGCTATGTCTCGCTCTACAACACTGTCATGAAGATCTTCTTCATTGCCAGCAGCATCTATGTCCTCTACCTAATGAAAATCAAGTACAGGTCAGTCGTCCAGACCCATCAGACCTACTCCACTAGCCCTGACGCGCGCACCGTCCCCTCCACACTCGATGGCTTGAAATGACAGACCAACCTTCGACCCCGCAATTGATACCTTCAAAATCGAGTACCTCATAGGCCCCTGCTTCGTCCTCGGTCTCATCTTCAACTATGAATTCAAGATCTCCGAAGTCCTCTGGTCCTTCTCTATTTTCCTGGAAGCCGTCGCTATTTTCCCTCAGCTATTCATGCTGCAGAGAACAGGAGAGGCGGAGACGATTACTACCCACTATTTGGCGGCTTTGGGCGCGTATCGAGCTTTGTATATTCCAAATTGGATCTGGCGGTGCGTATTTTGTCGTGTTTCCTCTCTTCTTCGACCCTTTCGAGCATCCCTGGGCCTGTTGGGAGATGGTGCTGAGCTGTCAGCGATACGCGTTGGTCGGCGCTGTGGGCCCCCGCTGTGTTGTGGAGCTGCATTACGTCGGGATCCCCTCTTTCTTCACCCCATTTTCCATGATTACCGGAATAAATACTGATTCCGTCATCGTCCCAATAGATACTTCAGCGACGGCGTCGTGGACCCAATCGCAGTGGTAGCAGGAATCGTCCAGACTGGTCTGTACCTCGACTTCTTCTACGTGTATTTCACCAAGTACGTCCTCTCTCCGTTTCTCCTTCGTGACATAGAGACTTATCACTATTATCCTCCCTTTAGGGTTCTGCAAGGCCAGAAATTCGAACTTCCAGCATAAATACCGCTTTCTTCACCCATGCTGGCTGGCTGGCCAATTCAAATTTGATATTCTTCGTTCGTTGTTACGCGCGCGACCCCCTAGGACATAGCTAGTTACACGTGTAATTTGTTGCGATTAGACTACTGTAACGAACAACTTGGAGGGCTCTAAGCTTTATTAGTGTATACCGATTTTTTTTGAAACTCCTGTCGTGATCGTTGTTCCTTCGTCGTTGTCGTCGAGGTCTGGCCAACGGCAACGGCCGTGAATGTCATTTGGTCGCGGAGATTCAATTTGGAAAGGGGCGCGTTTTGCTTCCGACCTTCCGCTTTGTTCTTCTTTTTCCACCTCAACGACATCCAAGCGCTCGCTGCTTCGAGACACGAGTCATATCGAGGACAATGGAGGTTAGCAAAAGATGCCGAGAGAAGCGTAAACGCTGTCGCCTATAATTAGCTTTACAGTGGCGAAACCAATGTTATCTACTTGCCACCCGCCTTCCACCTACCCCACCGCGACCAACCGACACTACTTCTTGCTGAAGAATGCCAGTCTGGATTCCCTACGATGCCTGTGGGTTCTACAATATAGTTACACCGTCTTCGTACCCTCGAGCTCTACCCGCCATCGTCGTGAACAAGACCTTTCAAATACCCGTAGTGGATGGGCCACTGCCATCTTATGGCAGGCCATCGACCTCGACCTCTCCTGTGCAGAATAAGCAGGATGTACAGAATCTGAATGGGTATGGGATAACACCCTCTGTTCCGGCCTGCCAACCTTCGACCTCGACCTCAGCCCCTCAGAAGGACGACAGAATACAGCGAGTTAATGAGACTGGGATGCTATCTTCTACGCTTCTGGGATGCAAACCTTCAACTTCGACCGTGTCCACGCCAAACGAGATATTGGACGACGCGGTCCAGAACGTGAATACTTCTGGAGAGAAAGCGACTGGGATTCAGAGTCCGGCTCGAATGGCTACATTGGGATCTGGCTCGACTAGCCCTTCGAAAGTGAGGCCAAGGGAGTCCAGTGGCTCAGAGAGGTCACCATCCAAGAAGAAGTCAAAGTTGTCGACAGCGATGTCCTGTCGTTCTACCAACGTCGAAGGGAAGCGTATTCTACGTGGTATGTCTTCATCGCACTCATCATCTTGCCCTTTCCCTGAATTCGGTTTGACCCGGCCAGACTTTGCAAAGGAACATCCAGACTTGAGTGCTTGTTCAGATGCACAACTCAGATGCGTCCTCAAGCGCGTTCAGGCAAGTGCCAGGCTTCATTACCAGTTGTGTTACCAAGTAATGACGCGACGGATTGATACACAGGATGCAGGAAACGAAGGTTATACTCGGAAGAGCTTGGATGCGTGGATTCAAACGAAGATAAGGCTCAGCGCACACCAGGCTCCGTACCTGAATGCTATCCATTCTAAAGGACCGTCGTCTACGGCTAAAGGTGCGAGGCGCATCTGTTTTCGAAATGGGACGCTGATGGACCTGGTATCCAATTTAGCTCGCTTGAGCGAGTTTCAGATCACTGAGCTGCGTTTATGGCTGAAGGATACACCCAACCCCACCGACGAAATGATTGAACTCTGGGCTCGCATTCTTGGCGTTGAGAATCGTCTTCTTCGGTCCTATCTCCGGTCGTTATCCCGACGCCCTCCAAACAGTGCGACGATGCAGCTTGAACCTCTTGGACGTCCTGCACAGATGAGGGTTATCTCGAGGGCCCCTTATGCGTTGTCTAGCTTGCAACATGGCGTCCGTTTCTCACCTTGGACTTCTACCTCTCGGCTTGAAGGCAACGTTGGCGACGGCGCCCTGGCATACCACACGACTTCCACCAACAGTTCGGAGACAAACCGAAGCAATGTGAATCCTGTAAACGATGACATTGACGACGCTAGGGAAGCAACTGATGGCCCATATCTTGCTCCCGACGAGTTTCTTCCACCTTCCGGTCTGCAGTCTGTGCAGCAACCAGAGAGCAGTACCAGTCGACTACGGGCCGTATTCCGACCGGATTTTGGGGCCACTCGTAAACGAGCCTGTGCTCGGGGATGATATGTAGAGCAAGGTACGGTAGGAGGGGCTACTTACATACCTCTTGTATAGTAGTACGCAGATCCTTTTGAATGAGGTACCTTTTGTTTTTGCACACAGACTCTACTGTCCAACGTTGAGAAGTTCCAGGTGGGCCGAAAAGCCCAAATATATCAAGGAGGTAGTTGGGGATGGATCCTCCTTCATCATATACGCCCTATAGCGCCCCTCTGCAGGAGATCTACAGAGCCTCCTGCAAGTCGATTTAAGCGCCGGGCTATGCAAGCAAGTCCGGATCAAAGGATTCCGGCAAACCCCGACCAGGGGTTAGGCTGGCGCTCCGTTTCAAGGTTGCGTTTATCACCTTCACCGACAGCAGCAGCAGCCGTCACTTTGACTGGCCCGGGGTAGAGCCGCTGCTCATGAACGACTACGACGACGTTTAGAAAATGGAAGGAAGTGGTACACCAACCCGATACTCGATGCGCAACCTCTATCCAACGCCTGAACGGCAAATGAATGCGGGTGCGTACCTCTCGTCATAAACCGCTCTCGCTCGCGTCCTGTCTCTTGTTATTGCCACGCTTCTGTCCGGAATACAAAGACAAAGGTGTTTCTAATATCTGAAAGGGCTTGTCGGCACGACGTAGCCTATGGTGAGAAAAGGGACACACTGCTACCTAGCCTGCGCCACTGTGGGCAACGCTTTGACGAGGTGCAACAAAGGAACCATTCCCGCATATTATTATCTTCACGCATTTTCTGTGGTTTGACCAGTCCTCTATCATGCCCTATTGGATCTATGGTGTCGATGTATGCCCGCAACCCACACATCTACCGACCGCGACGTTCCAGATTCCTGTCGTGAATGGACCCCTGCCATCTACGCTTCATCCACCATCACCTCGGAGGTCAAGTCCACGAGGATCTCGCCGGACGCCTTTGGAGAAGGCTGCAGAAACTAGTGGAGAGGATGAAGAAGATCGCTCTTTGGGCACGAAGCGGGATAACTTCGATAAGAAGAGCACTCACTTTAGGTCTCTGACTGCGGAAGGGAGGCGAATTCTAAATGGTATGTTCTTCCCCGTATGTCCAATCCCAAACCTCAGCCTAAGTGAATGACGGTGTCGCTATCAGAGTTCGCAGACCGATATCCATACCTGAGCCTTTGTCCAGTCGCTCAGATCAACGAGGTTGTGAAACGAGTGCAGGTATGTATAGGTCCACACTGTACAAGGTGTCACGGAGGAACTCACGCTTCCATTGATTTTACGCAGGATGCAGGGAACAAAGACTACACGCGAAAGAACTTGAGCACCTGGCTTCAAGGAAGAAGAAGAAGGGCACTGAACCGCAAAGCCGTTCGGGATAAAGAGCCAACTGACACCTGCGCTTCGACGTCGAGGTCCTCACACGCTTCTACTAACACTACGAAATTCCAGTTGCCGTCGCCCATAGAAACCCCGAAGGACTCCCTGTTATCCGGGCCAGATGTTGTGGAACGACAAGCTGTATCCGATGTACCCAGCGATGGTTCTCTCTCCCCCGATACTAGCGACGTTGCCTACAGGGCTTATCCAAGAGCATGGACAGATGAAACAGACCGCCTCGCCCGTGCTATCATTGAGGGTGTTCGAGACAGCATATCCAGCAGCTCATCACCTTTCGAAAAGGCGCCGACTCCGCAAACCATGGAAGAGTTCAATCACCTTTGGAAAGATTTTCAGCCCACATTAGACAGCCTTGTACAGATATTAAGGAAATAGATAGTATCTGTGCTTACTTTTAGCTTGCGAAAGCAACCAGAATTTCAATTTTAGCGCCCACTGGCAGGGACGACGCGCTCCGGATCAATCAGCAAGGGGGAATGCCGCTGGCAAACAAGTCAAGTCAATCGGACGACCCGATTTTGACCTCGACCATCCAACTCGTCGGATCCTGGCAAGTATGTTATCAAACGGAAGAGCCTTAAATGACCCCAGAACGTGTTCGATCAGAATGACATAGGTGCGCTTCTGCAGGTCGGAAACTGAGGCTCGAGCGAGCGCTGCATTCATCACCTGTGTAGATATCCCATGAATTATGGCAGATGGATTGACCATGACCCCAACATCAGGAGCAAGCGAACATCCATCAGCGTCCGTCGTGCTGTAAGGGATCCTGAAGTCCGCCACTGGAGCAGGTGACCGACTCGAGCCACCTTGGGCCCATTGGAAGGTGATGCGACTGCCCTTCGTGTCAACTTGAATTTGGCGTGTCACTGATCTTCCGAGATAAAAATGCCCATGCGCAGTTGGTGCGCGGGCATTCTGAGGGTTAGACGACATGCCTCGAGGCATTCGAGCTGCCGGCCAATGGATTCTCAGGTTTTCGACTTCATAGAGCAAAGGGCAGGAATTCAGCCCATGGTCAACTCGTCATGAGGATTGGATCTAATCGACACCTGAGGTGAGCTTGCATCCAACCACGCGCAAACTGGGTACCTTTGGGATCACGTTCAATCAGGATACAGGCTTCGAGAATCGAAGCTGTTCTCGGGAAATTGATTATCGATTGAATGAAAAAAGAATAAAATATCTTTTACGGAAATCGGAGAAAGGTCTGCGACATTGATAAAGAGGGCTGGATGGTATGGCTTAAAGTGTCTCCCTCGTCATGTCTCTTTGGATCCATTGCACATCGTCATCGCGGCCATTTCTGAACCAGGGAAATAATGTGCCTGCTCCAGAGTCCACATTCCAGCTGCGTGGTCGCACGCAGACCACCACTTCTCAGTCAAGCAGCTCACCTCCAGCAATAAATGGAGTAGGTGGTCCAAGAGCGAGCCTCTCGTCTCGTCATCGAAGGTCCACTGGTACACTCAGACTCAGAGAAGTGGGGATGCCCCGACTTAATGACGATGGTCGACGGATCCTTCTCGGTGAGTCTAGTCACGGTGTATCCATACGTGGAAAAGCTCGCTCACTGGCAAGCTAAACATCGCCGTCAGAACTCATGGAAGGACATGGTCTCTATCCCTCGAGGCCACAATTCTATTCCCTCCTGGACCAAGTTCGAGTTTGTGTGGTCTGCAGTCATCCGAACCAGAAGTAATGGTAGGATTTCTCTAGGCGGTGGGAAACCCACATTACAAGAGGGAGAACATCGGTAATTGGTTCAGCTGGAAAAGGGCAAGATTAAATGAACACGAGAAAGTGGGGAAAGGGGATGGAAGAATAGAAGGGAAGCGGCACAACACATCGTCCAAAATACCAGAGTCTACACAGCTGAGAGGTGAGTATTACTATTTGGGACAGCTTACCCATTGACTGGAAAGACCCGAAGCTCGCTGCTCACTCCAGAAATACCTGACAGGTCTAACTGATTCCCAGCTAGCCGAATTGGCAAAGGGCACACCTAATCCAACGGATGAAGCTGCTGAAGTCTGGGCTCAATTGATTGGTGCCAAGAGAGGTGCCATTGACTTTTATCGACTCAATACAACGGTACCATCGTCTGCGGGGGAACAGACGGGCGCCAAATTCAACGCCAAAATGCGAGCGGATTGTCTCGTGCCTTACCACGGACTACCCACTCCTACAAACTCCCCAGTCGTGAGCAGTCCGTCTCCGTCATTAGCACTATTGCCGTCTCCCGAACCATCCTACAATTTGAAGCTGTCAATACCATCACCCTCAGCACATCTGAAAGTGGAACCCAGCATGTCTTTAGACGATTATCTCGAAGGGACCTCGTGGACACCACCCTCACCTGTCACTGCATGCCTACCCCTAGAAGAGCCCCTAGAAGAAGCGGACGCCATTGCTCAGGCCATTGTAGGTGCTGTGCGGGAGGCAATGGCAACCACGGCGCCTAATTCCGATGCAGAAGCGCCCATTGCTGGCCCGTGCACCATAGAAGAGTTCAGGAGCCTTTGGGATGTCTTCCAGCCTAAATTGGACAATTTGACTCGGGTTTTTGCAAACTGAAGTCGACTCTTATGTGTATTCCCTTGAGTAACCTTACTGGGCGCTGTTTTCAACCATTTTGGTTTCTGTATATGTACTACCCACGGGCCATGCCATCCGACACTCCGTCATCTATTGGCGAAGAATGGAAACCCTTTCCCGTAACATCCCTTCTGACCCTTGACCCTCTGAAAGACGATCTTGATGCTTTGGAAGGGTTTTGGAGGCAATAAACTTGGCCCTACCGTTAGTGTCTTTGGCGTTGGCCTGGTTCTTGATCACAGACCATGATCGAATTAGAGTAGCATGACCCTGCGAAGGTCCAACTGATGGCAAGTCGAAGTCACCAATTCCTTCATCGCAACTTCTTCTTTCCTATGTCCATGTTTCGTGCCCCGGAAACCTGTCCAACTCCTGGCTTTGGCTCACGACTCAGGGTCTCATAATAACGGAAGACGTCCCCCCATTCTATCACAATTTGAATTCAACCAGGCTGACTGACAGCTTCCTCGGAACCAAACGGTCCATTCGAGGAAATTCTTCTCAAAACCGCAGCACCACGTACCCTCTTCAATTCAGGTTCTAGTAATAGCCAGGCTGACTGATAGCGAGGAAACTGATTCTTACCCCCTCCTTTTCCTCGCTCAGTGAGCATGGCTGCAGCTGGGACATCGAAAACTGGACGATTCTACAACTGGGTTCGATGCCCGCTCCCACCTTTGCCCCAGTTTCAAGCAATTGGAGATAATGGTGATCTTTTGCAAGGCTCAAGCTCGTCTTCCTCGGACGATGGCTTGATGTTGAATGCCGAAGGCCAGCGTATCCTATCAGGTATACCTAACGACATCCATGTTCTCTGAAAGGTTTGAAGCTAACTTGCAGCCCCTTCCTTAACCAATACCGATGCCTCTGCCCATGGCAGAGTTCAAACTGCGCCCTACACTCGAGGAAATGGAAGAGGTACTTGGGCGTGTGCGGGTAAGCGACATTCAATTCGGTAGTTATGGATTGTGACTGACTGCAGTCGACCCGATACAGGCTGCGGGCAACTACCATTGCCAACTCTCCACCATCGAGGAGTGGTTCAAGATCCAGAGGGAGAGTCGAAGACGAAAGGCGAACAGATCTATTGAAATGGTCCCAACGATCCTTCGCACCCCTACTACCACGCCGAGTCCAGTTTCCAGCTTGAAGAGGAAGACGGAGGAACCCCACGTCAAACGCAAACGCGGGCGTCCTCCTCGGCCTCGACCTCACGACCAACTAGAGAAACGAGACAATCCCTATTCTCTACTTAGGTCGACGTCACCCACAGCCTTCAGATCCCTTTCTTCTGTCAACCAGTCCCCGTTCTTGGACTCTGGCCAGCTAGCCAACCTTAAAATGTTGCTAAATGCGACACCGAGTCCTTCGAGCGAGGCCTTGGACTCGTGGGCTACCTTCCTAGGAGTTACGAAATCCATCTTAGTACAGTCCATCTCCCATGTATTGGAAACGTCAAGGGCGCCTCGAAAAGTCCGTCTCCCTCCGTCGTCTCCAGCTACGGTGTCAGACCGCTCAAAATCGAGATCGACGAGTGATCATAGCAGTGAATCGGAGGACGACGAGGAAAAGGATTCCATTTACAATCCTTCCGAGGACGAAGAGGCCGATGCGGACCGACTCTCCCCAACACCGTTGACGCTCAGACGACGCGCTTCCACGAAACAGGACGAGCGTTGTCTGAGCATCTTTAGGGAAGGAGGGGAGAGTGGGTCTGGTTCTGGGTCTGGGAGACCCACGAAAAGGTCATCTAAGACCCCGGTTGGAGGTGGTAGTAGCTCGAGAGTGGATGAGTCGCCTGTCGAAGCGGAAGGTGTTCAAGCTCCATGGGAGGCGTGGGCGAATTTACCTTTCTTCGCGGAGCAGCCCGAGTCTGTTGCCCCCGCGCAAGCTGCAGCAGACCCGGGGCCACCTAATATCCCCCCTCCAGGTCCTGCCAACGTCCCGACAGAGAACAACAGACCTGGATCTTCCGAGTGCCCAAACACTCACGCGACACCCTCTACGAAGCTTCATCTTGACGCAGACCTTGTACCTGTTGGATGGATTGGAGTAGAATCCTTGACAAGCCTTCAGTTTGACAATTGGGATTCTGCCGATGGAGATGCAGATGTCATTGCACTCGGTAGTTCATCCCTTTCCCATCTTTCCACCCGCGGTCGGTCAGCCCCCTCATGGACAATGCGAGATGCAGAAGCAAGCTCACAGTCGCCCCTTATAGTTCCGACTTCGCCAGAGAAGGCGCATGACAAGATGATAGTTGACTCCCAACGTACTCTTCCAATGGCTGAGGGCGCTATGTCAGATGAGGAGGCGTCTCAGGTGGCAACGATGCTTGAAGAGGTCTGGTATTCTTCCTCCCCCGAGTCACCGCCTCGAAAATCAGCATCAAATGAAGAGCAGGAAATCCAACCACTGGAGCCACGTTCGCCTTGCACGTCGGTGTTGTCATTCGGTGCACCACTAGCACCAGCACGAGTACTACAGGAGGCCTCCGCATCAGAACTTGAGAACTATCCCCGGTCTTTGGAGGAGCTTGACACCCTGTGGTCGCGCTTCCAGACTCGATTGGTCGATTTTTCTCGTGCGCTTGGAGGATGAATGTGTTGACCTCCCGAATTGTCCTCATTGGCTTGCTTTTCACGTTTTCTGCTGCGCTAGATCCCATTGTGCATGGTTCATTTCTTTTTCTCTGTTATTCTCGTTGGTCTTTTGCTATCGCTCTCGCATCTCGCTACCCTACACTGCTTTCGTATTTTGCGCTCTATCTGCTCTCGCCTTGCTTGCCATTCTGTTTGAGGAGTCATCCCTGGATGTTCATTTGCTTTTTTTTCAGTCTTACTACCACTACCATCGTTTTCCTTTCTGTTCCTCGTCGCTTTCTGCATTTCACTCCCATAAACACCTACTAGTCTCGTATTTTCCGTAGTTTGTAGTCTTTAGCATCTTTATGGTCTCGAGGAATATCCATTGTATGATATCAATAAGTCTCATTTGTGGTTTCTGTGTTTTGTAGTTCGCATACCGGACCCTCTACTTCGCTATTTTTCACGCCCCAACCCTGCCATGGAATATGCTTGCATTGTCATTCCAACCATCCGCCCATCGGCCTACTTAAAGCTGGCCAGCTCGAAGAGTGCAATTCTTGTAATCTCCAATGACAAAGAAAGAAATACATGAAGCATAAAAGCAATCATCCTTAACTTCAAAATAAAATACGGTCAAACGTGTACTAGCGAACAGATAAATCAACAACTCAGACTCCTAGCACGGATATACTCCCTCCTCCTGAGCTCCTCCTCGCCTTCTTCGCCATCCACGAAAACTTCCTCGTTGGCAGTTCCTTTCGCAAAGTACCCCCGCGCAGACGGGAACGCGAAGGATCTGTACGCGCCTGCTCCTCCTCCTGGATGTCCCAGCTGATTATACACATGGGCAGGTGGAGATGGGGATGTATACACGGGCTGCATTCTACCATTCGTATTAGGCGGGGTATGTCGAGCAGCAGGCGACCCGCTCGTGTGCCTTGCACCACCGCCGTTTGTCGGTGGTGAACCGAATGCGAAGGCGGGTTGGTAGGGTTTGACTGTTGGTGAGCGGCCTTGAGGGGGCGGGGAAGGTGAGGGACGGGGGGAGGGGAGGTCGCCTGGTGTGCGTGGTGCTGTGGGTTTGGTTTGTGCGTGTGTTATTGAGCTGGGGACGGGTGATGTGCCCGGTGGTGCGCTTTCCCGATACCCGTCTGTAGAGTGGTAATGCTGGGAACGAGGAGATCCGGATACCATAAAGTAGCTGCTATTCCCCAGAATATGAGTTTCGTCCTCGTCTTCTTGTTTGATTTTGATTGGGGAGTGTGGTGGTCGAGGTGATGCGGATGCCGAATTGGAAGGAACGGAGAGACGGCCGTTGGGCGAGGAGGGAGGGTCGGGGGTGTGGTACCTGTGCAGGTTTGGTGTGAGGTGGTGCGGGCGGGGAGAGGGAGCGGTTGGAGTGGTTTCTCTTGATGCTCGCGGTGTTCGTTGTCGTGAATCATCTTCCTCTTCGTCTTCATCTACATCGTCATTCTCTACTATCCTTTCTTGTTCTGGTTCCCCAGTGGACTCTGTTGCCTCCCGTGACCGCCCAGCCCTCCTCCCGAACGTCTTAAAGGCCCTAGCGACAGCCGCATCCCACGCGCTCTTCAGAGGACCTTCTTGTCGTTTTAGATTCGCTTCTATAACGAGCTGTTCCATCTCGGGTTGGAGGGTTTGCATGAGTGAGGAGGCGGTGTTTGGTGAGATGGGTTCCATGCGTGCAAAGCTTGGGTGGCGGGGTGTAGCTGTTGAGGCGAGGGATGGTGGGGAAGGGGAGGCGATGGATTGGAGTTCTGTGTGAAGGAGTTTGGAGGCTATTGAGGTGTTAGGTTAGTGATAGTCTAGAGGGACGATTAGATGGACGCACCTTCACGGTCGGCGACGGCTACTAATTGCACTGTTCGTTCGAGCAAGGCCTGTTCGACGCGTGGATCTGCGTATTCGTCGTATGGGATTAGGTGCGGTGCGACCCTTGTCAATGCGACGCTCATGAACATGAAGAATTGGTGCAGGAAGAGGATGTGTTGGTAGGCCACTCTGTGTGGGAAGATGAGGTGGAGGATGGTGGTGTGCCGGGAGAGCGTGGATGTTGGTGTGGGCGAGAGGATAAGTAAGAGTTCGGCGGCGAGGAGGGCGGCGAAGAGGATGTATCTCCACTGGAAAAGTTGATTAATATCTTCAAGGATAATTCCTGTAGAATACACTCACAAAGGAGATAGGACTTGGTTGTCCAACCGCCGACCAAAACAGCAATACCAAAAAGGCGACGATGTGGTACCCAGAGGAAGCCAACAACCCCTGCCTCAAGAATTCCCTATGGGTGCTACACGTCGCCCTCCATCCAAGCACCTCGGGTCCAAACCGATCATACGCAAACCTCACCGCGGGGTCCTTCAACGCCTCATACACATCCCTCACAAAAATAAACAGCGCCTCGCCTTTCACACCGACCCCCGGCCGATCCGGATGGTTCCTCTTTGCAAACTGCCTAAACGCGACCTTCAGTCCTGCGTCGTCGACGGTGTTGGGTACGTTGAGGATTTGGTAAAAGTTTGGGGGCATGGATTTGGCTTGTTGGATGAGGGTGTAGAGGAGGTAGCCGAGGACGACGAGGGCGAAGGTTGTACCGTAGTGTTTGCGGTATCGGGGTGTGCCAGGGTTGGAGGGTTTGAGACGGAGGAGGCGGTGGAGGAGGGGTGTTTGGTAGATGAAGGAGAGGGTGTAGCGGGTTGCGAGGTCTGGGATTATTGACCATCCTCCGAGAGAGAGAAGAGAGTTCATGGTTGCAGTGTGAGATTTCTATGGATTTGATTTTTATTCTATAAACTCGAGATTCATCGACGGGTTGGAGAAAGGAGTTTGTTCAGGCCATGTCGAATCGTGCGGGTTGTGGTTGCACAAAGGCCCAACGAACCGTCATTGTTGGTGGGTGTGAACGCGCTCCGGAGGGCCGGATCAGTTACGCCGGTCCGGCTCGGTTTGGTAATCTAGCCCCTTTCCTTGGATCGTACGTGTCCCAGCTCTGCAATAAGAGAGGGATCTGAACGCGTCGTACAGTGTGCGACTATTCTCAACTCTATTAAAGCGTCCTATCCAGCTCCAGGGGTGCCCCTTGTATCAAGTCCTGAAATGGCAGGAAGCGCCCCTAATAGTTCTCCTGGTCGTACCTCTCCGCCTCGATAGGTTGATGGAACAAACTCAAAGTAAGCCCTTATATACCAGTTGGGACTCCGTTCCTCACGAAGCATCCATTCGGGTAGCTATCATCTGTTTCAAGCTAATCCCATGCATTGGAATTCGATGAGAGTAATCAGACACGCGTGTGCTGAGTCTGGGGTCTGGGACGGTACTGGCATTGTGGCGAAGTAAAGCAATTAAGTACATAGATTGGTGCATAGGGACATGAGAGGATGCCCGAGGTGTATATTCTCATCTCCGGTATATTGAGAACCTTGAGTCGCCGGTGGATTATCCGAGGTAGGTCCTACTTAGACTCCCCATCCCAATCCTCACTGTCCTTGCCCTGGAGCCACGTACTATATCCACATGGACTTCTAATCGGATTTCCATCCAATGGAGACGAAGTCTAATTTCCTTGAACAACAAGGAACAAGTGTATGGATGTTTCTGGATTGTAGTAGCACAGTACTAATATTATTATACTGATTTGGATAAGCTCGAGCTTATGATCAGGCTCCTTCCGATGGATGGGTTGGAGCTCGACTACAATGGTAGGCACCATGCAGAAAGGTTATCATTAATCGTTGGGGTGAGCAGACTTGAGAGTGGCGGATTCCGAGGGGTTGGCGGTGATTCAGAGTCTCAGTCCTGAGTCCGTCGGACGGTCTTCAAGCTAGCGCTGGAATGAGTACTAGTCATTTATCAGAAAGTGATTCAGGTTGTTGAAAGCGGTAGACGTGAGTATGGAGGTGGTGGTAGGCTATCATTATTCATTAGTGGTCCAGGTGAATGTGCTCTAGTACTATTCATGAAAGATGTCGTCGTCAATGACAGTCATCTGCATCTCGTGCTCATGCGCAGTTGGGCCTGGCCGGGGGAAGGATAGTCAGAAGCTCCGAGTGTCTTGAGAGGGGTATATGGATGGTGAAGGTAGTGAGGAGTGACTGTCAGAGGTGAACTCCTTGTACATCAGTCGTTATTCTGTCATTGGACTTGACTGCTTTATGAGCGCTCGTCAGAAAATGAATTTATTTCTGTCAACCAACGAATATACAGGCTGGATTCAAGAACATGGCATCGCCTCAGGGGCTTGATCTAAACATTGCACGTTACCTTGACCGGTGACCAGAAATTTCAATCTTACCCTCTTCACACAACCAGACTTTATCCCGCCGAGGATATGTACACCCCGACGGAGATCCCGAACCCCTCTTGCCAAAGAGGTATGTATACATGCAGATCAATCAGAAATTAGGTGAACCTTTGCTCACTACCGCCCACAAATTACATCCATCCACCACACTATTCGGGCTTGGTATCCGTGCCTGACGCAAAAAAACCGATGTCCGTTGCCAGAGCCCGACGACCCTTTTTTCATTCGGAAAATTATAAAGTGCTGTTGCATGAATCCTGTAAAGTCGAGACATTGGATTCGACCTTGCATCCACGAACTCCACCATTTTTCCCATCACTCAAGTTTGAATTGGAATTTGGTCTGGCTTATGTAGCTTGGAAGTTCGGCTTAGGTCGACCCAGGCCAAGTTACCTTGCTTTACATACCTTACTTCGCGACTTTTGTAGTTACCCCGACGACTCCGTGTCCCGTGGGCCCCGTTCGTCGCTCTCGGAGTCTTGGAACCTTCCCACCACCATTGTATAGCTTAATTTTGCTTCTTCTTCTCCTACTTCTACTTCCTTCTCTGTCCCTCTGTCACCGGCTGGCTGTCTGCTTGCGACCTCGACTCTCCCTCCACCATTGAGGATAGTGTTTCTATCCTGGTTTGTACCCGAGGCGTTGTAACGCGAACGGCTGCCGAAGACTCCCCAGGACGCGGTAGCAGCCCGGTGGAGCAACGAAGCAACGAAACCGACCGACCACCTAAACCAAACCGCAGCGAATTTGTCGTGTCGAAGAAAAGAGGAGGATAACTTAAACCTGGGAGTCTAAGGGATAAGGAAGGAGAGAGATTACTTCCTGGGTTGGCGTTAGAGGATTGAAGGCTGAGCGCTGAAGCTCAACTTGTGCTACGGTGCGTACCCCCTCGTCCTGCAGTTCACGACATCGTCGGCTGACGTATGGAATCTATCTCGCTTTTTCATATCTTCCCGTTATTTTATTCTGGATTGGTTTCATCTATCTATCACAACTTACTCTTCTTCGCCTCGCTGGAATTGCTCGGGTTCGGTTGGGGTATCATTGGATTGGGTTTGGGCTGGTGCGGTGGTGGTGCGCGTGGTGCGGTGTGGGGTATGGACCTTGGTCGGTTGGCCGTCGGTTTGGTCCCGTCACCCCACCATATGGCCCTGGGTGTTCCTGGAACCGGCGTACGCTGGCACACTGTTTTTGCGACATTGGGACGTCATTGAACTCATGGCTGTCGACTTTCGTCCTCGACGTTCAACGTCGTACCAATGCCTCGGCTTACATCCGCTACCTCTTACCATTACCGGCCAACAACGAACGACCTGATCGACACGACTATGAATTTTCATCGACATCGACGCTTCTCGGTTCATGGTTTCCTTGGACGATGACACGGACGGGTCACTTTACGACCACACTCGACGCTCGTTCCCATCCCCATGCCCAATTTATTACCGCAAACTCAACCTATGGCCTTCGCCCCGCTGTTGGTATCAACGTCCCCTGTTGACCGGATTGTTCTATCTACCATGGACTCGATTCGACCCTCGACGACGAACGAACAACGAACGACCGGCTTGACGCAACGCAACTCAACTCAACGCCACCTTGGTTTGCGTCTCGGTTCACCCGATCCATTAACTTTGGTTTATTGACCTTCATTTCTCGGCTTGATTTGAATCTTCATTCACACCATACCTTCCTGTTCATCGTTTCATTCACTTGCTGTTGGTACCTAACGCTAACGGCGGTGTTTGTCACCTTGACCTTCCTTGCCTGTTCCTGGTTTCGGGTCGTGGCGGTTTCCCCTATCCTTCTTTTCCCTACTCCCCTCTCCTGCATTCATGATTCATCCTTCCGTCTTCGCTTCTTCGGCTTGCAATCCCTTTCCGACATCCCTCTCCTTCATTCATCTTGTCCTCGTTCATTTTTCCGTTCTTATTTTTATCTTCTTTTCTTTCTTGTCCTTGTCCATGATGCTCACCTTGGATACTAACGATCCTGGTGTCCCTGGCACGGGCACGGTCATGTCGCTCTATCTGCGGGCATAACGGATTGACTGACATTGACGTGTTTCTGCGTGCGCATGCGCGATCTCTCCCCACCCCCCTTCTGCACTTCTTTTTTGCATTGTGCTCGGTCTTGGTCTCTACGGGGACTTGGCCAACTTCTTTGCCCGGCTTCTTTGTGAACGGGCGTGTTGGTTGCCTTGCTGTTTTGTTGGTATTGGCTAACGCACGCTACACCCCTCCCATGCTCCATACTTTGGCTTGCTTTGCCCATTTTTACGCTTTACGCTTTCTGGTCTTCTCTCCGATTGCACCTCGAATCGGCTCGTCTTCTCACCGTTCCGTACTTGACGCTTATTCTTCGCCCTTGCTCCCATCCCATCCCCCCTTTTTCGATTATTTACTCTCCGCTCGACGCAACGTTTCGTCTTGCGGTTCTGCATTTACCTACTTTGGGGCTTCCCCTTTTTTGCCTATCATTTCTTATTATTGTGGTTGGGGTGCTTCTTTTTGGGCCTCGCGCACGCGCTTCTTCAACTTGACGCCTATTTCACTTATATCACCGCCCGGCTGTCACGGCTGGCCGACCCCCCGTCTATCCCACCTTTGGTCATCTCCTGGTCTATACTACCGTCCACACTCGTTCAACTACTGCTCGAATTCAACGACGAACGATAACGACGACGTTGGACGGTGCTTGCTGGATTTGTGCTGTGTGATCCCACACGTCCCGCCAACCCACCGAATAACGAATTATCGACGATCGTTTTTTTGGGATTCGCCATCCCTTGGATCTGCACCCGAATCATCCATCTCATACGTTAACGTTGCATTTGCCCCTCGCTGGGTTGTTGCGTTCTCCTGTCCGTCCAACCAACCATCCACCTTCCCCTACACCCCCTCCGACTCGACGCCTGCACTTTGTCCGGTACGGCGTGTTGTAGGCAGCAAGCTATCTCCACCACGACGACGACATCAACCAAAACAACAACTCGACACTGGGACTACCCTGTAGGGGTGGTGACGTGCAGATACCCGAGATACCACTTTGCGACTCGAGTGCGACTGTAGCAGTCAGCCGCTCAATACCCGTTTTTGACCGATTTTACTCCCTATACCACGCCTCGTCTCACGAGAACTGTATAGTTCTCTTCATACCACCCTCGACCTCGTCTCACGGGCATTCTATCTAATACCACGACCTAGCCTCGTTTGGGTCCCATCTGGTACTTTTTCCTTCGAACCACGACTACGACTTTCAACAGCAACAGCAGTAGTCGACGACCGCCACTTGCACACACTTTGACTCCGACATTGACATCGACGATCCGAGTCTCACCCACACGCATCCCGATTCCCGATAACGATGTCGGAACCTTTTTCGTATAACTCGCCGCCTACGTCTAGTGGGCGACCTACGACGTCTACTGGGCCTCGTCCTGGGACGTCGAATCCGTTCAGGCAAGGGACGAGCCAAGGTCCACCGCCTACGTACGATTCGCGGAGTAATCAGTGGTCGAGTTATGGGTATGATGGTTCGGGGAGGCCGTCTTCGAGTTATGGTCATGGATATGATTCGTCCGGGAGGCCGCCGCCTTCGTCCTATGGTGCTCGACCACCCCCGTCTTCGTATGGCTATGGGACGGGAAGTTCGTCGTATGGTGTTGTTGCGCCTGGAGGAGGGGTGAGGTACCCGGAGGATGAGTTTGAAGAAGAGAGTGATGAGGAGGATGTGTTTGCGTTTTTGCCGCCTACGACTGCTGATATTGAGGAGGAGCAGAGGAGGAGGGAGGAGGAGGAGAGGAAGAGGAGGGAGGAAGAGGCGGAGAGGGTAGCTGCGATGCAGAAGCAGATGGCGCAGAAGCAGCAGCAGCAGCAGCAGCCGCATGCGTCGACGTCGAGTATGAAGCCTATAACGGAGGGTGACCGTGTGAGGGATTTGGAGGAGGAGGAGAGGAGGAGGATACGAGAGGAGCATTCGTTTGCGTTTACGATTGATACCGACGTTACCACCAAACCGAAGAAGCGGCGGAGTAGTCGGGGTAGTGGGGACGGGGATGTGACTACTGCCCATCCGAGTCCGACGTATTCGACGGGGGCTGGGAGGAGGAAGGAGTACCCTCTTACCGCCGATTCCGAAGATTATGGTGGACCGTCTTATGAACGCCCGCGGTTCACGTATGATTATGAGCCCCCTGTTTCGCCGCCGAGTACTGAGAGCAATGGGGGGAGTAGAGCTGGGCTTGGGACGGCTGAGAAGGACGGGTTCAAGATGACGAGGCTTGATAAGGATGGGAGACGGAGGAGTGTGGACGAGAGTTCGCGGCGGAAGAGCGGGGAACGTGAGCGGAAAAACAGCGAAGGGCCTGGACAGCAGCAGGACGATGAAAAGGATAGGGAGGATGAGAGTGTTACTGTTGCTGCTTCGCTTGATGGGTTGGGGAGTCCGACTACGACGAAGGAGGGTGAGCATGACGGTGGGGAGAGTGAGGTTGCGAAGGAGGAGAAGAGGGCTGTGGATGGGGAGGATAGTGGGGGGCATGAGCCGGGTGTGTTTGGACGGCATTGGCAGCATTTCCAGCCTAATCCTGCGCGGTACAACTCGAATTCGGGGCCGTATAAGAGGCATAGGGAGTACCACTACAACCAGGCGTACCCGCATTATGCCAAGAGCCGGGGGTCGTCGAGAGGTGTTGCGTCTTCCATGGATGAGCCGAGTGCGGGTGGGAGCAGTAGGAGGAGGAGGAAGGGGAGTAGGAGGGGCGTGAGTCGGCATCTGCAGCCGCCTGGTACGGCGGGTACGCACATGACTGCGATGTCGACTGCTACGAGCGATTATATGGCGTCTAGCGAATACACGCATGGGTCGATGATGGATAGGCCGGATACTGGTCTCAACAGCCTGGGGTATCTGAAGGAGACGAGTCGGAGCGAGTTGGATGAGTATGACGATGATGAGTATGACGGGTATGATGGGGAGAGTAGGGAGGGGAGTATCAAGTGAGTTACTCCGTTTTTCATTGGTTTCCTTTTTTCCTGGTTTCGTTTTCGCTGTTGTGTTTCATTCCATTTCCTCCTTCATTTCGAGGTGGCTTCTCTGCTGGCACTATTCTGCCCGAAATGGGTAGTGCGAACGTTTTTACGTATGAGAAGCAGACCGGCCGTCGGTGCGACAGGTTGGGGGCAGGAGCGTCGCTTCCGGTGCTTCGAAGCGCTTCGAGCTTGGTTTTGGACATGTCGCTGTTGGATGGACGGATGTGGAAAGAGTGTCTGCCAGTTTTTTTCTGGCTTCGTTCTTCGTGTGTTCTCTTCTAATCTAGCGGAGCGGGGAATTCGAGTGGATATGTATATATACATGCGAGTTTGGGGAAGGGGAGTTGGGGAACGCCTTTCGTTTTTCTCCTCTTCGTTTCTACCATGGCCTCCCCTGGTTCCCTCCCCTCTTGTACGTTTGCTGCTAATACGAGCAGTGAACTGGAGCTTCCCCCATTCTCGCCTCCCCCGCTTTCGCCTATTGCTGAACACCCGCCTCCTCCTACATCTTCGTTTTCGTCTTCGTCGGAGGGGGAGAGCGACGACAAGCCTTCGTCTGCTGGTCGCCAATACGTTGCTTCCCCGCCACCGGTACCCCACCGAGGGTCGATGATGGCTACCCCTTTAAACATTCTACCTTCCACCCCTTCGCCTTGCTTTGACGGTACTGCTAGTGGTTTCCAGCGCCGTCATAGCGATATCGACTTGAAGAGGATGGGGTCGCTGACGTGTGATGATGCTCTTTCTGTTTCTAGGATGGAGTTTGATTTCGATGCGATTGAGGACGAGGATAGCCCGTATCCTGAAGTCCGAGCTAGCGTGTCGAATATCGATGATCCTGATATGCCTGCGATGACGATTCGGATGTGGGTGGTTGGGTTGGTGCTGTGTATGGCTTCGAGGTGGGTTTTTGTGTTTAGTATCGAGTGCGACAGGTCCTGACGTTTTGCGTGTAGTGCCGTGAACGTGTTCTTCAACTTCCGGTCTCCAGCGCCGTCGATTGTTCCACTCGTTCTACTCCTTCTTTCCTATCCTATTGGCAAGTTCCTGGCGTTCACGCTACCGATCACGACCTACCGAATTCCTCTACCCTACATCCCGTCACGCTTTCTTCCCGCCTCGATGCCCAACGTCCTCTCCCGCATCCTCCGACCACTTACTTTCCCTCACGCCATCGAGTTCAGTCTCAATCCCGGCCCATGGAACATCAAAGAGCACGTCTTGGTCTACATCATGGCCAACGTCGCCGTCGGTTCACCCTACGCGCTCAACGCCATCGTTGTCCTCGAAGTCTTCTACGAGTTCAAGACAGGCTACTGGTTCTCCCTCGTTCTCGTCCTTGCGACCCAGTTGACCGGGTTCGGTCTGGCTGGGATGTGTCGCCGGTTCTTGGTCTGGCCTGCGAGTATGGTGTGGCCGCAGAACCTTGTTGCGTGTACGTTGTTGAATACGTTGCATGCTGAGGACGAGGATGATGGGATTGGGATGCTCGGGGGTCCTACGTTGGAGGATGATCCTAATACCGAGGGTGGTAGGAGGAGGAAGAGGGGCATGTCGAGGTACAAGTTCTTCATCTGGACAACGCTGGGTGCCTTCGTGTTCTTCTTCCTACCAGGTATGCCTGTCATGACCATATCTTTCCGCTGTGGCTCATGTCATTGTTACAGGGTACCTCTTCCAAGCGCTCTCTATCTTCTCCTTCGTGTGCTGGGCCGCTCCCAACAATGTTGTCGTCAATCAGCTTTTCGGTGTTCAGTCTGGCTTGGGCATGAGCATGTTGACTTTCGATTGGTCTCAGATCACTTGGATTGGTAGTCCTCTCATGGGTGAGTCCCTCAACTTGACTTGTGGAAGGCACCGGCTGATGACGTGTCTTATAGTCCCTTGGTGGGCTGAAGTCCATGTCTTTGTTGGTTTCGTCCTCTTCTACTGGATCCTTACTCCGATCCTGTACTACACCAACGTAAGCGACCTACCGTCTTTCTCCACTGCGTGCGAAACTAATTCAGCCCTTCAGTCGTGGCAACTCGCATACTTCCCTATCAGCGACACCTCCCCTTACGACCGATTTGGCAACCGCTACAACATCGGACGTGTACTCAAGCACGACGACACCTTTGATCTCGAAGCCTACGAAGCCTATTCGCCGCTCTTCCTCCCTGCCACTTACGCTGTCACCTATCTGCTGGCGTTCTGCCTCAGCACATGTGTGATTGTTCACACTGTGTTGTACCACGGCCACACGCTTCTGAACGGTTTCAAGAAGATTCGAGTCGAGAACGACGATATTCATGCGAAGCTTATGAGGAATTACCCAGAGGTACCGGATTGGTGGTATCTTTGTGCGTTTGGGTTCTTCTTTGCGCTCGCGATCGTCGCTGTTGAGGTGCGTTCCTTTCTTTTTGCTTTGCTGTCTTTGTGTTTGGAGTTGGATTCTGATTGATGCCTCACTAGGTTTGGGATACTAGTGTTCCGGTTTGGGCGCTTTTGCTGAGCGTTATCCTTCCTGTCATCTATATCCTTCCGAGTGGTTTCATTTATGCGATGACGGGACAGGGTGTATGTACCTTCTCTTCTTCTCTTGGATCTTGGAGCTCATCGAGATGGCGTTACAGATCAATCTGAATATTCTAGCGCAAATCATTCCTGGAACCCTCCTGCCTGGTCAACCGCTCGCCAACATGGTCTTCAAGGCGTACAGCGTGCAGACCCTCAGCGAAGCCACGAATTTTGTGCAAGATCTCAAGTTAGGCCATTACGTCAAGGTTCCACCTCGTGCAACATTCTTGGTCCAGATGATTGCGACGACGCTTGCTGGATTCATCCAAGTCGGTGTCAAGCATTGGATCTTCACGAACGTCAAGGATATTTGCGACAAGAACCAGCCCAGTAAGCTCACTTGCCCGCATAACCATGTGTTCTTCACGGCAAGTGCGATCTGGTGCGTTGTGCTTTATCTTTCATCGCCTTGATTTCGCTGATCCTTGTGCTTCTAGGGGTCTCATCGGACCAACACGGCAGTTCGGACCAGGTTCCATCTACCACCCGCATCTCTACGCTATCGTCATTGGCGTCTTCCTCCCTCTTCCATTCTGGCTATGGCGTCGTCGGTACCCGGACTCGTGGGTCAAGTGGGTCTCGACTCCTGTCGTGCTCAATGGTGTATCTTGGATTCCGCCAGCTACCGGTATCAACTATAGCAGTTGGTTCTTGGTGGGCTTCATGTTCCAGTACCTCGTCCGGAAGAGGAACTTTGCTTGGTGGAGCAAGTTCAACTACGTGTTGAGTAGCGCACTTGACAGCGGTAGGTTGCGTTCCTTCACGTTATGTATGGTTGGATCTGACCCTTTCATTTGTAGGCACTGTCATCGCTGTCATCGTCATTTTCTTCACGCTTCAATTCCCGAAAGACGGATTCTTCCTCAATTGGTGGGGGAATGTGGTTCATACCAAGAGTATGTGTAGTCGACTCGTCATTTGTTTCCGCCGTGCTGATTCCGATGGCTCTCCTCTAGCTGCCGACTTCAACCAAGAACCTCTACTGAAGATTCCTGAAGGCGGTATTCCCTGGAAAAACTGAGCACGTATGTGCTCCTCGCTGAAGTGAGACTGTTTGTTGATGGAGAAGTTTGAAACAGGACAAACCTTCCTTTATATTATCCGCGCTTATCTCTTCCTCATTTCCCTTTTGGTATCGATTTTGGTGTGCTCTCAGCTTCCTCTATTTCTCTCCTTCAATTCAAATCTTTCCATAGATAGGGGTCACTCTCTTCGTTTCCTTCTTATTGCTTTTTTTATAGTCCGTTCATTTTTTTGTCTATCACTCAACGCCATTGCGTATCGTCCGCTTCCCACTACTACCGCCACTCCTTTATGGTTTTTAACTATTGTCGATCTCCAAGTATTATTGTTACCTTATCATCTTGTCTTGTGTGTTCAAGGGTCGAATAGCAGCAATCACATTTCATTGAAGTCGAGCTAAGATTAAAGTCGAGGGAATTCCCTGTGGTTTCCCTGAACCATAAGCGCGCGCCTCGTTTAAACCACAGGCGCGCGGTTAAAACTACGCTTAAAGCGCCCGACTCCTCAGTCGCTACAGTCTCATTTTCTTCCTTCCTGTTCTTCTTCTTGGACAACATAATTTTCTTGCCCCAGACTCAGGTAGGTACACTTTGAAAATATGTACACCTCTATATCTTGATTAACGCAGACCTCGCCTTCGTCGACATCGTCGACAAGATAATCGCAGAGATGGAGGCGCATAAGTCGGCCGTAAAAGCGGTTGAGAACATCGACATCATAAAATGCAGGAACCTGTGGGTGTGTGTAGGGTGAAGGAAACGGAGGGTACCAAAACGAGCAAAGTGATGGCTGGAAGCTTGACCAGTATTCTGCCTCTACTGAAGTTCAAGCAGGGTGAGTCTTGCTGCAATGACAAGGTTTCCATTCTTCAATAGACCATCCCATACGAGACGGACTAGGGCAGAAATTACAGGACAGAGAGGGTGTCACATCCAGCGTTAACATCTTTAGGTGTACTCGGGTAGTTGAGAAATGGAGATCTGAATACCAGGATTTTTGGTTCGAAGCAAACAAAATCGGATTTTGTTTGGCTGTTCCCGTAACAGAAACGGTTGCCGAGCTCGGAACAGCGCTGATGCAAGTTGCAACTCCGTCAACACCCCACCATCGAATGGAGCATCTTTTCCTGTCTCCTGCTTGATTGAATCTACTCATCTGAAAGCTTCAGAGGAATTTATTGAGCGTAAGTCAAAACCACTTTTTCATTTCTTACACTGAATAAGTGTTGCATCCTGCACCGGGAATTAGCCTCAGGCGTCACAGACGACAATGGCCACGAACTTTGAGTGCCCCAATATCGATGTGAAGACCGCGATAAACCTCATTGACGCAGAGATTGCGAAACTGGAGGTTGAAATCCCTTTACGTGACGAACACATACGCCAACTCAAATCCAATCGGAACGATCTGATCCACGCGTCGAGTCTCCTGATAGAGATCCTTCGTGAAATTCTATGGCTATGCGTCGCGACCACCCCGGTACATAAACCTTTGGAATGGATCCCCCTTACCCATGTTTGCAGCAGGTGGAGAAAGATAGCTTTGGATTACCCCCAATTGTGGTCAAGAATTTACGACCCCGAGACCTATATGGGTCCATCTTGGCTGACGGCTTTTATTGAGCGGTCGAAAAATGCTCCGACGTTGGATATCTCAAACAACACGGGCTTCAGATCTAGAGACCCCGCGACTCACTCGGCCATTCGTCCAATGCTCAGCCAGATCCTCAGCCAGACTGCGCGACTGCGAGAGGTCAACCTTAATGGATCCCCGTCGATGAAGGCACTCTTAGCGCCAATGACATCTTCGGCGCCTCAGCTACAAAGTCTAACCATCGAAAATTGGTCCTTGAAAGAGGGCAATGTTTTCCCAGATCATTTCCTCAACGGACACGCACCTCGCTTGCGCCGCCTCGTCTTGGACAACTGCTACTTCCCCCCAAACCCATCCGTCTTCGCAAATATTACCACGCTCCAACTCACCTTCGACGCTCGCCTCACCTCGCACCCTCCAGCCCGTGGAATGATCGCCGATTTGGACAAGATTCCTGCCCTGACTAAATTAACTCTCGACTTGAGAGGATATGTCTTCCCCAAAATCTTATCTCTCCCCGAAAGACTTGTACTTCGGCGCCTTTCGGAGCTCACAGTCGTAGGGGAGTTTTGGCAAGCTTGCTCCCCTTTCCTCAATGCCGTCAAGATTCCTCCAGGCCCAATAGCCCTTTCGATCATCATCAGAGATCATATTATCAGATCAGATGATCTTGACGACATACGCTCGAAGGTGTCTTCCATCTGGCTTTCACCCTCTGCTTCTTCAACCACTCCTTTACCATTGGAGTCCCCTACATCACTCACCTTCCGAATCCAGCCAGTATATCCACACGCCAACCATTTCTCGAAAGACGTCCTCGCCTGCGCTTCCGGAGGGGACAGTTCCTTTTCCCTGTGGTTGCGCGGCGGTTTTAACCAAGTTGTGGCCGAAATCGACACACCCTTCTCCCTGCACAATGTCGAGCACCTCGAACTGGCCCTTGACGATTGGACCAGCAGATCTCGCGATATCCAACGGTTTTTGGATTTCTTCCCGTCTTTGCGCACCATTGCCCTCTGCAAGAACGAAGCTTCCTCTGCTTTGGTCAAATGCCTCAAGGAGAAACCCACCCAACCCCCCTTCCTGACAAGGATCCAGCTCCGAGATGTCGACTTTGCCTGTACCTACGATCCCCGAGTCCTTGGCGATCCTCCGCGCACCGACGAAGTAGAGTTTCTTGAAGCATTTATTCAAATGCTACATGCTCGGAAAGCCGCCGGGAAAATGATAGGCAACATCGAGATTGTGCAGTGCAAGAACCTGAGTCTAGATGGTGTGCAAAGGATGAAGGACGAAGTCATGGGAGATGTTGCCATTGCTGCATAGCTGGAGTTGATGAATCGAAGAGACCTGTATTATTCCACCCCGTGTCTGTTCAAATTTAGCATTTTGATGGATTTGGTGACTTTGCGCCACAGCCTAGCCGTCCCGTTTCCAATACATACTTGGGCGAAGCCAATTGCAAGAAGGCGGAAGGCAAAACGAGGGCTCTGATGCTTACATAGGCAAACAGGGCGAATAAGTACCAGGGGCGGATGCGCATCTCCCCTTCCATCCATAAACACACGCCCTCTCGTCCAAACTCTGTACAGCTACAGTCACTCTCGCTACTTCAACATGGGTCAGGATCTACTAGCTGCGAGCTACAGCTATTCTCTGCACCAATCGTACTACTCGGATTCGGCCGTGTTTTGGTATCATTGCCACATTCTTCGTTCGTTGACACGCCGACGTACTCAATTGTGTACAAATTAGGTGGAGGAACGTCTGTTTAAGGTTCCCAAGTACCACTTGGTCAGGAATTCGGATCATTTCTCCAGTCTCTGCAGCCTCGCAGAAACCTGTCCAGGGAACGATCCTGACGCATCGATTCTGAGCTTGCCCGACTCTGAAACGTCGGCCCAGAACGCAATCGCCCTCCCAGGTGTCACAGCTGACGACTTTAGTAACTTCTTAGAGGCATTATACCCCAGGTCAGATACCTTTAGTCTTTAGACTAAATTCATCTCGAGTTAAAGTCGTTTGAGGGCAGAACAATCCAAAGGGTGCTAACCCTAACCAAGGAGCAATGGCTATCCGTTCTGAAGCTTTCCACCTTGTGGTACTTCAAAGAACTTCGTCGACTCGCAATCGATCACTTGGAGGCCTGGTCCCCGAGCCTCACGTCGATTGAATTAATCCAACTCGGAAAGGAGTATGCCATCTCCAACTGGCTCCTTCGCGGCTACCATGCACTCGTGAACCAGAACGGCGTCATATCCCTCGAGAGCGCAAAGGCGATTGGGATGGAGTCAGCCATTCGATTGTACACTCTACGCTCCAGAACCGAGTGGGTTTGTCGGAACGAGGATTATCTGGAGCAGGAGTTTGCCGAAGAATTGGGCGGGGTGCACGAACAGGAAAGGCGCCATTATGACGAGAGGGGCTGGTTAGCTCCGCAACAGGGACGGGTTGAGGAGAGGGCGAAGTTAAAGACAGAGCAAGACGAAAGGAAGAAGATTCGCACCGAGCAGAAGCGTTGTTCCGACCAGGAAAAGGCGAAGAAGTTGGCCGTCGCCAAGGAGGAGCGAGAGAAACTCGAAGCCCAGTGCAAGGCGCTCGCCAGGCGTCTGGAGTCGGAGGTGGAATCGAGGCTCGCCGCCGAAGTCAAGTTGGAACGGGAGACACAGCGAGCGAGCGAGTACAAAGCACAATATCAGGCACTTAAGAAAACACTGCGCTCTGAACAAGCTTCGAATGCGGCGAAGATTTCTCAAGGGAAAGACGCCATCGACAAAGCCACCAGGGAGAGGGACAGCTACAAGCGCAGGTGCGACGAGCTCTCAAAGCAAAAAGTGGTGCATACCCAGCCGTACTACTATATCCCACCGCATTTTCGGACTTCCCACCACACCTCCGGATCTCAGCCCCTCGCACCTCAATAGCCCTGGAATCTTGTACATACCACATACCTCTCTTTTTTGTGAAAGGCGACGGAAAGTAGTTGTGGGGTCGCTATATAACAACTTGTCGCCGCACTAGGCTCATGGAAAGAGGCCGCATTCTGGAAACCGACCTTCTCCAAGTCATGGGATCACGCATCGCCCTTGGATTCAACGCAAACCGACAACCGCAGAGAATTAAATGTCCGTTTATAATCAAATCTATAACTACTAGAATGAATGCGTAAGCGATGGTGCACGGGAAAGGTCACCACTACCCAAAACTTACATTACATACTGTCACAACACGGACTCAGCTTTTCCATGGTATACCGCCCTCCGGCACCTCGAGGAGCGATTCCCCTCTCCAATCGGCAGCTGAAAAACACTGTCAGAAGACTGTCAAAAGGAACGACAATGCCGAGAAAACGTACTCCCTGTGAACACATTGTTCCCCCACCAGTTGACTTCAATCCCGTCCTTAGGGAACTGAAGCGTGAAAAAGATGAAGATGACAGCAATAACGGTCCCTATCACAGAGTACATTAGCGGGAGTTCCATCAGAGGATGGGAGAACATAACATACCACTATCCAGTGCGCTGCTCAGCACGTAGTTGAATTTACTCCACCAGGCAAAGTTCCTCTTCCTAATCAGGTATTGGAAGATGAACCCGACCAAGAACCAACTGCTGTAGTTGATGCCGGTAGCGGGTGGAATCCATGATACACCGATGAGAATGACAGGCGTCGATACCCATTTAACCCAAGAGTCTGGGTAGCGACGACGCCAGAGCCAGAATGGAATGGGGAGGAAGACACCGACGATGGTCGCGAAGAGATGCGGGTGGTAGAGGGATCCCGGTCCAAACTGCCGCGTTGGTCCAATCAGACCCCTAGACAGAGCCGTGTCAAACGAAACCGAGGCATAAAACGAGTGATGCAGAACTCACCAGATCGCACTAGCTGTGTAGAACACCTGACTATGAGGACAAACAAGCTTGCTCGGCTGGTTCTTGTCACAAATGTCCTTCACGTTCGAGAAGATCCAGTGTTTGACACCGACTTGGATGAACGCAGCAAGTGTGGTAGCGATCATTTGAACCAGGAACGTCGCCCGAGGCGGGACCTTGACATAGTGTCCCAACTTGAGGTCTTGCGTAAAGTTGATGCCTGCGCTCAGTGTCTGCAAGCTGTAAGCTTTGAAGACCATGTTGGCAAGAGGTTGACCGGGGAGCAAGGTGCCAGGAATGATCTGTGCTAGAATGTTCAGGTTATACTACGAGTCGACCCCGTTAGTTTCGGTTCCTAGAGAAAGAATGAGAAAGACGTACAGCCTGACCCGTCATCGCGTAAATAAATCCACTCGGCATAATATAGACGATGGGAAGGATAAGGCTCAATATTAAAGCCCATATAGGAACGCTCGTATCCCAGATCTAATACAACAAGCCACGCGTCAGCATCCCATTCCACGACACAAAGCGGACAGGGAAACGCACCTCGACGGCAATTATCGCAAGCGCAAAGAACAATCCAAACGAGCATAGATACCACCAATCCGGTACCTCAGGATAATTCCTCATAAGTTTGGCGTGGATATCATCGTTCTCCGGTCGAATCTTCCTAAACCCACTGAGGAGGGTATGTCCATGGTACAGCACAGTGTGAACAATCACACATGTGCTCAGACAGAAGGCGAGGAGGTAGGTTACGGCGAAAGTAGCGGGTAGGAAGAGCGGCGAGTAAGCTTCGTAGGCTTCCAGGTCAAAGGTATCATCGTGCTTGAGGACGCGGGCGATATCATAGCGGTTGCCGAAGCGGTCGTAAGGGGAGGATGCGCTGATGGGGAAGTATGCGGACTGCCATGACTGCAAGGCTGTTAGTGATGCTTGGCAACAAGTTGCGAGACGAGCTTACGTTGGTATAGTAAAGAATAGGGGTAAGGATCCAGTAGAAGAGGACGAAGCCAACAAAAACATGGACCTCGGCCCACCAAGGGACTAGATAACGAGAGTCAATCAACTATCCTCGTAGGGTCAGCTAGCAGACTTACCCATGAGCGGACTTCCAATCCAAGTGATTTGCGACCAGTCGAATGTCAACATACTCATACCCAATCCAGATGAAACGCCAAACAGTTGATTGACCACGACGTTATTCGGTGCGGCCCAGCAGACAAACGAAAAGAAAGAGAGCGCTTGGAAGAGGTAGCCTGCAGCGACATCAGTAAAGTTACAGTCGCGAGCACAAAGTGAGAAACGTACCAGGTAGGAAGTAGAACAAGAAACCCCCCAACGTTGTCCAGATGAAGAATTTGTACCTAGACATGCCCCGCTTCCTCCTCCTCCCGCCTTCAGTGTTTGGATCATCCTCCAGCGTAGGCCCGCCAAGCATCCCAATACCATCGTCCTCATCCTCAGCGTGCAACGTATTCAGTAACGTACACGCCACGAGATTCTGAGGCCACACCATGCTCGCAGGCCAGACCAAGAACCGGCGACACATTCCGGCCAAGCCAAATCCAGTCATTTGCGTAGCCAACACGAGGACGATAGAGAACCAATAGCCCGTGGGGAACTCGTAAAAGACCTCGAGGACGACAATGGCGTTGAGGGCATACGGCGAGTTGATAGCGACGTTGGCCATGATGTACACGAGGACGTGCTCTTTGATGTTCCAGGGACCGGGGTTCAGACTGAATTCGATGGCGTGTTGGAAGGTGAGAGGTGCAAGGACGCGGGAGAGGGCGTTAGGCAGGTTGGAAGGAACAAGGCGAGATGGGATGTAAGGGAGAGGGATGCGGTAGGTGGTAATCGGTAGGGTGAATGCCAGGAATTTTCCAATGGGGTAGGCAAGGAGTAGGAGCACAAGTGGGGTGACAGCAGGTGCAGGGTACCGGAAGTTCAGGAACACGTTCAAGGCACTGTAACGAGTGTTGGTAAGTCGAATATCCTGGATCAAGCAGATACATACCTCGAAGCTGTACATAGCACCAGTCCAATGAACCACATTCGGATGGTCATTGCTGGCATGTCCGGATCGTCGATGTTCGACACACTGGCGCGGACCTCAGGGTAGGGACTATCCTCGTCTTCAATGTCGTCGAAATCGAATTGCATCCTACAGAGAGAATCATGTCAGCGATCTTCATGCGCAGGGGTCGATGGTGTAGAGGAACTCACTTAATGCTCCCTTCCCGACTCTCCCCATCGTACTCGTCGTAATCATCCTCGTCATATTCATCCAGTTCGCTCTGACTCGTTTCCTTCAGATATCCCAAGCTGTCGAAGCCGGTACCAGGGCGATCCTTCGTCGAGCCAGGCATATCGGTGTACTCGCTAGACGCCAGATACTCGCTCGTCGCGGTCGACATCCCTGTTGCATTCGTGTCGGCGGTACCAGGTGGATGACGTCTCCTCCTTCTCCTCCTGCTGCTCCCCCCAGCCTTGGTAGAGTTGTCCATACCGGATGACCCGGCTCGACTCTTCGCATACTGCGGGTAAGCTTGGTTATAATAGTACTCCCTGTGCATCTTGTATGGGCCCGAATTCGAGTTGTAGCGCGCAGGATTCGGTTGGAAATGTTGCCAATGCCTCCCAAAGACGCCGGGCTCCGGTCTTCCTTCCTCTTCCTTCACCTCCTTGGCCACCCCCGTCCTGTTCGCCTCCAGGTCCTCGTTCTCCTTCCCTTTCGGACTTGCCAACCCTGACGAAGCAACGGTCACACTATCATCTTCTCTATACTTCTCCTCGTCCTGCAAACGCCCATCGCTGTTTTTGCGCTCAGGTTCACCGCTCTTCCTCCGCGAACTCTCATCCACGCTCCGTCTGCCATCCCTGTCAAGTCTGGTCATCTTAAAGCCATCCTGATCAGACGTTCCCAGCCCAGCGCGACTGGGTCCGTTGCTGTCCGTGCTGGGCGGTGTGACGGGGGGTGCATAGGCGAATGTAAACTGCGAGCGATCGTACGATGGTCCGCCGTAGTCCTCTGAATCAGCGGTTGGCGGGTATTGTTTCCTCCTCCCTGTCGAATGCGTAGGACTTGGCTCCGCAGTCCCACCTAGTCCAGGCTGAGTGTCCACCGAGAAGGCAAATGAGTGCTCCTCCCGAATCCTCCTCCGCTCTTCCTCCTCCCAATCTCTCGCGCGGTCTTCATCTGTTATAGGCTTCATCATCGACGTTGAGGCTTGCGGCTGTTGTTGCTGTTGATAATGTTGATGCAATCCAGCAGCGCCCAGCAAACCCAAATGCAGCTGTACACCCCCGTCACCTTGCTGCTGCCCCTGCGCCGCAGCGATCCTCTCCTGCTCTCTCCTCCGATTTTCCTCCTCTTCATTCCTCCTCTTCTCTTCCTCCAAATCGGCGGTCGTGGGTGGTAGGAAAGCAAACACATTTTCGTCGTCGCTCTCCTCTTCTTCATAATCGTCTTCGGGATACCCCCTTCCCCCTCCTCCCCTTCCAAACCCGTATGACGACTGTGGTGGCCGGGTACCGTAAGATGATGGTGGCGGCCTCTCCGAAGCGTCGTATCCGTAGTTAGAGTATGGGTTGCGTGAGTTGTAGGTGGGCGGTGGTTGGCTAGACCCGTCAAGATATCCTCCTTCTCCTGCTCCTGTTTGACCTTGCTGCTGCTGCTGTTCGACGAGTTGGCGGAAAGGATTTGAAGTGCCAGGTCGGGGTCCCGTCGACGTCGTCGGTCGGCCGCTCGACGTAGGCGGGGGGTTGTATGAAAAAGGCTGCGACATCCTTGTCGGAATCGGGAACTGTGGTGGATGCCGAGGTCGGGGTACAAATGGTGGTTGTGGTTGATGCTGTGGTGGCCGCGGTTCTGGTGGCGTTGTTAGTGTCGTTCCTGGGCGCCGTTAAAGGGTGAACTGACAGAAATCTAAGCAAATCGCAGGGCCACGGGTCAAGGTGAGAAATAATGCCTTTTCAACGCAAATTAACTCGGGATAAGTAAAGCGGGCATTAAGCGGTGGGGAAACCGACCTACCCTGCTCCTGACGGTACCAGCGAGGGGTGTTCTTGAGGTATTGTTAAAGAAAGTAGTTGTGTGCGGGTTGCCTAGCTCGGTGCTGTAGCCTAAATCTGCATTGGGGTGGGGTGAGTGACAAAGAGCCGGAAGTGAGCGAAAGTCGAGATTCGTCGTTGGACGTCACAATGTTGGCGCATTCGTTGAATGTTGTGGACGCGAAATTGCAATGTTCAATGTTCGAATGGTTGTTATCGTTCGGAGGACAGATTCACGTGGACGGTATGGCGCAGGGTAGGGGTCGGTTGAATGGACGTGTTTCGCGGGGTGATGATGAGGGCATCCAGGGCAAATCAGGGAGGGCATTGAAACAGTGCAACGTGCAAGATAAGACCAAGCCGACAGCATAATCGACACACACCGCACAGTCCGTACAACACCGGCCATCGTGCAAGAGTTCCACCAACCAAACGACGGGGACGACGACAAGTCGGGCGATTCCATGAGCAGGTATCCAAGCGACCAGGGTCGAGGGGAGAGCGTAGAGCAGAATACCACACGTCAGCGCTGTGTCCCTCAGGCTGTAGCAAGCGAGGGGCTGCGCACCTGTTAAGCTTTCCTCCAAATTCAGGGATCCTAATCACCCTTGTAGACCCAACTCCACCGCTCTGAGCTCGCCCCTTTCAGTCGTTCTTTTCTTCCTGAGAAAACCGCCGCACTATGAGCGCTGTGTCGCTCGACAGAGCTGAAGGAGCGCAGGGGGAGCGCGCAGGGGGACGGTGTAACGACGAGGGAAAGAAAAGAAGGGAAGACAGCTGGTTGCTGAACAGGACAAGCAGCGTGGGCAGTGCAACTGGGTTTGACTGATATGACAGAGATCAACCGGCATGTGGGCCACTTCCTGAAACGTCGGCACTCTGGGATACAAGAGGAGTTATGGGAGAAATTATTCAAAAGCCTCCGACGATGCGAAAGTCAGGGCCGCTCAGGCACAAACTCAATTGCCGAACATGACTCTCACCTAATAAAGCCTAATAATTGATCTCCTCCACCTACAAGCTGATTCGGTTGTCCGCACACAATGCATTTGGTGTGCACTCCATGGCAAAGCCAATGTAGCATTGACTCGACGCTTTCAAGTAAGGCGTGGATGAGAATGTCATCCAGGCCAACGGATTCGGACGCTGACGCCCCTGTCCATTAAGTCGCCTGCCCGATTCCTTTGCGGAGATGTTGCACCAGTGTGGCCTTGGGAGTACTCTGTCCTTGCTCTATAAATCCACTTGAGAGAGCGAAGTCTTGATAGCATTAAAGATAGCTAGAGTCCACTTCGGGAGGGCTATAAATGATTCAGTTTGATGTCAACCCCAACAAGACGAAACCGTGATACATACATAGCGCCCTCACCCGTCAAAGCAAGGTCTCCACGGTCCATGATAATCTCCTGGCTGTCATGGCTATGGGCTCTATGGCTCGGAGGTCAGGTAGAAAGTCCAAACCTTTGGGGCACACCGGTGCTACCACATCGCGGGTACGTTTCCCAAGACCGCCTGCTTCTTGTTTTGGGCAAGATCCTGCGTCATACGATCACCGATATCCAAAGCAATATATGGTGAAAGGGCGAAGGGAAAGAGGCAAGTGGTTGAAGGACGTTCGTGGGTTTGGGGAAGCCGACTGGGAGTCCAATCAACACCTCCACAAGAAAAGAGGGGCTTCTTGTTCAGTCTCTTAGTGCTTCTCGTTGAATTGAGAAGTCCAAAAGCTTTAGCAATCACTCAGAAGCGAGATGTCCCCGTCAGCGTACCGGTAGAAGCGGTTAGCGCTGTTAGAAATCGAAGGTTTTTGCCAACCAGCGCCTATGGGGTACTTAAAATCAACTCGCCGCTCCGCTTGAAATCTCCGACGGGGGACGCTAAGCGCTGAATTTCCTCCGCTTCTCAAAGCACAAGAGTTAATCTGTGGAGATTTTTTAGTCGCCAGCTAGACTGGTCACTGCAGTCTGCGAGGGTTTCCCCTGGAGGAACCAATGGCCATGGAGTGCACTTAGCGCTCAGAGTAACGCGGACTTGACTGTAACTCCGCCTGAACCTGGGGTGACACTGAAAGATTTAAGAAACATTCATGTGACTGTCCTGCTCGAGCTCACCTTTCGTCGGCGACATCCCTGATTAACGGATGGACAAGGAACTCGCAGAACTGGCGGCTCAGCAAGTCTTAATCGAGAAGCGGATGCGTCTCCTCCGGTTCGAAAGAAACAAGTTATCGCCTGTATCGCGCCTCCCAGCTGAAGTCCTTTCCGAAATCTTTGTCTGGCGCGCATCTCCGACAGAAAAGCCTCGCATGTGGGTTCCCAGCATTACACACGTCTGCGCATCGTGGAGGGAGATCGCCTTGAATTTTCCACCCTTATGGTCGACCATTCATGGACCTGCGCAGAACATGGGGCCGTCGTGGCTGGCTACCTTTCTGGAGAGATCCAAGGGTGCACCACTCTCGATTCACAGCCAAATCGATGATTTTCCCAACCAAGACGAAGCAGCCATTTCACGCGTTCGGCACATCCTTGCCAACACCTTGAAGGAAACGCATAGACTACGCCATGTGTTCCTCTCAGGGGACCTGTCACTGCCATGGCGTAGGAACGGCATTTCTGCCTTCCTCGTTTATCGAATGACTTCGCCAGCCCCCCTGTTGACAAAGATCACTGTCCACAATAGCCTCTCATATCGCCGAGGAATTGTCCTTCCTTCCCCTTTTCTAGCTGGCCATGCCCCCTGCTTGAAGGAGGCCACCTTCTCCGATTGTTTGCCCACCAATTTGGCCTCTTTTCCGATATCACCCATCTGGAACTCAGCTTCAGCGAAGAATTCCATACGAGTTTCCACCCCGACGCTCGAAATGTTTTTGTTGCCCTCAATGAACTTCGGGACCTCACGAAGTTGACCCTTGGTTTGCCAGCCTCCTTCGCCTCTTCTTTCCAGCCCCCTCAGATGATCGACCTTCCTCTCCTGTCAAGTTTGTCCATTAGAGCAACACACGAAGTCTGTACGACGCTTTTAGGGGCCTTCAAGATCCCACTATGTCTGCTATCACTCGTCCTCAGAGTTGACGACATGCCCGAGGAAGGCGACAGCCCTGAATTCGCCGCAATAAGCGCGGCCTTATCCTCTGCTTGGTCATCCCCATCTCCAGCCAGCCGTCCTCCGCTTCAAGACCTAACCACCATCTCCATCCGCTCAACCCCCCTCGAAGACATTGCGTTCCGTGCCTCTGCAGGAAGCAGTTCCCTTTCCCTTTCGTCCCCGGCCCCCTTCGACCTAACCGGCCCTCATTTCATAATATCTCCCGTACAAGTGAAACGCCTCGAGCTCGCTGGCGTTGTCTACCGGCACAGTACGCAATATAGTGTCGAACCCTTCGTCTGCTCCTTACCCTCTGTGGATGTTCTCAGCCTTCACGGCAAGGTTGTGAACCCGGTGGTGGTACACCTCTGTAGCCCTAACATGCTTCCCAGCCTCCGAGAAATCGAGGTTAGAAAAGCCAATTTCTCAAGCAGCGCCGAGGGGAAAACCCTCTTCGAACGTTTCATCTCTTTCTTGAGAAGACGAAAGGGGAAAATCAAGGCGGTCAAGATTGAGGGGTGCAAGGGGCTGACGCGAGTGGACTTGGAAAAGTTCAGGAGGGTTGTGGACGGGAAGGTTGAATGGGACGGACAGGAAGAGGATTGGGAAACTGATTACAATACAACAGATTCGGAGGAGGAATTCTCAGACTCACAGTGGTGATGACAGGGGATAATCATATAATACCGTACTGAATGGTTCTCTCCAAGTTGATTTAATATGTCATTTTACCTTTTGCCCTGCAAGCAAACTTGGTGATGTCATTCAGACACGACTGCGAAACGCGTCAATTGAAAGGCAGGCGTGAAGTGGGGAACTTGAACTTCTCAAGTCAGTGATGGGGTACCTCATTTCAAGTTGTCTACAAGTTGCATCATCATATCAGTGGCAAAGCAGAACGCACATTCATGACGCCTTTCTATGCGGATCGTGTTGCAGAACTACCGAACGAATTGACCAGAGGAGTACCAAGCCAATCGCCACCTGGATGGATCAAGCATCACTAGGTCCATTCCTCATGGTGCCGCCAAGGGAGAGACATGTAGGTATGCCCGGTCATAGAACAATCGCAGGAGTGGAAACAAGTCAGGAGTGGTTATCGCTGAACATAAGTCCTTTGTAAATACCCGCAACACCGAAATCCCTTCCCCCTCGAGGTTTTACAGATGGTGGAAATCCGCCGCCGTTCAATAGAGTAGCCGAGGGACAAAGGAACATGCCCCCATCCTGACAGAGTAAAACAAAGAGCACGCCGCTGCTCAAAGGCTTGCTAATTCCAACTCGAGCACGTGTGGCTAATTATAAGGGAGGTGTGAGCCCGAAAAATCGCGGGGATCGAAACAACTGGCATTCAAAAGGTGGCCACGCATTTCGATCTTGCATCCCCCCAAACTCTTCTCTTCTGTCCACTCTCCATGGTCTTAATTATGGCCACGGAAAACGAGCCAACCGCGAAGCTTCCCAAAGATGAGGTCTACTACTGGAATACTGCGGTCTTTCAGGTGCGTATGGCCACTGCCCCCTTTCGGTATTGCATTCAAAGGCTAGTTGGCAGGTCGAGAATCGTCGATTCAGGTTGCCCTTGTATCACCTGCTGAAAGGCTCGCAACACTTTGCAAAGATATGCGGTCTGGAAGAGGAGGTGGATTCTGGTCTTGAACTGGGGGAGTTGGATGGAGAGGGTTGCAGTGGCTCAAAGAGGGAGCAGGTCATCAAGCTTGACGCCGACGTCGATGATTTCCGAAACTTTGTCAAAGTCATCTTCCCAACGTAGGTCGAGTTCCAGCTCTGAATCTTACGACGTGTTAATGGGCATATCGTTTTCTAGATCATTTGCAAACGCACCCGATCTCACCAAAGCCCAGTGGATATCCGTTCTCAAGCTCGCCACCTGTTGGCACTTCAAAGAGGCCCGACAGATTGCCATCGAGCACCTTGACGACTTCCCCCTCACCTCAATCGAGCACATCCAACTCGGAAAACAGTACTACGTTCCCGGGTGGCTTCTCCATGGGTACGAAAATCTCGTCCGTCAGGAAGACCCCATCTCTCTCGAAGACGCAAGGGCCATCGGGTTGGAATCGGCTATCCGACTGTACATCGTGCGCACCCAGATTGACAAGTACAGGCGAGACGAGGATTTCCTTGAGCGGTCGTTTGCGGAAGAGATTTCGACGTTGTCAGAACGCGAATGGGAGTTGATGACGGACGCTGAGATGGAGCGTCGTTCGACGCAAACGGGCCCCAAGACGGCTGCGAAAAAGTGGAGGGAGGAAGAGGCTAAGAGGTCGACGAGGAGGCAGAAGGGAAAAGAGAGGGCGAGGGATGAAGGGCACGGTGGGGATGAATGGACGGCGGCAGACTTCGACGACGGTTGTGACAGGCCGAGACTTGAAGGGGTTCGATTATCTCGTGGTGAGGCACAACGAATACACAGAAACGAAGACGATTCACAGGATAAATATATCAAGGACCTCGAACGCGAAGTTTGCGTTGCGACTAGGATGATGATGATGGAACGAGAGAAGAAGCACGAGGCGATGTGGCGATGCATGAAGTATGATGAACACAACAAGATCCTCAGTCGCAGGGTGGAAATATTGACCGGTCGAATCGACTTGAAGCGACCGAAGCAATCTGGAAAACGATCTCATGCCAGCATCAGCGAGAACAAGGCGCTGCATTCGGGTTCTGGGAGGGAGAATCATGCACAGAGAAGGCGGCTGGACGAGGAAGGGTGTACCTAAACTATGCGTTCGTCAGTCCATCGTATTTATGAAACCTCTGATAGTGTTGTACCATCAATATCCAATGCTATTTGGTAACTTATGCCTTCAAATGCACAGCGTTGGTTCGATTTGACAGCACGATTCGCAACCTGGTGACGAGTTCAGGCTCAAACAGCGGAGCAGCCACAGCTTGATTACTCACCGAAATTATTATCTCACCTCTCCAATGCATTGTGCGATCAGCTCCTCTCCCCGTTTCCTATTGGGCCTTCAACGTTCAACACCTCAAGAATTCCGACATCGTCCAGGGATGAAGTCGTTGCCTTCGGCGGAATTTGGAAGTAGATTCAGACAGGGTTTGTATCACAGAATTGGAGCAATGAGTATTCCATCTATGTTTTGACTGATATCGATAAGTAGTGAGTGGTCCGGGACAAGCGACTGGTCGAGAGCGAGAGCCAGCTGCGACAGTGAGGTCCTACTTACTCGGCATCTGCCGCTATTTTCCCACGCACATCCAGTCAAGCGCTATCGACGACGACCCGTTTAGTTGCTTCGAGATATAGAAGAGCCTGAAACTTAGAGCCTCAAATTGGCTCCATTAGCGCGGACTAAAGTCTTTCTTTGAGATATTAGCGACAGACGACTCCTCTAGAACAGTCACTCGCACCACCATTGGGTCTTCCGAATGATGGGGATTTAGGCGCCCACATAGGAGGCTTCTATCCAAGTTGTTGGATTCTGGCACGTGTTGACTTTTTGAGTCCCGTGCGGTCGATGCATCGATAACTACTCCCAACATGATCAAAACATGATAATGAATCGCGAATTTCTTCTCATTCTCAGTCTATCCCTTCATCATCCCATACTACAGGCTACGATGAGCGTCCATTCTTCAAGCCTCCAGTCCGATCGTCATCCAAGTACGGACGCGGAAAGCTTTTCAGAGATCAAGATGAGTGAAGAGTTCTACTTTGAGAGCATCATTTTCCAAGTCCGTTAAGATAATCAATTCCTATGAATTCAACCTCGGTACTCATATCTATAATATTTAGGTGGAGAGTCAACTGTATAAAGTTCCAAAACACCATTTCCTGGTGGAATCTCCGGTATTCAGAGATATGCTGAGCCTGCCCATTCCCGAAGGACAAGAGGTCGAAGGATCAAGCAAAGAGCGCCCAATCATTCTCGAAGAGGTTAAGACAATTGAGCTCCGATCCTTGTTGAAGGTCATGTTTCCCCCGTGAGTCCCACTGAATTTCATACTTCAAAAATTACTTACATCGAGTGTAGACCCTTCGTAAAGACGAGCTTGGGGGTTGATGAGTGGGAGGGAGTCATCAAACTCACCGATATGTGGGGTATGGCCCGGATGAAGGAACATGCAGCGAGAGAATTGGCAGCCTTGCTTTCAGAAGACCCCATCTCCCGTGTCGTATTCGGAAGGCGATATAAACTGAAAGACTGGCTTATCCCTGCATACAATGAATTAATATGGAGGGAAAAGCCCCTCGACCTTCGCGACCTCAAGATGCTGGGCCCGGGGACAACTCTGCAGATTTGTGCGCTACGAGAACGAATCTGTCCAAAAGACTGCGTACATTGCGGCAGCTCGTTGACCAAGGGTAGGCGGCAGGACCTGCTTCGGAGTCATTATACTGTACAAGCCTCTGACTTTGGGATGTACTTCGATGTGGATGAGGGTCGAACCGGACAAACCCTTGCCGCTGTGGCCAACGACATAGTGCCGCGATTGGAACTCACGGAATATTATAATGGGAAATGCCATGTATCCTTTGCATAGAGTGCTCATTACCGCCCAGTATACATGTCATTCCCTCATAATGTTCGATCTTCCATGGACCATTGCCAGCCGGGGCGCCTGTAGACGGATCGAGCGAAGATCATGCCCTAATCCTTGAAGGGATCAAGGTGAGAGCTGCAGTCGCTTTTGTGGGTCATGCATCCCAGGTGCGCGGAAGTTTTATGTACTCCATTTTCTTGGTCTCAATACACCGGTCTGAAGGCCGCTCGGAAAACCTTACAAAGAAGGAATGGGAGGGCGTCCTAAAGCTCTCCGATATGTGACAGATGGAGCCGTTCAATGCGCGCTTGTTTAAGCGCCCACTTGGTGCGTGGTGATGCATGTGGCTAATCGATCGATAGAAGACTTCATCCTGGGAAACAGGCATAATCAAATGTGGGTGAAGCCTCGTGCTCTTAAAGAACCTCCGCCTACCCACCTTCCCTCTTTCACAGGACGAACAAGCAGGCAAACATGGACACCAGCGCACCCGATGCAGGATTGGGCCAAGATCCACCTCCCACAAAGAACGCTCTCTATTTTCTTCGCATCGTTGTTTTCAAGGTTGGTACCTGAAATTCCTCAAATCTGCCACACCATCGATTACTGATCGATGGAAATCATCTTCACTCTTCCACTATAGGCTGAAAACGAACTCTTCCAAGTCCCAGTACTCTATTTCATGAGCGAATCCCAGTTCTTCAGGGACATGTTTAAGTTGCCTCCTCCGGAAGGTGCTCCCGTAGATGGCTCGAGTGAGGACCACCCCATCGTCCTTGAAGGTATTCGGGCATTGGAGTTTCAAGCGCTCCTCAAAGTCATGTTTACCCAGTAAGTGCAGAGGTACCTCGCAGCGCCCCGACTTCCTAACGTATGCATTGAACTTCTTAGATCTTTCAGGAAGAAAGAGGAATTGGGGACAGAAGAGTGGGAAGGAGTTTTGAAGCTCTCCGACATGTGGGAAATGCATCGTTTCAAATCGCTTGCTGTCAAAAACCTCGGGTCTTGGGTGTCCGCACAAGACCCCGTCTCCCGCATCTTGCTTGGACGGAAGTATAACGTCGACGACTGGCAAGGCGGAGCATATGCAGAACTTGTCCGACGAGAGGAGCCGATCAGCCTCGACGATCTCTCTGCCCTCGGCGCAGATGCAGCCTTGAAGATTTGCTCTTTGCGGGAGCGATGTCATCCTGTCAAAACCATCACCAAGGTTATACAAGAGTACGTGTACCACCCAAATCGTCCGCCGACTTCTGAGACCGAAACCGAGGCATGCGAATGGACCCTCCAAGCACGGAGACAGGAGGTCCCAGGTAAAGAATTGATTGATTTGGAAGAACAGGTGGGGGTGATTTTTGGGATTAGGATGCCTCTGCATCGTGGTCCGTATATCTGTGCTGTACGCCCTTGCCGTTGCTGGCCGTGTATATGTTCATAAAAGTGGTAGGGATACACCGTAAACGTTTAAACTTGCATGACATTGGGTACCACAAGTACGTATTAGAAACTCGTAACGCTATGGACAATTACACTGTATACATTCTACCTATCACCGCGCAGCCCACGTCTACGATTCTGATGTCCAAACCAGCATTCCAACCACCGTATTTCCTTTCACCTCGTCGGCCAACTCCACAACTCCCACCCATTCACGCACTCATTGCTCGCTTCCTGCCTCCACTCCTCAAACATATCCACAAACCGCGCATCCACCTCTCCCTTCTCCTTCTGCCACCGCAGCTTCGCCATATCCACGCTCCAGGGCTTCCCTCCAGCCGTGAAATGGATCACCAAACTCTCCTTTTCATACAACGTCTTGAGCGCCTGCGTGATTTCCTTTCGACTCTCGGTTTCCTGTTCTGGAGAGGGATTGAGAGGCCTGAGATGCTTGATCCTAGGGTCCGCATATGTCGCGCTGGGGGCATCGGCGTCGGAGGTGTCAATGGACGGTGGGTGAAGCATCCATTTTGGTGCATCCCGGACTTCCCAATGGGAGTTGAGCGTGCAGTACGATCCAGGAAGAGTCATAATCCTCGTCGGATACCATAGCTTGTTAATCAAATCCATATCATACTCCCCCTTCTTCAACTCCGTCAAACCCTGCACCACCTCCCCCTTCAACCTGTCGCTCAAGCTGACCACGAGGAGTGTTGATGTGGTGTACTGAGGTGGCGGTAACCAGTACGCGATGGGGGCGGCGACGTCAGCCGCAGGGAGCAAAAATAGGTGGTGCAGGGGCTTCAGGATGATTTGATCAGAGTCCAGAACGATGATTCTCTGGAGGTGTGGGATGTGGTCTTGGATTTGGAACGCCATCATCTTCAAGAGGACGCTGCCATAGTACTTATTCCCTCCTGGCGCTATTGGTGGTGGTCTGAGCTTCAGGATAGTCGTATTGAATTTCGAGAAGGGCTCGAGATGCGTCTCGTCGAATGTAGGTGGTACCATCAGCACCGAAGGAATACCAGGGGAAAGTATGGATAGTCGTTTAATCAGCAACAACGCTGAGCATGCGTAACCGGGGTTGGTGGCATAGAAGACGAAGGCGTAGGGACTTGAAGGGCCCTGCATTTCGGGCGTCGGAGGAGCATAGATTGAATGGGGCGGTAGCGCGGATTCTTTGGAAGGCGGAGCCGGATCTGATGCAGAATCTGACCACGAAACGGATATCCGAGGTCGATTGTGGAGTTTCTCCGTTATTGACGGCGGTGGTAGGATGACGAGGAACAGCACTGCTAGGCAGGCAAAGAGCGCAAGGAGGAGAATGCCCAGTCGTCGGTCTAGTATTGGTCGGCCCATCGCGGCTGCCTGCGCCCAATTATTTGAAGTAAAGGCAGTTTTCTATGCCAAATGTCGACTGTCACTTGAGGACCCGTGTGGAATACAATTCCAGAAGAAAGGAGTGTGCTAGAAAACGAGGGGAAAAAGGGGAAATCGTCAATCACGACGACATCGCGGCTTATAACCAGGGACTCCGGACGATGATGGTGGTGGTAGAAAAGGGACAAGCAGCGGTCGGAAAACACCGTCGCAAGTTTCTTCAACGTTGCAGCGGGATCAAAAAAAGGAACGCGAGGACTTGGCACAGTGATGGATTTAGGGGCACTTGGCGCCCGTGGTAACCGTGCTTCAAGGAGTCATACTTATTCGATTTAGGTTTAGGAACGGCTGGGCGCGGGAGAGGGCAAGGACGCCTAGCCCGCCGTTTGATCGGATGATCCAGAGCAACGACCGACTACTGATGCAAATCGCCGTCGCTTCGCTTTGAGTCCAAAATAATGTCAATTACTTGCGTAGTGTACCGAATATACCATCCGCTACCATCCACGGTGCGCTGATAAGTTCTAGATTGGTTCAGATGAGTAGCATCGCATCAGCATGCCAGAGCACGGGGCAGCCTCTGGCTTTCTCGCACGATGGGCGCTTAACTACGGCACGTTAGGGCAGGCACGTACAACCAAAGCCTGCACTGCTTGGATTCCGCACTTAGGGGGGATGGTTGGATAATCATAGATATTCGAGATATACACCTATTTATCCTGGTTGCCTTCGTCACCGACTGTGCTTATATCACACACACACACACACGAAACTAGTACTTAGAGCCCGAGGGAGAGCGATATCTGGACTCTGATGGTCTCACTCAGCACCCATCTCAAGCGTCACCGTAAGCGACGGTGAGGAGCGGGGACGGAGCGATGCGCGGTGCTTGCGCCCGCCGCTGTTCCCATGCCCAGTCGTGGCGGTGCAGATCGAATAATACTGATCGAACGGTCTCTCTGCTTCAAGCTCATCCAAACGTCAGTGTCGACGCTGTAGGAATTGAGATAACTAGGTTGTTTGCATTAGAAAGCGCCCTTACTACTTGACTACGAGGAACAGCTTTCTCTGGACACCGCTTGTATATCAGCACGCTGTATTTGTTCGGTCCTCGGCAGCAGCTAAGGAATACCAAGAATGTAATCGGTCGGTATCTATCCTTCCATTAAACTTAGACTAACTCCCGCTCAACCTATGTGAATGTCACCTGCCTCAGCCCTTAAACAGGCCCAGAGACCTTGACAGCCCCACCCGAGTACCAAACCACAAGCCTAAACTCTGCCTCCATTCCACTCCGAACAGTCGACGGCACAACCCAATACCTCCCCGGACTCAAATCTACCACGGGTGTCGCCACCCCCGCTAAAGCATCATCATACTGCCCAGACGACGCAACTTGCTTGTACGAAGCCAAGGCCAAAGTGCTAGACGACCCACCCGCCCTGGACGAACTCGATCCCAAACTCGAAGAAGCAGGAACTTGATAAACTGCAAGATTAATTGGCGTAGCCTTCGAGGAACGGACGATTTGTAGACGGGCTCTAATCACCGCCAGTTCGTATTCAGCTGCTTCTTGGACGGATGATAAAGACGGGGAAGACTCACTTGAATTGCGTCCTAGTCGGGACTTCCACTTGATACTTGGGATTCCTGTCGTGCGCAGCAGACGAGATACTTCCACCGGAAGTTCTGATGTCCCTAAAGCAAAGCTCAGTTCACGAGGAAAGATGGAGAGATTACAAAATTGCTCACCAAGACCCGATGAAGCTCTTCGAGTACATCCCCGCTCCTTCCTGTGGAATCAGACGCACATCAAATGGATTGGTAACGCTCTCGATCTTGAGATTGAAGGGCCCAGTGGTTTCCGGGTCAAAGGTAGAAAGGATCAGTGTGAATTCGCCAGCTACCAAACGAATTAGCCCATGTGATCCCATTAACGTAGGAGCCAACGTACGCGGAATGTCCTTTGAGACCTTAGCAACGCCGTACGTATAGGGACCTGAGCTTGCTATCAAGTCCCTCTCGGCGAGCCTGATTCCAATGTCGTTAGCAACACGCAGAACGCCCAGAGTGCCGAGATACCCACTCTGTAACCCTCTCTTCCCCAGCGTTAGACCTCACAACAGCTACATTGACTGGTATGTCCTTGCTCGACTTCAGAGTGAACGTCATCCTCCCTGCTCCTGCGGTAGTCGCGTTCTGCGCTCGTAGAGCAGCAGACAATGGTTTCGCCGGGTGCACGACTAGCCTATACTGGGGGTTGATCATGAACGTCGGATGTGTGCAGTTTCCACCTGCAGTGCGCAGTGTGAACGTTCCAGATTCCTATACAATCGGGTCAGTACATTAAGGAGGTTGATCCAGCAGGGGCTACCTGCCTTATCACTGTACCGAGCCTCTCCAACACCCTCGCCCTCCTCCCACTCCACATCCACGTCTTTTGGCGAGTATACGTTCAACGTGAACCCAACTTCACTCGCAACCCCGTCGTACGAGGCAACAACTGACAGAATACCATTTCGATCCGAGGGCTTGAGGCGCGCACGAACCTAACACGAGCGACATCAGTAACCGAGTACGTTGACGGCTATCGAGATTACTCACCAAGATATGAGTACTATTCGTATACGTTTCCTTCCTACAAACCATCTGCTGGTTCAACACAACCGCACCCTTGACATCATCCTCCACTTGTACCCTCAGGGCGATAAAGTCCTGTGTCCGATGCGAGTTGGAAAGGTGGCGTGTGAGGAGCACCCAGATTTCCGTGTCTTCTTCGGCGGGCGAGGGGTGTCGCGTTCCGTCGACCTGGTCAACTGGGGGTGTAGAAGGGCGGTTGTCGCGGAACTTGATGAAGAGCTGTTTCGTGACTGTCCCGAGGTTAGATACCTTTTGGCTTAGAATAAAGAGGAGCATACCATCTTCGGGATCCTGTCGTTTCCACATTCTGCCAGGCAAGAGAGTCAGTCGAGGGGAGAGGGCACATACAGTGGATTACGCACCCATGGAACGTGATACACTTATCCCAAATACTCGGATCCCATGAAAGGTAAATCCCATCGAACATATTCAACGCGTCGGACCAAAGTACATTGATCATTCCTGCTCGCAATTCTTCAGAATCCTTCCCAGTGAAAAGGCCAGAGCTCCTTACGATTAACACCATCCACGCCTTTCCCATCTTCGGTTTCAGGAGCCCAGGAGTCTAGGACGGTGAACATCCTTCCTTCGTCCGCTTCAAATACGTCTGGGGGTGAGCACGTTATTTTTGGGCCAGAGAGTGTGCAAGGCTAGGGTGGCGAACCTGTCACGGCATAACTGTGAGATGGTAGCAGCTGGATCCTCGAGTCGAACGAGATGGGGCGGGTCCCTGTTCCTAGTGTAACCATACATTTTCCGTTCAGGAACCCGGTGGAGATTCTTTGCCATGTTCGTTCTCGCTCGAAGTCGGACCTGGAGGCAGGCGAGTTCAATCTCGTCTCGAGGATGTTGTAGGGCGGGTATATACCTATGGATCTCAACGTGTTCAGGTATCCAACCTGTAATAGCACTAGCATCGTTCAACGCGGTATCCGGGCGGGAGGCGACGGAGGGCTTACTGCAGATCTATACTCGAGTTCGATCCAGGGAAGTCGTATCCACCCATGAGCTTCATGTACTAGCAAAGAGAGAGATGAGCGTGCATAGCAGCAGGGTGAAGGAAACTAGACATACCGCTTTCTCCAACAAACTAGGCCAGACGGTGTACGGAGACTTGGTTTGGGGCGAGATAGACATACACATCCACGAGTTATCGGCGGGGTTGCAGGGTAGGTGGTCGTCGATGACTACCATACTGTCAATGGACATGATCGCATAGAGCCACGAAGCGAGACGTACCTATCCTTCTCCAAGCACCGTTAACCAGCATCCTAAAATCAAACCGGCCACTCTTCTGACTGAAGAACAACTTGGACCCCATCCCAATCCGCATCACCCATTTTTCCGCGTCGCAATAGTGGTGTAGAGGGGATTCAGCTAGCTACACACAAACCCTCATGAGCATTGTCACTCCGAAGGATACGATGCCAACTCACGTATGACCCAAACCTCCTCCCATGTTCCAAACACACCGAGATCGAAGCGCAGACCGAGCAATCTGAGACGACATGTTGGCGGATATCCTGGGGGAGAATTCGAGGTGTTTCTTCCCAATCGCATGTCGATCCCATTTCTTCAGACATGAATTCGTGCATCGGTCTTTTCCATATCGACGAGACTTCTAGTTGTTCCGAAGAGAGCTTGGGTTGTCCATCTGGATCACTGGAAAATATGAATAGCTGGGTGATAGTGCTGTGAGGTGGTGGCGTACTGGAATGGCGATTCCGTCGCTTCTGGCCCTTCAGATTCGTCCCAGAGAGGGTAGACAAGGCCGTTGATCGTGCTTCCTTTCTTCAGAACGTAGTATTGTTCGTCTATGACACGATAAGCAAGTCAAACATGGTCGATCTTTGGGGACTCACGAGGAGCAAAAGGGTTGATCGCCACCGGTGTCAACCGCACAGTCCCATTCCCGCCGCCGGTTCCGACACTTGGACTCGCCGGAGAAGATGTGGAAGGCACTGGAGACCCTCCTGCGGCTCTCCTCCTACTGGAGTCGGTGAAAACCTTCACTTTCTCAGCCCTATCCAAAGCCTTCTTCGCGCTGTCCTTCCATTTCAGACGTTCTTTGTCGGATAGAGCGTTGGGTGGTGAGCGGGTTATATGCAGGAACAGTTCTGTCGCGCGAATATAGTGTTCATATGCCTGGTCATAACGTTTAGAGAGTTCAAATTTCGTGGCTTTAGAATACAGAGTCTGCCAGGGGAAATGTAAGCTGGTATATCCGCTGGCCAGTGGGCAACACGTACCTCTGCATCTCGAATTTGGACCTTCAAGTCATTCTGTTGCATCGAGGTCTGCATTAGGACGACATATAGAGTAGTTTAAAAGACCTTAGAGGAAGAACGCACGGAAGCAGGCAGCCTTTGTGCCTGGGTATCGCGGAACGAGATCGTGGTTTGGGACCAAGGACGTTTGATCGCAATGATTGATGTCACACACAACTCATTGAAGAGAGGGGTCATTATGTAGAACAAAAAACAAAATCAGAATTGAAAACTAGTATACAATGCAGGCTACGAATACAAAGGTCGTATATGATACAGAAGGGTTTCAAAAGTGCAGGCTAGAGTGATTGGTTGGTGACTGGCGGTGAGAAGGGTTTACGAGATGGTGATCTTCTTGGGCGCCAATTCCGGTGTCGACTTGGGGAAGGTAACAGTCAGAACACCGTTCTCCATGCTGGCCTTGATATCTTCGTCCTTCAAGCCAGTAGGGAGCTGGAGCGTCCTGGAGAGCTTGCCAAATCTCCTCTCTCGGACGGCGTAGCCGCTTTCTTCGTAGTCCGAGGAGACCTTGCTCTCAGCAGAGACAGTCAGCCGGCCGTTGTGCACGTCGATACTGACGTCCTCTTTCTTGAGGCCGGGGAGCTCGAAGGTGGCAGTTACGAGGTTCTTCTCAGTATCCTCGTGGAGGTCCATCCTATAAGCGTCGTCAGTATCCGCTTCGTGAATAGAGTGAGCAGATTGGACATACCTTGGCTTAAAGTGCCTGATAGCGCCGTCATCCTCGTTGGTACGAGTCTGGAGTTGACGACTGGTCGCAGGAGCGCGTCGCCCACCAAATGCTTCCTCGAAGAAGCGGTCAAAGTCGTAGAAAGGCTCGTAGAAGAAGACGTTTGACATTTCGACTAGGTGGCTTTGGAGTGGTGGTTAAAGAGCTAGAGACTTTAGCAGATCGAGTGGAGTCGATAGACGATTTGGTTTTGAGATTCTGAAGAACCATGGCAGCTGCGACGGGCGTTTATATAGACAAAGGATACTCCATTCTAGCGATTTCGAGATGCTAGTAGACTCCAATGAAGACGTCAGAGATCGCTTCCAGAGGGAACAGAAGGTCCAAGAATATACTGATCGTTGTGGTGAACAGCGTCGAAGTTTCCGGAAACTACTCGTTCACTGTGAGACACGATGACGCCACCGTCGGGAATTCCCGAATCCCGCCATCAATCCCGCAACCCGATGATCGCTCCCGTTTAGGGAGAACCCGAGTCGGTGTGCACGCGGTCTCCACTTCAACGCGTCGATACCTGTCGATACACGGCCACGTTCAGCCTCCATTGGGCGTACAGGCTATCCCGAGCAAAGAATACAATTCCAGAACTACATATGACCGACGTTGTGATTATCTACGTTCCGGACTGAAAATATCTCTAATATGCTGCTCCATGTCCGTTATCTGGTCCGATCCCACCTGCTTTCTCTGAGGGTTAAGAACCAATGTTTGAACTGTATTTGTTGTAGGGATATTCGCGAACAGTCTTCCTTGATTGGCTCCATAGATGGTTATGGTCTTCGTCGTCTCTTCAACACAACGCTCCCTCAAGCTGCAAATCTTCAGAGCAGTTTCAATGCCAATGGCATCGACATCCTCCCGGCAGATCGGCTGCGCCCGTCGTACCAACTCTGCATAGGAAGGGTATAGCCATTCCTCAACCCCGTATCTCCGAGCGAGGGCCATTCGGGTGATAGGATCCTCAGAAAGCAATAACGCGAGGCTCTCGACCGCAAATTTCTTGAAAGCCGACATCTGCCACATGTCAGGGAGCTTGAGGATGCTGGTCCACTCGCTTTCACTGATTCTTTCTTGTTCTCCAAAGTTTCTTGACGGGAATTCACGTCAGGCAACAAAGCATAGATGAGAAACAATCACTCACTGGGGATACATGACCTTCAAAAGCGACAGGAACTCCGCAGCTCGAATTCCCTCGAGAACGAGGGGCCGATCCTCGCTCGAACCGTCCGCAGGCTGTCCAGATGGTGTCGGCAATTCGAACATATCCCGAAAGAACTGGGACCCCTTCACGAAGTAGAGATCTGGGACTTGAAACAGTTCGTTTTCTGCCTGTGAAACAGGAAACAAAACAGATCAGAATCCAGAGTGTAATGCCACTACAGTGGCCATTGGGTGATGGGATTGGCGATCAGAAGTTTGGGAGAGTAGAACATACACGGAATACAATATTTTGAAAGAAGTACAGGGCACTCTTCTTGGGGGTCGACGATAGAACCGACGGTGACCCTGCTGAGAGGGCGATTCCTGATCGGCAGCACCAGCTGATACCATACCTTCGAGACGAGGTCAAGGGGCCAAACAGAGATGGATGGTCAAAAGATGAAATGGGTACCAGCCGTTCTGGTTCGACATTCTGATTTCCGCCGAACATAATCCCCTTCTAGGCAAGTCCGAACCAAGACCGCCCCGCTCCCAGAGGGTGCTCGTGACCAAAGTGCCAGGGTGAGCACCAGACTAAAGCAATGTTATATATAGACGTCGTTCATGAATCATATACAACCATACCAGCGCCCGGAAGTCACAAGCTGAGCGAACAGACGCGTACCCAGTAGGCTTCCACCACCTTTCTTCATTCTGCTTTCCCAAACACCTCCTCAACGTGCCCCTCCAGACCGCTGATATCTGAGGCTGCTATAGGTTCTCTGGTAGGAGTCAGCGACCAATTTTTGCTTGTCTTGTTTTGGGTATGGTAGCCATGGTAGCTGTCATACGTCTTCTCTATCTTTGTCTCCCGAACGCAACGCTCTCTCAGGCTACATATCCGTAGAGCCGTTGCCGTACCAATAGCCTCGAGATCTTCCACACCAATATGTTCTTGTCGCCTGACCAAATCGACATACGCAGGTGTGAGCCATCTTCCGACGTTGTATTTGCGAGCGAAAACGATGCGGGCGATGGGGTCTTCCAGGAGTATCGGTGTCAGGTTGGTGATTGCAAGTTCCTTGATGGTTTGCATGTTCCACATATCGGAAAGCTTGAGGACTCCTTCCCATTCATCCTTGCTCAGGATCTCTGCCTTCCCAAACGTGCTTAAGAAACAACGGGTCAGGTCCGGTTCCCAAAGAGAGAGAGTGATTGGACTTACCGAGGAAACATCACCTTCAATAACGCTTGAAACTCCATTGCTCGGATTCCCTCCAACACCAAGGGACATTCCTTGCTTGATCCCTCAAGAGGCTGACCTTCTGGCGGAGGCAGCTCAAACATCTCCCTAAAAAAGTGGGATTCTCCCAGGAAATAGAGTGCCGGCACCTGGAAGAGTTCATCTTCGGCCTAACATTGGAGTAGATTTAGAGGTTAGTATTGCCAATGAGGAGATATTGGAAAGGAATAGGGTACGTACGCGGAAAGTAAGGTTTTGGAAAAAGTAGAACTTATTCTCCGTCGGTTGATCTGTCAGCGATCTCTCTGGGGTTAACGTCGTGCGCCCGCTAGCGGATTCGTCTTGCACCTTCACGCAGTTTGGGATGGACGACATGGTCGCAAGCCGAAGGAAGGACTTTATAGCTGTTGATTGACGTCTCTCTCGAAGGGACTCCTCTGGCTGGATGGTCAAGTTAAGACGAGTCCAACGGGCGTGAAGAGAGCCAAGGAGATATTGCGGACACAGTCGCTTTCACAGCCACAGAACAGCAACGGCCGAGTCGCCAATGTAAAGGGAATGGCCGCCGTCAGTATTCGCTCAGGAAATACGCTGCGTTTCGATAGGCTCGAGTTCAACCACAGTTCCCAAGTCGAACCGAAATGAGTAGACGTTACAATTGCTGTAGTGCCAGGCGGTTTAAACGAAACCACAGATGAGAGTTCCTCCTATAACTTATTCTCTACGCGCCGGGCGTTGGTTTAGGAGTGCAGTGAAGCGAACGCTAATGAAAGTCGTGGTTGGAGTCGAAGACCACAAATACTTATGTTGAATCTGTTTGTTCGAGTACGCCATCAACCCCGTCTGATGCATTGATGGCTTCTGCTTTCGCTGCGACCACCACCAAGCCAAACGACCCCGACGCATCGCTCAGCTGACAGCGATAGCGGCCACGACAGCGACGAAAGGAAGAGACATCGAAAAATGGAGACAGCGTCCAACGCACTCTCCCACATCCGCAAAGAGTCCCTCGATATCTACAATCGTCTGCATTCAATCAAGGAGGATGTCGAGTTCGTAAATCAAGTCCATGAAACGTATGCAGACGTACCACTGCTTCGTATGTCTCCAAAGTCTATCGAGCTCTACGGTTTTAATCATCTTGTTCATAGCAAATCTTCGATGTGGTGCGTGGTACACAGATCCGACCATAGTCAGTCCGGCTTTTCGTTAGCCCACCCACACCCTTCTCATCGTCCTCGCGTAACGTCACTTGGACCCGACTTTTTCTCGACATGACAGTCCACCGACATCCCTGCGTATTTCAAGTCCACTGACGGGCACTATGGAAATTGGAGCTTCAATTTGAGGAGGTCGAATCTACATCTGCTGGCGTTTCTTGAACAGAAGAGGGGGTGCGTGTCCGATTACAGTGTGTTTCCACTGACCACTAACGCTATGATAAATCCAGGCTAATTCTTGTCGACTCAACGCGCTCTGGAAAGAGAATCCCCGACGCATTATCGAAGACTGTCCCGATTTGGTGTGCAGTCATCAACAGGGCGCTGGTCAAGCGTTATCCCGAACTCCATTCGCCGCCCTCGTCCTCTGAAGGTGCACACAGTTGGGATACGTCACTCTACACCCCTCCGTCTGTCGTTCCATCTCAAGAACACAACTCGATACTTGCCAAATTGGACGGATGGGCTGAAGCTTTGGCCGTACGTTTCCACTTTTCCCAATCGTATCGACGGATTTGACGCGTCTTCCTACAGAACTCTTCGTTCGACCTTCCGAAGCTACCATACCCTCTACGGCCCATCTGGATCACGCCTTCCATGTCAACATTTCCGCCAATCACCCTTCCCCCTCCCCCAACGGACAATCACGCCCAAGCCAACGGAGTCCCCAGGTTTATACCTATCATCTGCGTGTCGGCTTCGAAGCAAGTCCAGGATGGTACCGAACGACGAGCGGGTGGATTTTCGTATATCCAGGGCTCAGGCGATGATCACGAGTTGTGGGGTATGGTGAGTGCCAAACTACCCGTCTCGAGCAACATTGACAATTTGTGTAGGGCCTTACCCCCGAGCTTTTCTGGAGCCACAAGGACGAACTGCTCTCCTCCAGTCGCAGTGATCTGCCTGAGATAGTCGAAGACATCGTCTCGTCTGCGTCGTCGGCGAAGAAACCCTCCCCGTTAGATTCCAGTCGGAGATCCTCTTCACCCACATCACCAAGTTCTGTACGACCTCTTTCGAAGAAGAGAAGACCAACGCCTGTCGTAAAGGTTGGGGGTCGGATATGGATTGGGAAGGTCGACGACGTGGAAGGCGAGCTCCTCAAGGACCCTCACGGCAGCGCAGGGGGGAGAGCCAGGGCCTACATCGTCATCCATGAAGGCTCAGAGGATGAAGAAGGAACCATGATTGAATCCATCGAAGCATCGTCTATCCAGGCATCCACAAATTCCCCTGCATCCGCGACGCCTTCTGCCAGCTCAAAGCAGGTCCAACCCACGCACATCCTCTCCCTTCCGATCCCGTCATCCTCGAAGTCCAAACCACTAACACAGCAGTACTTCCTCCACACCATTCTACCTCGATCTCTTCCCTTCATGGATCGCTATCTACGGAAGGGGTGGGACGTTTGCATCGTCTGTCCGACGGGGAAGGATTTGAGCGTCGGAGTGGGTTTAGTTGGAGTGGGCGTGCTTTTTGACGATCAGGGAGCACTGAAAGTACCGAATGGTGGAGAAGGGGACGATGGAGACCCAGGACCTTCGGAGGAAACCGAATGGACCCGGATCCTCGAGCGCGCAACGTTGACGAAGAAAGACATCAAAACGCGTCTGGAGTGGATAATTGCCAGTCGGCCTGAAGCCAACCCCGCGAGAGCGACGCTGAAGAGAGTCAATGAGTTTTTGTTTACGCCTAGGGAGTATTGGGAACGATAGTCGCCTTCGATAGCATTCTTCGTTTTGTCGACACGCTGTTGTATAGATTCGGATTTTCGTAGTATTTCATGGATTTTGGATTTTCTCCCATCCGTAGTATCAATGGAGGTATAGGGGTTCCGTGATCGGAACATTGTTGGCTGACCCCGAGTTTCGTGCCTCCCAAGTCAAGGTTTTGTTCTCTACCACCACCTCGACCCTGCCTTTGTTCCATGGGCTTCCCTTTTGACTTGCTCAGAGACGAGCGACCGTCTACCCCGACACGATGGCCTACTAGGGAAGGCCTCCAGTTTTATTACCCCTTCGTCGCGCGCCCCTACATGTTGAAGCACCAGGTTTCTGAGATGGACGCCATCCAGATGTTTATCCGACACGATTACGAACGCAAGAAGGAGGAAGAAATTGCGAAAGACACCATTGAAATGACCAAAATTGTCTTGTTATACAGAAGAATCCGATTCCTTGATATTTACGAAGGGTTCATCGAGGTTGGCACGGCCCATCGTTCCTCTCGTCATTGCACTCACAGAGGTTCAGGGATGCCTTGATCTCACCGGAAGGCACGAATCTGTGAGTGCTTCCTCTTGACCAGTGCGCTATAAGACGGCCAAACCATGTTCCAATTTCAGAGATGGACGGAATACATGGAAGGGTTCGAAGAGTACATCCGCGATTTCGATAAGCTTGTGCCATTCATTATTACGGTCACAAGAATGGAGGAGTACCCATGGGGGGACAAATATCCGGTGACAGAATACGAGCTAAGAGCCAGGGGTGATGGCCTTTATTCCCGCTGGATGCAACGATGGGACATCAAACAGGATGAAGCCTACGGGTGTCTGCACCGATCCCGTGCGTCTATTTTCTCCACCCGCTGAAATAAACGCTGAAGGCCCTCTTAGTTCTCACCCACAAGCTTTGGAAAACCAAACCAAAACCCAAATTCCAGACGCTCACCTTAATCGACCTCCCTGAAGACGTGCTGGAGCTCGTTTTTGACGAGTGCAGTCGACCGCAACTGCTCGCCATCTCGAAAACGTGCAGAGCCCTCCGTTGGGCTAGAGGACATTGTCTGATGGTTAGAGCTCTACGTATTCGCTCCGTTCTTACTAGACCCCTGACGATTTCTATCAGGATTCCTCCATCACGTTCAGCGAGTTGAAGGAACAAACCATCGCTCAGACTCTCGACCCGGATTCCAACCCATTACCCCAATTAGCACCTTACCTCCAAACAGCCTATAAGCGCTGCATGGATCGCATCGCGTACCATTTGGAGAACCCCAAGCAATGCATGCGGATGCAGACACTGAGCGTCAGCTTTTCCTGGAGATGGTTTCCCTGGAGATGGGATCCCGGTAGCGACCCCCTCAGGCCTATCGATGAGGTGCTGCATGCCACCATGTTCAAGTCGCTGCTCGGTGCCCTGCGCCCCCTTCTTAAACCCGAGATTCTGTGCAACCTCACACATCTCCACTTTGGATACACCCGTTTCGATGTGGAGGGCCTGTCTGCCATCTGCTCACTCAGGAAACTGAGGACCATGTCCTTCCAAGACTGCAGCTTGGAACGCTCGGGTGATATGGAGGCATTACTTCAGGGCGAAACGCCGCCATTTGTATCGCCTGCTATCAATCTCGAGCTACGTTTCGGATACTCTGATCCGCCAAACACCCAATGGCCCATCCTAACATTATTTCCTTGCGTACGCAACCTTTCGCTCGTTTCATTTGACGGCTACAACGGGCTTCACTTTCCTGATGAAGTCCTTCATTCCAAATTCCGCTGTATCAACGTCTTGGAACGGCTCTTTGTCAATTGCATTTCCGACGCCACCATTCCTCACCTTGCTTCATGGCTCGCGGAACGGCCCTCTCGCCACTCCGATGACGTCGTTGACACATTGGCGTATTTCAAAATATCCAACGACTATCACCTTTCTGAAGACGCAATGCGGCTCCTTCTGACGTCCCTCCGCTCGGAGAGGTTGAAGGTGCTGGCGCTGGACGGCATCAAATATCAAATGGGATATCCGAACTTTATTGAGTTCCTGACTCAACTCTTTCCGAACCTCTACTCACTGAGCCTCGCTGTCCGCGCCAACGCCCTACAGAAATCGTGGAGACCGGTTGTCTGGCCTGAGCCATCTTGGGCCTACGCACCACGCTTTGCGGGGTTCAACTGTTTGGAGCACTTCATCTGGAATTATAACACTCCAGTATATGATGCCACGCCGTACCCGCTTGAAAGGTTTGAACGCGCAGTCATGGGTGAGGTGGATCAGGACCAGGAAGAGGATTGGGAGCACTGGTCGAAGGTCAGGGACCTTCTCTACTTCGACGACTACGAACGCAGTGCCGCACCGTTTGCAGTCCACTGCCCTACGTTGCGGACGTTTTCGTCGGACAGGTTATCCCCTGTGTGCGAGATTACACGCGACGTCGATGAGGGAGGGGTGCTTCGGAAGGTGCGGATTGAGTGTCTCGATGGAAGGATGCTTTTTACGGCTAAAGGCAAAAGAAAAAGCGAAAAGCTTAGAGAGGAGAATCCCAATTATGCGTGTATGTCCGATCGGTGGAAAGATTTATGATAGTTTCGTGGATGGATTTATTTGTCTTTGCTCAATGAAGTTGCTTTTTCGCCCGGTACAGTTTCAATCTACGGTCCCCGGGTGGGCACAGGGGTCGGTTCAAAACCAAAAGCCGATGCATTAAGAGATTCGACAGGCATCGTAGAAGTAGTAGAGTCACTTCAAGATATCGTTTGAATCCTTTTCATCAGTAGCTGCCCACCCTCCCATTTACAGTGTAGTCTCAGCCTGTCGAGTGTATCGCACCCAGTTGAAATCGTACTGTCCTTACCCGCTCCTTACCGTTGTTGCGCTACATTGCACCTGACACTTCCATATCGGGATACCTGCACTCCTCTTTGGGAAACACGCAGTATCGTTCTCGAGTGTCGTCAGTCTGACAAGCATTTATTTCACTTTGGATAGATCTTAAGGAGGGCATAAAGGTGTTAATACATATGGTTGTTGCCTGACAAGGATTATTTGACTTGAAATAGATTCTATGTAGGGCATAAAGCTGTGACTGCATGTGGTCGTGCATATGGTCATTGCCTGACAAAGGTTGATCTGACTTTAGTGAGGCATAAATCTGTGAATGCATATGTGAGTTAGGGAAAAGGAGGGGCATATAGGGCAAACAGTGAAGGTTCTTTTCGATTGGGAGGATTTGTCCAATGTATATCACACGGCACCTCTCCAGCCTTTCGGCTCGTGGTTACAATTCACTCGACTGTCTCTTCGCTATCGGGGATAGAGTCCTGGTCAGCTTCCGACGCCTCCAAAGCTTTTTCCTCGGCTAACCTCTTCAGTTTATAGACGAGTACTTCAAAGTGCTCACGCGGAGAACCAGACTCGGGAAGGGTAGTAAGCAGCGCTGCGAGTCCGTCCGGGTGTGTCCGAGAGCGAGACCAACTAGCCTGAGAGAAGTACCGTTCAGCTTGATCGATTGGCGAGTCGCGCCACGAGTCATAGCGACGTACTCGTCGTGAGGTGTTCGGGCTGTTACCTGTGGCAGAAACGGAGGAGGTAGTCGAGTCAGAAGCGCGCCTCCGCTGGCCTGGTTTGAGGCGCGGGAAGCTCACCCCTGTTGTATCGAAACGAGGGTCAATTTGCTCGTATGTGGAGGTACCGAACCCAACAATAGTGTGGCGCTTTTGGTTCTCAGGCCTGGTAATCTCGAACGTCTGGTACTCAAGTTCTGTAGACTCGTCAGAGTCGATTTCCTGAGGAGAAAAGGTCAGTTGGTGGTCAGATATAATCATAGAAAGATCACTTACTTTGATCTGTTCGCAGTAGTAGGCGCTGCAGTAGTTTCTAATAGTGCACATTATGTTAAAGGCGTCGTTTGGTTTCTGCTTTGAACTTCTGATTGAGTTGTGGATTGCAAGTGTGGATTGCTGTTTGGTGGAAATCTCGAAGAGCTAGAGAAGTCTTTATATCTAGAAGTTAGATATCAAAGCGCTAGAATTTGAGTGGCAGAAAATGGTCCCAGCAGCGTTCCAGCTTTGACCGGGACTCGCTGCGTGCTTGAACCAGGCGCCACAATCTTAGTACCTGGGCGCTTATTTCGGCTCGCGAATGTTGCAGTTCAGGTCATGAGCACATGACGCCGACGTCGTTGCCTAGAACAAAGTCACAGACAGGAATAAGGGGCTATAGGGTTATAAGGATATGGTATGACAAAGCCATTAGCGGCAGTGACCGCCATCGTTAAAGGAAACCGTACATATCTGATGCGCTTGGACTGAGGACTCGAGCCAGAGCGCTGTACCACGTGAGGCCTCGTGAGTTACGAGCAAGCGATCTGCCTTGAACACAAACGAAGCTTGGTATCAAAGCTAGGTCCATCGAACGGGTGAATCAAGCGAGGGTGACGGTGCTATCAGGCCCTTCAAGCCTAGGTGAGTATTATGTAGGCTTCTGTATCTCGGGCAAGTACTGACAGCCATCTTTCAGAATGGACCTTCACGAGAACTCGGAAAAGAATCTTGTAACCGCCACCTTCGAGCTCCCCGGTCTCAAGAAGGAGGACGTCAACATCGACGTTCACAATGGTCGCCTCACCGTCTCTGCCGAAAGCAAAGCCGCCTCTGAATATGGGGAGCACGGCTACGCTGTTCGAGAGAGGAGGTTTGGCAAGCTCTCGAGGACTCTCCAGCTTCCTGCCGGCTTGAATGTACGTCATTTTCTAACTCTGACGCTGTGAATAGGTACTAACAACAACTTCAGGAAAAGGATATCAAGGCGACTATGGACAACGGTATCCTCACCGTCACCTTCCCCAAGTGCTCGCCGGAAATGGCGCCCAAGAAGATTGCCATTTCGTAAATTCGACCAACGATCACTCAACCCAATACACTCATCGTTGTGCTGCACCCACCCACCATGTGTAATATTAAGCATTCTGTACCACTAGCATTTGTCAATGGACTTAGTTTGAATCGTGTGACCCACTGTGAGATGGTTTCTCGTCGCGTTGACCGCGACGTCAATGCGAGCTCGAATCTTGAACCCGAACCACCATGATATCGATGGCACCATTTGAATCGTCTTTCTCTATGCCAATGAACCCTGCCGTATACCATAAGACAACGCAGAAAGGGGGTTATATCCCTGCGAGATCATGATGGCAATAGTATTTACTGCACGTGCTTACGAGTCAAAGGAGGCGATGAAAGGTCCAGGTCGAATTAGTGTCCAACCCAAAGGAAAAACAAGTCAAGTCCAATGAGAAAACTTCAAGAAAACTATAATCGGCCCCAACCCTCAATTCTCGTACCAAACCATCCTCAAACATCCAGGCCTTCCAAGATCCTCTCGATCCCACACCCTATCTCCCTCATGGCCGCACACAAACACAGCGCTCGCCCGCCCAAACGGCTGATCCCTCCCAGCATTCCGACTATAATACGTCTTCCTGCCTCTGTAAATCCTATCCCCACTCACGGCCTTCATCCACGCCTCAACCACAGGTACACCAAGCGCAACGCTGCGCCCAAACTCAGCCGTGGCGTGGTCCTGGATGTACATCTGAGTGCGGTAGCTGAGGACGGCGTGTAAACCGTTGAAGACGTCCCACCAGGGTGCATACGCAAGGCGACGGGCTTCAGCGGGGGACGAGGCAGAGGGGAAGTCGTACGAGGTTGGGAGGACTTCGCAGGAATGGATGACCCAGTAACTGAGTCCCTGCTTTTTGGTGGCAGTCGATGAGGCACCGTAGCCGTTCAGTCCTCCAGCGGGAATATCGTCCTCAACGTCGACGATGTCGCAGCAGTTCGCGTCTGTGGTGAACAGGTGGAACGAGCCGTGCGCTTCGGTGAGTGCGATATCGACGTTGTTGATGAACTGGTCTTTGGAAGTGGTGTAGAGGAACGGTCGGCTCCAGTAGAAGTGGGTGTTGTCCCAGGTGGCGAGGCGTCGGTGGGAGTTGAGTGAGGAAAGGAAGGAGCGGGCGCTCGCAGTCCACTCGGGAATGTCGTTGCGCACAACGTAACGGCCTACACGGATGCTGGGGAGGGAAATGGCGCGTGGATCGAGGTCGTCTTCGTCTGAAGATCGAGGCGCAAAGGAGGAAAGCTTCTGAGAGGCGGCCTGGAAGTAGTTCAGGCCTTCGCTCTCCTGTCGTTTACCCTTCGAGCCCTTGTTCTTCTTGTCGGCCCAATTCTCGATGGGCTCTTCACCCTTCCCATCTCCAATAGAAGTCTCTTCGACAGTGGGTACCTTTTCTGGACTACCATCGCCGATTGGAACGTAGCCGACAACATACACGGGTTCAGTGACGGCGCCACCATCCTTTCCCTGCTTTTTGGGTCCCATGCCTGGCGCCTTCCCTCTCCCCTCACTCGCATGCGTCCGACCGAAGAACCGGTACACGGGCTGCATGTAGCCCTTGTTCCCATCGTAATAACAGACGTCAACCTCTTCAACCTTGACCAAACTGGTCTTCCGGCCAGTCGACTGGAGCTGGTGCTTGATCTGGCCCTTGATGTCGTGGGCGGATTTGGGTGTGATGAAGTGGGGAGTTTGGGGTTGCGGCTGAAGATTCGTGTGCGCAGAGCCGTTGTGAGCTTTGAATGAATGGTGCTTCCCACCACCCGCATGGCCAGTGGCCGAGAAGGCAAAATGAGCAGGGCGCCAGGTGTAGGAGAGGGAGTAGACCTGTTGGGAAGGGCCTACGCTGAACGTTGCATGGCTTCCCGGACCACAGACTGGGTAAGTCTGTCCTTCGAACGTGATCGAGCGCTCGATAACCCCATTCGTCCAATACACCTCCTCCCTCCCTTCGACGTCCGAATAAGCAGCCACCGCATGCGACCCATTTTGGTGGTACTGCCCCGGAGCAAAGACACTGCTCCCAACCAAACTTCCGTCGTGGACAACATTCAAGGTGGTATCGTCCTCCGGGAACGCCTCTTTCATCCCCAGGAGCGACCATACTGCCTCGGTCACGTCGAACCTTCCTTCATAGGTCTCGTTGGCAGGAACAGGTGTTATCCTCGCGAGGTTGGGGTAGATGTGGGCTTCACCGGTCTCTGGGTCGACGTACCCCACCAATCGATCATCGAGGTGCGCGTAGAGGCCCGGTCCCATGGTTTTATTGGGCTTGAGTTCGACGGAGTGATGCGATGGGTGGGACTCATTGATGAGTTCGTTGAGGAGAGTGGTTGGGAATGTGGATGGAGGTCCGAGGGTGAGAAGAGGGAGGGGAGTAGGGATGTGAGGGATGATGGACGGGTCTAGGTGGACCCATGCGTCAACCGTGCCTGCAGCGAGGACGATGGCGCTCAGGAGAGAAGGTGTACGCATCGCAAATAACCGGAACCTCTGACTGGGTTATCGATGGCCTGGCAACGAATTTCAATCAGGCTACAAATCCGACGAACACAAAACGACATACCAGCTGGAGAGCTACAGGTGACGCGAACTGAGTACTGGGGAGACTCGAGGAAAGGCAGGGCCACAGTCAAACAATCCGGATTTTATAGAACAACAGGGACAAAGGTTGGAATTCCGCCAGGGTCAGGATATGACAGAGTGAATGGTATTGACACATCACCCAAACCGATGGTCGACGGTTGAATGCTTAGGGTTGAATTCGCTGGCTATCCACAGCCTCGGTGCGTGCCTCACCCCTGCCTCGATCATGATTGAATAGACGGTAGATTTTTAGGAGTCCTTGTGTATGATGTGACGGATCGTGACTGTAGAGCAGAGCGGGGCATGAACGGCGGATGTTGTAGAACAACAGCCTCCAGAGTCAGGAAGGAACACCTTGTGTTGCGTTGGGGTGGAAGGGAATTACAGGATAGGCATCCCGGAGTGAAGTGGCAGGGCGATGGTTGAGGAGGAAGAGTGCAGAAGGGAGTGCAAGGGAGTGGGCGCTACTCACTAACCGCTGGAATTGCGTCGCAATGGGTTGGGTTTCCGGTTCTAACTTTGCTGGGTAATCGCTCAGTCCCCCTCCCTAGGGATTTTTTGTTGCTATACGAGGACGTTTATACGCAAAGGAAGCCTTTGGGCTGCGTATGGTACGCTCGAGATGGTGGTTCGGAATCAAGAGACAATTGATGGCTCAGCCAAGAGCAGCCAAGAGCAGCCAAGGTGCGCGGCAAAGTTGATATTCGAAGAGTAGAGATTCGCATCAAGGGGACTGGAATATTGGAATTATAGATGGATTGTTGGATGGTATTAATACAAAATGTTGGGTATGGTACATATGCGAATGAATGTGTCTAAGAATAGGAGTAGAGAGAGGTAGAGAGTCCGTTGAGTAGAAAGAAGGCAGGAAAAATTGCGCTTAAGAGATGGCGATCTTCCTGGGCGCCAATTCTGGCGAGGACTTGGGGAAGGTGACCGTCAGGACACCATTCTCCATACTGGCTTTGATATCTTCCTCCTGTAATCATTTGTTAGGATCTGTTCGAGTCTAATTTTGAAGCAATGCACATACCTTCAGACCGGTAGGAAGCTGGAGAGTTCGCAAGAGCTTGCCAAATCTCCTCTCGCGGACTGCATAGCCATTCTCTTCGAATTCAGAGGACGCCTTGGTCTCTGCGGAGACGGTCAGTCGTCCGTTGTGCACGTCGATGCTGACGTCCTCCTTCTTCAGGCCGGGGAGCTCGAACGAGGCGGTTACGAGGTTCTTTTCGGAGTCCTCGTGGAGGTCCATCCTATCGGTCTGTCAGTATCTGTCTGAAATCATCATGTTCAAGATTGAACATACCTTGGCTTGAAATGTCTAACGGCACCGTCCTCCTCGGCGACACGAGATTGGATCTGGCGACCGACTGATGGGACGCGTTGTCCACCAAAGGCTTCGTCGAAGAAGCGGTCAAAGTCGTAGAAGGGCTCGTAGAAGAAGACGTTGGACATTGTGAGGGGTGCTTAGAGGCGAGTAGCTTGAGTAGTTGAGTCGCTTTGGGGTGTGTTTCTGCAGAACCAGCAGAGCTAGGACCAGCGTTTATATAGACATGCAAGCGCTAAGATCAGCGCCTTTCCAGAGGTTGGTAGAAGTTTAATTAGGGCGATGGATTGAGGTCAAGAGTCCGAGAGGGTTCTGGCTGGTTCTGGTCATTGTGGTGAACGTTGTCGAAGGTTCTCGAAATGGGCGTGCTCATCGTTCCCAACGGTGAGGGGCTTCGACGGGATAGTCCGAAACGTTAGTGATGGGTCGGCATTCTTCGGCATCTCATTTGCCAGGAGCGGCCTTCCTTGCTTTCCTGGATCCTACCTTTCCCCCGAGTCGTTCTGTTTCTCTGTTTACTGGAAGCAAACCAATAACCCTACTACAGTATGATACAAGGCTAGTATCGATGGCCCTTCATTCGACAAATCACACATGGCGACCCGAGACTAGTTGTCTATCAATTCCTTCTGCAATCTCTCATCCAGGCCACGAAGATCCTCGGAACTGGGTATCACCGGCCTTGACTTTCCCAGTGACCATACAGTCTGAGGTGCCCGACCTTTTCCCCCAGGGTACTCGACACGACTGCAGCTTTCCCTCATTGCACATATCTTCAAGGCAATTTCTACGCCGAGGCCCTCGAGATCTTTTGGACTGATTGGCTCCTCTCGTTTGATCAGCTGCTTGTAGGCGGGGATAATCCATTCCGGGACATGGTGTTTCTTTCCGAGTACAACGCGGGTGACTGGGTCCTCCGATAGGTCTTGAACTAGGTGTTCAACTGCGAGCGCCTTGATGGGTTTCATCTGCCACATATCCGCTAGCTTCAAGACAGCGGCCCATTCCTCCTTTGACAACAAATCAGCCTCTCGGAACGTCCTTTTGTGCTGTTAGTCGACATAAGTCGAAGGTAATTGTACAGCTTGACGACTCACGGAGGGTACATAACACGCAAAAGAGCGCTCAACTCGGACGCCCGGACTCCCTCGAGAACCAGCGGCTTATCTTTACAGGTGCTATCCACGATGCTACCCTCGGGATTCGGGAGATCAAACATATCCCGAAAGAATTGGGACTCGGTTAAGAAATACAGAGCAGGGACTTTGAACAGCTCATCATCTGCCTGCTCGACTCTGATATAAGGCACAACTCACGGCTTGCTCGAGATGGGCTTGGTGACTTACACGGAAGATTATGTCTCTGAAGAAGTACTGCTCGCTGGTTTGTGCGGCCGTTTTGGCTGTGGAAATGCTTGAAATAATAGTGCTTGTATTACTAGGGGCATCTGGCGAAGGAGTACCTATCATGATTGCTGGCCAACGTAAAGTAGAGTACAAGTCGTCGTTCCAGCGATAGTGAATCAATCGATTGATAGCACGGTTGTGCACGTGCAAATTGAGGGACACGAGGCTGGAAAGTTTGAACGCAAGGCCCGGATTCAAGTACATTTTGGTCGAGTTGATTCAATAAATATCAAAGGGCGAAAACATTCATGGGCTATCAACGGTGAAGGTGCTACTTCGTACTCTAACCGGTGTAGATGTCTGAAGTAAGAGGTCCGATTCGTCAAGCTCAAGGTCCATTCCAAAATCCTTCTTCATTCGAACTCGCAAAGGCAAAGCAGCAGTAGGGGTGTCGATATTTCCGCGCCTCGTCTGCAGAACCCATCTGCCGTAACCATAATCGTCGCCGACTTTGAGGACATAGGATTCCCGGATGGCACAGAGCTTGAGGGTGGTCTCCAGTCCTATCAGGTTCGCTTCTTCAATGGTGATGGGATCCGAGCGGGTTACCAGTTGCTCGTAAGCTGGGAGGAGCCACTCGTCGATGTTATATTTCCTGCTGTGTACGATGCGCGTTGCAGGATCCCTGAAGAGGATTTCTCTGAGTTTGGATATGGCCCGTGTTTTGAAGTACTCCATTTGCCACATATCGGCGAGTTTGAGGACTCCTTCCCATTCCTCTGCGTTGAGGGTCTCCTCCTGTCCGACTGATCTTTAAGTACATCTCTCAGTGGATGTAAAGCATGAGATCTGAGGTAAATCACTTACGATGGAAACATCACCCGGAGGAGGGAGTTGAAATCCTTCGCAAGGACTCCTTCGAGCAATAGTGGCTGATCTTCGCTGTGGCCATCTGCAACTGCCCCCTCTGCCACTGGTAGCTGAAACATCCCTTTAAAGAAATCCGATTCCTTCATGAAGTATAGACTTGGTACTCTGAAGAACTCGTTCTCCACCTATGATCAATGCTCTCGTCAGTATCGAACGCGAATCTGTATAAGAGATAGTACCAGGTATCATTACTTTGAAAGTGACAATGTCGAAGTAAAAGTCTTTATTTCTCCGACTTGCTTGAGGAGCTTCGGTGTGAGTCGCCGTTAACATTGTGTCAGAGAAGCGCTGTTGCCAGCTACTACTTTGTGAAGAAGGTAAGTGCAAGGCGCAAGAGATGGGTGGCGAGGCAGACTTGGGCCTGGGTTAAAATCAATTGCTCGGCAGACCGCTGGGAACTTGTTCCTGGACCCTCTCCACAAATATCGACTGGGCCATGGTACCAGAACCGCTTTTCTTCTGCATTCGCAGCACAGACAGACTTTCAAGCTCCTAGGTTTGAGGATGGCAAATCCGACTGCAGATACCCTCCTGAACGTGACGGTCGAGTCTCTGGCAACGTTCTCAGGGGTCGGGGATCCCAGTTATGATTACGATGGGAAGAATGAACGCGGGGGCGCTGCGGTTTTGAAGGCTCAAGTGAGTTCTAGGACGCGTTCTCTGCGGTTTTGAGGGTTAAAGACAGTGTTCTCGCATCGGTATGAATGCATAGCTTGGAATTCTACAACAGAAACCGCGCCCTGTGCAATTTGCCATCCACCAGTACGTCGTCGACATTTCCTCTGCTCGAAATCGAGGCGGAACGGCGCAATTGATGCGTTTATGCCAGTGAGCTGGCTGCAAAATACACCCCGGCCCTAGTGGAGAAGTTCAAGGCCGATACAAGCGTTTTAGGAGCGCCGGCAAGGCTACTAAATGTTATCTCGTACACGTATGTTTGGCTTGCCACTTTCCCGGTCGCCACATAGTACTGACATCTAGTAATAAAGCCCTTACTTCGTCCGTTTCACCAAAACACCGGCGGGAAAAGATATCACGTCCATTTTTGCTTCTCGCATTGCTCAACTGAGCGATAACAACACCTTCCCGCTCTCGCAGGACGAAATTGCTGAAATCGGACAGTTTTTTGCGACGCTGGTAGTGCTACAGGGCCAAAATGGCATCTCAGAGGACGACAAGAAGGCTCTCCTGACAAGATTCAAGAGCTGGCTTAGGGATTCCTTTGCAGGCGACACGAGCGAGAGATGCCTAGCGGTCCTGAACGCGTCTAGGTACGATGAATTCGCATTCTGGTTTGCGAGCGACGGAGACTCAAGTGGGCTTTACGATCCACAGGGAGATGCAACCGATGTTTGACAGTATCAAACACAACCTCGAGGGTCCGTTGAACAAATGTGGAGGCCCGCAATGTCAAAAGACGACCCGAACAGACGGCGCTTCGTTGCTCAAATGCTCAAAGTGAGTCTCATCTTCATTCCAGCCCTCGAGACAGTTTTCTTGACCTTACCAACCCACCTCATTTCGCTTTCATAGGTGTAAAACATCTGTCTACGTATGTTCACCTCATGTTTCAATTATACTTTGCCGTTGCTAACAACTACGATACGTATTAACTTTGCTGTAATGTCCAGTGTGACACCGACCATCAGCGTGAAGCCTGGCCAGAGCACAAACGCCTTTGCTTCCCAGCGACGTTCTGAGAATGTTATCTTGGTGTAGGGGAAATGAATGAATGAGACCGGCTTTTGTGCGTCCATCTGTGCTTCATGGAAGTGTTTAGGCTGTGATCTTTACCAGCTTCGCGAACTATTTGAGGTAACCTTCTGGAAAAGGAAGGCCCGTATGTCTGATGAAAGCATTCAGACTCCTGAGTGGGTAACATTCTGTTGGAACGGTTGGAGCGGCTGTCTGTCGATGGTGAGACCAAATCTGATAATTCTTCACTTCCGAGTAGGCAAGCAAGCTGAGAGGTGACGTTCTGTCCAATGCCAATGGGCATGGCCTCTACAATGGGATAGGCTATGTGAGTGTGTTCTCCGGGATGGAACACGCGCCGCCACAATGGCGCGACTTCGAGGCATGCCGAGCTGGTCCACCTATCAGCCTATCAAGAGGCGTTGATGAATTCGGTTCCCTCATGTCGCCCCTAAGTGAGTGACATAATTTTCTGAATGGTGGGGGTCGGCACTGTACGGCTACCTGACCGCTATCCGAACGGACTACGACGCGATGAACGTAACTCTCTCCAGGAACTGAGGTTCACCTCGTCCACGTCACGATGTCTGCCTATCCAGAGCCTCTAGAAAGGGTGGGTTTTACTCGGTTTTGAGTCCAGGTTATGGCGATTGCTGATGAACGTTTTGTGGATTCTCTAGATCTTCCGCCAGGTCGAAGAAGAGACGGAGAGGCGTGCGGAAGAGGAAGCACGACGAAGGAACCCGGCGACGATTGTGATTTCGAGGTTGAGCCCTCAAGGTCCAGCATCACCTAAAAGCTACGCGTCGATTGCGGCCAGCTCATCTTTCTACCAAGCGCAGGTGCGGCAAGTGGGACTAGCCATGTCTATTTTGTGTAGAGAGTGAAAGCTAAAACGTGTACATTCACAGAATGAGAGCACGGGTTCGATTGCATCTGGTGCATCGGCCTACTCGAACGACGAAGCCCACGAAGAGGATCCAAGTCAGATCATCCAAGTACAGCAGATTCCACCCAAAACCAACCCCCTGTCCAAAATAATCACCAGACGCCTCACTCGCTCTCGCTCGGCCTCGATGATTCGGATTTCCAACGGCGACACCAATAGCAGTATTTCTGTCTCTGTGCAAGAGACCACAATCCATTCGTCCGCAACCAGCATTGCCGACGACGAACCTGGGGAACCTTTGAGGCAAGTGACCGTGCATGCGTCGAAGCCGGAAAAGAACGACTCCTCGAAATCGTCGAGCAGTTCGAAGCCCTCTGGCCAGAAATGGGTCACCCGAGCCCGTGGCTTCACTTTGAGGTTTTCACGGAAGGGGAAGGAGGGGGAACCTTCGCAAAACCAATCATAGAACACTCGGCCTTCTGACCACGGACACCTTCCCTACATTCTTCGAGCATCCCCTTCTAGAGTTATCCATCGTATGTTATTGTCTCTCCCCTATAGACTTGTTATCGTTGCTGCTTTCTAATTGCTGTCCTTTGCTGTCGAGATGCGTTTCTAGATTCACAATAGTATTGATGTCAAGAGTTTCCAAATGGTCTTTTCGTTTTCCGAACTTTCATTGTGAAGGATCTGCTCGACGATGAAAGAGTCCGGGAGAGAGGGGTTGCGAGGTGGACGTGATGCAATAATAGCGCGCGTGCTTGACGTAACCGCTCGAATGGAAACTCCCTGTCAGGTTCTATTCACCGGCTTTCACAAAAGGGTCAATTCCTTGACTCCCACTCACACCGGTATAAGAACCAATGCCAGCAGCCCCTCCGAGACTCATTAAGCCCCCGTTGCGTTACCCATTTCTTCTCTCATTTGCATTACCTTGAACATCGAGCTTCAAGTCGTCGTTGACGCCGACTTTCACCACGGACCAATATGATCTCAATTTCGCGTACCCGCCTCGACGGCGACTTCGTTCTCGATATCAAACCTCATGGAGCCCAGCGGGCAACGGCGCAGTCAGCGCTCACACTTTCAATACCCACTTTCGACCACGAGTCTATGTCTATCGTAAGCCCACTCGTACAACCATCACCTCGTGTCTATACTGAGCGCGCTGGCGTACTTGTAGTCACCTCGGCCAGTCTCCAACGGCGCGTCAATATCGGATGGTGAAATCCAACCGTGGTCTGCTCTATTTCAGTCTACAATCTGGACCCCTTGCAAGGAAGCCTTCCCTACCGACGCTGTTTCCTCCCTTCATTCTCCCATTGATTTTGACGACTCCGAGCCCGCGTCAATGACCCTGGAGTCTGACTCTCGTTCTGCACCTTCGTGGCTGCCAGCAATCCTGGACCCAACCACGCTCTCCTGCAACTTTGATTACGCGTGCTTGGAGGGTATGGACGACGAGCTCCTTCACACTCCTCACCTGGCGTTTGCTACTTCTTGCTGGGAAGCCGTGGCTCCACTGTCCACTAGAACGTCTGGCGCTGGTACCACTCACACCAATAAAGGGCGAACCTGGGAGTTGGACGCTTCTCCCTACCGAAATTCATCATTATCGGTGGAGACTTCGACTTCTGACTCCCCTATCCCTGTCTTCCTAACACCGAGTTTGTGGTCCGACGGTGAAGAAGACTCGGACTCGGACGAAAGCAGCTATGATGACTGCTGGACGATCACGGACGGTGTCCACACCGTTGGAGCGTTCAGTCCCATGGTGAGTGTCTTTCTCTTTTACTCCTTCCCTCAACCCGGTTCCACCAACGAACATCGTCCTCACCGACGTTGTTACAACATTTCTATGGTATCCATTGCACCCAGCCTCGCCTGCGGGCAGTGTTTCGAGGTGTTTTATCATTGCATCCAGTCAACTGAGCCGGAAGCTGACCATTACATTTCCTCTAGGGCAAAGAAAAGGACATTTACTACGACGACTTTGACGCCGTGAAGCCGATTTCACTTGTGGTAGAGTCTCGCTCTCCACGGTCATTACATTCCCATTCAAACTTCAGTGACGAGAAGTCGCGATCTGTGGGACAATTCCCGACACCCGTCATTCGACGGAAAACGAGCATGTCAGGGCGCCTGGCTGCGTTCTGTGCGAACATTCCAACCAAATTGACTCTCGTTAGGCCTGGCGCCCAAGTTTCTGCTTGATGGACACCCTTCATACGCATTGACACTGGGCGGTGTATCTAAAGATAAGCTCCATGCCACTACCACTATCCCAGTGAGTTCAAAATTTGTTGTCTCATCACTCGTTGAGCCACAATGAACTGACTCCCGTATTCTTCCGGTGCCAGTCTTTAATCCCCGTCCACCTCTTCACCTTCACCCCCTTCTCGAAGCCTCTCTTCGCACTCGTAATTCGTAACTCACCGTGTGAGCCTCGTGTTATCACGACAGCGGATACCTACCTTTTAGGCGTCCTTCGTTCTCATTCCCATCTCCATACTTTCCCATGAGCTGGAGTCATAAATGCATTCTCCCGCCCATCCTTTTGTGTAGCACATCGTTCTTGGAACTCTTCCTCCCCTTCCAATTCCATTCTGTGTCCGCTCCGCTTGCTTCTCAAAAAAGACAGTGTCGTTTTTCGTTTTCATTCTCGTCACAACTGTATCCAAGCACATACCGTTTCCACCTGGCCCAGCCTGCACTGTATACTATCTAGTTAGCTTACTCACCCTCCTTTCTTGTCTATCTCTCTCGCCTACTCTCGTCTACGATACTCGTACTTACTACCGCGCCTCTCCTTCTAATTACTGTCCTAGCGCAAGCCTAGATACCCCTCATTAATATGATGTATTGACCTTCCAGCCGTCTCCTGAGCCAATGTATCCTCCGATGTGGATTTTGTTAGTAGTCCCGCCCTCTCTCCATCGGCTGATGAAGGTCGCCTAGAAGGAGAATGACTCTTAGTTTGCAGACAACGACAACCTTCCCCATGGAATCAGCCTGAGGGCTGCGCCTTGCCTCCATGGGAAAGGTTGCGCACCTCTCGCTGGACCCCCGATTCCGGCGCATACTGTATCTATACGTAGTACCGGGTGTTCCAACGGAATTGAAGAACCAAGTTGGTGGATGTTGCGTCTATACCCACCGAACGTCAAGGAGGCTTGTCTCGAAGTGAAACAGCGGAGATGCCTCGGGCTCTATGGAGACGTCGTGAATGAGCCTGCGAACATACGGGATCAAATCGCAATAGGGGCTGCCCCTAATTGGGTTGTCCCGGGCGCTTAAACTTTGCGCGATAGAGAGTCATCCGCGGCACTGGCCTCTGGGGCCAGCGAGATTGTCGACCTATAAAGCATACCGTGGAGAGGCGATTCACGTGCACAGATAATATTTCGACAAACGATACAAAGGGAATGACTAGTTCTCCCCTGGCTCTTGCTTCACCTCGCTGCACTCCTGTTTTTTCACCCATGCCCTGTCTTGCTTAAACTGAAGATGCAGTAAATTATCGCCGTAGATTGGACACAACTGGCTTCGCTGGCGGATAATTTCGAGTTCCTTCGCGAATACTTGCTTGAGATACTCTCTGCCCTCTCTGAGGTACTGCTGGCGGTTTTCTCGGCACATAAAGACCCGCACCGCCGATTCATGTCCAATCTCTTCAGATACATCCATGCTCATAGTCTGAGGGTTGTCAATTAGCTCCTCGTATCCGTCGAGGAGCCATTCTGCGATGTAAAATCGCTTTGCAAGGCAGATCTTCTCCGGGGGGCTGAGACGGATCGATTCCAGCTCCTCCATGGCCATGCGCTTGATATCTTCAAAGTGCCAGAAAGACGCAAACTTCAGAATAACGATCCACTCGTCTTTGGTGTACTCGATGGTGAAACTGATCTTTCTAGCGGTGTATCGTTAATTTCATGACAGTGCAACAGGAATTCGAAGGAAAGAACTCTCACATGGGATATAGAAAGCTCAGGAAAATCCGGAATTCCTCGAGTTGAACATGAACAAGAGGGATAGGCGCGTCGTGCCCAATGAGGTCGACGACTGGAACAGGAGGTTCTCCGTCGGGTGCTGGGTCAGGTGTGCTGGGTTTTCCTTTGTTGCGAATACCGTACGCAGCGGCAAACCGCTCAGATCCGTGGATAAGGTGGTATTTGGGGACGTTAAAGATGTGTCCCTCCACCTATTAGAGTCAGTACCTGTGAAGTATTCGTACACTCAAGATGCTAGCCACACGCACCTCTAGTTCCACCAGCTCCCAGTACCAGTCTTTGTCCTTGACGCCATATTTGTGGTCCGTGCGCGTTTTCTGTCCTGAGGTCATATCTCTGTATGAGCCTTAAAGAGCTACTCTCTTAACGATTTGACGGTAGAAGGACGATGAATGGTGTTGGCCGACGGCGAAAGAACTAAGTGAATGGAGAAAGGACGTAACACAATCAAGATTAACTGAAGGCCTGGGAGCGCACTGGGATAGGGGCTGATCGGACTTCTCGGTGATCTCGGTGGTAGCAGTCCCTTTTTTCCTTCGCACGTAACCATGTCCGACCCATTCTGCAGCTACCAAATGAACTCTACCGCCAGATTTTCTTGCTCCTCTGCCCCGACCCGAGCCTTTTCGCGCTCTGTACTACTGCCCGACTTCCTCGAGCTGCATCTGGGCACATGTGGGCAATCTACGAGGTGCTTTAAATTATTACGGAAGAAACAGCAGCGCTTACTGCTATTTCTCGAATCCGTAATACAATCACCCTTGAGCTCATCTACAAATTCACCAACGGCGCTCACTCCCAACAATCAACCACCCCATCTTTCACTGAATTCCGCGAGCTCTCGTTTGGCCGGCATTCGTTTTCTGACCACGGATTCGATGTCGAGGAATTCTCGGAGATCGTCTTGCAAAACTGCCCTACTGGGTTAACATGGTTCCCGTTTCTCGATTCTGCAGGTCAGATACTGGTCTCTTTATTTCGCGATCGTTAACATCTCACAATTCGAATGTTCAGTCGTAAGGACGCGTAGTGCAGCTCGACCAGACCGAGTTCAATTTTCCGGTTGTATGGACAAAAACCGGGTCGCGACATATCCCACCCACTCCGGTCGAGACAAACTGTAGCAGTTTACCCATCATTTCTTTCCCTTCTTCTTGGCGACCGTGGAACCTGGATTAAGCAATTCGGAAGCCTTTTCCCTCTCCAGCCGGTCTTCTTCCTCCTGTAGGGCTACTCGCAGTGCTTCCAACGCCTCCTCGTCCTCCTTCAGCTTCAGCTTGCTGGCTTCAAATGTTTTCTTCTTTTCAGTTAGTTCTTGTTCTTTCTTCACTTTCGTCCTCCTGATCTCCTCTTCTTTCTTCTCTTGGTTGGTGAGATAATCGAGTTCGTGGTCTTTGATGACGGCGAGCTCGGTGGCGAACGCGTGCTCGATCTGGGTGTCAGGGCCAGGAGTAGGGGCGACAGGGTCGTTTTTATTAGAACGATAGCAACAGTTTCTAGCTTGCGTGAGCTCCTGGGCGTGGGCGGCCTTGACCAAACGTTCGCGAATGGTGAACAGGCGAACTGCGCAAAGATGCCCAAGGGAGTCGAGCTGAAGATCGGCGATGGCGTCTTTTTGGGTGACCAGGGCATGATACCCAGTCATCAACCAGGAAGAGATGTGGTAGGTCCGTGCCAAGGTAATGCGTTCGACGGGATCCGCAAGCAAACAACCGTCCAGCTTGGTAATTGCCAACTTTCGGAAATCATTGAACTTCCACATAGTCGAGAGCTTCAGGACCTGAGTCCATTTCTTCTTCGAAAGGGACAAATCACACGAAGTGGTGTGGCTGAGGATAGTCTTTAGGCACAGAAGAAAAATGGAAGACGATGAATTCGACGTACACGGGGAAAAGGAGAGAGAGTAAAGTTCGGAACTCCTCTGCAGATACGTCCGCGAGCATGATAGGATTCTCCTCGCAGTAGCCAGCGTTCTCCTTCGTCCAAGTCTCAGAGGCCAGGTGGTGTGTGGATGTGAAATACTCTGAACTAGCGGCGAACCGGCCCCGCGGGACCTTAAAGAGACATCCTTCAACCTAAAACCTTCACGTCAGGCCAGCAGCAATGTTTCGAGGAGAAGGGGAGACAGACCAGGAAGGTGGCAGTGTCCCAATAATAAACTTTGTCGTGTTTTGTTACCAGCATCCTTTGATACGAGATTGCAAGTTGGAGGAATGGACTTTGAGATAGGTAAGGGTGCTGGTGAATACCTGAGTACCAAGTTTTGTATCGTGCCATGCTGGGTTTGAATTCAAGGGTGCCAGGCTCATCAGCAGTGGTTGGTGTTCTTTCCTAGGTCATCCTCGGAGGGGCTGAGTCAAGGCTGAGTGGTGTTCACGTTGCTGGCAGCTAGATAATCTGCGAATCAGGTTCCGACTCCAAGAACCAATACGGGCCGAATGTACAATGTTTAAAGCGTGTTTGTTTGACCCGCAAATTCTGTATTGAGTTCGTCAACCTACTTAATCAAAATGAAAGGGTTAAATAGAGAAAATCATAGGTCGGGCCATTGGGTAAGGTATCCTGAAAAATCAGGATTGTCGTAGGTCAGATCGGGTCGAGTGTACAGCGAGTTAATCTTCTTGACAGTCGATTTCTTCAACCCATTTCGATTCCCATCGCCCCGTCCACGGATAATCTCGTAGTAACTCAAGGGCGGATCATTAGACGAGAGCGTCCGCAATGAGGGGCAATGAGCAGCAAAGGGCATAACACTCGTCTCTGCATCCTTGAACCACTCTTCCTCCCAAGTCGGTTCCCACTCTTCTCCCAATTCAGTACGTTCAAACTCCACCAACGGATAAGGCGTCGCATCGAACTGGATAAAGTCGAAATTCCACCCAAAATGCTTCAGCGAACGGAAACCTGCAAGCGCGGGGGCATATGCCCAGGATGGTTGAGGCCAGATGATAGCACGCGTTCGTCGTTGGAGGATGTTGGTTCTTGCAATGAGCCTGAGCGATATTAGGTTAGGACAAAGTTCCGCGATGTCCTCGATTAAACGAGGCTGTGCCATCTGGAACTCTAGCCCGCTCAGCGTGATCGCCTGCATGTGGTTAGAGCGTAGGGAGGGTACGAGAGGGACCATGCATTCTTGGGGGATAAGGTATTCGTTGGAAATCTTGAAGTGCGTGAGTCCTGATGGTGCACCGTCTGCGGTGCGACTTGGGCGCTCGGATAACCACGCCGCCAGCGCGGGGACGGTGTCGGGGTCCAGTCTTCTGATTGCCAGGCGTTCCAAAACTTCAATGCATCGGAACTTGGAGTGTAAGGCTTGGTCGGGGAATTGAAGTTCGTCATGTGTCCAGAAGTATTCGAGGGATAAATTGCGGACGTTGGGACAGCAACAAAGGACGAGCCACAAGCTCTCAGGGTCAATCCCCAGTTTTGTAAATCCTAGGTGGAGATTGGTGACCATTGATTTGAAAGGCGGGGTTCCACTCCATAACGTGTCCCTGGTTTCGCCGGGAGGGACGAAGCCGCCGATCAGCGTTAACGTCCGAAGGTTCTCGAAAGAGCAGATAGCAGCCAGAAATTCTCCGTCCAATCGAGCGGAGGATAGGTTGAGAGAGGATATATTGGGGAGGCGAGCAGGCGACAAGAGCTGGGAGGTTTGGAGAAAGAGGCGGTGGAAGATGGGCTCTTCCACGAGGGGATGAAGATCGTTGGCGTCATGGGGATCGCCAGGAAACGTCCAATTAAAGTTGAAGCGCAAAGACTTCACCAATTGGCATTGATCGTGGCGGGATAGGAAATCTTCGAGCCGGTCGATGAAGCGGTGGCGGCATTTCTGGAGGTATGGAAGGATTTGTGGAAGCAAATCAGAGTCGTAATCGAGCTCTAGGGTATATGCTTCCTCCCAATCACTGAACTTCAATGAATAGCTCTGTGACGGGCCGTATGTGATTGACTCTTTCGGATGAATGGAGAACAGACGTGCATACCTTCAAGCTATGAATGCGAGCCCCTTTCAAAGCTTTGCAGGTTCGAGACAAAGCTAACAGCGTCTTTCTCTCACACCTATCGAATATTTCCTCGAAGATTTCTTGTGGAAGGTCAAGGAATTGAAGAGTCTGGAATTTGGGCTCCTTTCGTTTCATCCATAGGTTGTAGGCCTCCACTGCAAAGCGAAAAGCGATGAGCGCACCTCCCGATTTGGTTGACATGGAGCGACTTACAGGAAGCATGCAGTTCAGAAAAGCAGTTGTCCTCGTCAACATCCCACCGTCGGGCCCATTGTGTAAGAATCTCTTCGCCCTCCGGTTTGATTCGGTATGAGGTTTCCGGAAACTCCATGCCACGCAGCTTGCGCGCTGTGGTAACCTCCTCGATGACACATGCGAGCCTCTCGAAATGTCGAATGTACTCCTCGAAGCCTTCCATGTAATCTTTCCATCGCTATAGTACATGTAAGGGTCCCTCTTTCACACTGACAGCTGTTGAAAAGGCACAGACCTGCTCATGCCGTCCAGTCAAGTCAAGATTGCCCTAGAACCCATAGAACCCGGTCAGCCACAGTTGGAACATGCATTGCACAGTGACATACCTTGATAAAACCCTTGTAGATCCTCAGGAAACGTCGTCTCTGCCACTGCAGGACATAATATTCCATCTGGTTCCATTCCTTCTCGGCGTCCCAGCTTTCTTGCGGATCGTCTTGACTCTGCAGATACGCCCGGACCGTCCACTTGATGACTTCCATCTCCTCCTCTTCATAACGCAGCATAAGGACCTTGCGGTCCTTGGGGTAGACGATCTCGAGGTTTCCCTTGGTCGGCCATTTGGTTGGCGTTGTTAATGACTTGTCCGGTAGGTCGTCGAGCGAGGGTCGAGTCATGACTAGCGATGCTGATTACAAGCGGGTGTCGATGATGTGTGGCTGTGTCGGATATCTGGGGCCCTTTTCAGAGGCGTATCAATGCAGACGATTGGAAAAGGGGAAAGGGGCAAGCTCGAATGGTCGACAAGCGCCAAGACCATGGATTGGTCGACAGGAAGAATCCCACGATCAAATGACATTGGTGGGCGCTTAACTCGAGGGGTCAGAGCAGGCCCAGAGGTTGACCGATAGTACTGTAAGATCAGTTTACCGTCGTTAGGAGAGCAGGGAGAGAAGGAGGGGCTTCATCGAGCATGCCACGATTTCCAAAGTGCGTCAGGTAATTGCGGAGTTTGGTCCGAATGAAGAAATGGTGATGAGGCCAACCAAATGGACGACACTGGTTCTCGCAGGTAGAGGTTCCAACGAGGCCATTGAATGGAAATAGGTAGTCCCAGGAAGCTGAGTGGAGATCATTTCAGGGCCAACGAGGTCGCGGATATCGTTGTCAGCGGGGGGAAGCTCAAGTAAGTCGCTCTTTCCAAGTTGGCCTGAGCGTGCGTCCGTTAACGGATTTCCAAGGCGAAAAGGCTGGTTTCTCAGATTACGTATAATGGAAATCAGTGCGAGAGCAGATAAGCCACCCCATGCTGAGGTGACATGGTATGCGGAAGTGGAAGTGAAAGGGAGAAGATAATGGTCACTCTCCTTTCCCCGATGTTGACAGTGGTGATTACTTTCCTTTTAATCATGGGATTTTCCTTGCGGGGGAAAAGACAAGTCATAACGTCAAGTCCTGGAATCTTTCTCCATATGACGCGCATGGCTGGGTCGTAGAAAGCCTTGCATACGCAGGCAATGCTGCTCCGGCGCCTCGCCGTCCTTGCCAGCAAGGTGTTCGAATACAAGTTGGACAATCTCGGGTATTTGAAAACACCTGTGTATGCCTGCTATCATGAGTCACTGTATATTCCAAACCGCCCTCTACAACTCACCTTTTCAATTGCGACTTTACCTCACGTCTACAGTGACAGTCACGGAATAGAGGAGTTGTGCGGAATCAGGAGACCTAAAACTCATCACGGCGATTGCCGAGCTCAACTTAGGGGCTTGCTAAGATCAAGCGCTGGTGGTATCCCTCGACAGATCACCACACTCTGCAGTATAGACGATGCCTTCTCCCCAAGATCCAGAAACATACACAATCAAAGGTGAACAAAGATCTCCAAGTTCCAGAATCTACATTGACCACGTTATCCAGATGGTTTGAAGATCGTAGAACGGTTCTTCGACCTTCCGTTGGACTATAGCAATCCAGACGGCACGAAGATTCGTGTCTTCGCCCGGCAGTCGATCCCTCTCGACAAAGCCAAGACACCAGAAGAAGAGGATAAACTACCCTTCAGTAGGTTCCTTGAATCTCATCAAGTTTGGGGTCACTGACGACGCCGATACGCGCCGTATCTAGTCGTATATCTGCAGGGTACGTCGGTTCTTTAGCAACTGAGGGGCCCGCTCAAATTTCAGACAGGCGGACCTGGCTTTGAGGTTCCCCTCAGAGGCAACTCAGGGTTCGCAGCTGAACTCTACAAGAAGGGCTATCAAGTAGGTTCCCTGCCGAGAAGGTGGATCTTCCCCGCCCACCTAACTCACAACCCCAGGTCCTTTGGATCGACCAACGCGGGACAGGACTTAGCACTCCCCTCTCTCCGGATACTCTCCCTCCCAATGTCAAGTCCGACCAGGAAATTGCAACCTACCTCAAGTTCTTCCGAGCAGACAGCATCGGTGAGTCCTTGCCTACTCCCAAACCCCAACAACCAATCCTTTCAAGTTGCACTTTCGCTCACTCCTCCATCTCGCTTATCCCGACAGTCAAGGATTGCGAGTCTATCCGAAAGATTCTCCTTGGCCACAAAGAGAAACCAGAAGACCAAAAATGGTCCATCATCGGCCAAAGTTTCGGAGGATTCTGCTGCTTGACATACCTATCCTTCCATCCAGAAGGCGTCAAAGAGGCTTTCCTCACCGGCGGACTCGCTCCTCTAGTCAACGGACCAGATCCAGTATACAAGGCACTGGCGCGTAAGTCTCATCCTCTGCTCTCTCCCTCGAGGAGACTGGTTTTGACAGGCGGTATTTGGGATTATCTCGCATCTTTCAGCTAGAGTTGAGAAGAGAAATGAGATCTATTACCAGAAGTACCCGAAGGACATCCAGCGCGTTAGGAAAATCATGACATACCTCGAGGCAAACCAGGTTAAACTTCCGAACGGCGGAAACCTGACTCCACGACGATTCCAACACCTCGGAATAGACTTTGGAATGCAAGGTAAGCTATCTCGCTACTTCCTGTCAGCATATTGACTCTTCGGAACCATCTGTGCATTAGGCGGTATTGATCAAGTCCATCGTAAGCACACTTCGTGATTGGGTGATTGACTTGACGAACAAACGGCGGCCCCAGAAATCGTCCTTCGAGCTTCAAACGACCTCGAGCTATTTGGGAAGCTATCATATAAGACCCTCCAAACAATCGAACATGCTCAATCCTTCGACGGTAACCCCCTCTACGCCATCCTACACGAAGCTATCTACTGCCAGGGGTGCGTCCTAATCCCCTCCCTCCCTCCCTCCTCCCCCTAAGCTAACATGTACATCCAATCAACCTTTGGACGTGACTATAATAGTCAACCCTCCGGCTGGTCGGCCCACCGAACCCTTCAATCTCGTTCCCAATTCCACTGGGACAAAGTAAAATCTCTAAATGACACACAACCCGTATATTTCACCGGGGAAATGGTGGGACGGGCTATCTCTACCAGGTTCCTCTTCAAACAAGTATAAGTATGCTGATAGAAGACCCCCCGAACCCAGATATTCCCGGACATGTTTGACGATTATACCAACCTCCGACCATGGAAAGGTGCTGCCAACATCCTTGCGAGAGATGTCACTTGGGGGCCCCTCTACGACCTCGAACAGCTTCGAAATAACGAGATTAAAGTTTCTGCCGTCACGTATGTCGCTTTTTGCTACCTCCTAGTATACGCAGAATCGGCGAGTTTCCTGACTCCGTATGTATACAGGTACTTCAACGACATGTACGTCGACTTCAACTTGGCACAAGACACAGCTTCCAAAGTGGGCAACGTCGAGCAATACATCACGAACCAACTCGTCCACGACGGAATCCGACAGGACGCCGTCGACGTTATCAAGAAGCTCTTCCAATTATCAAGTCGAGAATTCGATTAGATCACGGGTACCGGTAGTTCTAAAGAGCGTAACATAACATAGAGATAAAGATACACAATCCTAGCAAATGCAAATCCATTAAACCACATTGCCATTCCCCTCTATCCCCTCTATCCCTACGAATCTAATAACTCATACAAACGGCCGCATTAAAATTATACACCCCCGGCCTACTCTCATACCTAAACCCAATCGGACTACACTCGGCCACAACCCTCCCACCCCTCACAATCACACCCTTCATCCCCCCATCAGGGGTCTGCCCCCTCGAAAGCTTGGTCATCCCCGCCCCAACCTCAAACGTCTCCTTATTATTCTCGGTGGTGTACAGCTCCACTTTGGCAGGCGCAGTGGTGAAGACGACGGCCCAGATCTTGTCGTCGGTCTGGAAAAAAGCAGAGTTGCAGTTAGAGTCACTGGGTAGGTAGAGTGGATGGAGGAAGCAGACTCACCAACTCCCAGTTATTAGGCCTCGGAACTCTATCGCTGGCATGTGCCGTCCGGGGATGCGGCCTCGCCCACATGAAGATCTGATCCTTCTTGATAGGGGGGTACATCCCCTTCTTGAACGCAGCGCTAAAGTACGAGTTGAGGACCAACCAGGCTTCGTGTGGGTAGCCGTCAACCCAAGCTTGAGAATTGGGTTGGGCCCCTTTGATTGGTCCGATGTAGTGCGATTCGCCATAGTCTGTGTCACATGGTAAGAAAGGGTCGTTGAAAGGAGGGACGAGGAGAAGAACGAACCGTTCCAGGAGATAACCTGCACGATGTCGACTTTATCCCGCATCGAGATGAGTTGCTCCCACCGCCTGACGAACAGGTGGTCATCGCCTCTGTAGATCCACTAGCCAATGTATGAATATTTTGAACAAGATGAAGAAACAATTGTCGACTCACGTTCTTATTCCAAGTGTCAGGTCCATAATGCGTAAAGAACCACGGCGAAACAGCAGCCATGAATGTCCTCCCCCCAGTCAAGTTCTGCAAATGGATCAGATCCGAATCAAGTTTCGGGTTCACAATTTCCTGTCGGGCGGTCGAGGGTGTGAGTTGAAGGGGCCAACCACCATTCCACTACACACACACAGTGTCAGAATTTTGATGAATAGTGAGGAAGTTTAAAACGCACGTTAAACGCGCCGTCCATAGCCTTAATCCCATGGTACCTCGCCGGATTCACAAAGAAAGAGGGGATGAAATAGACAGGAGCGATACTGCTCAACTCCCTCTTGAAGAAGTCCCATCCGGCTTCCATACTACCTTGCCCCCATGTACAATTCTCGCCCGCAAAAGTAGAGACGATCACCCCTCCCGTACGCGGATGCTTCATCATATGCCGGGATCTCGCATGCGGTGCGTAGTAGTAGGATTTAACTAGGTTGATGTCGTGAGCCGAGTTCCCTGGGATCGAACTGTGGTGTTCGAAAAGTCGAGAAGTAAGCAGGAAGAAGTGGAGAGTGGAAAGAGAGCAATGCGCACCTCATGTCGAAGCTGAAGAAGAATTGGAAATTGATAGCTTCAGGAAGACGGGCAGCGGCCTTGAAGCAATCCGCCACGCGGTCGCGTTGCCATTCTTCCCGTCCGACGTTAAGGACGAAGCCGTCACTGGAGACGGAAACCAGTGATGATCAGTACATAGTCTACTTCTGTATGCTGTAAGCACAACTCACATCAGGTACGAAGCAGCAAGCTTGATGTCTGAAAGCCAGTCGTCGACGGTATATGGCTACAAAGGCGCGTCAATTCCGACCCCTTTCCTTGAACGAACAGACAAGACGACATACGTAGGTATTCCCGACCATGAAGCTACCCGCCCAAAGTCAATACTCTTCATTCGTCGAGACAAGAGAGGTTGAACACGCACTGCGCAACTACAAACCGCCTTCGATTCTGCGTCACCGCTTCAGCTCGAACTTCTCCGAGCCTCTCGCCATGCGCAGCGTATTCGGTTTCTGAGTCTCCTGCAATTCGAAAGGACGTTGTTCGTTAGCCTCGAGTAAAGGTGTCCTACAGGTCAGAAGACAACTCACCCATTGATGGTTCGTCGAGGGGTCAATTGGTCGTACAAGTCGCGAGTAGGAATGATAGCAAGAATAGAGTAGTCGATTTGACGATAGCAGAGAGGGGTAGTAGATGACAGGGAGTAGGCGTTGGAGGTAAAAGTGATGGGATAGTGCACAGAGAGAGAGAAAGAGGTCCAGAAGAAAGAACCAAGCCCGCTCCTCCAGACCCAGGTTGAATATTTAAGACAACGACAACCCGAGGAGCCGCTACCAGCTCCAGGCAGTTCTACAGACAACAACGCGTTCTGCCCAAAAGCCCAAATCCACCACGAGCCACTACCGCTCACAACTGAGATCTGAGAGACAAACGCCGGAATAGACTCGCGCGTTGTTTCACAAAGACAATGGATGCGACCCTTTCAAGCGTTGAGGAGCTCCAACGAAGCCAGGAAAGAGTTGGATTCAGAGGTGCACAACAAGGGATGCCAGCGAGTCTCGGAGAGGTGCTGTTGTTGTGGTTATGAATGTTGGACACCACTCTGGGGATCTGCCTTCCGAGTTCTCTGTTTGAGGATTCCTCTGCCGTTGGCCTCTTCAATCCGATATCCACTTCGACGAGAGAAGTGTGAAGGGTGTAGCAGGAAATCAAAATGCATAGACTAGCGGGTCGTCCATCGATAACGACGCCGTCGGCGGGCAACACGTCAGCGCATCCACGCCCAGACAGATCGCCGAGAATGCTTTGCGGGTTCGTCGCTATTAGCCGGGAGGCATGCTGCGTGTTGAATGAGTGCATTCTGTTTGGCGACGTGCACTGGACTCTGGTGGACGAAAACGCCCGACATGGTAGAAGAACGCAAAAAAGGATGGGTGTGCGGGCCGACGGCCAACCAAAGAGGTCAACTCAATTTCCCAACCTGGAAGACACCAGCTTCCTCCATTACACAAGCTTCACGAGTCAATAGTGCTACATAACCTAACCACTAGTATACAGTTCTCTGATACATTCCATTAATCTCCTCGCAACCGATAGATCCGCTCCCTCAGGGCTGGGACCAAGAACACAGTCTCACAGGCTAAGCACAGCAGGCCCATTAGACGACCTCAGCCTCACTCTCCCTTCTCCTCCGTTGCTATCTCTACCCTTCTCACCCAACCACTCAATCCTCCCCTCAATCCTATTCCTTCTCACCACCCTCCTCGTCACTCTCCGTTCTTTACATTGCCCACGTCCACTGTCTGCACTCGCGTTGTCGTTCTCCATTTCGTCCTCGGCTTCATTTTGATTGAGGACGGAATCGTCAATAAGGAGATCCGCGCAGAACATTCTCAGGTCCGCTGCACCATTCGCCGTCGAGACGACGAAATCACCGGTGTAGGATGGGTAAAGACGGAGTGAAGCGGGCGAGTTGGCTGTCGAGCCGTCATACGTTAGGTCCACACCCTGCGAGGAAGGCATAGTCGAGAGAACGGATGTCGATAAACGAGCATTGGCGGTGTGGGTTGTAATATCGTAGGCTGGCTTCGAAGACCCTGCCAACGAACTCGACGAGGCGGAAAGCGAAATATCAGCACGAAGCTGTCCATTCGAAGTTCGGATCTCCAAATTAGGTTTCTTCCCCTTCTCTTCCAGATAGTCCAATCCTACTTGGACTCGCACCTCCCCGTTTTGTGTCTGGATCAGCAGCGAGTCGGAGGTGTTGAAGGTTCCCGAGATAGGCCCGTTGGAAGTTCGGATTTTGCCTTTAGGAGTCGATAGAGGCTGTTGGATCAAACATCAAAGTTAGTTTCACCGGACGAGAAAAGGAAAGTAAAGAACATACCTTTTCGATAGTGACGGCACCGTTGCTGCCTTTGAACGATACTTCGTGAAAGGCAACTAGATCTTTGTCGACAGCGAAGTGGTGAGCCGTATTGTGAACATCGGTTTCCAGTTTCTTCACCCTCAAGGGTCGTTCGTCGCCGTCAAGTTCTGGTAGGATGAGCGTGGTTTCAAAGTAGATCCTATGCTTCTTGGGATCGCGAATTTCTCGGTCGGGAGTCTACAACATCCAAGTAAGCGCCCCATTCAGATACTTGAGAAGCGATAGGAAACCACGCACGAAGATCCCAACACCCCGCTTTCCCTCCCCGTCCACAATCGAACATACCCTAGCCAAATCTCTGATTTTATCCTCGAAATACCGGACAGTCACTATCACACTGGCTTTATTCTTCTCCTGCGACGGCGAGGTAACAATATTGGCGTCCCCAGCGGACATCGATCCTCTCGACAGGACGATAAACGCATTGTCTTTGGTAGCGCTGAGCGGAATATCGGCTTTAGCTCCAGAATTACGACTGGCGTTGGCGAACGAGGGCAAGATGGATAGAGGAAAGGAGAAGGAAGTTTCAGCTGCGAGAGGGAACGTCTCCTTATCGAGCAAGTCGAGGGCATGTTTGGGTGGTGTGTAGTAGTCGTAGGCATCGTTCATACGATTCGTTCTCCTCCAACCGGACGAAGTCGTGCATTCTCCCAAGACTATTCCACCGGGCACAGGATAGTCTCTTGGAATCTACAACGATACCATCCTTCAGCACGGACAGAATAGGTTAGATATATAGGACTCACCTGATGACGTCCATGCCTATGGCCCACCGTCCACCTCGCAACCTCGACCACGCTCTCCACAAAGATGCTAAACAACAGATAGATAAACAGCGCAATACCCAACGCCTTCAAAAACCTCTTCCACGCCGGTTCATAAGCGTTCACCGCAACCGTATACCTAGGGCCTAACAACCTGGCCGACGCATCCGGTGGAGGCGGCGGTGGAGTATGAGGGACGTTGGCGAGAGGTGTCGGACCCTGCTGCTGATGCTGGTGGGCACTACTATACTGCGGCTGGCCTTGAAAGGTGAGTTGAGGCTGAGGCGAAGGTCCACCGCGCTGAGGATGCGAAGCTGGGAAGCCTGTTGTGGGATATGGCTCGATTACTGGGTAGGTGCCTGCTTGGTTCCCGTATGGCGGTGGGTTCAGGTCTTCTTCGCCTGGTTTCTTGATCATCCTGTTTTCTTCTTTGGTTTGTAGGTGGTAAAGACGGGAATGGGCTTTGGGTGAGGATAAGATCACGAGCTTAGATTTTGTGCGGGGAGGAGACGGACCCTTTCGTATGTCTCTGATCGCAGCACCGCAGCAGGGGTGGAGTGAGAGCGTCCATGCGTTGCATATTGTTGGAATTCCAGAGGCCAGATGGGACACAGTTACAGTAGAATTCACCGTGTGGGTTGATTTGGCGCCCAGTAATCACAGGAGACTGGATATCAAGCAAAGGTTGGCAATTTCAGAACTCGCAAACGTTTTCGACCGTGGTTCACGGTGGGACTCTGGGAGTGCGCTCAAAGCTACCGGCCGTTGCCGGCGGAGGCCTAATATAATGACGTCATAGGCGGCAAAGATCCGGCAATGTTTAGCCCCTGAATGCGGTCTACGGCGCTCTGAAGTCGGTTCATAGCTGTTCGTACAGCAAAGGGTCGACTAAAGCGCAACTAAATGATTGCAATTGACTCACATACGCGCTTTATGACTTGGCAGAATGAAATTTTCCGTGCAGCCACCATTGAGCCATCAAGTTCTGCCCAGTGGTACAGGGTCTAAGGACATTGGAATCGCCTCAGTATCGCAATTATACCACCCATTGTAGCCTCCTCAAGGAGCACTTCCCGTTAACAGCGACCCAGGAGGCCACCACACCGACCGTAGGCGCCCAAACTCGACCGACCCAGACGCGTCGCGAAGTTCTCGCCCACGTGATCCAACGCGTCCAACGGCTCGCTTGCCTTCCCACGCCAACCCGCCGGCCAGTTCGAACCAAGCCCCGTCCGCCACTCGTCTCATCTCATTTTTACCAACCACCACCAACGCTAAAACGCGATCAACAACCCCCACCAAAAACGCCTATATCGCCTTTTATTTCTTTGATCTTCGTCTGGATACGGGGCATTTTTTCTTGTAATCGATTTTTGACCGCCTTATCGAGAGGAGATCCACCTACCAGTCCAACCCACAACCACCACAACACTAGGGTTTTTTTCTCGAACTAAACAACAACTAGACCCACCAGCATGCCTCGCACGCGCAACGTATCGCGCAGTCAGTGGGATGCTGCCAACGCCATGCACAACGCACGCGGCAGAGAGAACGGCGGGCACGACGACAGCGAGAAGGAGAACACCACCGGGCGTGTCACCCGCTCAAGGGCTCGGGGATCTACAGCCAACCCCACCACCACCACTACAGGGCGAACGGTTCTCGGATCTCTGAGCACCACCCGCCCCAGCGCATCTACGGGACCTTCCAAAACCCAGACCAGGGGAAAGGGTAAACCACCGTCGAAGGGGACCAAGACCAAAACGGAGAAGCTCCCGCTCCAGGATATCACCTCCCGCTACCTCCCAGCTCCAGAATCTGAGAACAGGGGTCACGCACAGCCTAGCGGGTTCGGCGAGCCTGAGAACCTGAACATCTCAATGGCGGGTCTGTCGACGTTCTCGTGGACGGGGGCAGCAGACGAGGTTGGGCCTTCTCGACGGACCAGAAGTACCAGGAACACCAATCGGAATCCCTACCCCTCCTCTCTGCCACCTTCCTCCCCCCCATCGGTATCTTCCAACCACAACGCCGGCCCTTCCCACTCCCAATCCAACCACCCTCATCACAGCCTCCCGGTGTTATCTCGCTCGCCTTCTCCATTCTTGGATAACGTGTCGAGAAGACTATTCGGACCAGCCGATACAATCGCAGAAGAAGGACAAGAAGAAGAACGACACCAGGGAGGGCAAGAGCATCGTCATGTCTACGACGCATGGCAAGACTTTGATTTTGTCGTTCCCGAAAGCGAGCTCTGTGGTGCTCGTGCGGGTTCTTCGAAGGCACAAGTGTCGCCTACGAATTCCGACCCTTTCGGGTTCTTTGCCTTGGAGCGCAAGTTGAAGGAGGGGAGGGAGAAAGATGAGGATGAAGAGGTCGAAGGTGTGGTGTTGGTGAAGGAGACTTCTCCGTTTGCTGCCCCTCAAGCCCGACCTTCCTCGCCAGGTCTCGAATACACCGACCCACCGGAAGACCCGTACGACGACCATCACGAAAACGACAACGAACATGCCTCCACATTCAACCACCCTCTTCTCGCCCATTCAGAATCGTTCTTCCTTCCACCAACGCCTCCCACTCCACAGAAGAAGCGGGACAGGAGACGGTCATCTCGACATGGATTTGAATTCAACTTGCAGGAAGAAGATGAAATCTTCAACCCGCGCCCTTCTTCGTGTCCGAGTAGTCCGTCACCTTCAAAACGGTCCTCGGTTAAACGAAAGGCAGTGGCGGTGGATTCTGATGCCTTCAATGACGAGGTGGATGCCGAGGCTGATTCGACGCCTCAGGCACAGAGGCAGAGGAGGCCGGTGAGGAAGCAGGCGAGAACCGAGCAGAAGGAGGAGGAGAAGGGTGATGATGGTGTAGGTGACGATGATGGTCGTGGCAGGGAAGGAGAGCGTGTGTTGCGGCGGTCGAAGAGGGGCAGAACGTCCATTAAGCGAGGGGAGGATGGAGAGGGGCGTGATAATGAAGTCGGGAGTAGCCGTCGATCGCGTTCGAGGAATGCGACCAAGTCCGAGTCTAACGCGAACACGAGGACACGTTCCAGTGCTAGAAAGTCGACGCGATCTCAGGCTGCGCCTGTCAAAGAGAAGAAGACGAGATCGAGAAAGGCTGCGGCTATTCTGCCTTCGGATGATTCTGATGCTGAAGCTGTGAGTACATTTGAACTTGATTCATTCAGCCTGTTGAGTTGGGATACTGATTGGGAGGTTTTCCTTTTCTAGAAACGGGAGCGAGAGCGACAGGCTCGATTGGAATACTTCCGCAAGCTTGATGAGTATGAAGTTGAGACGGAGAATGTGTATGTGATTTGACGAGTGGACCAACCTCGACCAAGGCCGATGAAGATCGGACCAAATGACTTGAAGACCGAACGAATGATGAAAGAATACGAAGAAGTTAACGTGCAGTAAAGAAGTTTCTTGAATTTTCTTGTTTTTTTTTTCCCTACCATGTCTTTCCCTACCCGGATCCCAGTCTGTCTGTCTCTATTCCGCTATGCATTTGTTGTCGATGTCTATGTGTATTTCTTGTTTTCGTTTTCGTTTCGTCGCTTTCGTTCTCGCTTTCGATGATTTGTGTTATTCCCTACCTTATCACCATCGTACATCCTACGATATCCCTACCATGCACTGTTCGTTCTCCTGTCGACCCTCGACCCTCCTGATTAGCCTTGTAACAACGAACATAATGATACTGTACCGACGACTGCAACACCTTGGAGCTCTTGGAGGCCAAGTCCCGCACCAGCCAATCAAAATTGAACAATACGTTTTTACTCCACTTTTATCCTGTTATCACCGTTCTCTCCACTTTTGACATACCAACAGCCAACCAACAACCGTACTTTGGTCCTTCTGGCACCACCCTTGACGTAGTTCTTTCCTAAATGAAGAGGGTCCATGGATCGTCCAGAGTCTAGACTCGATGGATACTTTGTGGTTTACCTGGTGCTGGTGGCTAATTTTGTGCTGCTGTCGTTGGATGGCGAGGTTCGAAGGCGTTGGTCAGTTGAGGGACGATGTTGGCTTGGTTGACTAGCTTTGACAAGTAGACAGGGGTTAATCCAATTCAATTGAGCGGCTTGGGTCAGCTATCTTTCATCAAGCTGTCCATGATATCGTATACAATTCTGTTGTATTCTATCCCAGTAGAAAGGCTACGGATACATACATGCATCTCTGGAAATCAGCGAAACGAGTGTATGGATTCCGGAAACAGAAGTTGCAGGAGAGTGTCGGAAGCCGGTATCTTGGGTCCGTTTAACCTTTCGCGGACGTCTTTCACATCTCCACTCCTCTACCTCTGCTTTCACAAGGGCCAACTTGAATTCCTGTTCGTTGTTTTTGGGGACCTTTCTGCTTAAAACCTTTTTTAGGTTTAGCAAACGAAAAAGGAGACAGTGTGCCGGCGCTCTGGGTTTACTTTGTGGTCAGAAGAGCTTTAAGGATCCCATTCAGGATTCGGTTGGGATTCAAGCTTCTGTCTTCTTGTCACGGAGTTGGGATCTTCTTTTGTGCTCCTTCGTTCTTCTTTTTTAACCGGTGCTAAGTACGGGCTCTCCCTTTCCCTTTTGGCGACGGTCCATCCGTGGTTTTTGCTCCATACTCTCCTCTCGACGTCGTCTCCACCTCCTCGAGTCATTTTCTCTCTCTCTCCATTCCTACGAGCGGGTTTTTGTAGCGCTGTTCTCTCGGCAAAAGCACTGCATATTGCAAAGCAAAGAATCTCAAGGTTCTCGACCCCCGCCGAAATACCAAGGCCAAACCCTTCCCGTCGACCTCTGACCTCATCGTTTTTTTGGAACCTTGTTCGGAAAAACCACACGGTTGTGTGACGCAACGAGCAATCCGAGTGTCACCCCAAATCTCGTTTCCCGTCGTTTCGCTTGCTCAGATCAATTATTTGGACACACAGGAACAGCCGAAACGATTGTCCCTTTGGATTCAGTCAAAAAGCCTTCGGTTCGTTGGTGACTGGGTCTCCTCCCCTCATCTCAGACTCCGCTATCCGACTGTCACCTTCTCTCAGCAAAAACGTCAAGGAGGCATTTAGCTCAATAGCCCAAGGAGCCCAAGACCAACTTTTTTCCCCCTTCTTCTAAAAAAGTTGTTTGTTCTGGGTTCTGTTTAGATTTCGGTAATCACGTACACGGGCCTGCCTTTTTTATTTGCTTTTCAGGCTTTACGAAAGTAACGGGATTACTTATCGAATTGGGTTGGCTTTATACCATCATCATCATCATTCCACAGTCTCCCTCGTTTCCCCCCTTCTTTCCCCCTTCGACCATTTCCTCCCCCCACCGCTCGAGCCTTGGCCTGATCATAGACTCTCTCTGACCCAAAAGTCGCTCGCCCGACCACGACGCTACGATCCCACGACTACTCTAGACGAATCACGACCATGACCTCTCTTCCGTCCTCATCATACCACGCCGGGCCATCCTCACCAACGAACTACAACGGCCACCGCTCCTCATCGTCCTCCGGCCACGGGCACGGGCACGGGAATGGCTCCTCCCCACCGGCCTTCAACCCGGGGCAATCGCCCAACTACTCCTTCACCCGCCCGCGCCAGCCCTCCCCGTACATGCGCTCGCTCCTCGTCTACCTCGACGCTGTGAATGCGCGTGATTTCGGCTCCATGGAAGCGGTCTTTGATGACGCCTTGGAGCACCGGATATTACCCAAATCTATGAACCGCCCTGTCTTGACTAAACGCCAGTATATCGACTATTGGAAGGGGGTTATGTCGATGTTTGCAAAGTTTGAGGTACGTGTTTTTGGCGGTGTTCTGTAGGGCTTGAGGTTGCTGACCGGTGACCGCTGGCTTTGAATGGGGGATTTTTGGTTTTCGCTTTGGGTTGGGGGGTTTGGCTGGGATAGACCGTGGTGCATGAGGTTATAGAGGCGGGTGAGAAGCTGACTGTTCACGTACGTCTCTATTCATTTCCTCTCACATAATACACTTTACTCACCTATTCTCCGTCTCCACTCTACCATCCCCACCACCTTATACGACAGGCCTCAACCCGCGGCCGCTCCTTCTCTGGCACGCCCTACACGAACGAGTACATCCTCCTCTTGCACTTCACGCAACCGCAATACGAAGGCGATCTGCCCAAAATCCGGTACCTCAAGGAGTTTGTGGATAGTACGGCCAGCTTGAACTTTTTTAAGGAGGAGAGTGAGAGGAGGAAGAGGAGGGAGGAGGAGAAGAGGAAGGTGTGGGGGGTGGGAGTGTCGAATGGGGTGTCGGTTGTTGTGAATTCGAATGGGGAGGCTGGTGGGAGTGGACATGGTAATGGGAATGGGAACGGGTACGCCAATGGAAATGGGCATGGTGGGTATAGGTCGAACGGGTATCCGAATGGCAATGGGTACTCCAATGCGCACTAGATTCGGGAGGAGGAGGACAGTTCCGCCTTTCTTGCTCGTCGTCCAACAACACCCCCCCCCCCACCAATTGTACACGCCGCCATCGATTATCGTTCACCCCCTCACCATTGTACTTTCTTGAAATACCCCGCCATCACTTTGCTTCCCGGAGCTGGGCTCGCCGCTTTCGCTTACCCCTTACACTTTCATCGCCGTCGCCGTCGTTGTCGTTGTTTGCTTTCTACGTGGGCTCGAGTCGAATGATTCGGGTCCACTGCGCCCACATCGTCGCTTTCTTTCGCCACTATGCGCTGCTCACTATTACTACTACACCACCTCTTTCAACTACTCTCCCCATTGTATCATTTACCGTCCCGACACCCAGTCCACACACACGCACACAGAGTGGCATGATACCATCCGTCCCCCCTTTGCCTGTTCGCCATCCTTGTATACCATCCCATTCCCCATTCGTATGACTTACTTATACACTACATAAATTGAACGGAATTAGCCAAGCGCTTTTGTAACTGTATCTACTTATAGACTTTTCTTTCGTTTTGGATTTTAATTTGAATCCTTTACCTGAGGTTTTGAGGACTTGTCGGCTCGATAGATAGAGTGTCCAAACTGTCCTCTCGGTGTCTGATAGCATGCCGCGATTCAAGCGCCCGTCTGAGCTTGTGTGCACTCCGCCCGTCACATCGGAAATGAATTGGTTACCTACACCTACCTACCCCAAGTGAATATTGGATATTGAATGGGCACCGCTCCCGATGGGCCGACGGTACACACATACTTAACTTTGGGTGATTCCGAAGAGGGTACCGCCGCCGGATTCGAGAGGCCCGAGTTACTATAGCTATTGAGTTACGGGTGTCCTGGCGGCAGGTGGTGAGATTAATGTAGCTACGTACATTCTATAGAGCTAATTTGTTTACGACATCCCGTCTTTTTTCTACGAGGAAAGGGCTCGGTGTGTGCTAATGAAGGAGTACATATGCACTCTTCTCCCGGATTCTGGAAGTCCATCGCTTCTTTAGTTCGACCTTGATATGACTCGCAACGGCGTCCAGCGCGCCTAAGTATGGGTATACTATGGGTATACCTAACACAGGGCATACGACTCGCCGACGCCGACGCCGACGCCCAAGTGAGCGCCCAAATCTCAAAGATAGGGGTGCATCATACTAAGTACCACCGTTTTGCTTCCGTTAAGCGTTAGACTAGGCCAGGTGCAATACATAGGAATTTACCGCGTTGTACACTCCGCTATCCGCCGCTGACTTTGAGAAGCGACGGACTATGTAGTACATATGTAGTAGAGATCTTTTTAGATCGTCCGAGTCGCAAAGGTCCAATGTGCGCGGCGCGGCGTGCAAAGGTTCTGAATTCTAAGCACTGAAGCGCTGAAAAGTTGGAAGTTAGAAGGCGGCATTGGAGTTGAGTAATATTAATGGTCATTCCTGTTCTGAGTGAGATGTCCTCCGCCCGCAACTAGTACCCGTGAATGTGTTCCTAATTTTACAAAGTGCGGACATACATAGGAAGGAGGGAGCCGCAGGAGGGCGATTTGCTTCCGCTTTTCAGGGGTGGAGTTATTGTCAACTATGTACTTTTGGTGTGACTGCGGCCTTGACTTTGGGTGCTGACATGGAAAGCAAGTTCTGTCCCAGTATTGTTCTGGGGAGCCGCATTTAACGGCAGTCAGTCCTACTCCTGGAGTGGGGCGTAGTCCTACTAAGTAGCAAAATACGTGTGGTGCCAGTGCTGCCTAGTAGTAATACATATGTATTCAGTCCGTCTACTAAGGGCGCCGGTGGAACATGTGGGTGATTCTCGAAAGACTCTAGCGCCATAATCCATTCAATACTAAGTACTAAGTATTTGAGATGACAGGGTGGGTGCGGGATATGCCGCCGGCCGGGCGTGCTATTACTAAGTACAAGAGAGGGAGGGGTGGCAGGGGGCAGGGGTGTCGTCTAAGTGGACGAACTTGGACGAAGGATTTTTGAGCAGTCCGAGTCGTGGCGATTTCTCGGAGTGTTTCAAAATCTCATTCAGTTATCCAGACCTACTTCTACTTACATACTGCTACTTACTGGTAGGTAAGTGGATACATCAGATCGTCCCTCCCCTCTCTTTAGAAGGAGGCCCTACATCATCATGGTTTCAATTGGTCCCTGCATTGAGTGTCGACAAGAATCATGAGGAGAATTATGTACGCACCGTTCACGTCATTAGAGCGTCAGCCTTCCTTCAGTACATACTTGAGCTCTCGAGACCGTAAGAAGCTGTATAATAGCCGTTGTATGTTCCTTGATTTCAAGTTTTGCTGTGGCACTTGATACCCTTTTATTACCGGCTGAAATTGAGGGCTTCCTTGCTGAGTTGGTGCGTTTTCTGCATCCATATTGAGGTGAAGTTTTCTGGATTGAAGTGACATTTTCCATGTCGAGTCAGTCTTTTCCTAGTTGAGATACCTGGGTTAGGTCGCCCAGAGCTTCAAGTTGGGATGGAATGGGAGCACACGGCTGCGACTGCGTGCATCTCGATTGAATTGAATTCATTGATCATTTCAACTGGACTGGTATTCCCCGAATGACAAGGAAAACTGCGGGTGTTGGCTGCGATCGCGTTGACTCGATTCTCGAGATGTACTCAGGGTTGTGCCGGCGCTGATCAATACGACATGCCGGGTGGTACTCGCTGCAATACCAGAACCGACCAATCCAGTTTGCGTGTGAAGTAGCATGGCAAATGCGGATTTCAGGCTCTGGAGTGGTAGGTGGTAAGGGACGTAGACTGCAGTGTACACCTCGTCTGGTTGCAGCGATACAACATCGAAGACGCGGACTGACGTCGCAATCGCTGCTTCGACGCGGCTCACTCCATCGATATTTCCCAGTCTTTAGGAACGTCTTTACCAGTTCTGCACGGCTCCGACTCCCATTCTAGGTTGGCGATGATTCCTTGGACGTTTTCGACACGCACCACAGATTCGCGGTACCCGGGATCATGATTCAGGATTCATGATTCATGATACTCGGTGAGGCAAGTGGATAGATAAGACAGAAGGAATTTGAAAGTCTTGGAGCTGGGGGGGCTGTAGAGAACTCGGCCAACGTTTGCCTGACATGCGTTCGAACTCGTTCTTTCGTTGATGTGCCACAGATTCAATATTCAGATTTGGGTCCTGGTAGCGAGAACAGGAAGGTGCGGACCGGATATGGAAGTGGAGAGGAAAGGAAGAGAGGAGGAACTTCGGGCCATCTGCCGCTTGGATGGGATCAGTGCTTGATAAGATAATTGAAGGAAAGGAAAGTCCTATCAGGAGCCTTTGATATCTTATGAGGTTCGCGGGAGGGATCATCCTGTTGATTTGTTGAGGATCTAGGATATAGTGCATAATACATACATGGAATTCGTGAATCGTCATTGAGGGTAGATGTTGCGTGGTTGGTTGGTGGGTAAGAAGGTCGAGGGTGGGTGGACGCGCGAAGTTGAGTTGTTCTTCCCGGGTATGTCTTCCGTGGAGCCAGGGAGTAAGGCCTTCCGGCGAAAGTGGAAGACGAAGTGGAAGGGGAAGCATCAGAAATCTGGTATCACACCAGTGTCAACGCGATGTTGACGCAGGAGGCGAAGTGAAAGTCGGAGAAGGGGAAGGCGAGGAGCTTGACGGTTGTAAACGCGGAGGTGGGGGGTAATTGATAGGTAGAGGTCGGATCGGCATGCCGGTGCTAGGCGTAGGGGAAGGCGAAGGCGACGCTGAAGGGACCATTGTTATCGTCACACATTCCACCCTTTCATATGGTGAAATATTCCTGCTACTCCGACTCCTCTTTCCAAGTTCTTTTGGCCCCATCGTCACGCCGATGTTGTCTTTCACCCAGTCACGCTGTGCAGTGCATCTGAACGTTAGGACAGGGGTGGAGAAAGGGAGTTTAGGGGGTGGACGTACGACTACATGCCCGTTTGCAGCGTCTCGATAGGCGAGCTCGATGCCGCCAATGAAGAGACCCCAGAAGAAAATGAAGGAGATAGCGACGAGGTAGGCTTTGAAGAAGCGTCTTGCTGCTGCTCTAGCTGGGTGGACCGGTGCAGGCGGGGGCGGGGTATAATAGAACGCCGGTGGTGGTGAGAGTGGAGACCGCGGAGGACGGTGAGGTTCTTGGTGTGCCGACCACGAATGCGAGGGTATTGCGCCATAGTTCGAAGGCGGGGCGCCATACGGCGGTGGAGGAGGCGAGTAGACGTGTCTTTCCGTTGTTGGACTTGAATCGCTCTTTAGAGGCGACCGCTCGTTCTCTTGGCCATGTTCGTTGTCTAGAACGATCATCCTTTTTAGAATTAGGGGGTCCTAGTCCACAGAAAGCTGGGCTCCAACAAGAGAGCTGCGGCGACTGGGTAACGAACTGAGAAGAGGAAGAAGACCGGGAAGATGCTGTGAATCGAGTCACGAAATTATAATAGATTTAGACTGGGCTGCGCATCCGCAGCAACACGTCAACCATTCTGTCTCCCACAGCCGTATGCTCTTTCGTAGGTGACCGGGATCATGGGTTGAGGTACAACGAGGTCGAGGACGGATTTTAAGGATAGAAATACCGAAATAGCCGGCGGAGGTTGAGGGCAATGGTGTCCACGGTGATCAAGAGCTCGTGGCCGACGTCGTGGACGATGAGGTCGAGAACTAGTAGCGGATCAAAGGCGGGCCGTTGATCCATCGTGGGAACATGATTTTGCTCGCTGCTCGCCGAGTCCTCCAAGTCGAACGGCGACCTCGAGCAAAGCGTCCTCAGCGATACCCCAAAATGTTCTCCGACAGCTCAGACGACGAGGGCGAGCGAAATGTCCAACTCACAATCAACGAACACTACGCCAAAGCGTTCAACTACCGAAAAGAGCGCGAGGAGTTGGAAAAATGTGCGTTACCCACCCTGGGCATTGCGTTCCCTTTAATTCTGTTGTAGCTAATTACTGATTGGGAAGAATAATTCTTGCGTGAACAGTGAAAGAAAAGTATGGGTCTGATTTTGAAGAGGAGGACTTGGACGAGTCGACGGATTCGGAGAGTGCAGAGTCGGAGGATGAGGATGGCGAGGAGTTGACGCCAGCGGTTGATGCTGCTATCTTGAGGACTTTGGCCAGGATTAGGAAGAAGGATCCCGCAATTTATGATTCCAGTAAGAGTATATTTGGAGGTACGTGCTCGTTTTAGTCTACCTAGAGCGCGTTGAGCTGATTTTAGATGTATAGAGGAAGCGCAGAATGTTGAGCAGCTAAACCAAACTAAAAAGCCCAAGGACAAGGTGTGTCCCTACTGCCTTTTGTCAATATTTTAACTAACATTATTTCAGTCAAAACCTGTTACAGTCCGCCAAGTAGCTTTAGACGCCGTCCTCCATGGCTCTCGATCCCCCTCGCCCGAACCAAACCTCCCAACCCACGTCGAAGAGCAACGCGCACTCCGAGACGAAACCATCGCCGCCTTCCATTCCGCCGTCCCAGAAGACGACGATGTCGATGACCTCCTAATCCCTCGTGAAAAAACCAAAGACGAGATCGAAGCTGAGGAGGAAGAGTACAAGGCCTACCTCGCACGACAGGTCGGAGAGGATTTACAGGATTTGATTAGTCTCAGAGGGAACTCGGACGATGAGTCTACTGGGAAGGAGAAAGATCAGGGTGGGGACGACGAGAAGAAGGATGAGAAAGAGGGGAAGAAGAGTAAGAAGAAGAAAAAGTCGAAAGCGGAGAAGGATGAAGAGTTTCTTGTGAAGTAAGTTTGCCCTGCCTCTCGTTGCTACTAGCATTTCCGATTCTTATCCATCTTTTACAGCTACATCCTTAACCGCGGTTGGATCGACAAAGACGCAAAACGTGTGCCGACTTACAAAGAGGTCACGGAATCCCAGAAAAAGAAAAAGGGCAAAGCCAAGGAGCCCTCGCTCGAACCCTCCGCTGCCGGTGCCTCAGACGAAGGCAGCGGCAACGAAGAAGAAGATGAAGACGCCCTCCTCTCCGACGCCTCCTTCGAATCCCTCGCCTCCCATTTCGAATCATCCTACAACCACAGATTCGAAGAACCTGGTGCAGCCACTATCCAAACTTTCCCCCGTAACATCGCCTCCGTCGTCCGCCGTACCGACTCCACGCGAAAGGAAGCGCGCGAGCGTAGGAAGGCGAGGAAGGAGGAGGAGTTGGCGAAGAAGAAGGAGGAGGTGAGGCGCTTAAAGGCGCTTAGGATGAAGGAGATTAAGAGGAAGTTGGAGAAGATTGGGAAGGTTGGTGGGTTGCTCAAGGGGAAGAAGAGGAGCGGTGATGGGGAGGAGAGTGGAGATGAGATTCATGAGGCGCTTAAGGAGTTGGATTTGGAGGGTGAGTGGGATCCGACGAAGCATGATCAGCAGATGGAGGGGCTGTTTGCGAATGTGGAGGAGGGGGATGAGGGAGAGGATGAGGATGTTCAGTATGATGCGGATGGCAAGCCTATATGGAAGGATGACATTGATATTGGGGATATCCCTATGTCGGATGACGATGCTGTCCCTGTCGCCTCCTCATCGAAGAAGGACAAGAAGAAAAAGAAGAAGAAAAAGAAGGATGGGGAGGACGAGCAGGATGTGGGTGTGGACATTGACGAGATGGACGCTGATAAAGTGCCCGAGTATGATGATGATGAGGAATGGGACGGTACGGAGGAGATGAGGAAACGGAAGTGGAAGGAGTATATGAATGAGCTGTATGAGCTCGATTTTAATGACATGGTACGTTGCCTTCCACTCTCACCGCTAAGCTCCCGCTAATGCACGTTTGCTCAGGTCGGAGGCATGCCAACTCGCTTCAAATACGTCCCCGTCCCCGCACAAACCTACTCTCTCGACCCCGTGGAGATCCTCCTCGCCGACGACGCCGACCTCAACGAGTACATGTCCCTCAAAAAATACGCGCCCTACCGTAAAGACGGGAAAGTTGACCGCAGTCGATGGGATCCCAAACAACAAGAAAAGCTGCGCGAGTTTAGGAGGAAGATTAGGGAGAGGGAGAAGCAGTGGGGTATTGGTGGGAGTGGCGGTAGTGGTGGGTTTGGAGGAGACGGGGAGGATGGTGGGCCGCAGCCTAAGAAGAAGAGGAAGGGGAAGAAGGAGAGGATGAAGTTGAAGGCAGCGGCTGGGGAGGGTGGAGGTGAGGAGGTGAAGGGTGAAGAAGGCGCCAATGCTGCTGAGGTGAAGGAGGAGAAACCGGCTCCTGTGGAGGAGGGTAGTAAGAAGAAGAAGCGGAAGAGGGAGGAGAAGGAGAAGGAAGCTGAGGCGCAGAGTGGAGGCGAGGATAAGGATGGCGGTGAGACTCAAGATGGTGCACCTAAAAAGAAGAAACGAAGACGGCGCCATGGGAAGAAGGGTGGTGCAGAGGATGAGTTGTAGTGTACGCACAAGCCTCCTAGGCTCCCTGGAATATATCAGGGCTTTTTTATTGTCCATGAAGCGCTGAGCTATTTCCGTGTTGATAAGCGCTCTCGGTGCAATCCGAGCTGAACTTGAATTTTGTGACCATGGATCAAGGCCCCTGTCGTCCCCTTCCGTCACTCATCTTCATCCCTCGTCATCTTTTTTCCCGACTCTTTCCTCCGTGACTCGTCTTGTTTCTCGTCTTGTAACTCACAACTCGACGTCCAATTACCGGTGCTCACTTGCCCGGTCAACCAACTGCTCAAATGGCAAAGCTATGGCCTCGGAAGGAGGGTCTGAAGGATATCACTCGCCCACGACCGACGCCGCATGTCTACCTCCAGATATACGAACGGGATGAGCAGGATGCTATTGACGACTTGATCGCTCAGGTCCTCCCCGGAGCGCCTAAAGGCTCCTCGGACCACTATCTAAGGGGAGCAGAGACGTGTAGACATATCCTGTTGCTGAGGCGGATGAGGTTTCTGCGGATATACAAGGGATTCGTTGAGGTGCGTTCTCCGTTCCTTGCTGGTCTCTTAACAGCTGACACTTGGACGCAGGGCGACTTGGATCTCTCAGGTCGACATCCAGGTGTAACTATCTGTCTCTCTTCCTACCCTAAAGTTGAACGGGCCTTCTGACGACTGGTGTTCCCCCTGGACAGCGATGGGAGGAGTATATTGGGGAGTTTGAAGAGTTTATGAGGGATTTTAGTGCATTGGCTCCTGTGATACAGCCTGTGGAGACGATTCATACGACGTCTTCGGGGCAGGAGATCCCGATTGTGTCGTATGGGATCTTGCGTGAGGGGATGGATGCGTATCGGTCGTTTGCTATGCGGTGGGACATCGAGGAGGCCAATGCATTTTTGAACCTTTCGCAAATAAGTGAGTCTTCCTTTTGCTGTCTCTTGGGGTTTTTATTGAAGGGGGATTTGACTGACCATTGATGAAACCTTTTTGATAGTTCTCGTCTATAAACTTTGGGAGCGAAAGTTGGAACCCAAGTTCCAGAGGTTGAATTTTTTGGACCTGCCGGGCGACGTTCTTGATTTGATCTTGGAGGAGTGTGCACGGGAGGACTTGTTCTCGCTGTCGATGACTTGCAAGGCGATGGACTGGGTCAAGGTTCATTGTCTTCGGGTAAGAACGTTTCCTCGTTTCTTGCTGCATGCTAAACATGGGCCTCGTAGGAAATGACCTTCATCCTCGGAAAAGAAGATATGGAACCAATAGCGATCGATTTTGCTTCCCCCGCCATTCCTCAACTCCTACCGCACCTCATCAAGAGCCGGGACAAATGCGTAGAACGTATCCGAGATAAACGCAATTCACCACACGAGTGTCACCTCATCAGAAAACTCTGGATCGACTTGAGCTGGAATTCGCGGTTTATTTCTCCGGGGTTCTTGGTGGTGTCGCAGGGTTTCCACCCGATTGACGAAGCTGTTCAGAAGCCGATATTCGAACCTATCTATGAAGAGGTTCGTCGGCTACTGGAACCGACCGTCACTCCTCGACTTTCATCGCTATCCTTGACGCTAGTCCGGTTACACTTGAAGGATGTCCGGACGATATGCCAGATTGAAACGCTCCAGTCGATGTCGCTTTTCTATTGCAGCTTTACTAGCGAAGTCATCACGTCCCTGATGGAAGGGACGGAGACCTTTGTCTGCAACGTCAAGAACCTCCACCTCAAGTTCAACGACCACCTAGATCTTGGAGACACACTGTGGCATGCACTGTGCTTCTGCCCGGTCGTTCGGAATCTTTCCCTCCTCGACGGCGGATTCTCGATGTTCGAAGACCAAGTCAACTTCCCCGAGGAACCTCTATGGTCTAAATTCCAGTGCATACACACTCTAGAGCGGCTCTCCCTGACAGGCCTCCACATCCCGCACGGCCACCGCTTCATCCGCTGGGTCCTCACCCGCCGCGGTTCACCGAGCATCGACGCCAACGGGGACCCCAACCACCAACTCAACCTCACCCACTTCAAGATCAGCAACGCGCGCAACATCCCCGACCAAGTCATGTACTACTTTATCTGGCTCCTCCGCTCGGACAAGATCAAAGCCTTCACATTGGACGCTGTGGAAAGCGTTTCAGCTGGCCCGTATTTGATCGAGAGGTTGGCGGAGTATTATCCGAATGTGGAGAGTTTGAAGGTGACGATGAGGGCGAGTGATCGGCAGAGAGTGCTTAAGCCTGCTGTGTGGCCTGGGGAGCTTTGGGAGTATGCGGAGGTGTTTGAGGATTTTAGGGCGTTGAGGCATTTTGGGTGGAATCATGTTGTTCCGATGAGTGCGCCTACGCCTGCGCCTCTTTTGCATTTTGAACGATTGGCGGAGGATGGAGGTGAAGGGGAGGAGGATGGTCCTGAAGGCGGATCTGGGAAGGAGGCAAAGGGGAAGGAGTCCAAGTGGAGGTGCACCGAGGACGAATTGTTCTTTGACGATTACCACCTTACTGCGGCGGCGTTTGCTGCGTCCTGTCCGACCCTCAAGACCTTTGTTTCGAATGATCTCAGGACGTCACCGATATGTGAAGTCGTGCGGGATTGGAAGGGGCGGCCTGTGAGGATGGAGGGTGTCCCGATACGGTGTCTTCGGAGTCGGACTGGGAGGGAGGATTTGATGGAGGATGATCTGGATTATGATTGTCGGTTGCAGATGTGGCCGGACATTCTGGAGTAGAAGTAGGAGTGATAGGTATGTGGGTTTGCAGGAATCGGGGGATGGGTCGCGACAATCCCGCAAATGAATTTAAAGCGGGATAGGCCAACAATGATCATTCATTGCCTTGATTTCCACTCCTTTTCCCAATACATGGGCTGAGACAAGGAATAGAAAACCGTCTTTCTGCGTTGCAGTAGTCAGTGAAGAATATCGTGCATTTCACTACCTTATCGGGTTCGGCAGTGGCCGTGATTGGCTTTTCATGCACGGTCCCTGATGATGTGTTGTTTCGTCTCTGCAACGTGAACCAAAACCGCTAGGGCCAAAAGGGATTGAAGGCGAGTAGTTGACGGACCCGCTGTGATTGCAATCTGACCCATGATAACAGCAATGCATCGATGCCTCGAAATCCCAGAGGTTGTCCAGCTGGTCTTTGAGAACCTTAGCGGTACGGGTAAGGATGGCAACACGCCCGCCAGCATCGCCCGCGTATGCAAGACCTTCCACGACCCAGCGATTCGCGTCATATGGAGGAAGATCCCAGGACTTGACGTTCTTACTTGTCTTTTCTCTCGCAAGGAGAAGGCATTGATCATCAAGAAAGTATCGTCAATCCAGAAACAAAGAGTTGTCACAATGGTACGCCTCAACCGCTTTCAGCCAATCCACTACATCCTCTCACTACATTTCCAGTTCCTCCAGGATTCCGGCTTCTTGGAAGAGGCATCCTTTTCAAAGACGTTCCTTCGATATTCTTCGCTGGTGCAGGAAATTGAATATCCCGAGGATCTTAAACGACCCGTGTTCCACCATTCCGTGCTCCAGGCATTCTACGTCGATATCCAGTCCCCAGGCCCACTCTTTCCCAATGTCAAGAAAATCACACTTCCCTGTTTCTCGGCGAGGCCTTTGGAAGCAATCTTTTACCCAGGAGTCGTGCTCTCTCCTTCAGTCCGCGCCGTCACTATCACGACAGATGAGCTGGTCGACTATGTCGGAGGGACCGGTTCGCTCCTCGACAAAGAATATTGGAAAACCATTGGATCTAGGCTGGAGCCATTTGCCGCCCGACTGTCTTCTCTGACGATCGGGTCGAATACACGCACGACTGCCAACAGTGGACTATCTGTCCCAGTGGTGAATGACCTTTGCTCCAAGTTCGGCCCGATTCAAAGTCTCGACTTGGATGGAGTAATGCTTTCCATCGATACTTTGGTTCTCCTCAGCCGATGTGACACACTTCGCTACTTGGCGTGCGTCGTCCCATCCATCGCATCCCAGTTCCCCGATTCCTTGATGTTCCCGATCCTCGACACCCTCAACCTGGAGATTTGTGGAGTACCATCCGTCTCCGTCTGCAACGCGATCCTTCGACGTCTTCGAGCACCTTCCCTATGTTCATTGAGCCTTGGATACAATGTAAACGACCTTGCCTCAAAGGTATCCCTGGAAGAGACCTTCGTAGCGCTCTGTCAAGACAGCGTTTTTCCAGGCCTTTCGAGAATCGAAATCGACTCAGGACCCGAAGCTGGCCCCGACGGACCCGACACGCATGGCCCGGATGGCCTTGTCATTTCCAAAACGACATTCGATCCACTTCTGGGTTTTGCGAACCTGAATATGCTCATTGTATCCGGGTACTCGCGGGTAGATTTGGACGACGCAGACCTGCTACGCGCATTCGCGTCCTGGCCCAAGCTCACCGAGTTTTGGCTATATCCGAGCGGGGCAAATGAACAGGGGTGGCCCTCTCGACACCAAGATCACGCTCGCGGGGGCCCACGCCGCCCTTCAACACTGCCCAGGCATCCGCCGCCTGTATCTTGCGTGCGATTCCCGCATCCTCCCATCCGAAGGCGACATCTCAGCCTCACCTCATCCCTCGCTAAAAACATGGGACTTCATGAACTCACCGATCACGTCCGGAGATCAGGTGGCAAGGTTCCTACTCAAATGGTACCCACATTTACTGCCCAACCTTTATGCGTTTATGTTTCCCCGCTCCAACCTCCTCCGGTCCTTCGATGTCGAAACTGGAATTGAGAGCGAAGTTGTCACCTTCGAGACTGCTCGAATGGTCGATCAATGGAACCTCGTAGAGCATGCTCTCAAACGGCACAACTTGAAGAAGGGCCCAGTGAAATTATAGATATGTAGATGCACTCGTGTGCATTGAAACGTCTTAATTCAGTATGGACGCTCTAAGCTGTGATTATCCCCGGATGTCTTCATCCGATCGTCCGGGTAAGATACAGATATTCGTATTCGTTCGATAGATCAGAAATGGTGGGTTTATGGCTTCATCGTGGATGCAAGTTAACTAAACGCCTATCGCAGCATATCAAAGACGCGGCATGTCTGCAGAGCCCTCTGTCGTTTCGACAGCTTCTACTTTACGGGCCACTCGTTAAGCATATCGAATGTACGACTTCCTCGCACTTTTGTCTCGACCATTCTGCGTTGCTCCGACTGCGCGATTTTGCGAAGATTCACGGTTCCCATTTTTCCCAACGCCGCATACGTCTCCCTTCCTTGCATATCCGAGCGTCCGTTGGAAGCTGTATTCTATCCAAGCGTCGTCCTATCGCCTTCCGTTCGATCCGTCATCATTGTGACTGACGAAGGTCGACGCCTGGGCCCTGGATCTATCGCCGCCAAGTTTCCAAATCCATGACAATCCTCAGCTCAAAGCAATCGCCAATCGTGTGCGAGCGTTGGTACCGCAGCTTTCTCATTTCGCCCTACCCTCGATGGGGTTCGATGGGATGCAATCGCAAACAGGCTTCGCCCCTATTGCCCGGCTCTAAACGACCTCACATTGATGATTCTCAAGGACGACGATATCGTCAAGCGCATTCCCTGCATTGAGAGACTTTGCCTCCACTTCGGCACCTCTCTATCCGTCCTCGACATTGGCGACCTACTCATTCACCCCGAAACATTCCTTGCTCTGAGTAAACTCGAGTGTCTAGAAAGTGCCAGGTTGTCGGCGTCCGACATCCCAAATTTACCTTCCAGCTTCTCTCAACCACTTTTGTTTCCGAAGCTAAACCAACTGGAAAAGTTCGTAATCAAGTGCCTTGACGGCCTTCAATGCCCTGGCCAAGGTTCTTCTCGCACCATCGCTTGTTGACCTCAATCTCCAACTCTCTCTCCAACATTTCCCGGAAACCGAAACGTTTTTCGCATTATCGCAAGGCTTAATCTCCGATAGGCTTCGCGACATCACCATAGAGATGGGCGATATGGGGCTTTGACTCAAGGCTATTTTCCACCACAAAGACCACCTTGACGCCTCTCCTGTCCTTCAGCAAAGTGCAAAAAATCAACATATCGTATTGCGAACACCCTGAGCTCGATGACGCGGCGCTTCTCCGCATATTTTCGTCCTGGCCGATGCTCACCGATTTTGCGATTCGAATGAAGAGCTACAGGTCGGATATGTATCGTGGCAATCTCACCCTACACGGAGTCTATGCAGCCCTGCAACGGTGTCCCAACTTGTGTCGCCTGCACCTCCCATGCGATGCTCGCCAAGTGCCCGCCATCCCCGAATCCAAGTCGTCCCATCATCCATCCCTGGAGTACTGGGAGATTTATAATTCACCCATTGCTTTCGGCAAGGAAGTCGGGAAGTTCCTTTACAGGTGTTATCCGCGCTGAAGAGGTGGCGAGATTTTCCACTTCGAAGCACTAATAGCCAGCTTGTATGGAGACCTGATCACACTTGAACGCTTGGAGGCCCTTATGATGATGGACCAATGGGGTGACGTAAATCATGTTTTATCCAGAAGGATCAAGTGAAGTGGGATATACTCCTTGCTTCTATGGACGCACCAATGTATATTTTATGGACGTCTGGAGTCCTTTGTCTTTTCCCCTCCGCGCCAGACCCCACTTCCTTTGCCGGGAGCAAGCCAAACGTCCCAATACCATCTTGTCGTACGCAAATGTTTCCCGTCGATGTTCACATCGATGTTCACATCGCCTCGGTATTTACCTACGTTTTTTTTGCACTGAATTTTGCATCGAAAGGTAACTGGGTCCCGCTCAGCAAAGAATTGGGAGAGCCATTACCACATCCATATCCAACAGTTATTAGCCACCACGAATCATATCTGCACCAGTGAGGTCGTCTGTCCCCTTGTCAGACTCATTAAACCCTTCCCCACCTTTGACGGCAGGTTCGTCACCGCAGCCACAGTCGTACTCGTCATCCAGATGGGCACAGTCGAATTGCGGCTTCTTCAGTCTTTTGTTGACTTCGTTGTGGACTGCGCATAGCCTAGACTGGGATAAGCATTCTTCTTGGCGCACATGATAAAGCAACAGACCATAGTGAGGCAGAACGGCGAGAGGATGTCTGTGCTCACGATAAGTGATGGTTAGCGGTGCCCTGAGCAAGGACGAGAATGCCTACACACCTGTGGCGGGAATTTCTTCAGAAGCGCTTGGAATTCCGCTGCACATTCTCCACATGGATATAGTCTAGATGTGAGGTAGAAATATGACCTGAGAGCATCTCTCTCGTCTTGTGTAGGGTTCTAGCCGCCTATGAGTCCACGAATCCCTTCGAAGCTGAAGCTATTCCCACCTCTGGGTATCGAAGTGTCATGGTATGCCTGTGAATCGTCATTAGGCGCTCGCCACGGCAAGAAATGGAAGACAAACATGAGCTTCCAGGTAGCACGACCAAGCGCTGCCCTTGAACCCCGATGTCAGAAATGGCTTGAGGTCTACAATGCGCTGAAATACTCACTTCGCCGTCTCGTTCCCCAGCTTCCCCATAATCACCCCTCCGTCGACACCCAATATCGGTTGATTCGTGTGTCCATTATTCAACGACTTCTCCACACCACCCTCTCCAAACAGCTGGCCTGTCCAAGGATCGATATATGACCTTGACGGTGGGTGAAGCATTGCCAGCGTCGTCAACACCAGCTGACCGTTTCTTGTCAATGTGTGGGTCGTTGGTCGTACTTTCTGGGCCGCTCACCATCAAACCAACGATTAAGAATATCGATTTCGCAAATCTGGATATCATGACGGTGTTGCTGGATGTGCAAGCGAGAAATCGAGAGAAAAGATGGACATTGACACCGTTGTTCGAGACAACGTCGATGACGCCCACCGCCATTGTGATGCCGAAACTCTCGGAGTCTACAATGATGGCTTCTCACGGGCCTTGGCACCTACCAGCCCCCTCGTAAGGCTGCTCAAGCTTTCTGCACTCATGGGGCCTCATGGGGGGCACGAGCGAGCAGAAAACTGCGGTGGGTTGAAGTACTTGTACTAGTATTCACTTGTATTCACTCATCAATAATGACTGGGGTCCACATGGGAGCTCAGTCGATGGGAAAACTGACCAGAAGTTCCTGCCGCAAATTCTCAAATGAGAACCAGGAAGTTCAACGAGTTCCCTCCCTGAGTGTACGCGCGTGACGAGCGTTACGACGGCGTCGGACGGCCACACCAGCCATTCGCGCGATACTCGCAGAGACGCGTTAGTGACTGCTATTCCTCGAGGATCGCGTGCAATGAGGAAGAACGGGGGAATGTGAAGGAATGTCATCTAAGGACATTCAGCAAGTCTTGGAGAAAGATTAACATTCTTGATGGCTTGTTGACCGGGAATTTACGTCGAAAGGGATTTGTTCGGAGGCTATGAGGCAGTTGCCCTCGACGCGGCGTCGATGCGGGGTCGAAGCAAGCGGCTTCATCGCGGTCCACCGTGAGCACAGATACAGCATACGAGGATAATTGTCGGTATGTGGTGCGATAGAACCGTAGTGGGCAAGAACGGCTGCTGAACAGCATTTGAAAAGGGCGTTTCGCCTGAGAATTTTCAGTCTATTCAGAGAAAGTGTCCCTATACATCGCATTACCTTGCTGGTGGGTGTAGATCATAAAACACCACATTTTGCACCCGCGTTACTCCAGAGAAAAGCGGTTCGTGATGTGGTGGTGTCGGTAAAGTGCAAGGATCTCTGTGCGCAAGATTCACCAAAGAACGAAGATCGTGTAAATCGCCGCGAACGTTGGAGGGACCAGCCGGAAAGCATTCGCCGGTACGTTCGATAAAGAAGCCTTAGAGATTGGTTATGCTCCCCGTCCTCTTCCTCGCCCAGGAGTACCCCGGACCGGTCCTCCTCTGCCTCCTCGTCCTAGCCAGTCGTCAGTTGGAAGCCGTTGTCAAGATGTCCAGAAACCATACCTCGTTGTTGCATTCCACGGCCTGACAAACCAACGTTGTTCAGAACTTCTGCCGTCCCAGGATCGTTGGATTAGACGTACCTCCTCTTCCGCCAGGCGCCCCTCGAGCGCCTCTATTCGCTTCTCGTGCGCGGTTCTGTTCCTCCTTCACTGCATCCAAAAGTTGGTCGGGGACGCGAAGATACTTTATCTAACGGCGAAGCTAGGCGTCAATTGCCTCGGTATTCGGACACGATCCCAATGGACAAACGTACTGTGCTGCCTCGAATATAGCATTCCTTCAATTTCCAGAACCTATCTCCCTCTGCACTCGTCTGGTAGACTTCTCGCAGTGTGATATTCATAAAGTTGTCGCAGTTTACTAGATGTCCATTGAAAGTTTCCCCGTTTTTCAGCTCTACCAGCTGTCGAGCTCCCGTGAACAAAAGCCGCCTGAAAGATCGATCTGGGACTCACCATAGGCTTATTCTGGGCTGCATTTAGCAGAGATAGTGGCAGCTAAGAGCATGCGATAAGCTTCGAGATGCCAGAGGCGCTGTGAGGGCGTACCATGTTGACGATCTTTTCTCGTCGTTGTTGGCGACGACCAAGAGTGGACGCGACACCGTCAAGCTCGATGAGGACGGCTCAGCCTGTGGCAGTGTAAACAACTGTGATCGTGGGAACCTTGGCGTTGCATTGGAGCGCCCGTCACCTTGATTCTGAAGGCAAAGTTGGACATCGCTTCCACTCGCGAATGCCGTCAATATGGCCCTGTAGATTCCTTTGTGGTTAACTTACACGAAGAAGGCTTCCTACAGAGAGCGAGGATCTCAGATTATCCCGTATGTGGTGCTCCCATTTCACTTATGTTAGTTCATCACAATGGTCCTGTACTACCCATATCAGGCGACATCCTATTCTTCCGCAAAGAAGATGGTTTGTTACAGCGAACCCTCCATAGGAGTAGAAGAAGGCTAAAGCCGAACATATTGCTGCCTTATCGGTCGTAAGATGGTTGTCTGGGGAGACGAACAGGTAACGCCACTCAGGCTTCCTTCGAGTAAAACTCGGAGAGTTTCCTCGAATTTCGCTGTGGAGTCCCCCAGGCTATTCAGAACTTCCACCCATCCCTATTCAATTGACCTCAGTTGGGCAGTCAGAAGCATAAAATGACGAGATTCGAGGTAAAAGTTAGTCTTGGGTTCATTTTTTCTATAAAAGCTAGCGAGTTTGGCCGCTATATTTCTCCAGGTCCCCAGTTCCTACTACCGGTTGCTCGCCTCTGCCACCCAGCACCATGAAGCTCTCTTTCTTCACCACTGTCCTTTTGGCTGTCACTGCGGCTAACGCTGCTCTCGACGCCAAAATTAAGGCCAAGGGCAGGCGCTACTACGGCAACATCTTGGACCGCAACACTATTAATGATGGTACTGTCACCAACATCCTCAACACCGAATTCGGTGCCATCACCGCCGAGAACTCGATGAAGTGGGACGCTACCGAGCGTATGTCTCCCGGGTCGTTACTCATCGTTCAAGCTTGCTCATCGTCGACAAGCCTCTCGCGGAAACTTCCAGTGGGGCGGCGCTGACCAGGTTGCCAACTGGGCCACTCAACGCAACAAACTCATCCGTGGACACACCCTTGGTAGGCCATGTCGATTGATGATATCATCTCCTATGTGAACGATAGGCCTCTAGTCTGGCACTCTCAACTTCCAGGCTGGGTGAACGGTATTGGTGACCGTAACACCCTCACCCAGGTCATCCAAAACCACATCAATCAAGTCGCTGGTCGCTACCGTGGTCGAATTTATGCCTGGGTATGTTCTCCCAATCCACATTCACACTGTCCCATTTTTAACCGTATACTCTCTAGGACGTCGTCAACGAGGTCTTTGAAGACAATGGGCAATGGCGTAACAGCGTTTTCTACCGTGTTCTCGGCGAGGAGTTCGTCGACATTGCTTTCCGAGCTGCCCGTGCTGCCGACCCCAACGCCAAGCTCTACATCAACGACTACAACTTGGACTATGCTGGTCCCAAGATTGACGCCACTGTACGTTTCCACTCGTATGCATGACCATAATTACTGACACCATACTACTCCAATAGCTCGCCCTTGTAGGCCGTCTCCGCCAACGGGGTGTTCCCATCGACGGTATTGGTACTCAAGCCCATTTGATCGTCGGTCGCATTGGCAATTTTGAAGCTCAACTCAAGCGCTTGGGTGACACCGGTCTCGACGTTGCCATCACCGAGCTCGACATCCGTATCCCAAGGCCCGTCGACCAGGGTAAGCTCCAGCAGCAACAAAGGGACTATGAGGCTGTCACTCGCGCTTGCTTGAACGTTCCCCAGTGTGTTGGTATCACCATCTGGGGTGTTTCCGACAGGCACACCTGGGTCGACGGCACGTTCCCAGGTGATGATGCTCCTCTCCTTTGGGACGACAACTACAATCGCAAGATTGCTTATAATGGTGTTGATGCCGCTCTTAACTAAACTCCTATCGAAAGGAATGTATTGTATTATTAGAGAACTCAATGATTACTCGCTTGTATATTGACAATGGGAGTACGTGTCTTGGACCTGGTTTTGAGTGTTAAACAAGGAAGCATAACTGAATTTCATCGAAGGCCTGCGGAAGACCTCTGGACGTGTCCCTTTTAAGGACACAGCATTGCTAAATATGGTGCTGGACTATGAGGCTTAGGTTTTCTTGGCTCCTCTTGTCTGCAAGCGCTGTGTGTATTACTTCCGGGTCACGAATCTCGGGGCATTTGATTCTGACTACGAGGCTGCTTGCTCCGAGGGTCCAGCTCTCTGTCGATGATAGTCTTCCAATGGAGAGAACATGGGGTCGGCCGTCATGCGACTGCACCATTTCAAAACCTGTCCCGAGTACCTGCTACTTGAATAGATGTTTAAAGCTAGAACCCTTCAGAGCCATAGCTATCCCGTTCGACATTCGGAGTAGGCTGCGTTACACTAGCGCGTTAGTCGATCCGGTCCCACAATAGTACCAGTTCCTGAGTTCCCCTCGTTCCGCTCAGCAGGACGAAACCAGAAGAATCGCAAGCCGGAGCCCTTTGGAAATATCTATTTTCGGTCAGGGAGTGAGTGGCTGGATGGGTAACAATACCGGTACTTATCCAGGTCGAATACCTGAGTAGGCAACGACCATGGAGAGATACCGGCTGAGGGATGGGCAGCAGCTTCTATGACACCCACGGACTGTTCCATAAAATGCGATACATCCTTCGACGCTGATATTACAGGTTAAGACACTTGAGGCAAGCACGTTACAAAGAAAGGCGTTGACGAGCCGCTTTGAAGACTTCTTTGGGGTAAGTTAGTATGATCAAAAGTCTTGGGTGGGAACCTGGGACAATGGAGTGCTCTCACTGCACCGTGAACTGAACAACAAACGACTATGAGATGCAACGCGATAACTTGGCCACCGAAGAATCGAGTTTCGTCGCCGACATCCGCTATGTACTGACCCCGGTCCGGCGGGTGCAATCGTCCCGAAATGGCCGCACATCAGGATGGACGGAGTCACGAGAAACGGCCGCCACGCTCTTTGCTCTTGGCCATGATGTTCTCTGCACCAGCCGCTTCCATTCCCCTTCTATTAGATCTCTGGGGTACTCGCGAAGGTTAATTCAGCGTCTTCTACCGGCTTCTGAATGACTGAGCGTAACCACCGACTTCTTCGCGTTTACACGCCGAGATCGTGGGGTGCACCATGTGTCTCATTGAGGCTTCTCCAGATCTCCGAATTGGATGCGGGGACGCCCTTCTCTGGATTTCCAGGCTTGCACCATCAGTAGTTGAACCCGGGGAAGGGAGAACTCTCTCTCACCCTGAGACGACTATCTCCTCATGAACCTCATGAGTGGAAGTCCACAAACCTACCAGCGCTGTTCGAAATGGCCCACCGACAATCGGGATCGCGACAGGCCAGCATGGGACGGTGCTTTAAACACGCCGCAAGGGTTGTTGCACACTCGCTACAGCATTTGGCTTCCTTCGACAAAAGCTCGGATAAAGGGTTTAAGACGAGCTTGGTCGCCGGCTCGGAGAATTGGGTGTCAGCAGGCATCGAATTCAATCGCAAAACTGATTAATGACGGTCGATGACGAACCTTCCTCGAAAGCCAAGGCGCTAATCACATTGGCCAACCGGAATTTTCAGTGGTGTTTTCTGTGGGTATAAAAGCTAGGGTTTATGGTCGCATTTTTCTTCAGTTCGTTGTTGCTATCTCCTAGGCAATCATGAAGTTCTCTCTCCTCACCACCGTTTTCTTGGCTATCACCGCCGCTAACGCTCAGCTCGACGCCAGAATCAAGGCCAAGGGCAAGCGCTACTACGGTAACATCTTGGACCGCAACACCCTCAACGATGGTACTATCACTAACATCCTCAACACTGAGTTTGGCGCCATCACTGCCGAAAACTCGATGAAGTGGGATGCCACTGAACGTACGCTTTGTTGCACCTGACCTAAAGCTCATATGCTTAACGTCGACCAGCCTCTCGCGGCAACTTCCAATGGGGAGGCGCTGACCAGGTCGCCAACTGGGCCACTCAACGCGGCAAGCTCCTCCGTGGCCACACCCTCGGTAGGTTATCATGAAATTTACAGAACGCCATGCTCTGACGCGCCGAATTCTAGTTTGGCACTCGCAACTTCCCGGCTGGGTCAACAACATCTGGGACCGCAACACCTTGATCCAGGTTATCCAGAACCACATTGCCCAGGTTGCTGGCCGCTACCGTGGACGCATCTACGCCTGGGTAAGCTCCTGCTTCATCTCTGATTGCCGTTGTGGTTAAATGGACCCCAGGACGTCGTCAACGAAGTTTTCGAGGACAACGGCCAGTGGCGTAACAGTGTCTTTTACCGCGTACTCGGTGAAGAGTTCGTCGACATTTCCTTCCGAGCTGCCCGTGCTGCCGACCCCAACGCCAAGCTCTACATCAACGACTACAACTTGGACTATGCTGGTCCCAAGATTGATGCCACTGTACGTTTCCACTCGTATGCATGACCATAGCTAGTGCTGATACCGTTTTCCAATAGCTCGCCCTTGTCGGCCGTCTCCGCCAGCGTGGTGTTCCCATCGACGGTATTGGTACTCAAGCCCACTTGATCGTCGGTCGCATTGGCAACTTTGAGGCTCAACTCAAGCGCTTGGGTGACACCGGTCTCGACGTTGCCATCACCGAGCTCGACATCCGTATCCCAAGGCCCGTCGACCAGGGTAAGCTCCAGCAGCAACAGAGGGACTATGAGGCTGTCACTCGCGCTTGCTTGAACGTTCCCCAGTGTGTTGGTATCACCATCTGGGGTGTTTCCGACAGGCACACCTGGGTCGACGGCACGTTCCCAGGTGATGACTCTCCCTTGCTCTGGGACGACAACTACAGGCGCAAGCCTGCGTACGACGGTGTCAACGCCGCCCTCAACTAAAATTATCAATGTATTGTATGTGTATTTTCAACCAATCCACCAATCCTTATCCCCGTTTCACAACGTTCCCCTCTTACCCCAATTCGAGACATGGATCAGTCCCAGTAAAGAACGATATATTAAGCTCCTGCTTCGAATCAAGGCAGGGAGTGGGAGGGTGGAGAGAAAGTGACAGAGACCTTCCAGTGAACCCAGGACTCAGATATAGTCCCTGCTCCGCAGTTCCGGGCAACCCACGTGTATATTGGCAGAAGTTGCGACGCTAGCCTGGGGCTTTAAAGAGACACGAGTCCGGGTAGCAGCAGCAGCACAGCATGGATGATATGGAAGCATTTGTTCATTGTCGCCTGCGTAAGTAGTCTCAAAGGTCAGGCCAGCCATATTCAACCTCTAGTGAAGAATCCGGGTTCTCTGCCAACAGCTCCTCCCTTCGCTTCGAGTCCACACAATGCACGTGTATCTTATCAATTCCGCTTGTATCGCCACCTCTTTCTCGAATCACCTCACAAAGAGGTTCGTGATATTCCAGCGCGAATGTCTTTAGCGTCGGGCAGTAGACCGCGAACGGCACGACGCTGCGCTCGAAGTCGTTAAAGTCCAGGTCGTCTTCATCTACACATTCCCATTCAAATGAAGTATCCGTGTCGCTCCCGGAAGCCGCTCGTTCGAACATTTCCAACGGATAAGGTGTCGACTCGTGCACTGGGGTGTTGTAATTCCAGGTGAAGTGTTGCAATCGATTAAATCCCTCGAATGTCGGTGCATATGCCCATGAAGGTTTGGGCCAGGCGACTGGCCGAGCCCATTGCTGGAGGCCGTTAGCGCGTACGATGAGTTTGAGGGCGCGGATATTCGGACATAGCCGAGCGATATCCTCAATCATGCGAGGTTGTGCGGTCCTATAATGGACACCATCGATGGTGAGCGCTTCCAACCGCTCAGACTGAAGCGAGACAAGAAGCTGCTGCATCGGTTCATCCTGGATATGGATCTGGTTTCTGAGTTTGAAGTAAGTTAGTTTGTCTCCGGCATTGCCTGAATGAGCGGAACGACGGCTTTGCAGCCATTCCGCGAGAAGCGGTACGCTGGACTCGGCAATCTCCTTGACGAATAGGCGCTCCAGAACATCGAGACAACGGAATTTGCTGTGGAGAAACGCGGGAGGGAAATGAACGGCCCCTTGCCAGCGGAATCCGCCGAAAGACAGATTGCGAACGTTGGGGAAGAAGGGAAGTAGCAACCATTGGTTGGCTGGAGGGTTGTCACAGGGGCCAAATCGGAGGTGAAGGTTCACCACCGGAGAGGTGAACGGAGCCTCGTCGCTTTCAAGAAACCATTCCGTGATCTCCGGCCCGGACAAACTGCAGCGCGAGAATGACAGGGATCGCAGCTGCGGCAGCGAACAGATCCCCCTGAATCCTGTTGCATCCAGGTAGACACGCTCCAAGGAGAGGGAGGTCAGCTGTGGCAAGACGGAGGGGTCGAGGAGACGGCGGAGATGTTTATAGAGAAGGTTGAACAGTCCGTCTTGAAACACCTCGTCCAATACCACGTGGAGTTCTGCGTCGGGATCAATCGTCCAACTCCAATCCACGAGAAGGCTTTTCAGCCTTCGACATTTCTCGCGGTGAGAGATGTAATGGATAATGTCCTTTAGCGATCGCATCGAACACTTGGAAGCGTAGGGGCCCACTCGAGCAGCAAGGTGGGAACGATCTCCTTGAAGCGCCCATTTTTCATCGGATGTGCTGAAGCGGAACTCGCAGCTCTGGTCACGACAGTAAGGTACCGACACAAAGTTGATATGCAGCGGGGCATGGCGTACCTCGTGACAATGATCCTGGGCCCATCGGAGCGCGGTGCACGTCTGAGAAAGGGAAACTAGCTGTGAAACGGTGCAATGGTCAAAGATAGAAACCAGAATATCTTCAGGGAGGTCAACAAGGGTGAGGGATTGAAACTTGGGTTGCGGCTTCTTTAACGATAGATTGTAGATCGCCACTGGTGCCATCTTAATATGTCAGTATCACACCGAGACTCAACAAATGGCGTACGATAGTGGCCAAGCACAATCTTTGCCTCGAAATCCTGGACATCCCACCTCTGAGTCCATTCGCGATACAATTCTTGACGTTCCTGCTGGACTGTATATTGGACGCGAGACCCCGGTTTACCTATCGCCTTTTCAACGAAGGGGGCAATACGGGCGAAGTCAATCATGAACTCCTCGAAGCTGTCGATGAACTCGTTCCAACGCTATTGCCCAAGGATGTCGTTAACTGTCAAACGAGACACAAAATGACTTGCTTACAGATTCATGGCGACCAGTCAAGTCAAGGTGTCCCTGGAAGATCAAAATACTGATTGTGCTCTGAACTGAGAGGTTTCGTGCTACTTACTGTGACAAATCCTCGGTATATATCCAAAAACCGAGCCCTCCTGTGCATGAGGACGCGGCGGGTCAGAAATTCCAGCTTGAGCTTTTCCGCTTCTTCTCCCTTCTCATCCATCCTAAATTTCAGATAGTAGAAACGTTCTATCATGTCCATTTCGGCCTTTTGGCGGATGAGCATATACGGCCCCTGAGCCATCGAAGAAGAGTGATTGACTTCAAGGCCGTCCCTCCTGGGCCATTCAGTGGGTGAGGTCAGCGGTTTGTCCACAGTTACATCGTAAGGGAAGCCGAGGCCCATGGTTTGTTGGCTCAGCGCTTTGAAGGAATTGCAGGTAAGACGCAAGTAAGACGGGGGAAGCCTGAAGGAGTCAGGAGTAAACCCTGGTTTACTCAGATGACGGACAAATGATGGCGGAGATAAAACTTGCTTTCCAATCCTGGCCACGCCCGCGTCTACTTAACGAAATAAACCTCTCCAAATGAGTCGACGGCGTTACATATTTTACATAGGTAGTAACGAAATTTCACGGCGAATCTGGAGAAATAAAATTACAATCCATCCCAGCTCCAAGCCCCTTCATATTCCCTCCTAGACTGAGTTACATCCCGAATTTCCACCCTCCCGCCCACCCCTCCAGTCGCAGCTTCCTCGAAATCCACTCCAGGACTGTGTACATCACAACCCAAGTCGTCCTCAACCCATCGAATTATCTCACAACAAAGTGAATCGTTGTCCAAGTAAAACGATTCCAAAGTCGGACAGTGGGCCACAAACGGAGCTGCGGAGAGATGGTTGTCCCCAAAGTAAAGCGTGCTGTCGTCGACTTCGGAGGGCCAGAGTTCTCCGGGGAAAGCAGTAGCAACCGGCTCCATTGCCTCCATTTCGAAATGTACTAACGGGAAGGGCGTCGGATCCTCAACGGGGATAAGATAGTTCCACTTGAAGTGCTCCAGACAATTGAATCCAGCGAACAAGGCTGCATAACTCCAGGATGGAGCTGCCCAGACGATTGGTTTTGGATACTTTGCTTGAAGGCTGCCGTGTGCGATTAGCCTCAGGGAAAGAAGGTTGGGACAAAGTTGAGCAATTTCCCCTATTAACTCTGGTCGAGCGAATTGACGCTGGATCCCATAGAGAGTGAGAACCTCCAACCTATTTGAGCGCAACGAGCGAAGAAGTAATTGCATTCCTTCCAGGGGGATGTGCACATCGTTCACGATTTCGAAGTGAGTGAGCTTGTCGGCAATGGTGTCCGAATGAAAAGGCCTGCGCATCAAGAGCCAGGACGCAAGAGAGCCAACACTCTCTGACCTGATATGAGTCACGGCCAGGCGTTCCAAGGAGTCGAGGCAGCGAAGTTGAGAATAGAATTCCGAGTCTTCAGGGAGGACAAAACCATTCGCATAGTCGATAGATTCGAGCGAGAGGTTTCGGATATTAGGTAGGAGGCGTAATACGACCCATTGACTAGAGGGAGGTCCAGGTCGATAGGGGCCAAAGCGGATATGGAGATTAGCCACCGGGGAAGACAACGAAAGTGTATTGCCTTCCAACCATTTCGTCAGAGTATCAATAGCAGTGACTTTGCATTCAAAAAGCGAGAGGGTTCTCAGCTTCCCAAGGGAGCAGACAGCCAAGAGTTCGTGGCCATCCAGCAAAACACCAGTCAGAGAGAGTTGGGTGAGATTGGGCGTTCCCTTCGACCCAATGAGGGGGATGATTGCTTTGGACAGAGACTTGACAACGCGTTCCCAATATGCACCCTTCAAGGCCTGGTAGACAGGTGAACCATAATGGGTCCCCGAGGTCCAACAGAGATTGATGACAAGCTTCTCCATGATGGCACATTGCTTGGAGCGAGCAGCATAGTAGGCGATACGATCGAGACAAAGTCCATACGCCTTGATGAAATACGGGATAATTTGGCGGGGAAGGTCAGACTCTGGATCAAGTTTCTCACACAATGAACCCATGAACTGGGTGAAGCGGATCTCGCAGGCCTGCAGTACATAATGTGAGATAGGTAGGACAGAGATATCACTGGCAAGGGCTCACCTTCAGGCAGTGGTCTCTCGCCCATCGTAGCGTAGTGCATGTCCCAGAAACAATGAATAGCTCTTCGCGAGAGCACTCGCTGAACACTACTTCAAGAATGTCTTCAGGCAGGTCGATAAGTGTGATGGACTGGAATTGGGGTTTCGAGCCTTTCAACCAGAGCGCATGCACATCCACTAGGAGAAAGGTGAGCATGCCTCTAACCAAACAGAGAATAAACCCTACAGGAACGAGCAATGATATCCGCAAGGTCCCCCTGATCATGTTCGATCTTCCATCGAGAGAGCCATTGGCGATAGGTATCTTCTCCCTCAGGCTTGACACGATACGTCACGGTATGAAATGTTCCGGTCCACATGGGAGAACACTTCTTCTCCTTGTACAGGAACGGCGCGAGGGCGTCAAAATCCTGTATATAGGCTTCAAAGCCTGGTATGTACTCATTCCATCGCTAAGGAAGAAAGGCTTAGTTTGTGCTCGCCGCACCTACCTCGCCTATTGAGATTGAACGTACCGATTCATGGCGACCGGTAAGGTCCAAACGTCCCTATAAACAGTTTAAGAACACCGCCCAACGACAGTTCTTCGCAACTCGCCTTAATAAAGCCATGGTAAATCCCCAAGAATCTGGCTCGCCTCCACCTTAAAGCATGGGTGTACAAGACGCTAACCTGCTCCACCATAGTGCTTCTCTCGTCTTCGTCGTTCTCGTCGTTGATAAAGAATCCTGGAGGGCCGATACAGAACAAGAACTGGCTCATTTCCTCCCTCTCATAAATCAGCATCGTCGGGCGGCAAACCCAGTCGTACGAATAGCACAGCTTCATGGCATCCTTGGTGGGCCACGATGTTGGCGGGGTAAGCTGGTTCTGTTCAACCAGTTCGAATTCTGTGCGCATTGTGTTCAAGGGGAGCAATGAGAAGGAGTAATGTAGTGGAGAGAGAACCAATTCCTTTGACAGGATGTCGGCGGACATCATGTGATGCCATCATGATGGCGGGGATCCCGGGTTATCGTGACAGGAAAGCCACAGTGCCACCTTCCCACATCCACTGTAACAGCCAGAGCGTCCAAGATGCCAATGGGTCTTTGTCCAGCGATACCATCTCGTCCAAAGGAAAAACCATGAAGACCACTCTGACGGACTTAGCGCCAGAGCTGATTGAGCGAATCTGCGCCGAGGTGCGTCTGTCAAACCCATACTTAATAGTAATTGGATACAAAGGCTAAAACGGGTGTCCCAGGTTGCCTTTCAGTACAACGCAACACCGGAGGACATCAAGGACAACCTCAGGCACCTTCGTCTCGTCTGCAGGCAGCTCAAGTACCCACCTGAGATCTACCTCTTCAGGGACGTCACGCTCGACGCGCGCAAGAAGCGCAGACTTTCGTTCGTGCCTGAAGCACAGGTCCAGGACCACATCGACGACAATGGGTCCATCTTCCGCTTCTGTAAAGTCCTGAGGATCAAGTTTGGATGCAACTCGAAGAAGGAATGGACGGCGACGCAGATTAAAATGCCTGGGATGAGCGACGCGTTCCTTGTCCCCGTCTTGAGCGCGTTTCAGCAGGTCCGAAGTGTTGAGTACGTAGTCCCTGGCTTGTGCTCAATGCGCATGCTAATTTCTCCTCAGATGGCATGTAGAATCAGCGGACCCCTCTCCCCAAATCATAACCGCCCTGCGCTCTCTTCCGTTACTAAAGACACTCCTCCTTCACTTTATCGGCATCCCATTCCACGACTTCCCACTTCCTACTCTCTCCTCCCTTCACAAGCTCTCCATCTCCAATATCCGAGATGGCCGCTACGTCCAGGAAATATTAACCCAGGTCTCCTTCATGCTCGTGTCCAACCCATATCTCACCCACCTCTCGCTCGACTTCTCCAGCAACACCGACAGAAGCATTCGCTTCCCCTTCCCAAGCTTCCCAAAGCCCACCCCCGAGAATCCATTCCCTTGCAAGCTGGAGTACCTACGCTTCCGAGGGTGCGGTTTCAAATTCAGAGGGCGACCCCAATTGGGTTGCCTTACTTACCTCGATATTGACCACACGACTTTCCCCTCAAACACGAACATCTGGGCTATCCTTGGCGACACAGTCAAGCTGAGGACCATAATCGTCGACTCAATACCAGCAACTTTGGCGACGTACCTCCAGTCGTATTCGGGTCTCGAAAAGCTGATCCTTCGAGCTCCAAAGAAAAGGCATTGGGGCGAGGCACAAGGCGGCTGCGATCGAGAGATGTTCTACAAGAAAGTGCTGCCATTGCACAAGGAGTCGATTGTCGCATTGGCATTGTATAACCTATCTCCAGTGTATTGGAGCACCGTCGACGAATACACATCGGTTCTTTTGGAATGTAAAAACCTTGAAGCCCTTTCGGTGGACGTAAGTCTTGAGCACATTGGAGGCCACGTCCGGAATTTAGTGAGTACCCTCTCCTCTCCTTCGTCGAGCAAACCTTTAACGACATGTTTGGCAGCCTGAAATGTTAACAAACCTCCTTACGTTCCCGCTTTTGCGTTCCGTCGGACTATACTGGACTTCCGACCTCCGATTTACCGGCGATCACCAGCTCTACGTGTGGGGCATCGAACGAAACATCATGGAGTTCGAGTTGCCCCATGACAGGGACATTTTCCGCATCTCAACAATCAGAAACTTCTTCGAACCGACACTTCTGGAGGGTAGACATCGCTGGGGGGCTACGCCGGTTAAACCCGTGTCAGGGATTGCAATTGATCTGGGTTGGGTTCTCTGAAGAGGGACCGTGCCAATGCTCTTGAATGGACTTTGGTGGGCGCTTCTTTCCCGATAGCATTTGTATTTGAATACTGAGTGTATGTCAATCCCAGTAAGAATCATCCTTTTAAAGGACGAACGCATCGCTCCAGGGGCATCTATTGCACTCGTTGGATTTCGACGTATGTCAATCGTATTGCCTGGTAAAAATACAAAAACGTACACGGATTTTGAATGAGTCTACCCTAACCTCACTGTGGTCCATTAGAGCCCGGCTCCATCACCGAAACTGGAACCAGCGAGATAGACAGACGCCCATTGATCTTGACGGTTCGCAACCTCGGGCAACGACGCGCAAAGAAGTCCTGTACTTTCTCAGTTTCGCTTAGCGCCCAACCCGTCGACTCCACATCGATGGCGAATTCGTTTAGCAGCAGGTGCTCGACCGCCGGGAAGGTATTGATGAATCGCGTCAAGAATTCGAGTTCGGGCGGCTTGAGGACCATATACCAAGAGTAGTTGAGGTCGAGTGTCCGGATATTGGTGAGCGATTTAATTGGTCCACTGTCTGGATCGTCCACGCGGCTCTGGAACCACTCGTCCCGTCCTTCGGTAATCGTCAAGTCGAGTCCAAGGGTGAGGTTTCGCGCACCCAGCGACTGCAGCACCCCGTCCAACAATCGATGATCGAACGGTCGGTTTGAATTACTGCTGTAGTACTCGGTGTTGGCAACGACGCGCTCGAGCCGTGGTACCTGCGCCGGATCAAGGTCGAGGATCCACGACACATACGCCGGATGGCCCCTAAACGACCTCAATCCAGGCATGAAAAGGCGCTCCGTTAGAGCCTGCGATGGGACACCTGGCTTTAGCCCATAGAGGGTTATCACCTCCAAGGTCGTGTGGCGCGAGAGGAAGTAAGCAAGGTCGTCCGGTGCGATGTCCAACATCTCCTCCACTAGGAGCATGCTTACAATGATCTCCAGCATCCTCAAACAGGAGATCTGAACCGAGGTGAAGAAGTCGTGCCAGACGGACGAAGGTGTGGAAGAGCATTCGATGACGAGCTTGCTGAGGGTGGATGAACTGGCTCTGAGGAGAGACGAAGTAAAGTCATAGAAGAGAGGTAAGAGAAGCATGTCGGATCGAAGTTGGATTTCGCGTAGTGACGACTGAATATCTGGTCCGTGAGAGGGCATGGGGAGGCTTGTCTGCGAGCTCAGGGAGGGTTCAGGTTCTGATGGCCCAGGGACAAGTGCAATGCCCTGCTTCGACGAGCTGACCACTTCCAGCTCAGGTCTCACAGGAGCCGAAGAGGCGGAAGGAGGCGTAGTTGTAGGAGTAGGGCTCAGGGAAGCCATCGGTTTCGGTTTCTTCTTCCGGAATCCAGTTTGAAAGAGCCGTTTGAGGTTGAGAAGCGAGTGTCGTGCTCGACCCGGGAGTTCTACTTCAGGTCGTGGACCCTTCAGTGCCTGGGGCTGCGACCCAAGCGATGGAAGACTAGCCCCGGGGCCTGACCAACATCCAGGTTCTCGTTAGTCCACGCAAATGAAAAAGATCTCATAGCTCACCTTTACTCGTCGCCTCTTGAGGCCCTTCTTTAGGACCTGGTTCGATCGTTACGGGCGCAGCCTGCTTCTTCGTTTTTGAATAGGAAGGCCTTGTAAGTGGCCCGGCCCCAAAAGCACGTCCAGTGAAGAGTGCGGTTCCCTTGCTGATATCCAGGCTCTTGCAACCTTTATTGACAGCAGTCGTCACCAGGCTGCACAAGAGCTCCTGGAACGCGGTTTCCGACACGCGGATCCCCCTCGCAAATGCCAATCCGCCGCACTTTTGAATTCGGAAATCGACGGAGGAGAGGTACAAGGACAAGGTGTGACAGTCGGTTTGCTGGCGGACAATGGCGCGGAGATCGAGCAGCTGTTGAATCAAGTCTTGGAGGGTTTCGACGGATTTAGGGCCCACCATGATGCGGCGAAGGCCCTTCACGAATAGAGCACATCGTAGAGCTGTCAAGAGGGAAGGGGGATAGCCAACAGGGGCAGAGAGGAAATCTCCAAAGGTGTAGTACTCGCTTTGCGTCTCGAGGTAGAAGGTAAAAGCGAAATCGTTTAGCGACCGACATGCTCGTCCCAATTCGAACAACGACCCTTCATCCAAGTAGCTCGCGATTTCTTCCCATACAAGGTCGGGGAAGGGTGTCCCTGAGATATCACCTTTAGGCTTGTCGAAATATGACCCATGTTTCTGCTTTTTGGCCATGCGAAAGAGGTGGGTGTCGATAGAGAGAGGTGCTGTTGAACACGAGTGAAACGAAGCTGCTTATTAGAGCGGGCCAGAAGGAGTCGAGTGCGGAATTGCAATGGACGGAAGCTTTGAGCCTATGGTGATCTGCTGTGATCTGCGGAGTCGTTTCAAGAAGGCAGTGCGCCGGGTGTACACTGTACTATCATTTGCAGGGTCTTGAAACGGATTTTACTCTCTCTTCAATATCTCTATGTGTACTCATTTGAAATTTGGCATTCAGGTTATTAAGCTATTCGGCTATTCATTCATTTAGTCATTTAGAGAATCAGGGAAGTTCTCGTTCTGTGTGCCGAAAGTCATAGTGTTGCAACGACTGTGACATGATGGCGAACACTTCCATGTCACATCATTGGCAACTCCGAAGGAGGGAGCGTGACGAACTTTTGATAGTACTGAAGAGAGTGGCGAAGATGTGTATCGCAGTTAGGGGCTAATGCAGGTGGCGAATGAACGTAATGCTGGGTAAATAACCTGTCGCAACTGGAATCGTCATTACTCTATTGTCATGAGATCGGTGTTGTCTACATCAATCTTGAGTGTAAATTGGATTGTCTGCCAGAAGTCGGTCCATCTCGCTTGAATCCTCGACACGCGAAATAAAGATTCTCCCAAACACTTCGTTTCTGCTGTAGGAGCGGCGGTCACTATCCTCTCCTACTATCTTGCAGAGAATGTTGAAGTCGTGGGAGGCGAAGCTCTTCAGCGTTGGGCAATAACGGACAAACGGGGCGGCCGAAAGCTCAAAGTCGTCAAAGAACAACTCGTCGGAGGGATCCAACTCCTCCCCCTGTCCCATGGTGCCGTCACGCTGATTGCCCGCGGCTTCGCGCTCGAAACGTTCCAAGGGAAACGGAGTTGCGTCATCCAACGCGATCCTATAGTTCCAGATGAAATGCTGTAGGCGCTTGAACCACGAGAACGCGGGTGCGTACGCCCACGAAGGTTCGGGCCAAATCACTGGTTTGGCTGTTTTCTGCAGCCCGTTGGCACGTACAACGAGCTTGAGTGCGCGGAGGTTTGGGCAAACGAGGGCGATCCGCCGAATCATGCCTGGCAATGCTCTCTGGTACTCGATTCCGTCTATCTCCAGCGCCTCCAGAGTATTCGAATGAAGGGAATGGAACAGCGTATACAAATGTCGCTGCGGGATGTGGATACGGTTTGCAATCTTGAAGTGAATCAGTTGGTCGGTCTGCCCTGGCATCAAGAAGAGTCGCTCCATCAGCCATGCACCCAGAGTGGAAAGGGTAGAGGCACGGATGTTGTAGACAGAGAGACGTTGCAACGTCTTGATGCAATGAAATTTGGGGTAAAGTAGCGTAGGGAAGTCAAACTCCCCGTGCTTATCCAGGGCACCGAGGGTAAGATTTTGCACGTGCGGGAATAAACAGAGTATATCCCATTGGCTGGATGATGATGCATCACGGGAGCCGAATTTGAGGTCGAGGTCGAGCGTTGCTTGTGAGAGGAAGGGAAGATGGTCTCCTTCAAGCCACCGTTGAAGGTCGCCCGACCGCTGGACACTGCAGTCGTGACACAGTAGACGCTTCAAACATTCGAGCGAGCATATCGCTGCAATTCCATCGGCATCCAGGAAGACGTGCGTCAGTCGGAGGGTGGTGAGGTTGGGGACGCCGTTGGGTGTCAGGACATTGCAAAGGTCGGCGAAGAGATCCTTGAAGATCATACAGTCGAGCGCTGTGTCCATTGTCCTCAACTCGTCCAACCATAGAGGCTTAGACGTCCATGTGAAATCCACCGAGAGATCCTTCAGAGCCCTGCATTGCTTGGGTTGGGCAAGGTAGTATTCGATATGCTTGCGACATCGTCGATATGCCTTTCCGAGGTAAGGACTGATTTGCGGAATGGGTTCCAATGCAGGATCCAAGCGGAAGTCAATTTCTTTCGGCTCGCCGAAACGGATTTCGCATCCCTGCCATCTCATTAATGGAACCCAACGGAGATATTTCGTGAAGCGCTACGTGCCTTCAGACAATGGTCCCTAGCCCATCGCAAACCGCTACACGTTCTCGACAGTAATAACAATTCTCGTAGTTTGCATCCGTTGAAGATGAGCTCCAGGATTTCGTCGGGGAGGTCGAGCAGGGTAAGACTCTGGAACTTGGGTGCCGCATTTGTCGCCCAAAGCTTACAGGCCTTCACTAGGAGAGCGTCAGAAGCGTTTTGAATGAGCAGGAATGGGTACCTACCGGAATGACCAACTATTCTAGCCTCTTCTTTGTCTCCAATCTCCCACCGCTGGCGCCAGTCGCGGTATTCTTCACGAATCTGGGGGAGGACCTCGTATCGCCAATAAACGGAATCTCCAATGACACATATTTCCTTGATATACGGCGCCAGCCTCTCGAAATCCCGAATGAACACCTCAAAACCCTGCATGTACTCGTTCCATCGCTGTTGTCTTCAGCGTCAGGCCACTGTTTTCAGACTGTCTCGTCAGGAAGACGCAAAGCGTACAGGTTCATGTCGTCCTGTTAGATCCATATTTCCCTATAAAAGAGGTCAGCAATCATCACCACAAAGCCTTGCAAACCACTCACCTCGATAAATCCCTTGTAGATATCCAAGAACCGAGCCCTCCTCCACATAACAACACGATCTTTCACCCACCTCAACTCTCGCTGCCTATTCGCCTCCTTCTCCTCGCCAGTAGACTTATCGTAGAACGTTGCCGCAATGAAGCTCTCAAGATCCTTCAATTCCTCGGCCTCATACATCAACATACACATTCCGTCAATGGGCTCGAGTTCTTCGTGGCACAGCTCGAGGCCTTCTCTCGTTGGCCATCGCGTGGGAGACGTCAGTCGGTCATCAGAAAGAATGCTGAAAGGAAAGCTATAGTTGCTCCAAGACATAAGGTAAGAGAAAGCAGAAGAATAGAATTTCGTAGCAAGTCGTTGTCTCCAAGATGAAAGTCAGAGGTCAAGCTGAACAGGACGATTTTCGAAATTGTTTGGATCTGATTCCCGATCACGGGAATACTCTAAGCCGAAATGGCCGGTAGCCAAGATAGGGGCGGGCGTCTATTTGCTAAACCGAATCGCTCTCCTCGGAACTGTCCGATCTCGTTACAATGAACTTGAGTACCTTCTTCTCCCCCTTGGAGTTTTGAGCCACCTGATACTCAGGCATACCCTGAAAGTCTCCTGGATCTACCTCTTCGCCAAGGACACACCATTTTCCCTGCGGATCATTTAGTACCACAGCCGTCTTACGATTCGAACGGACGGCGACTGACTGTATATAGGAAGCCATCCATACTTATTGACCGGATTTTAGACCCTTTACTCCTTAACATAATGTGCTTGACATTTCCGACGTTGAATGGTGGTCGACCAAACTTCAACGCCCGCAAATTCTTGCCCTTCGCAATCGCGTCTTTTAGCGGTTCCTACGCAGGCAATCACCAAAGGTCAGCCAGGCTTTAACAAGTCACAGAGGTCAGAGAGATACTCACAATATCTCCCTCCTCATTCCACACACTACACTCAATGATCTCCAACAACGGGAAAATCCCACACAGACACTCGATATCCGCAAAGGTCAGGTGCGCACCCGTCACCGCAAACTGCTTCAAAGTCGCTCTGTGCGTCTTCGCAAGGTCAAGCAAGAACGTTCTCGGAATATCAACCTGAGTAAAATTAGTCGGAAGCGCGTACGAGTGGAGCTTCAACACCTCCAAAGACGCTTCCGAATGCGACACGTTCTCGTTGATCCAAGACCAGATGGGGACATAATCTTGAAAGTCAAATGAAGAGATCCGAATCATAAAGTGCTTCAGTTTGGGGCGGCGGGATTCATCAGTCCAGTTTGGCTGGTTGGCGCGGCGCGAGGTGAAGGAGGGGAGATATTCTGTATCAAGGTGCTTGAGGTTCGGAAGGAGTGCGACGATGCTGGTCACAGCGGGCGCTGGAGCACCTCGCAAGAGTAGGCTCTCGAGTTTGGGCAAATCCATGAACACCGAGATCAAGATCGTCAACGGTACACCCCCGCAGCGCTGTCAAGGACCATTAGTAGTCGAAAATAGACGATGAAACCGGGACCAACACCAAGTTCGAGATGGGTAAGCGTAGGACCCAAGGTCTCACTCCATCCCTGCAAAACTTTCGCCGGACCATCTACGCAGAACCATGAAAATCGCTCCAAGCCGGTGAACGAGCTCAGGAGATTCCAGTTCTTGGCTCCAATATCGTAATGAGAGCGGATGCTGAGTTCGACAGGTGGGCGAGGTAACGCTTTGAGGACTGCCAGAAAGCTGTAGAGGACAGAGGTTTGGATGGACTCGCCGGTCCAGGTGAAAGATTGAATGCAGGTGCATAGGGACAATCCGTCCAAGGCTTGCTTATGGAGAGACGGTTCCGCCTCATTGAACTTGGAATCTGGTTGTGACGCCTTCAGAAGATGCTAGATGCCTAATAATCAGATGAAAGAAGAAACACACCTGATTCAGTAACATGGCGAACATATTTTGCTAATTCCGGTCTCTTGATCAGGGTAGACCACGGGTGAACCAAGACCTGATATTCCTGGAAGTGGTGAAGTGTTCGACGCAGTTCGGCGCTCTTCCACCTGTACAGGAGACATGACGCACCTTCGAGAACCTCGAGTCCAGGCGTCGGTACAGCAACGGCGTTGCAATCCTATTGAAGTCTTGGTTCACAAGGGCGCATGCATGCCAATCCTTTCTTCGACTAAGAGAACCGATGATTGGGTCCAGGATATCAATCGGTAGGTCCTGAAAGGACGCCCTGTGCAACAGTCGGTGAATTCCACAGAATGCCTGTGAGGAAATAATCGACGTACATGGCTTCCTTGAGGGCGAGAGACGCGTAAGAACGACGAGCGAGAAATCATACGTTGCTTCATGAACTGAGATATAAACCAAGCCCACCCGCGCGGCAAAACGAGGCAGCAGAAACCTGTTCCCATGATACCTTCGTCAGCACCGGCATAACGTACTTGTAACTGCGGCCAGCTTCTCTGGAAGCGGGCTTCATTCAACGTTGCGATGAAGTCATTGATAATAATCCAACTCTTACACGCGTCCCGGAGAGCTGTCAACAGAACAGGGAACTATCTCCGAAACTGGAAGCCGACGTCAATTATCTGATTCTTCCTCGCACACGGCTAACTCGCCTAACATTTCCGAATACTCCGATTCTACGGTCTCGACAACATCGACTACGAGTAGATACTATGCACACCTTGATCACCAGTTCAAGTCCTCTGCGGAATCAGTTTTGGTGACGATGAACCTGAGGACCACCCGTCCGCCTCTACTATTGTGCATGACCTGATAATCCGCTCGATTTTCGAGCTCATCTTCCTCAAGGTCGTCATCGACGATGTACCATTTGCCCTAGGAAGCAAGGTGAGTTCATGGTACGGATAGATAGATGAAGGGGAATGAGAGAAACTGACGGTGTATTGGAATCCATCGACACTGATGAATCGCAATTTTGAATCCTCGTCTCGCAGCATGAGATTTGTTGCATCTCGAGTGGAGAAACGGGATCGAACGTTGAGCTTTAGCGCTCGTAGATTTTTGCCTTTAGCGATTGCGAACTTCAATGATTCCTACATCGTGTTCTTGTCAATCTAATGTTTACTCGAAGGACGAAGTGTATGACGTACTGACCATATTCCCTTCTTCGACCCATACGCTCGTCTCAATGAACTCCAACTGAGGGAACATCCCACACAAACACTCAATATCCGTCAAAGTCATCTGAGCACCGCACGCTGAGAATTGCTTCAACGAGCTCCCATGAATCCTAGCCAATCCCAGGATGAACGTCCGAGGGACTTCGATATGCGTCATCGCGCTCGCAAAAGAGTGCAACCTGAACACTTCGAGGTGGGGTTCAGGTCCTGGAACGTTGGCAAGGATCCAACTCCAGAGCATGCGCGGGCCTTGGAAGTCTAGAGAGGAGGTTCGGACCATCAAATGGGTGAGAGGAGGGCGAGGGTCGTCTGCTGCCTCCCCGAGAGATCGGTTATAGGAGCGAGAGGAGCCGGAGGGGATGTACTCGGTGTCAAGGTGTCGGAGGTTGGGGAGGATACCCAGAATGGTGGCCACTGCTGATGCTGGTGCTCCTTTCAAGAGGATACTCTCCAGCTTGGGAAGCTGTGAAATGACAGAGACGAGGATGCTCGGTGGAACGCCCGCGCATCTCTGAGGGAGGTGTCATTCAGCGATCTATGTGGCTGATAGGCCATGGGCAAGCACGTACACCGAGCTCGAGATGGGTGAGGGTAGGCCCCAAACGCTCGCCCCATCCTTGCAAGACTCTGGGCGGACCGTCCATGCAAAACCACGAGACGCTCTTCAATCCGGAGAATGTCGTCAACAGGTCCCAGGTATCTTGCCCAACATCCAAGTGAGATCGGATTTTTATGTCCTCGAGAGGTCCAGGTAGGTCTCTGATGACCTCGAGGAAGCGGTAGAGGACAAAGCCTGCATCAGAATCATCTGTCCAGGTAAATGAGCGCAGGGACGTGCAGTGCACCAAGGCCTGGAGAGTTTGCTCGGTAAAACTCGAGGTGACTCGATTATGTATGGACCCTGGGTATAGGGTGTGTCAAAAGCAACTATGGGGAGAATGGGAGGAAGACAAACCAGACTCGGTAACGTGTCGGACATACTTCCCAAGCTCGGGACGCTGAATCAAGGTGAAGCACGGGTGAAGAACCACGAATTTCCCATTCTAGAAATGCCATGATCTTCGTTAGTGTCTTTCTTTCTTTCCACGAGGCATGACGTCGTGAAATCAGGGAAGCCAGTGGAATGACTAGGAATGTCCACCCAGTTTCCTGGCGGCACGAGACCACTCGTACCCGCCGCTTGAGATGGCTTTGGGGAGGAAGCCAGTGGCCAACGCTAGCTTACCTGCGTCGCTACCCTGGAATCGAGACTGCGGTAAAGCAGAGGAGTCGCGATACGATTGAACTCTCGATTGACGAGGGTGCAAGCTCGCCAATCCTTACGATCACTCAGGTTCGAGATGACAGGGTCCAAGATGTCCAGAGGAAGCTCTTGGAAAGACGACCTAACTCCGGTTTTTCATTAGCTGAGCGCTGAGTCCGTAACACCAAGACCAGAAAGAACTCACATTGTAGGACAAGATTCAGAAGTAAAGACGCGGACTTTGAGGACACCAAGCTCACGCTGTGGTGGTTGGGAAAGAAAGAGGGTTTAGGCTACAAGGTTTGTGATATAGTGCTCGAAATGCCCGCTTCCCATGATGACAGTGTTGGTAAGCTATAAAGAGGTTACTTCTAGACCAGGGAAAGATTATCTGGATGAAGTCATAGGACATGTGAGGTCGCCATCCCCGGATAAACGAGTGGTTAGACGGGTGTTGCGGTTAGAGAAACGGGTATTGACTCCGAACGTGATGAAACGATTTTGGTCTTGATTGATTCCGCCTTATCTCTTTCTTCCTTTACCACATCCTCCAAAATGTTCTATGTCATCGGCCTGGGGCTTTGCGATGAAAAGGATATCACCGTTCGGGGCCTCGAGGTGCGTAGCAGAATCCATGGATTTGAATGGAGACTCATCTATTGGATAATAGGCAGTCAAGGGCGCGTCTCGAGTGTACCTAGAAGCCTACACCAGCATCCTGATGATTCAACAAGATCGCCTCGTCCGTGTTCACAATCGACCCTCATATCCCTGAGCTTGACTTCGTTTTCAAAAGGAAGAGTTCTATGGAAAGCCAGTCATCCTCGCCGACCGCGACATGGTCGAAACCCAATCCGACGAAATCCTTCGAGACGCAGACAAGGAGGACGTCGCTTTCCTGGTTGTCGGCGATCCATTTGGAGCGACTACACATACAGATATCATCCTTCGAGCCCGTGCACTTGGAATTCAGACAAGAGTTATCCATAATGCCTCGATCATGAACGCGGTTGGAGCGTGTGGGCTGCAGCTGTACAACTTTGGACAGACCGTCTCGCTGGTTTTCTTCACGGAGACCTGGAAGCCGGACAGCTATTACGACAGGGTGAAGGAGAACGTCCAGCTCGGGATGCACACGTTGGTACTGCTGGATATCAAGGTCAAGGAGCAGAGCGAAGAGAACCTGGCACGGTATGTCGACTGTCCACTTCCTGCTTTTTTCATCATGCTAAACAGTAATCCAGAGGACGCAAAATCTACGAGCCGCCAAGGTACATGTCAATACCTACTGCTGTTTCCCAGATGCTAGATACGGAATCAACCCGACAAGAAAACGTCCTCAATCCCGAATCGACGCTCGCGATCGCTCTCTCAAGAGTCGGTGGAGACGGAAACCAACAGCGAATCGTAGCCGGTACTCTCAAGGAGCTTCAAGGCCAGCCTCCAGAGGTCTTCGGGGAGCCCCTTCACAGCATCGTGATTGTCGGTAAACGCGTGCACTACCTTGAAATCGAGTATGCGGAAGCTTTCGCTGTGGACAAGGAGAACTGGAGACGAGTAGCACGAGACGTATATGGATGTGCCGGTCTGTAAAAAGCATTTAATTCCAATTTTCTTTTGGGGTCTTGGAAGGGTACGAGGAGGAGCGCATGAAATTCCCAAATACGACGGATCATTCCCACGGCTAAATTCTTCCTGTTCGCGCCGGCCACGAGAGCACAGGTTTCAATGGTGTCCCCATACGTTCCTCATGCTCTCTACGCCATCGCCGTGACCTCCATCTCCATCCACATCGTAGGCCACAAACGCGAAAGCGAAGAAGAAAGAACTAGATACGAGTCGCGTATCTCCATCCTCGAACAAATTCGCGACCACCTCCGGAATCCGAATTCCACCACGTCCAAGGATGAGATCGAGCGCTTGAAACGGCTGGCGAGGCCTTTGAAGGAAGATCCTCACGCGGATGGGAGGAAACTGCCTGAAGTAGAGATTGGGTGGAGGGATGTTTGGTTTGGGAGGAAGCTGCCTAAGGAAGACGAGGAGCTGAGCGAGTGGGATAAGAAGGATTTGGAGAGGCGTACGTCGTGCCTTGATGATTCGCTGTTCTATGTTCTGACAATTTTCTGGCTTGTTCAGTCAAAGAGGCTTTTAAAGAAGAGAAGGCTTAGCTCGTGGTCCCGCCGGGCCAGCAACATCTCAGGCATGGGCTTGCCAGCACAATGTCCTCCCTCTTTACGCGACCTTTGCGAAATCTATTGCCTATCCATACCACAGTGCTATAGACAAGGCAATATTAATGGCATTGGGATGGGGGCCAACCCGCGGCCACCTCCTCTCACTCAACACTTCATCAGTCTCTTCTTCCACCCCATACTGGCCTCTCCATGACTCGAATGTGTCCTCGCGTGTTTCCTGGCTGCCTGACATTTGGATCCTCAGCTGGTTCGCCATGATGCTCAGGGTTGTGACCACAGGTGCTAGTGACCGCGCAATTTGAGCATCGGCACGGAAGGTGTGCAGGGTCTTGGTCGAGCGAAGCGTGGCACGGTGAAAGCTGTCGAGAGTTCTGATGAACCGGAGAAGATTGTTGAAAAGGAGTAGATTGGGTGCCTTCGAGGGGTTGGTGGTATGATACCTGGGAGGGATTGGACGAAGGGATGGGCAAGAAGAAGGGCGTGTAGTATGGAATAGGGCAGAACCACAGGTATGGCATGAAAGTCATCGTCATTGGATGCCATGCCCAAGGTGGTTGCATCGTCTGATTCACAAAAGGCGACGGTGTCGCAATGAATGGGCGTTGATATAGATATGCTGGGTCTGTGATCATGACATCAGACATCGAGCAACGTCCAAGGCGGGCGAGGAGGGTCAAACTCACCATCACCATTGAAGGACTGTCGTGCACCAGGGTGGGATTGCGTTGGGGTATTTTGTACAGAACTTGATTGCACATTCGACCAAGTGCTGCGGTTGCCTGACCCTGTCATTTGTGTGGTGGTGGAATTGTCGGTATTGATTTGGTTGTGTCCAACGTCGTTGAAGGTGCAGTTGGAGAAGGTGTAGTGTCGACCTCCTTCAAAGTAAGGCATTCAGGGCAGAGAGTTCTTCAAAAGGATCACGAATGAAGCTTGGGTCTAGGTGAACGTTCCCATTCGACTTAAATATATACTTAGCATTGTCCCCGTTCTATGCGGTTAAGACGATCTGTAAACTTATTCAAAACTATACATTACATACATACATCACATCTACTTGGAGTGCAACTCCTGCCGCACGGGGCGCTGCCCGTTCCAAATCCGGGGCTTCCAATACCCATCTCCTCACTTTCTGCGTGCAGATGAGGGATGCATCGTTCGCAGCCCGGCGCCCCCGGGATGACCGCGGGGAGGGGGCATCGGGCTACTCGGAGATACACGATTGCAGGCTGTAGATCGTACAACATTCGCTGGCACCAATCCTTCCCGAGAACGGGTTGTGCTTCGTTTGTTTCTAAATTTCGGTTCCATCACTAGACGTAGTGAATTCCGGGTATCAGGGGGATCGAATGGTTCCTTCAGTGGATGCTTTCTTGTACATGTACCGCTGGCAATCAGGATGATCAGGGATGATCCCACACCAAATTTGAATACTTCAATCTTGAGTACAGTGAAGTCAGTTTCACGAGGCGGAGAGACCACGAAGCGCTTCTGTCACAGACCATTGAAGCGAAGGTATTATGGTACTATTAAGTACTAACAAAAGACAGTCTGCCCCGTCATACACAGCAAATGGTATGAACAAATGGAATAGGAGGTCCGTTAGAGCCTAACTATCGCGAGCGGCTGTGGCGTCGATTTCCCAAGTGCTATAAAATATCAGAATTCGAAGGTCCATCTACGCCTATTTTAATCCTTATCCCCTGATAGCCGGTGGAGGGATCCCCATCTCGTCACTATCCTCATCGTGATAACTTTCCAGAGTCCTCTGGGTGCTGGAGCTGGGATCCTTCGACCAAGACGCTTCGTTAACCTGGATCACGCTCCCTCGATCTCGATCCCCCATCTCGTACGGCTGATGTTGAGCATCAGAGTAAATACCGTGCGGGCCAAAGTTGATTTCTTGCCGGTTAGCATGAGACGGAGACTCCTGCTGACCGTAAGAGTGGTGCAAAAGCGGTGAGTGAGGTAGACGCCCATGCTGCTTGTAGTTGGGTTTTAGGTTCGAGAGAAGTGGGTCGTGCGTCGCGTATGGCGAGAGGGGCGAAGATGGATAGGACCGTGAATCGAGCGTCCCATTAGCTTTCTCTCTGTAGTAGTTCCCGCCCGCCGCTCCGTTAGGCGCCTGAGTGGGAACTGTGCCTGCAGTGCTTTGGGGTTGAGGAGCCCCGGAGACGCCCGCGACTAAATCGTATCTCGTTGTGAAGAATAGGATGACGTTGAATAGACCGCTCAGGGAGAAAAGGCTTCGAGCGAGGAGGGTGAATTCGTAAGGGACGGGGTTGTTGGTGAACATTAACCAGCGGGCGATGGATTGGGGTAATATGCAAACGAGGTACACGAGAGGATACCTGAATCGTCACGGGGGTAAGAAATAAAGTGGTGGGAGTTGAAGACTGAGTAAGAATTGCACTTGCCAGAGGAGCTGCCGCGCGATACTTCGCATTTCTTCAGCTTCGTGTGTAGTGGCGGGGTTCCTTTTGAGAACAAAGTAGCCGACGGTGTACAGAACTAAAGTGATCAAGCCAATTAACCACATCCAGAAGTATTCGGCCATGACTTGAGCGACAGTGTGTGTTCTAGGAATCCAGCACCCTACGTGGCGATGAACGAGGGTGAGATTCGATACTAGTGTATTTGACGAATAGAAGATGCAAGAGAGGGACTTACAATACCCGGTCGGACCCATTAGATCTTTGGGATGGACGGCGAAAGTGATGAGCTCGATCAAAACCACGATGACCCATACCGCCGCCGTGAGGTACTTGACGATGTGCTTTGGCGGTTTCCAGCGAAGGATCAGAACCGTGAAAGTGTGAATAGTGATAGCCTGAAATACGAAGCCGGTGAGTGTTGATTGTAGTCGAGACAGAATCAAGATCGAGGTCAGTGAGGATGCGAGCTCACCCCAGTCGAAAAGTCGATGATATTCGTCCCAATTAACTTGATGTATCCCTGGGCTTGACATAGTTTGCCCTGGCTGATGACCTGAACCAAAACGAGTGAGCACTAGCGCGGTAATCAGCTGTAAGGATGGGCGTGTACATACTCCTTCGAGGATCCACCGTATCGAAAAGCCACCTCCGATGCTCCGAAGTATTTCGCCAACCATTAAACTCAGGAATAGACTCGAGTCGGCGGCATCTGCTTCTGCCTCTTCGTCATTATTCGCGCTGCGCTTTCTTCGTACAAATACGGTCTATCGCGAATACAGATGACGCAGGTTAGGTCTGACTCCTGAGCAAGGATCTGGACGAGGGACAGCCGTACAAGTTTGTAGAGAAGTAGGACTGTGACGGCGAGCCCTGATAGCCTTGGGAAACAAGTTCAAATAGGTTGACATGAAACTCAAGGTGAGAGAGAGGGAAAAAGACGTACAGGGATGCCTCCACGTAGAGGAACATGAATAGTTGCTGCCCGATTGTGAAGTTGCCAGTCTGGCCATCTTCGTGAATCGACGACATGATTCGTGCTGCCTCTGAATGCCTTCAAAGCAAAGTTGATGTGGACGAGACGGCACAGGGAAGAGAGGCTCTGACGGGGGAGGGGACGGAGCCAACACGAACCCTGTTCATTATACACGTTTCGGGACCAACAGACCTGTCAAATCGCCACAGCAATAGCCAAATCCTCCCAAGGTACGTCTTTGAGTCGGGGCGTCATGATTCTGACATGTATTTACCAGTAACATATCGATACGTTATTTGGAAGATTCGTTGGAAGATTCGGAAGGTCCTTGGAATGGTCAGGTGGGCAGGGCAGTGTCTGAGCAGTGCTGGGGTGGCAGGGGCGGCGTTTGTTGGATGGGCGCTTATACGGATCCAGTGGTTTGCGGGTCGCCGGTGCGGTGCACGTGACTCCCACGTCTAGATGCGCCAATCGCCTGATGGACAAGAATCGGCGAGAGACAAACAGATTTGGTGACAAGTCCCCGGGTGAAGATAGTCGTTCATCCAGATCTAAACCACATTCTTGCCCAGGGTGAAGCCGTAGGACAGCCATAAGAGCATTCAGACTTTGAGAACTTCTGAAACGCCCAGAACCAGAGTGTACGTCGCCAATTCTGGCTTCAGGTCGCGGCAGTGCCAGCAGACGGGCCCCGGGGTATCCCAAATTTTCTTTGTCAGTGGACGGGATATTTTCAGTGCCTAGGGAATCACAAGTGGCCATGATTCAGTCGTATCATCTTGGTATCATCTTCGGATTTTGAAATTGGGGACATGGGTGTCGAAGAGGAAGAAGCGCAAGGACAGTGGGGAGCCGCAATGCTGCGAACGAAAACCGGTCGGCTGACTAAGTGGACAGCCACCGGCAATGTGTCAAATGGCTCGCGCGGGCGCTCGCTCACAGCACCATGCTCGACATGGCCTCTTCTCACTTGAATACACTAGTATGTTATATATTATAGGGTAGGTTAATGTTCAATACACATCATGCAGCAGCTAAAAGTACAAATTAAGCGGATTTGTCAAAGTAATCATACTCGTACCGAGTCTAGTCATCTTTAGCAACTGTCCTTGGGTTCTCTTCGTCTACCGGGGTATATCCAAAGGTGGGGTATCATTCTGGGGTCCATTTCGTGCTCTATACCTGATAGCAGCGCGTATTAGGACTTCTTTCCGCATAGCATTCGTCGTCATCTTCGACTTTAGAGGTACCCGGACCTCCTGTGGAATGTCTGGAAGTCCCTTCTCTGCATTCCGATGGTAGTCCAGCTGCTCGTTAAGTTGATCTTTGGTGAGTTTCTGAATCTCTGACTCATCTAGGACAAGCTTCCGACTCGTCACTTCCAACGCTGCCAACCGATCCTGTTGTTTCTGCTTCCTTGCAACTTCCTTGACCAAATTAGCTTCAGCCTTCTTCCTGTCCGCTTCCACCTGCCGTTTTTTCATCTAAAAGTGAGTTATTAAAACGCCTTAGAGAATATTTACTGAGACTGACCAGATACGTGGGTATATGCAGGTATATGTGACAAGAATTGGCACGCGCGCCTCTCGACTACCCGCGCTAACGCGTAATAGGGGCGTGTGACACTTTGATCTGACCGCATTGGCACACGATTTTTTGGGAACTCTTTTTCTAATTCAGTACCTCAGATACCGTTCTGAAATTTTGCATACACCTTCTCCTTGTCTGTCTCTAGGAGCTCTGTAGATTAGATTTGTGACTCTAGTAGTCAGAGTATGCGAACTCTACTCTATCTCTAAGCCTTTGACAGATAATAAAATTTCAGTCTATACACCTCCTCGAGTCTCTGGTTCTAATTAAGTTGGTGTTTAAATTTGAATCATACATTTTACATGGCAGTCGAAACTTGGATTTTACTGGAGGAGCTGTCTTGAATGAGGCGGCCAAACAGGGTCAAATACCATCACTTCCCCCTACGATTGCGGCTCCCCAAGGACAGCCTTGAAGAGCCTCCGAACAATAGATTAGATTAGATAGCAGTGATCTTCGAGTCAGATTTCATTTCCGTTATCAACACTTGGTTGCTATAGTCTTTCTTTCGTCTATATCACCACCAATATCCCTTGCATAGAATCGGAAGATGGCTTCAGTGTACATCGACGAAGCCGCTGGCTCGGACACCACCGGCACTGGTACCATCGAGGCGCCATACCAGACTCTCGGCTTCGCCGTCTACTCCCAACCCACCGCCAGCTACCTGATCAGAAAAGATTCGGCTGCCGAATACGCTGAACCCACCCAATCCTCCCTGAAAAAGGCCAAAAAGACTGCAGAGGGTATCGAGAAGAAGAAGAAGAAACAAGAGGAGCTCGAGGAACGGGAAAGGAAAGCCAAGGGTGAGGAGAAAGAGAAGCGAGAGAAACTTTTGGAGGAAAGTAAGAAGATCGTCCTTGAGGAGGATCCCGCTTTGCCTAAGGCTCCCAAGGTGTGCCAGTATCTCTGAAATATAGGGGCGATTGGAGCTAATCGTCGGATTTTCGCAGGCCAAAATTACCCATCTCGAAAAGCACCGTGGACAGCGCGTTCGCGTTTTTGGCTGGGTCCATCGTCTTCGACAGCAAAAGGATATCATTTTCATTGTTTTGCGCGATGGAACTGGATATCTTCAGGCCGTTCTCTCTGGTCGTGTCGCCCAGACATACAGTGCCTTGACCCTCACTCTCGAATCATCTGTCGAGCTCGTCGGTAGCCTCCAGCAAGTCCCCGAAGGAAAGACCGCTCCAGGCGGCCACGAACTTATCGTCGATTACTGGAAAGCTCTTGGACCTGCCCCCGGTGGAGACGACGCTTTTACCAACCGACTCAACGAGGTAACGTGTCACAACGATAATTCCCCGAAAACCGTCGGATTAACTCCCATGCCCAACAGAAATCCGATCCATCCATCCAAGCCGACCTCCGCCACCTCGTTCTGCGAGGTGAAAATGCCTCCAGCATCCTCCGTCTGCGAGCCTACATGATGACCGCCTTCCGCGACGCTCTCCACTCCCACGACCTCATGGAGGTCACCCCTCCCTGTCTCGTCCAAACCCAGGTCGAAGGCGGCGCTACCCTCTTCAAACTCGATTACTACGGCCAACCCGCTTTCCTCACCCAAAGTTCCCAGCTCTACCTCGAGACCTGTCTCCCCTCCCTTGGCGACGTCTTCTGTATCCAAGAATCCTTCCGTGCCGAAAACAGCCACACCCGTCGCCATCTCAGCGAATACACCCATCTTGAGGCCGAGCTGGCGTTCATCACCTTTGACGACTTGATGAACCACATCGAGGATGTCATCTGCAAGACCGTCGACTCGCTCTTGGCCAACCCTGTCTCGGCCGCGTTGGTGAAGCAGTTGAACCCCGACTTCAAGCCTCCTGAGAGGCCGTTCATGAGGATGTCGTATGTGGACGCAATCGAGTGGTTGAACAAGAGGGGTATCCAGCATCCTGCTGAGGATGAGCAGGGCAATGTTATCAAGGTCGACAAGGAGGGCAAGCCGACAACCGATGGAACCGGCGAGGTGTTGATGGTGGACCATAAGATTGGCGATGACATTGCGGAGGCGGCGGAGAGGCGTATGACGGATGAGATTGGCAAGCCCATCTTCCTGCACGGATTCCCTGCCGAGTTGAAGGCTTTCTACATGAAGAAGGCGCCCGTCAAACCTGGCCAGGAAGGCGGTCCCGTCTTCACCGAGAGTTGCGATTTGTTGATGCCCAACGTCGGAGAGATTGTCGGTATGTGCTTTGTGATTACCTTTTGCTCTTGTCAACGCCGGCTGATTGAGAATGCAGGTGGATCGATGAGGATTGCTGATGCTGAGGAGTTGCTTGCTGCCTACAAGAGGGAGGGTATCGACCCTGATCCTTACTACTGGTTCACCGACCAGCGCAAGTACGGTACCTGCGAACACGGCGGATACGGTCTTGGTGTCGAGGTGTGTTTTCCATCCTTCCTCCCATCCTTCTCCCACTCATAGCTTTCTCTTCAGCGATTCTTGGCTTGGCTCGCCAACCGATACACCGTTAGGGAATGTTCTCTGTATCCCAGGTACGAGTTAGTCACCGTTAATATTCGACTGGCACTCATTCCACGTACAGGTGGCCCGGACGCGCTACCCCTTAGTCGACGATTTGATTCGGTAGATGGGCTTTGGTTTGGAAGATTCAAGTGTCACTGGAATGTTTATTGGATTGTATTATTACAGAATAAATATGGAGCCTCCCACGACGTCAACATTCTCTGCAAGATAGCAGTGGAGGATAGCGACCGCCGCGTCTATAGCAGAAACGCCATCTGCGATGATCTGCGTTATTGTGATATGTGTACATCTGCCACTCCCCTCTACACAGCAGCACACCCTTGCACAGCCTTTTTGAAGCGACGCCACACATCACGTACTGGACTATTCCGCACTCGACTCTCCTGGCCCGCTCAAATAAAAACCATCTCTTCACTCGCCCTCAACAGCACCTCTCTCTATCGACACCCACCGCTTTCGCATGACCAAAATACACGACAAGCCTAAAGGTGATATCTCAGGGACACCTTTCCCCGACCTTGTATGGGAAGAAATCGCGAGCTACTTGGATGAAGAGTCGTTGTTCGAATTGGGACGAGCATGTCGGTCGCTAAACGATTTCGCTTTTACCTTCTACCTCGAGACGCAAAACGAGTACTACACCTTTGGAGATCTCCTCTCTGCCCCTGTTGGCTATCCCCCTTCCCTCTTGACAGCTCTACGATGTGCTCTATTCGTGAAGGGCCTTCGCCGCATCATCGTGGGCCCTAAATCCGTCGAAACCCTCCAAGAGTTGATTCAACAGCTGCTCGATCTCCGCGCCATTGTCCGCCGGCAAACCAGATGTCACCACTTTGCCTTGTTCCTCTCCTCTGTCGATTTCCGAATTCAAAAGTGCGGCGGATTGGCATTTGCGAGGGGGATCCGCGTGTCGGAAACCGCGTTCCAGGAGCTCTTGTGCAGCCTGGTGACGACCGCTGTCAATAAAGGTTGCAAGAGCCTGGATATCAGCAAGGGAACCGCACTCATCACTGGTGGTGCTTTGGGCGCCGGGCCACTTACAAGGCCTTCCTATGCAAAAACAAAGGAGCAGGCTGCGCCCGTAACGATCGAACCAGGTCCTAAAGAAGGGCCTCAAGAGGCGATGAGTAAAGGTGAGCTATGAGATCTTTTCCATTTGCGTGGACTAACGAGAACCTGGATGTTGGTCAGGCCCCGGGGCTAGTCTTCCACCGCTTGGGTCGCAACCCCAGGCACTGAAGGGTCCACGACCTGAAGTAGAACTCCCGGGTCGAGCACGACACTCGCTTCTCAACCTCAAACGGCTCTTTCAAACTGGATTCCGGAAGAAGAAACCGAAACCGATGGCTTCCCTGAGCCCTACTCTTACAACGACGCCTGCGTCCGCCTTTTCGTCTTCTCTGAACCCTACTCCTACGCCAATTCCCCCTTCCGCCTTTTCGGCTCCTGTGAGACCTGATGTGGTCAGCTCGTCGAAGAAGGACATTGCACTTGTCCCTAGGCCAGCAGAACCCGGACCCTCCCTGACGTCGCAGACTCACGGACCAGCTAGTCAGCCGTCACTGAGCAATCTCGAACTTCGATCCGACATGCTTCTCTTGCCTCTCTTCTATGACTTTACATCGACCCTCCTCAGAGCCAGCTCATCCACCCTCAGCAAGCTCGTCATCGAATGCTCTTCCACACCTTCGTCCGTCTGGCACGACTTCTTCACCTCGGTTCAGATCTCCTGTTTGAGGATGCTGGAGATCATTGTAAGCATGCTCCTAGTGGAGGAGATGTTGGACATCGCACCGGACGACCTTGCTTACTTCCTCTCGCGCCACACGACCTTGGAGGTGATAACCCTCTATGGGCTAAAGCCAGGTGTCCCATCGCAGGCTCTAACGGAGCGCCTTTTCATGCCTGGGCTGAGGTCGTTTAGGGGCCATCCAGCGTATGTGTCGTGGATCCTCGACCTTGATCCGGCGCAGGTACCACGGCTCGAGCGCGTCGTTGCCAACACCGAGTACTACAGCAGTAGTTCAAACCGACCGTTCGATCATCGATTGTTGGACGGGGTGCTGCAGTCGCTGGGTGCGCGAAACCTCACCCTTGGACTTGACTTGACGATTACCGAAGGACGGGACGAGTGGTTCCAGAGCCGCGTGGACGATCCAGACAGTGGACCAATTAAATCGCTCACCAATATCCGGACACTCGACCTCAACTACTCTTGGTATATGGTCCTCAAGCCGCCCGAACTCGAATTCTTGACGCAATTCATCAATACCTTCCCGGCGGTCGAGCACCTGCTGCTAAACGAATTCGCCATCGATGTGGAGTCGACGGGTTGGGCGCTAAGCGAAACTGAGAAAGTACAGGACTTCTTTGCGCGTCGTTGCCCGAGTTTGCGAACCGTCAAGATCAATGGGCGTCTGTCTATCTCGCTGGTTCCAGTTTCGGTGATGGAGCCGGGCTCTAATGGACCACAGTGAGGTTAGGGTAGACTCATTCAAAATCCGTGTACGTTTTTGTATTTTTACCAGTTAATACGACTGGCATACTATGTCAAAATCAACAGCGCAATAGATGCCCCTGGAGGTTTCACTGTCGCCGCAGTACTAGGAACTGGACCTCTCAGGGTACGCGAATCACTCTCCTCTATTTTCTGACATGGATCACAATTACTAGATAGCAAGATAAAGATAGTACTATATTACACGCCCGCAAAGAAGCAGCAGCACAACACAGATAAGATTAAGAAGTTAGAACGGGCCAACCTTCGTCCACAAGGTCACCTCACTTCTTCCCATTCAAATTCCTATCATCCCACAAGAACACCCTAGCAGTCGCCAACGCCCTCATCCTCACCTCCCACTCCCCAAACTCACACACTCCAAAATCCTGGATCGTCATATACGGCGCGAGTGTCATCCAAAAATTGTACTCCCCAGGGGCCAAATCCGCTGGCTTACCGACCACCTTGGGGCCGTAGATTTTGGTGAAGTGGGGTTTGGGCGGGTTGTGCCCGCAGGTGGTTATGTAGCCGCCGAGGACGGTGCGGGCTTCTGGGGAGAGGGAGGAGAGCATTTCGGAGGTGAAGCGTCGGGCGATGAGGGTCAAGGGGAGGCGGAAGGGGTAGGTTGTGTGGTCTTGGGGGAGGCGGGTGTATGAGGAGCCTGATGGGATTTCGAGTTCTACAGATGAGATGGGGGATTGGGAAAAGGTTAGTGTTGATTAAATATTGGCCGCGACGCGACGTACGCAAAAGTTCCTGAGACTCGGGCAACGAGCTCGCCTTCCATGCTCGGCTCGAGGGCGTTTCACGCGGGAGCTTCTCAAACGCCGCGTGCCATCTTACAACCACATCTTCAAGTTTCTTGAGCTCCTCAGGATCAGGCTCAAGGAAGGCTTTGTCTTTCTCGACGACCAAGGACGAGCAGCCCCACTTGTGGTGTTGCTTCCAGTGTAGTTTTTGGCATTTTTGGCTCTGTAGATGTAGTGTTCGTTGGCCAAGTCAGATTTATCATTTGGATAACGAAGAGATGGTGTCTTTGTTGCAGGGATAAACGCACGCAGTAGGAGTAGTCTTTGCATACTGAACATCGGCTCTTGGCCACTGCGCCTTCTTCAACGTCGGGGCAGTCATCGAATTCGCAGTACCCTGAAGGCTTTGGGGCGGGGAGAACTGTGGTATCTGGGGTCGTGGCGGAGCTGGACATGGTGGTGGTTCTGGTCGAAGTTCTAGTCAACTTGGATGGCTTCTTAAAAGCTTAAACTTTCGAAGATAATGTCAGGGCATTATGTAAGGAAAAAACGTGCCCGTGACGAGTTTGATCAGTTTAGGAGCTAGCGGGTGAATTACCTGGCGTGCATTTAAATTTTACAATTCTCTCAAAGGAAGACTTGGTTATGGCTTGGAAGGCCAACGACTCGATAACGGTGCTAGGAAACTGGTACTATTACATGTTGTACAGAGAGGCAATTGCAACTGATGCGCCAATGAGGCGCGTGCAATATTTTCCCGACGCGTCGCGTCGCGTTATGTCGTCGTAGGTACTTTATCCTCCTCTGACGACGCCGTCATCGTTCCAGAGCATCTTCCTCGCCAGAGACAGGGCAAGCCACCTATCGCCCCACTCCTTCAACTCGCCTTCCATATCCTGTTCGACGAACATCGGTATCAAGTCCACGACTGTCTCATACTCCCCCGGCGACAAATCAGCAGGCTTGTGCACGACCTTGGGTCCGTACATTTTACCCCAACCGTGAGGAAGTTGTGCTGCTTCGCCCGTCTTTCAGATTTTGTCGGGGATGGTTTCGAGGGCTGAAGGGATTGGCGGGAGGAGCATGGAGGAGAGGAAGCGCCTTCGGAGCAAACTGTGAAAGCGCACCTCCGGGAAGTGCGAGTACTAACTACCACTCGCTTCTGGAGCTTTTACTTCGACTGCACTCTTCTGACTCCGTTGTTTCATTGAAACTTGACGCAGGCACGGAATCAAAGAGCCAGCACCAGTCGATTTATTCCAGGATAACGAGCTGCGTTTACTGTACGAAGCGCCAGTGTTCGTCCGCCTACCAGAGTTTACCCGAGGTTAACAGTGAATTGGTATGATTTTCATCATATGGATGGGGAGGTGAAGGATGAAGATGATTATGAGGAGTATGGGTGTACGTGTTGTGCGTGGTTGGGGTTGCCTCAGTACTAGTACTAAGTAGGGGGTGGGGTGCTCGATAATTATTTAATTCATTTGTGCTGGATTCTTGGTTTCTGGGACATTTTGGGTCGTTATTTTTGTAGTATGTATCTAGGTTGTGTTGTAAATATACTCTTGTAATTTTATGGACACTTTCATACGTCGCATGAACAGACCCCTCGCCGCCTATTTGTTATCTTATCTATATTAGGTGGCTGTACGATAATCGTGATGATGACAGCGGAAGCGGATTCAGCAAAACACCTCTCTTGTTCTCCGCCATATCGTTGAGCTGTTTCACTATGTCCAACGCTCGAGGTACCAAACGACTACAGGCAAGCGGACACGCCTCTGAACCGCCTCGAAAGATCCAGAGGTCGACTCGGATAAAAACAGAGCACGAAGAACGAACGACTAATCTTCTCCAGGACGAGAGGGCAGCCAATTCGGAAGGTACCTGCGGTGGCACGTATACTGTAGATGTAATTAGGGAATCTAACGACGAATGAAAACCAACAGAACCATCCAAATCCTCGCAAACTCGCAGCCCTGCAACGCCGAAGACGCGCACATCTCGCAAGAAGACTAAAGTAGTACCCAAAAAGGAAGAAGAAGCGCCGGTCCTTGTTACGGCACCAGACAATGTAGAAGAAGAGGAAGCTGCGGATGATTCGGATTATGTCGACGAGAGCGAGAGTAATGCAGAAGGTGAGTTCGAAAAACGGCCTCTCTGAGTGCGCAGAAACTGACATAGAGAACCCGACAGCTCGGACCCCACGCAAGCGAGGCGCTACTTCGCAGAATTCATCGCCGAGAAAGAAATCTGCAACTCCAAAGAAAAAGAAAGGAAGAGAAAAGACGCCTGTCGTACGTCCTGTGTTCGTTTTAGAGGTCAGACCTATGTGTCTTACGGAAGGAATGTCGAAGCCACTGGATTCTTTGACCCCGAAGGAACTGCTTGCTTTAGCGAAGAAGGACCACCAACTTGCGGAAACTCTGTCTTCCACTGCCGGGGTGGCAATATGGAGCAAAGCGAGGTCGAACGTTAAACCTAGACCTGTCCCTGACCCTCCCAGGTACTGCTCGGAAGAGAAATGGGCCCAGTTACTTTTCGACGAGCGCTTGTGTCAGGTACGATTCATGCTGGGGGTCTTGCTTTGGACCGCTGATGCCGACTGCAATGTTGCTCCAGGGTTGCTCCCAACGGAAGTCCACTGAAGCCGAACTCTTCCTCGAGTTTCCTACACGGCTATGTGCGAGATGCAGGGAAGAAACGTACGTGTATTTGACTTTTGGTTCAAGAGTCGGGAGTGACCCTTCTCCTTGTGCCAGTCTGATCAAGAAGCAAGAAATAACCAACCTAAATGAGGTAGACAAGTTGGATGATTGGTTCACAGGAAAACTCCTCAATCGCCATGAAAGTAGGGATACTTGATGCTTTTCATTTATTTTTGTAACGCTTGAAGTGACCTTTTTTCAAATAGGCAAGGAAAAGACCAATAGGCTTCGTTACTGGAAGCGCGAAGCCGACGAAGTCTCCACCCGACTTTTATCGTACACGGCAGGACTCATACGGCGCGACCCCAATGTGAGGGCAGAGTTCGAAGCCTACAAGACACAGCGGAGGAGTTTTGTGGATCATATGAAGAGGGTGTGCATCTTTCGTGAACACACTTGAGACTCTGCTGAGTTCCCGCGATGATAGAATCTTTGGAACAGGAAATCCTGGTACGACCAGTACAAAGCCCACGAAAAGACGAACATGGAGGAACGGCGGCGTGCACGATTGTCCGCGTAGGTCTGTTTCCTTCACCTATCCCAATTCTAGGCACTGATCATCATCTTTCCTCAGTATCCGAGCAAGATTCAAGCAGCTTGGGTACACTGATGACGACGTCAGCGTCTTCACCGAGGATCATAAGGATATAAAGACCGGTCCAGTGGAAATCACTGATAAAGGCGAGTGTTCTTTCTTCACCTGATATTAATAGGCAAGAACGTTTGACATCCTTTTACAGAATGGGAGAAGCTGGAAGTGAGACTGGGTCCGACCGCGTGCTTGGCTAGGAAGAAGAGGTTGCTGAACAGTCGTTATGACGAATTCAAAGCTGCGTTGGTTGCTGAGAAACGTCCAGTCGGATTGCACTTTTACCCAACTCTATCCGAATTGCTCCAGCACCAACCTCTCAAGGACCTTATCGATGCGGCACGCGAAGATTTCGACAACCGTCTCGCAAAAGCGACCAACTTCGCTTCTTTCGCTCGACTTGTAGACGCCTGTATCCTTCAGAAAAGGGGCGCGTTGGAGAACCAAATCCGCGGCGCGTTCACCGCACCGTTGGGCGTTGACGTATCCAAACTTGCTGCCCGTGTCTTCACATGCAACAACCCCGGCCACGTCAAGCCTGTACGAAGGCCCTTGATCGGGATGGACATGGCAGCAACTCACCGTTGTTCTTACCTTGGACGAGAGGTAGCACGAAATGCTCGCAGACCTCAGTACAGTATCCCTCCCGAGGCCTGTCCTTCTTTGGCACTCAACGTTCGGGCCTCGGATATCGCCAGCCAGATTATCGACGAAGCTGGGCTGTCGCCTTTGACAGCCACTGTAGCTCAAATGAACGCTTTGGATAAGAGGTTCACGTGCAACGCTTGCCTGAAGACGGAGACTTTCAAGCAGGAGAACGGACACAAATACAAGCCGTTCTTAGGCGCCTATACTTGGAGAAGCGCCGTAAGTCATTCCCTTCTCTGAAATTTCTGGCATGAAATTCTAACGTCCGCCTCCACAGATACACCACGCGATGACCAAGCATCCCAAGTATTTCAACAGCGACCCTTGGAACTCGCTTCAGTTCACTGTGATCACTGACCCTGTAAAGCTACAAGCTGCGAAAACCAAGTTGTACCGAAGTGTGTCGTGGTTCTGCAACCATTGTACCGAGTTCAACGACGGTTACGCTGCTCGGGAAGATGAAGCGATGAGTCACCTTCAGACCATGTCAGTCGTCCAAACGCCTCTCTATTCTGTCCTTTGCACTGATTGTTACCCAACACTTTAGGCATGGGATCAAAGATCCGGCACTCAAAGACGATCTGTTCCAGGATGATGAGCTAAGTCTCTTCTACGAGGCGCCCGTCTTCATTAGAATGCTTGAGGACCCGCCTCGGCGCAGGTATCCTGAACTCTTCGTCAGTTGGTATAGTTTCTTCCATTTGGACGGTCGAAGAGAGGACGAGGATGATTTCCAAGAGTATGGGTGCATGATTTGTCGGTTCTTAGGGCTGCCTCATTAGGATTGGAATATTTGGAGAATAGCACCTCTTGTATATTGGGATTGCATATCTGATACACCAGGTCTTGTACTATATAGATGCTATGATCTTTCTGTGCGCTGTGCCGGTGTTGACGGGTCAGCGGCGTGAGCCTGTGCTGTCGCTCTATGAGGCTGACGTGATTAGGCGCCCGTCGCACCCAATGGGCACGGAATGTAAAACGATCTTCCTCTCTCAAGGTCGCGATCTGCCGCTATTGCTTCGATCGCGTTCTCCCGGTAAGGATCTAAATTCATTTCAACATACCAAGGTTACCAAGGTAGTAATATAATCCAACACTTGAGTATACTTGTGCACATATACCGGAACGACTCGGAAGAAGCACGGATGCACACCTTCTGTCTTCCGTGACCACCCACTCACGAGGCCCCTTCACCCCCAGTTCTGCCTACCCTTGTCATTCGGAATCCCGGACGCAAAGACTTTGAGAAGCAGAGAAAACAAGAAAGTTACATATCCGAGTCAAGCATCATATTAATCGGGAGTGACCCTTCACAAGACGAATTACATCGGCCCACTGGCCAACCATAACCGCGGCCTCAATGGCCGCTGGATCAACTGGTTCTAAACGATTCTTTCGCAGCTTGGTTCGGAACTCGGAGAATGGGAGCGTCAACTGCAACTCGGGGTAAAACCTACGCAGAAAGCGTCCAACCTGCTGACCGGACGTGATTGCCGAGTTGCACAGTCCCCAGCAACGCAGAAAACGGTAGTTGTCCTCTTCCTCTTCCTCGTCGTCATCGTTGTCATATTTGACCAGGAAAGGAACCAGGCGAGCGTCGCAGGGGAGGACGAGTGACCCGAGGTTGGGACAGTGCTGCATCGCAGCATGGACTCCTGCTAATGTGAGGGGTCCCCGATAAATAGCTTCATTGCCTTCAGCCGGATAAAGGTTGAAGTCCGTCAACTTTGGCCAGGCGGAGAAAAGATCGGCCAGAACGGAATCTTCGATTTCCGGTGGCAAGCAATTGAGAATGCGGACTTCTTTCATATCTTTGCAGGCGAGGAAAGGAGTTAGCGTAGCGCCTGTGATTTGGAAACGAACTACTGGGTGAGCGTCGCAGTCTTCAGGGACGGTGATATGGAAGATGGAGACCTTGGACAATGTGCAGTTGCTGACAATGACTCGTGCAAGTCAATGTCCTGCGTTGATACGTGGAACTCGATTGTGAACTGTTCGAGGGAGGGGACGCGGAGTTTTCGAAGAAATGTATTCAGGCCAGCTGTAGACGTCGCTGAAAGGCCCAAATAATCCAGCTTCGGAAAGAAAAGGTCGTATGGGAGGTGAACCGACAACAGGCTATCGTCCACTGTCACTGATAATGTCTTGAGGTGGACAAATCGGCTGAGAACAGGGAGCGTTTCAGGCTGAAGAACCAGGTAGTCGATGGAAAGTGAAGTTAAACGGGCGGTGAAATGTCGAAGAAGACAGTCAATGGAGGATAGCCTCGCACCACCGCAAAAGTGGTTGTAAATGGTAAATGAGGTGATGTTCTGGGCATACGCTTGGAGCCTGTCTGAGAGGGCCTTCCAACATGGGTTATCCAAATCGGTAACGCCAGGAGTCAGCGCAGCGTCGATTTCATTGGTCGAGATTCTGACAACACGAATGGAAGGTGAGAGCACAATAGCCGGATAAAAGATGGCTTCTAGGGGGCGCTCAGAGAAGCAGGGCAATGTCACTTCGACGACATTTGGAAATAGGGGTAGAGGTACCGTCGAGGTGTGTAGCGCATGAAGCGAGCGATGATCGAAGCGTTTCCCAGATGTATAGCCAATTTCTTTGACGTGTGGGGTATAGTGTTGCAGGCGTTGTCGGAATTCTGGTCGCACGGACAAGAACTCTCCCTTTATTGACTGGTATTCTGTCAGAACGCTCTGCAAAGATGTAACTAAGTCCCTCACCATCGTGTCGCTTGCATTCAACCAAAAGGCATGTGGATAAAGACCACATATAACGGAAATCCTTGGTATCCTATGCCATATGACGCGAATGGCTGGTTCGTGAAACGCTTTGCACGTTCTAGCTAGGCCGGGCAGTGTACGATTCCGACGTGGCTTCCATTGTTCAATGCGATCCAATATTCGGAATATGTGTTCCAAAATCTCTTGAACAGAAAGACAGTGGTGCATTTCTAGAGGCTGGGGTTAGTAGTGTTGTTCACAGATTGACCGCTGGGAGCTCACCGTTATGGACCAACTAGTCTCGTGAACAATAATCGCCTGCTGGCGGTGGGTTTCACTTCACGAACGCTGATATCGGCCGACTAGCTCAGTTGGTTAGAGCGTCGTGCTAATAACGCGAAGGTCTTGGGTTCGATCCCCACGTTGGCCAAAGTTTCCTTTTTCCTGATTACAATGTCCGCCCAAGCGCGTCCTGAGAGAAATCACTTCTGATTGACCATTGCTCCTTGTTTCTTAACCACCACCACCACCAAATCTCAAGCATTCCCCTTCATTTTGTAATTCATTATGGATCCATTTGAAGTTCGAATGCAATTCATCGTCCTCCTACAACGATTAAGCGCGTAAGTCTTCCATCTAAATAGTCCAAGCATTTCGCTAAATCCACAGGCTAATCTGAAGCCCAGGTCTCAACAGTCAATACAGCGTGTAGTCAGTTACGCCGTAAAACACTTTTCTGCCTGCGGAGAGGATATCTGGGAATGTATTCTTGAAGACTGCGAAAAGGTGTGCTCTCGGCGCGTAGGCGTTCTTAACCCTGCACCAAGCTAATATACCACCAAAAGGGCTCTATAAACGCTCGAATCAACATCCTTTATTTCCTGGACAGCCTCTGCGAACGATGTCTGTTGATAAAATCTCACCAGCGGTCCCAGCCCCATCCACATCGTTCGGGGACGTCATCCTCGTCGGCTATACACCCAGGAGCAGCCGCGGAGAAGCAGAACAATAACCTTTACGTGGATTTCGTGACGAGGGACCTGGTGAAGATTATCGAGTATGTCGTCCCAGAGGGTAGACAGGGTTTACCCAATCTCGTCAGTACCAGACAGGTGCGTAGTCGTTGCGATTACCCTTCCGTGACGATCCTCATACACCTCCCTCCCAGATTCTAGAAAACTGGCGAACCAAACGCGTCCTAGACCCACAGAAAATCGACGAAGCACTATCCATCCTCAACGAGCGCAGCCAGCTCCCGCCGCCATCTACAACCGAGCCAGACGACGCTTCAACCAACCCCAGCTCAAAATCCAAATCCAAGGATTCCTCGCCACATAACATGTCCAAGAACGACGTGTTCAAGCGGATTGAAGAGGACAGGGAGCGGCATAAACGGCTCAGGGAGCGGAGATGGGTTCAGCCCATCTCGTACGCATCGTCATCATTCAATCCGAAGCACATGCCGTTGGCGTCGTTTTTACCGCTGACGACGACGAGCAAGACATCTGCTGGGCAAGATCAAGCAGCGCCAGAGTTTCCGGAGGAAGAGTTGCCCGTCGACATCGAGTTCGAGAATGAGTGGGAGACGACGAGTGATTGGAATGAGGACGACGAGGAGGTAGTGGCTGAAGAGAGGGAACTATGTTTCCCGAGAGAGGGGGAGGAGCCCATGGACCTGTCGTAGCCCCGTCTGACGAGGCGGACTCCTGTACAAGATCTATCCGCGTTTCATGCAACCAGTCCAGAGCAAGGCCATGGAAGAAAAAGACAATGAATAACGTTTTGAAGATACAACTACGACTATATCAGCTATTCTAGTTTCTACACTCTAGAACAACCCTCTGAGGCTATCGTCCTCCAACTCTTTTATCCAATCCCGGGCCTGTCGTGCCGGGCGGGCGATGACAGGCTTATCACTAGCAGCACTTTCAAGGGCCTTTTGAGCCACACTCTTCATGACACCGAGTTGCTGGAAGAGGTTTGGCGCGTGGTTGGTGTATTGGTCGTTGTCTGGGTTGGCTTGGGCGTCGACCACAGCAAGAATCACATAGGAAGATATTGAGGTTGGCGGTGTTCCGAGGAGCAAGTGTGATCTGTTTGGGGAATATAAGTACAGCGAATGAGGGATAGATCATTAGAGGCAACGTACTCGACGATGGGCTGCAGGAGCTCTGGCTTGTCTGAGAGGGAGACAACCAAGCATCCGATAGCTTCTGAGAATTTCTCTGCACAAACTACATCAGTACTCGCTTTCCAATCCACAGCCTGGATTAACTCACCGTGATGCACGCCCCGGAACGCCTCAGACACCAGCTCAATACAAGCCTCCCTGGCCTTCTCACCAACATTCGCCCTGCCCTGCTCAACCACAAACGCCAACGCAAGCACCAAACTGGCGGTAACAGTCTCATCTCCATCCACGTTCGCCTTCACACTGGTAATCAGCTCTGTGATAACAGGATCCACTCGAGGCTGGTGCCTCATGAGGATACCCAGTCCCTTGGCCGCTTTCGTCCTCACACTCGCACTCGAAGCATCACTCGCACTCTTGACGAACGTCCTCTGCAACTGAGGGAAGAACGGCTTGAGGAACGCAGGGATCTTCTCCAACATCGTGGCGAGAGCAGTGAGGATACCAATCCGGACACCAGGAGTGTAGGTCGTGGCTTGAGTAGCGACACGGATGAGGGGACCAGTGAAGGGCACGACGAAGGGTTTGATGGCAGCTTCCTCCGTGCGCTCGACGAGGTCGCCGATTGCGTAGGCGGCTTGTTCTCGCTGGTCGTTGTGGCCGGTGGTGAGACCTGCGATGATGATGGGAACGAAGGGGGAGACACCCTTGGGGAGGTTGTAGCCGGGTACTGTGCGCCCTGGTGCACCGGTGGATTCGATGCTTCGGCGGAGAGGGATGACGAGGGGTTCGTATTCGTCTTTCGGAACGGACTTGACGAAGACATCCAATGCGTTCCAGGCGGCCTTGTGTACATCCTCTGCCTCGTCTTCGAGAAGTGTAACGAGTTGACGGATCCAGTCCACGCGGTACAGCGAGGAGTCGAGTTCGGAGGCTTCGCAGAAGGTGCCAAAGAGCTTGCAGGCACTGACCCGTCGTTTTGGAGAGTCATCCTTTGCCCTGAAACTCATGTCAGTAACTGTTCCCTAACCGGCCTAAACACACTTACCATCCAAGCAACATCAACATGAGGGTGTTCAAACCCTCTGCATCTGCAATGGAAGAGAGAATGGCATGGACAGCTTCATCAACGGCTTCAGCCAATTCCTCCTCTGGCGAACTTTCCATGACCTGGACGAGTGCGTTCAGAATGACATTGAGTCGTCGACTGAGAGCGTTTCCAGCGACAGTGACAAGCGAAGCCAAGGCTCGAGCATTGAACACAGTCATAGGGATAGCCGTCAATGTCGGGATCAATACTGGGAACACAGTCGATGCCCGAACGCTCATGACTTCCTGTAGAGCTTGAAGGGCAGTTCCAGATCCCTTGCCGGGTTGGCGCAGTGCCTCCAATAGCGTAGGAATCGTCTCGTCAATGGCCTTGGCGCCGAGTTCGGTCTGCATAATGTCGAATGCCTGAGCAGCCGCTGCACGGACGTTGGCTTCGTCGTCCACGAGGGACACACGAACGATGCTGATGATCTCGTCTTCGTAGTCCTCTCTCTGTCCTTCCGTAGCGCTTTGCCTGCAATGACCATAGGTGAATACGAGAAGAGAAGTCCCAGAGTTGGAAAAGTACGTACAGGATCTCGCTGATGGTCGAGCAGACACCTTGTCGGGTCTTCGAGTCTGAGGACTGGGACTTGGACTTGAGCAAGGGCATGATCTCCCCAAGAATACGCTCGCCAAACTTGCGGCACAATTCACCAATCGTCCTACCGGCGGTCTCCTCTTGCTCAGGTTCATCGCTAGCGATGAGGATGACGATCTGGTTAATGATCTCAGGAAGGATTTCTCGGACTGGGAGAAGAAATGAGAAACAGTTTCAGCAAATGGGGCAGGATCGACTCACCGGTCCTGGGTGTGTTGTGAACGAGCGCCTTCCAAATTTGAATAGACGCCTGTCGAACAACCACAACACCGTCTTGACGAACAAGGTAGAGCAGTGCAAGCACACGATCGCGTCTCTCAGCACCGAGAACCTCGAGGAGAGCCTTGCGTGATGATTCAACAGCAGTAGCTTCTTCCGTGACCTCTTCCTCCTCCAGCTCTGAAGTCTTGCCAGAGATACCCGATACCTTGAACAACAACTCTCCAACAAGAGTGATGGACGATTGCTACCAAACCAAGAATCAGTAGGAGTGTCGACCAATCAAGAAAACGAAAAACACATACTCGGATGCGCCAGTTGGGATCAAACATGCCATTCTCGAGTTCAGGAAGCAACAAATCAATAGCCTTGTTCGAATAGTTGGTAACAACCATCCTTCCAGCACGCATCGCAGCTTCTCGAACATACTCCTCCGCATCCGAAAGACCTCCAAGAATAGGAGGGATGATCTTGGGCAAATGAGGCGCAAACCTCGTTCCAAAGGTGGCGGGAAGGAAGACCAAAAGCGACATGAAGCCCTCGCGAACAGTCGCACGCGGCGATCTGGCGTTGGTAAGAATATCGGGGAGGAGACCTTCCAAACGTTCCATTCCAAGTCCGGACAGAACTTCGGAAAGACCTTGGGCGGCACCTTGCCTGTCGACACCTGAAGAATCGGTTTTGAGGGTTCGAAGAAGACCAGGGACGAGATCTGGGAAGTGGACTTCTCCAAGACGCTCCACCAGTGTTCCCAATGACTTGGCTGCAGTGGCACGGGCTTCGGGAACGGGGTCGACGAGAACGGTGTGTACGAGGGGCAGAAGCTCGTCCAGATAGGGAACAAAGTCCTTGGTATCCGTGAGCGAGGCCAAGTTTCCGACAATCTGGACAGCCTTCTTCTTCGTCTCTGCACCACGCTCCCGCAAACCACGTTCGATAATAGGGATAACCTAGCGACATCTTCAATACCAAACTGCGATTCGATGGGAAAGAACATACCAAAGCCAACGACGAATGGTCGATATAATGCATGAACGAAGTCTTGAGCAACGCAGTGAGCGCATTCGGCGTCTTGGTAGGGTCCACAAGCGCCTTGAGGAGCGTCGGCACCAAGTTCTGAATCTCCGGATTGCTGATAACCTCTCCAAACTGCTTCAAGCTCTTATTCGCAGCAGTCCGAACTTGCGCATGCGAATCCGTCAACACATCCGTAAGCCTGGGAATGACCACAGGCAACGACACCGACAACTGCCTAGGCGCACAATACGCCATCATACCCAACAACTCGATCGACCCCTTCTTACTTCTCCACTGCTTCTCGTCCAGACCTTCAAGCAAGGTTGGAAGAATCAGCTTCACTCCATAGCCCGACAAATTGCCCATGATAACACGCGCAGCATCTTGCGTCGCTTCTCGAACATCTGCCGTGGAATCACCAAAGGCCGCGAGAAGGAGTGGGAGGACGTGCGTGATGTAGGGCTCGAAGAGGCGGCCGAGGGTCGTAGAGAGCGTTTCCAGAACAAACATGACACCTTGGCGAGACTGGTACTGCTTCTTGTCCTCTGCCGCAGTCTGGAGGCGGCGCAGGACGTCGAATTCCTTCATACCAGAAATACCCGTGCCCTTGATCACACCGGCAATACCGTAAGCTGCTCCTCGACGAATAGCGTACCTCTCGCCCTTGAACAGGTCGTCGAAAAGTTGGTCCACCAACGACGGAAGTCGAGACTTCATCAACCCAACGAGAGGCGAGATACACTCCGACACCGCGATTTGCACTTGTTCCGAGGGAGTCTTGAGCGCTTCACCCAGTCGATCAACAATCTTGGGGATCCGTTCATCCGAAGCATCCAAGTGACGAGCGACACGACCGAACAGAATGACAACAGCCTCTTTGATATGGTCCTCCGTCTCCGTGGTCGAAGGTTTGCCAAGTTGCGCCTCGAATATCGAGATAAGCGCCGCGAGCCGTTTCGATCCGTGCAAATCGATGACGGCTGTTCCAGCATTCAGCATACCCTTGCGGACAGCTGCTTCTCGATCTCCAAGCGCCTCGGACTGGATGAGGAAGTTGAACCACGAATCGAGTTGGCTCTCAGGGAAAGACGATGCGAGTCGTTCGAATGCGAGTGCAGTCGCCAAACGTGCTTGCCAAGGATCCGACCTATCCAAACTCGAAGCGATGACCATTCCCTAGCCGCCAGTTAGACCCCACTGATCCGGAGAAAAGAAATGAATGAACGCACGTATTCATCAAACTCGGGTGCAAGAATCTTCGCCTTATCCTTATAATACTCCTGCAAAGCCTCGATAGTCTGAACAGCCGTGTTCTGCGTCTGCTCGACAGCAGTAGCAATCGCAGTCGCAGTACTCGAGCGGACATAGGCATTATCGTGACCTTCCAATTGCAAACATCAACCCATGAGCTCGCGTCATCAGCCTAGGTGGAATCAAAACCAGCTCACCGAGGTAAGGAATCAAATCATCCAAGAATGATTCCGGCACATCCAACCCGTTATCCTCCCAAAGCCTCTGCGCCAACCGAGCATTCTGCTCATCATCCTGGTCGTGATACGCAATCCAGAGTTCAGGAGACCAATCCCACTCCGTCAAATCGAACGGCTACGGCAGTAAGAAACCAGTCAGCCACAGCCAACATGACTAAAACCGGATTTCAATTCAGACTCACCTGGAGAGCCTGGAGGTACGCATTCCTAGCATGCGACTCCTGCGCCAACGAAGCCCTAATCAACACATTCGCCTCCTCCTTTGTAGCATTAACCTGAATCGACTCTCCAAGTTCAATAAGCGTCGACGAAGCCTCCTTGTTCAACCGCAATTCACTCCGGACGACATGGATGATCGTTTCGAGCGTCTGTAATCGAGGAAGGTCCGCATTGTCGACTGCGTTGACACGCATACATCAATTTCCTGAGCAGGAGAAGAATGGAGGGGAGAAGGATACTCACATTCACCAGCGTGGAACTTGACGATACTAAGCGCCAAAGCGACTTGTTCCAACTTTTCTTCATCCTCCGCTTCCAACCCACCCGAGACGAGAACCTGCTGAAGCAATGGGAAAGCATACGAGTACGACGCAGCATCCAACGGCGCCTGCTCAGACAAGAATCGCAAACGATACAAAACTCGGAGAATCAAAGCTACAAAAACACATCTCAGATGAGCCTCTCGTTCATGCAGGCGAAAAGATAACTAGAAAACTCACATCCCAAACCCTCCGCCTGCAAATCCTCCGGTACGTTCTCGACCTTGTAGCACCTCAACGTAGCAATCCCGATCCACTTGCGGTACGTATCCAACCTCTCGGACGCGATGGACGAAAGATCCTACCACCAGACCAACGTCAGCCATGCATCCACCACACAACGACACCAAAAAAAAGAGGGAGATCAAGATAGGGTACTCACCAAATACGTCTCAAACGCCAAATCCCCCACCAAAAACGCCCCATCCTTCAACGGGGTCCTAACCACCAACTCCCCAAGCCTCCCCACAACCTTCCCCACCTCACTCTCACTCCCCATTCCACTCCCCGCACCCGCCGCCACCCCACTCCCAACCAAACTCCTCACCAACCTCAACCCCCTCTCCAAAGCAGCCTTCACCTGTCCAACCCTGACTCGAATCCCATCCTCAACTTCGAGTTGCTTTTTGAGTGCCGCTTCTTGTTGTTTGGTGAGGGTGGCAGGTTGGGATTTCTTGCTCGCGATAGCTTTGCGGGTTTCTTCTTCCCATTTGGCGATGGCTGCTTCTTTGCCTTTGGTTGGTCGTTGTTCAGCTTTGGATGAGGAGAGGACTGCAATGGACGGTGTTTTCGTGTTAATCCATGTAGACGGGAGGAGGGTTATTGGCAATGAACGCACCATCGACGTAAGTAGTACCAGGAGGGGTCGCCCACACTCCCCTCTCAAGCTCTCCAAAGGCCTCCACAGCAGCAGGATCAAGGTCCGCCTCAATTTGCTTCACCACCTCCGGGATAACCTGCCCAGGCGAGATAAACGCCAAAGTCGAAACAGCAGCATACGCAGCTTGAGGGAATCCAGTCTATCATCGTGCATCACCCAATCGTTCGTCAGTGCTTGTTGGAGATGAAGATGGAGGCTAAATAAGGCGTACCTTGGAATCCAAGAGCGTAGCAGTTCGAATCAACTCCAACAACCGCTGCAAATGCTTATTGGCCACCACCAACGGGTCAACACCAGCTTTCATACACAGATCAATCCAGGTCTGTCTTGAGGGACCACCTGTCCATCCGGAAACCGGAAATTAGTCCATCATGACCCAACGACAACAGGAAAAGGCTCGTAAATTCGTGAGGGAGGGATGGAAGCAGGGAGGAAAAATGTAAATGAAATAAAAGGAGAGGAACAACGCACAAATCAAAGGATGATGAGCAACAACCACCCACTCCGCCACAAGACCCTCCTTCTCCAGACCCGACACACTCTCGTCAAACGCCGAACAACTAAGCAGCAACCCCGAGAGTCTGCCATGCTTGTTCCACCCCTGCAACCCCGCCTCTTCTGGCTCCGTTTTCGGGGGTACCGTCGATGGTGGTGATGGTGATGAGGTGGAAGAGGAAGAGGTGGCGGAGACGAAAGAAGTAACAGCCTCCCGAATAACCGTATTCGTAAGCTGCGGGTACGCAGTCGCAAGTCCAACGATATACTCGTTCACGAGTTTCCGGTTCTCCGGGGACTTGCTCTCCACAGCCAAATGCACAAAGACAAGGCCGAACTGCACTCTACAAAAATTCGTATAATCCATTCAGCTTGAGGGTAATACCCATGGGGGAGAAGGGGAATACGCACTTGAGACCTTCACTCTTCGCGATCTGCGAATGGAAATGTTTAAACGCAGCATTGGCAGCACGCAACAACCACTTCTCGTCCGCAGGATCCGTCACCTTCTGGTAGACTTTATCCCACAGCAGGAACGGCTGCTTGGCCGAACTAGCCACAATAGCCTGCACAACCGCGTTCTTGCTGATCAACTCATCTGCCCAATATGAAAAAGTATCAACGCGTCAGTTCCCTTCTTAACACAAACCAACCAACATATCTAGGAGGAAAGAACGTACCAAAGATACCCGATCGCGCGAAGGGTCCTAGAAGCGTAGCGAGGGCAACATACCCCTCCAAAGGCCCACCAGGCGCATTAATAGGATTCGCAGCCACACTCTTCAACGCATTCTCCAACGAAGGCGCCACGGCTTTCGCAAACGCCTTCCCAGCCTCACTCTCCCCAACCACACCCTTCCCCTCTCCGTCTCCTTCATCTTCGTAAAACACACTCCCCACCAAAGTCGCAAAGGCACGTCGAACAGGGGGCTTCAGGCTCCCCATCTCCTTCGCGATAAGCTGCACAGCTTCGGACGGAAGCGCGGTCGAGGACCGGAGGAGGAAAGTGATGTGTGGTGGGAGGGCGTTGGCTAGCACCGCGATAGCCGCTTCGTTCGTCTCTTTCGCGAGGAGTGGTGTAGAGCTCTGGATGAGGACCGGCGAAACGTCGTTGGAGGGTCTGACATAGCCCAACATCGAATACAACGCCACGCGGTGCTCCGGTCCAGCCGTCTTCGAGGTCTTGGGTAGGACCAGCACTTCAGTTAGCGCTGCACCCTCCAACCCAGGATCACCCTTGGCCGTAGACAACACCGCCTTGAAGAGCGCGATCGAGTTGGTGCGTACAGGAACCTGGGTAGATTTCGCGCTGTTCACAGACTGGGTGATCATCTTCTTGAAGAGGTCCAGAGGGAGCGGGTGCGCGTACGCCTCGAAGAACCTAATCACCACGCCCAACGCGACCTCCGGAGACCGCAACAACGCCCTCTCGAACACCTGCAACACCGTCTTCTCGAAATCCTCCGGGGTGATAAACGTAGCGATGAAATCGTCTAGAGCGACCAGGACGTGCTCCGGAACGGGCGTTTTGGAGAGGACGACAGACGACGTATACAGCGTCACAATCCCCGTCTTGAGTTCAGCCGGAAGACGATCGGTAGGCTGCTCCTCCACATGTTTGAGGCGAATCAAGACGCTCACACTCGTGCCGATGAGGGTGACGAGTGGTACGGGAGTGGGGTTGGTTTTGGCGAGCGCGAGGAGGGTTTCGATGACTTTGGGGACGATTGGGAGGCCGCTTGAGCGTAGAGCGCGGCGCGTGCGGACGAGGCCTCCTTGTTTGAGCGAGGGTTTGGCGAGGGTGGATTCGGTGAGCATGTCGAGGAGGAAGGCCATCGAGCCTACGAGTACCCTGAACGAGGGGGACGAGGGGAACTCGGGGTTATGTTTTGTGCAGGTTGTGTATAACCCGCATGACCAGCTTAATAGGACGAACAGGTTCGATGGTGCGTACGAGCTGGAACAAGGATCAGTAAATTTGCATAAAGAGAATTTGTTGGGGAGAAAACGCACTTGGCCGTCCCGCGTTTGACCAACCCGGCGACTTCGTTGGACAACCACCCAAGAATCTGCTCCGTGACCCCCAGCTTCCCGTCTTCCCTCAGTTCATCGCGTCGAACGAGCTCCATCCCCACAGCTTCAACCGCATCTCTCGAAGCCGTATCAACATATTTCGGATAAGTAAGCGTGAGCAGCCTGAAAACGTCCAGAACCTGGCTCAACGATAGATCTAAGTATCATCTTATCAGCTGCATTCATTCCTACGTAAATCAAAAAACGCACCAGCATGTCTAGCCAGCCCCAACACCTCCTCCCTCAAAAACTGGACACGGGGTTTCGTCTTATCACCCAACAACCTCGTCTGTGCATACTCGAGGGAGCGATCCCAATCCTTCAACACCCGATCCCGCCTCCACACATACTCCCCTCCCCCTTCACCATCCGAGTTCCCGTTATCGTCGGCCCCTGCAGGCCCAGTCTGAGCGATCCACGATTGAATCTCGGATTTGCTCATCGCAGAGTCGAGCGCATGCTCTTTGGCTTTGAGCTTTGCTAGGACTTTTTTGGACGACACTTTTACTGCTAGTAGCTGAAGTTCTAGTAGTCGTAGGTCGTAGTGTTCTTCTAGTTTGAGAATAGAGTCGTCAGGGTTGCGAGTACGCCTACGGTGATCTGGTACTCGATTGTGAACAACCTAGAGGAGAGAGATGATCTGGTGACTGGTGCACGATAGAACGGGTCCGAACTTTGCGATGATGATTGAGGAGGGATCGTGGGAAGAAAGACTAAAAGTTGCGAATAGGGGCTTGAAGTTCCCGGCTTTAGAAACTCTCCGACTTGACGCGATCCTCGACGACGAGCAACGGTATATCGGTGCGTTCTATACAATCTCACCACAGTGCATACGATGAACTCCTGATTTCTGTATTATAAGCCACCTAAAATGCTCCAGCGCCGCCTCCTCCTCCCTCTCCGGCCTTCCTTAGTGCGGCTCTACACTTCCCCCAAGCCCTCCTCCACTCGTCTGCCCCAATCCCTCTCGGAAACACCCAACCCCCTCCCAGCCTCCTTCCTCCGCGGCGGCACCTCCAAGGGCATCTTCATCAACCGTGCGCACCTCCCCGCCGACCAATCCCTCTGGAAACCCATCTTCCTCGGGCTCATGGGCAGCCCTGACCCCATCCACGGACGACAGCTCAACGGAATGGGAGGCGGGGTGTCGAGTTTATCCAAGATTTGCGTTGTCGGACGACCAAGAGAGCTTAGTGCGGATGTTGAGGCAGGGTTAGATCGTAAAGTGGACGTCGAGTATACGTTTGTGCAAGTGGGGATTAAAGACGACTCTATCGACATCTCTGGGAACTGCGGCAACCTCTCTTCCATGATCGGTGCTTTCGCTCTCGACGAGGGCATCGTCTCCGCCTCCAACCTCCTCACACCTCCATCCCCACCCTCTTCCACCACCACCACAACAGACGGCCGACGCGTCCAAAGAACCACAGTCCTCAGTCTCAACACTAACACCAACAAAATCATCTCCACCTCCTTCCCCACTTCCTCCCCTTCCGAATCTACGGATAGAGATTTATTGAAACCGGTATTAGATATACCCGAAGCATCAGTCGCAGGCGTACCAGGCACCGCCTCCCGCATCCTCCTCCAATTCCACAACCCAGGCGGCGCACGAACGGGCAAGCTCCTCCCCACAAACGAAGCTACAACCCTCCTCCGCATCCCGCACCCCCAAAACCCCAACCGCTCCATGGAAGTGGCAGCCTCGCTCGTAGACGCCACGAACCCCTCCGTCTTCGTCTCCTACGACCAACTGGCTTGGCCTTCCGAAGAAGGACTAAGTTTAGATTTCGGACATGGACCACGACCAGGCCTGGAACTCCCATTGGACCAGTACTTCGCCGGCGAACCTGAAGCAGTGGCTGTTGTATCACCTATGTTGGAGAATATACGCCAGGCGGGGGCTCGAGCTATGGGTCTTGACCCCTCCGCACAGGCGCAGCCCAAAATCGCTATCCTCTCCTCCCCGTCGCTATCACGTTCCGCGTCCAGAGGGGATGAAAATGACAGTGTGGACATCGTAGCACACGCTCTATCCATGGGCGTACTCCATAAAGCCATCCCGATGACACTAGGGCTGTGCCTCGGCGTAGCCGCTAAGATCCCTAACACTATTCCCTGGAAGATCGTCCAGCAGGCTCGAGCAGACCGCGCCGATTTCAATAGATTTATCGCCGGCGCAACCCCGGGATCAGACGACGACTTGACGCGCATCCTCCATCCAAGCGGTACGGTGGACGTAGGCGCCGAGTTTGACGCAGAGGGGAACGTGAAGATCGCGCAGGTTGTTCGGACTGGTAGGAGGCTGATGAGGGGTGAAGTATATTGGTAGCTTGTTGTATGTACATACTTCTAGTGTACCTTGTTGTGCACTTCTTCTACTTGTTATGAATGGAAGCGTTCCTTGGATGCACCACGCCAACTATGTATGTACTAGGACGGTGTTTGTTCACTGAATCATTGAAGCATGAATGCAAAGATGCGGTTCTTCGACGTACGTAGTACCTGGGCCTGGGACCTGACACACCCAATATCCATGTTTCCCGTAGCTTACCCACCCTAAACACTACATACCCTCCAACCAAAGTCACACCATCCTCGACACCCCCGTCGGACCCTCCACCACCAAACAAGGCATATTTCCCAAAATCGGCAACTGCGCACCCGAATCCCGAAATCGCCATCTCCTCCCGAGCCCCGACGCGCCCGCCACAAACCCGGCCCCGGCCCCGTCACTGCCGCCCTGTCCATCATTCATGACACACTGCTCCACGTGGGGGGCACATCCGCCGACGTCTTCCGGCCGATAGGGGGTGCATGCATTCCCGCGTTGCGTTCGATCAGAACTTTGCGCCTTTCTGCTCCCAAGTCTGTGGACGTTGATCCTGGCCATGGTGGCTGGAGTCTGCTTGAGACTGGAGTCCAGAGGTCTTGAAAAAGTTGAGTTGATTTTCAACGGGGCTTTGTTGGTTTACATATGTATTGCGTGTTGGAAATTGTTGGAAATGGCAAAACGAAAATGATGATTTTATTTTCTCTCATGATCTGGTGTTGTTTGTCTTTCGACTCGCGGATTTGTTGTGGGTTCGCGTGCCTTCTTCCTTCTTGTCCCTCTCCGTGACTCGCGCGTGCGTGAGTACATCAAGAGTCCATACATCCTCCGTCCCTGGGGGAAACTTGTTTGTTTATTCTCCGCCCTTGTTCTCTTACCCCCACGTCCACGGCGTTCAAGTTGGACGTACTCTTGGTTCGAGTTCGACTTCCGCGGCACTTCTACATCCCTCGTTCGAGACTCAAGCCCGGCAAGACTTGGACAAGACTCGTCCCGCTGGTCAAGCCTCCAACGCTGAAATCTGGTTATTTCCCGAAGACTGAAGACTGAAGTAAACACGTCCTTCGACTCGAACAGCTTCCCCACAACTTGAACACACCCCTGAAGCGTGATAATCAAATCAAAAACACCTTCCAACAAAAACTCTAGCGCCAGCGGTTCCAAATTTACCACACCTGTCGACCAGTCGCGTGCCAGGGTTGATTTTTAGTTCAACTGTCTCCGGAAGGAAGAAGCTAGAGAGGGTGGTTTACCTCACCACCACCTCGGTTCAACAACGATTCAGGGTCGTCGGACGTTGGAGCGTTGATTGTCACCAGCCGCCGCAGCTCTTTGACTGCATCGCTGGAGCCAAGTCAAGCATCGAGCAACGCGTCAAGACCTCCTCCTGGATCTGGACTAGCACGACGCACGACTCCACACGACGACATTACACGACACGACAACAGTCACTAGTCACAGACAGACAGGCAGAAGAAGAAGAACCTAGAAGAACGAACTTGACTTGTCAGTTACCCCGGAAAGACGTCGGACCAAGTAGAACTTGTCTACCTACTGCAGAAGCAGGGGTTGTGTTGCTGTTGCTGTTGTTGGTTGGTTGATACACACAACTCAGCGAAGCTCCAAGCTCCCGGATCCCAGCACCCGTCGCTGTTCACAGGGACAAGGTCACTCGACACTCGACCACTACCGGCACCCATCGCACGTCGACAATTTGCCAATAACGAAGTGCACATCGAAGACCCAGTAATCACCGCACAATTTCTTTCTTCCCCAGAGCCCTACTTCGATTGGACCGTGTTCACGAACCCCCTCGGCCCCTCGAGTCCGTCGTACAAATTCATTCCATTCACTTGCTACGCCCTCCACCGCCACACCAATTATAGCGACCCCCTAACTCTAACGCACTCACCCCGAATCCGCCAACCAACCCGGACCAAACTGAAACCATGTCCTCTTCACCATCTCCGTCGCCCTCATCTTCCTCAACAACACCATCAACATCCTCCCCACTCCCCAGCGCACCCCCAGCAACCAAAGACCCGCGCCTAACACCCATCATCGTCGCACTCGTCATCATCGGCGTCGTCCTCCTCGGCCTCATCGCCTGGCTCACCATCAAAGTCCGTCGGAAAGAGCGGAGTAGGATAGGGGACGGCTCGGGTGGGGATGGGGATGCAAGTGGAAGTGGGAGTGGAAGTAAGAGAGGAAGCACGAGAGGCCCGTATCACGGCACGAGTATATGGGAGAGGACACATCCAGCTGCGAAGATCACGCCGTTTGGGGCGCCGAATCATGCACCGAGGTTTGGTGAGTTCCGAGTGTTTTGTTGAGTTAGGGGGATGTCGTTATGCTAATCGCGTTTTCCCTCTTTACCCTTTTTCTCTTTACTCTTTTGCTCCCTGTAACCCAACCTCCACCTCCCGCCCCGCACAAACCAGACCACAAACCAGGCGCCGACATGCGCATCGCCTACCGCCGCCCAGACGGCGCCTGGCACTTCACAGACTCGCGTACACCATTCACACCAGCCGGCGTCTCCGACCTTGAGAACACCCCCTCTCCCTCCCCCATGTCCTCCTCCTCCGCCTCCCTTTTCTTCCCTCGGTACAACGGGAGTACCGCCAGTGTGCATAGTCCGAGTGCACTGAGTCCAAGCACCTACGGATACGGAAACGGAAACGCGAGCACGTCGACGCTAGGACTCTACCCCGACAACCCGATGTCAGCTAAAGAACAGGAAGTGCGGGCTATGAAACTCGCTGCTGCTGAACCCCCCAAGGACCGGCGGTACGACGAGGACGAGGAGGCGTGGAGAACGTACGAGCCTCTCACGCCCCCGCCGCCTGCGTATCGGAGACATTCGAGGGATGAATCGTGAGTGGGATGCCAGGGGAGGTGGAGGGGTGGATGGGGAGGGATTTGGTGGTGAAGTGTTGTTGGTTTCTTTATGTTGGGTTTTGGTGTTGGCGTCGGACTCGATTTTCTCTCTTCCATTTTCCCTCCTCTCTCTCCTTTCTCTCCTCTCTCTGGTGTACTACTCCTACTCCCTATTTTCATTGACGACCCCCCACGCGATATTCCCGAACTTATGTTCACGCCACCACCTCCCTTCCCCTCACCGCTTATGCCATGCCTCTCCTCCCCGCTTCCTGCTGTTTGACACACTAGTTCATACTCTTCCTACTTTTCCTTTTCGTGCTCATACTCATCTCGTCGGTTAACCACTCTTTGCCCTTTTGTTCGTTCGTTGGTGCTTGTTCTATTAGTCGTTCTTTCCTTGCATTCGTTCTCCCTTCTTACTTGCTATATCTTTTCCCTCTTTGCTTTCACTTCTCTTACATCGCCTCTCACTTCTCACTCTGCTCATCTCCACCTCTTGCATCGACCTTAATTCTTAATCTTATCCCTATTTACTTACTTTCTGCACTTACACCTACTTGTATTTTTTTCTTTTGTCTTTTCTCTGGTATAGGATGGGTGATACGTATTTCCCTTTCTCTTCTCTTGTCTTTTCTTGTTTTGTCGTGTTCTCTTCCTTTGTGGTATAGGGTGGTGATATCGGACGCTTTCATTCCCACTTTCTCGTATTCTTACATTCTCGTTGTTTCTTTTCGTTTCTTGCATCCTTTACTTTCTACATTCTTGATACATAGTCTCTTCCTGGTGGTCCTTTTTCTTCACTTTCACGGTAGTCTGTTTTCTTTATTTTCAAGGTACTCTGTTTTCTTTATTTTCCCGGCAGTCTCTTTCTTCACATTCCCGGCAATCTTTCTTCTCTTTTGTCTATTCTCTTCTTTCATCTCTCTTCTCTTCACTGCAAGCTGTACAACAAACACCTAGGGACCTACATGCATCATTTCCATCTCATCTCTCCTGTCGTACCGAGCTGTAACCAGCTTGAGTCGTACCAGCTTGAGTTCGTTAATACTATATGGTCGATGAGCCCTAACTTGAAGCTATTTAAGCGCCCGCGTGCTAGCCGAGTGATGTCGGGCGGCTCTTCGATCGGGTCAGGATCGAGCGCTGCAAGTCCACCGCTCCAGTCCTACGTACTGTATAAACACATACATATGCAAGTCAGACACACGTTCCTGCGGTACTGAGGATCTCCGTTCTTCGTAGAACAAGCTCTATATACCGTAAATCACTTCGCCGATCACGAAGAATATCGAAGACGTATAGGCCGATTGCGTTGAATGGGCTTCCTTCCGACTCCCCGCTGGTGGCAATCACTGCGTTGGAAGGGGAAGCTCTTAGATCTTTAACGTTATCCAGCGAGTATTCTCCTAAAAGCAAGTATCTACGCATGGAGCGCCTATGCTTACTTAACGGTGGCCGCTGATCATGCATGTTCTTTCTCCGGGCGGTACGACCTCACCTCACTTCACTTTACTGCCTAACTATGTGAGGGGCGCCACTTCGTGTGGTCGATCTAATAATCTTATATTTAAATTAAAGGGCCTGAGGGGGGGAGGAGAGTACATGTGATTGATACAAGTCTGTCTGAATTGCGGATTGCTGTGAACCTTGACCAGTGGCTGACGCTGAGAGAGCAAACTGGACAACCGCTAGCGTCGTGTCGACCCACGGCGATTCCGAGTCAGACAAAGTGCCATCCCGTCTGAATCGCCCTGTGTGTGATTCGTCTTCGTCTCTGAATATGACTATCGCGAAGTGACTAACGACGATTCGGAATGGCCGTACATAGACGTCTCGTCAGCTCACCGAACTCGCAGAACGAGCCGGAAGGTACTTCCAAGTCCTGAAGGCCTGACTGGCCAAGCGCCGCAGGCGGCATATGCAACAGGATGGATCACAGAGCAAGTTACGATAGATCTCCGAGAGACTACACCCGTGTCTAGCAGTGTCCAATCACGGCGCTCTAGTGACATTGCCCGTTACGGAAGAGAATCTCAATGTAGGCTTGTAACAGAGCTTTAAATTGCTTACTGGTGCTTAAGCGCCCGTCCATACCAAGATTAGTAGTTTGTAAAAAGCTGACAATGCTGCGCGTCCGGAAGTTAGCCCAATGATGCACGGTCAGCAACGGGAAACTACTCTCAACATCTCAGATCTCAATCTCGCCTTGCCTTGCGGGATTGCGTGCACAAGCTGAGTACGTACGTGCATCCGGAATCGTGTCGACACGTTACACACAAACATTCGAAGGGGGAAATTTCGGTGTTCAATCAAATAAGCGCGTTGTGTTGCTTCAGGTTTCGTCTTCTCGTCAAGGCTTCAGGCTTCCGAGTCGAAGAATCGAAGTCGACATTTCCTCGACGTTTCCTGTTGTCTTCCTTCTGATGTAGGCTGCATATGTACATACACAAGACTTCGGAAACAAGTGTTTTCTTTTGTCCTCGAGCGTGACGTCGGTGACCACCAAACCTTCTATGCGTTGAAATCAGAAGCTAGCCAGCACACTTTACGACAGTCTACGACTCAGAAACAGCGCCGACGCTCAAAGTTGGGAGGCCGGTGAAAATACAAATTTCTCCGTTCGACCTTACCTCCCCAAAAACAAAAAGTGATAATGAGTGATACCTGGTGATACCGGACGATAAACCAATGATTATTGGTGACTTTAAATCATATTTTGGAAAAATATTTTCCTTCTCGAGCTCCACGGACCACTATATGTCCTTCTCAATCTCCTGCCAGTAGCTATAGCTTCTTTCCAACCCTTCTTTCGCAGGCGGATTTCACGCTACACCAGCAAGACCTGGCTTCGGTTTTCAAATGTCAACTGCTAACTACTCTACCATGACTTACCTCCCATCTAACGCCTAGATAACGCCCAACCAGCGGAACTTCTCTTACAAACCCTCAAGAAATTCGAAGTGGCGTACGCGTGATTTCGAATCCTCTCTGTAAGAGACTCGAGAAATCCACAATCTCCGACTGTCAGTCACTCTGAGTGCCTTCCAATTCCGACTCGAACTCACAACGTTATCAACGTTAACTGCCCCGAACATAGATACCGTGACAAAGAATTCGAAGCTTGAGGCTCGCGAAATAACCGCACCGGTATGTAGTGACACAACTGGAAGCAAAAACCAAAACACCAAGCCGAGGACGTGCACCAGAACGTCAGCAAAATCAAACTAAAGGGCACTCGTAACTCGTTTCTGATAAGTACTTGTGATACGACGGTCGCCATAAGTATGTACCTTCTCCAAGGAGAATACTCGGTGCGAAGCATGAAATTCCCGGGTACTAGCGAGGGATGTCCTCCTGGGCAACGGCGAGTTGAGTGTTAACGTTAACGTTACGCTCAACGGAGACTCGGAGTCTCTGTGTCACTGGGAGACTGAAGCTTTTCGGCGTTGACTTTTGGTGGAGTGGTGTTATTGACGGTTGAGATATGCGAGTCGTGTTAACGGATGAAACGGCGGCGGGAAGTTCGGGAAATTCCTATTTAGCGGGACGGCGCATTCGGCGCATCAGGCAAGTCACGAATTGAAGCAGCGGGCGACTCGGACTCGGGACGAGCTCTGAATCTCCCTTTCCATCCCAATCTGAATCTCTGCATTGCATTTCACCAAACCGAACTCGGGACAACCTCCGAACCGACCTCTTCCTTCCTTCAAATAACACTCCGGAGGAAGAGGAAAGAAGAAGAAAAAAAGGAAGCAAAAAATATCCAGATTCCACAGGGGGAAGGGACGGATTCAGTTGTGACACGGCGGCGGAGAGTTTCGAAGTAAGGCGGTATCGATTCGCAACCTGGATGCAAGGGTGACAAGGTATGGTAGCTGACATACCGAAACGGTGATTTCTCGGACCCGCTTCTGAGGATCCCTCGAAGGGGGAGATATCATCCCAATATAAATATGGCTGGTCCCATTTTTCTGGGTTGAAGAGCCGGGGTCCGAAGAGTCCAAGTCCAAGTCCAACAACAAATCTTTCAAACGCCGTATTATTATATTAGTCAAGCCAACTTTGAACAGCGAAGCGAAAGACTGCAACACCCAACTTGCAAGATGACGAAATACACCATCCTCGTCGCGTCCTACACAAACTCCATCGTCTCGCTCGCCTTCGACACCGATAAACCCACCGAGCTCACCACCGTATCCTCCACCGACGTCGGACACCACCCTTCATGGATCACTGCCCACCCCGAGGACCCCAACCTCGTCGTCACCGGTCTCGAGCAGTCGGACGGGAAGATCGTCACTCTCAAGTACGACGCGGCGACTGGGAAGGGACAGGTCGTGTCTGAAGTGACGAGTGGAGGAAGAGATCCGTGTACGCTGCTCGTTCTCCCCGAGTCCAAGGAAGTCCTAGTCGGAAACGTGCGTACCCTTTCTTTTTTTCCTCTCTTTTGATCGCGATGGGTCGGGTACAATTCGTATCTCATCCCTCGATAACCGGAACGTCGATAACGGACTGACCCTCGTCTCTGCATTCCAGTACTCCTCAGGATCAGTCTATGTAGCCCCGATCTCCACGAACGACCCCTTCGTGGCCTCGACGGGCTACACCGTCTCGTTCACGGGCACAGGCCCCAACCAGTCCCGCCAAGAAGGGTCGCACCCGCACCAAGTCATCAAACACCCCGAATACAACGAACTCTTCGTCCCAGACCTAGGCGCAGACGTCGTCCGACGACTCAAGAAAGACCCCTCATCAGGCCAATGGAAACCCGCTGGACACATCGGCTTCGAACTCGGCGGCGGTCCTCGACATGTCGCTTTCTACAGTGCGTAACAACACACCCATATCTAATCTAACATGGCTACATCTAATCTATCCGGATAACAGAGGGCGATCTCTTCACTATCCTCGAACTATCCAGCAAAGTCGTGCGACACACCCTCCCCCCTCTCCCCGAGGCACCTAAATTCGTGGCATCAGTACCGACAATGTCCAACCCCCCACCCACACCAAACGACATGCTCGCAGCCGAGATCTACATCCCCACACCCAACGCATCCTTCCCCACCGCCTACCTCTACCTCTCAAACCGCAATGACCCCTCACCCGAGGGCGACATCATCTCCATCTTCGCCATCGAGAACCCAGAGGAGCCCCTCAAGTTGATCAAGGAAGTCAGAACTGGGTTGAAGCATGTCCGTGGAATGGAGTTCTTTGGGGACGACGATAGGTACCTCGTCGCTGGTGGAGGACGTGGTGGAGGAGCCAAGATCTACGAACGCGTAGACGGTGGAAAGGACCTCAAACTCCTCGCTGAGAACCCATCCGTCGAGGCTCCTACTGGTTTCCGAGTCTTGAAAGCCTAATCAAATAAACGAGAAATAGCCGCCTTTTTACCAATTGTAACATTAGCAAATTGAAGGGTACCCTTCACAAGTAAACAGCCTCAAATCCTAACTTTATTCGTACATTATTCAAACACTAGATCGTCACGACAAGAAAACACCAAAGAAAGAGAAACATCATAGATAACTAGCCCACGATTCCTTCCTTCCGCAGGCGATTAATCTCCTGTTGAGTCAACCCAACATACTCCTTCAAGACTTCTTCCGTATGCTGCCCAAGGTTAGGTCCCGCCCATTTAGGCCGAGAATCCACCCCATCCAACACAGGAAAAGTCCCGGGCATCTTCACATTCCACCCCTCCTGCCCACCACCCGGAGAATCAACCCACACATCCCGCACCGCACCCCTCGCCACCAACTGCTCATTCCCCACCACCTCCTTCACACTCGCCACCCTACCCACAGGCACGCCCGCCTTATTCATATGCTCCACCACCTCCGACACCGTCCGCGTCGACGTCCACGCCACGATAGCGTCCTCGATCTCGTCCTTCCGCGCTACACGCTGGATGTTCTGCTCGTACTTGTAGCCCGTCAAGTCCTCCCGGCCAATCGCGTTCATCAGGCGCTTGTAGATCGAATCCCCGTTCCCGCCTATCACGACGTACGCCGAGGACGACGAACTTGGATTATCGCTGGGAGTTTCGCCGGGGTCAGGGAGACACGGATACGCGTTGGTCGGTACGATGCCTGTCACAGACGACCCTGACGGTCCTCGTGTCTATACAACCCCATGTGCCACCAACCACGAAAATAGAAAACACCAATGATTAGACTCTTTCCTTAAAACGAAGTTATTCCATGACAAGAAGGAAAAACCCAGCTGACCTTCTTCATCCGATCATACTCTGGTATAACGCCTTCCATCAAATTCAACATACTGTGAAAAAGAAGGGGTTGTGGTTCGGGTCAGTTTTTACGCAATAGCTTATAGTGCACAACTTCCGAATGCCGAGATTACGACGGGATGGGGGCTTGGAAGGCGGAATGGGTTACTGTTTATGTATATACACGCACCTTTCGACAATGCTCACGTCCACTGTAACACCCTTCTCCAAACCCGAGCCTTGCGATTGTGCGCGTTGCCTCTTTAAAAGCGCTAGCACCTGACGCAACAAAAGACAAAAAAAGGTTCCATATTAGCGAAGCTGGAGACGGAGGCAGATGGGATGGTGTAGGAGAAAAATACTATACTTGCCGTTCCGAACGCAGCGTGTAGACCAGCGACCGAGTCGCCCAGACTGATGTTAGGTCGGACAGGTGGGCCGGACAAACCCTCCGTCTCTGGATCCACAAATCCGTTGATATACCGGAACCCAGATTCTGCTTCACAAACGGAAGCATATCCGGGTCTTGGTGCCCACGGGCCCGTCTGGCCGTACCCACTCACTCTTGTGAAGATGAGCGATGGATTATACGGATGCAAATCGGCTGGTCCCAATTTCCACTTCTCCAGTGCTAAAGGTTTCGTCAGTCAATCGACCTTCTAAGACACACGACGAATGTGTATGTGAGTAACTCACTCCCAGGCTTGAAATTCTCCAACAGCACGTCACACTTGGTCGCCAACTTCCTCACCAGCCTACCAGCGCAACCCCACTAATCAGCATTTCCTTCTCATTTCCTAAAAAAGACCCAATGAAAACAGAAACGCACTCTCGTCCCTCCAGTTGACGCAAGTCAATGGTCACGCTCTTCTTATTTCTGCCGATACTTCTGAACCAAGGGCTTGTCCCGTCCACGTCCAGTTCACGCCAGACGCGGAGAGGGTCACCTGTCTTGGGCGGTTCAACTTTGATCACTTCTGCTCCGAATTGGCTGTAGTCGGGGGGTCGTGATTCGTGAAGCGTTGTGCCGCGCGGAAAAGGCAAGATGAAGGAGAAGGAGGGTCGAGGGTCCAGAGTCCAGACAAAGAAGAGGGAAGAGGGCAAGGGTAGGGATTTGGGGGTCAGTCGTCAGATGCGCCTGCTCAAAGCATCGTGCTCCGAAAAGAAGTGTAACGCACCCGAGGAGTTGTCCCGCAAAAGGCCCAGCTATCAGTTGACCCATTTCAAGAACTCGGATTCCGGATAGAGGTAGGTCATCGTTATTCTCGTTGCTGTGGTTCTCCACCGTCGTCGTGGTCCTAAACCCAAAAGCAACACCGTAAGCAGATAGGTGATAAATGCAGTCAAAAAGACGAACATACACGGTCCGACGAGGGGTTGAAGAGGATAAGCTATAGGAAGTGCCCGCTTGCACAGACCCGCGCGGCAAAGCCGCTCTACTACACGTTCGAAGCATTCTGGGTATTGGGTCTAGCAGAATAAAATGAGAAGGTCAATTCGGTAAGTTCATATCCCTGGTCCTATTCACCAACTCCACCCAAACCAAAGAAAAATGACTCGAGGAATACATTCGGCCGAAGCGAATCCCACCCAACGTCATGCTTCCTCGGTTTGCCATTGCTTTTGATCTGGGTGTGCAGCCACAGAAACAGAACTCACCAAGTTCAGAACTCTCGCTCGCTAGCTCGTTACGGCAACTTCGTCCAATTCAAAAAATTGAATCCTCTCCTCCTTTGGATGGGATCCAACCAACAAAGATCGAAAGTCCCGCGGAAGCAAAATGGGCGCCAGTTGCAAGTGTCGTCACGCGGGGTTTCTTGCAGGTCGTCAACGTCAGCGATTCAGTAGGTTCTAAACCAAACAATTGAGCGAAAAAATCATCTTATAGATTCGATATCCGGTACCTGATAAAAACGGGCGTCTATGGTCTGTTCATGCAACGAGGAAGACCACGGGGATCAATGAGCCTCGTGTAGCCAACCTGCGTCTGTGGTTTTGAAGGAGAAAACATGAGGCGCGCTGGCCGAAACGAGGCGACTGATGGCGAGATTCAGTTTGGCTTTGTTTGTGCGGCCATGACCTCAGGGCGGGGTCGAGCGCTTAGGTCCAGAACGAGAGAAGGCGCCCAGGGCGACCAAGAACGCGTTGACAAGAAAAGAAGAGTGTAGGGGTACATGCATGCGGCGATAAAAAGGTAACTCGGATCTCCATAATGTATGGGTGACTAGTGAACGTCTAAAACGCGGACGTACATACTGACAAGGGTACCGATCAGGCGTCCCAGCTGCGTGCACCCCAAGTTCAACCCCTCAGAACGGATACCACATCATTCCAGCGATTGATCATCAGCACCTTCTCGAGCTCGTGCTCCGGGATGCCCTTTTCATCCTTGATCGTCTCCAGGCCCGATGCGAAATGGGAAAAATACTCCAGTGATGCGGCCTCCAAACGAGGGTAGAACTGGCGGAGCCACTCCCCCACAGCTCGTCCTGACTGGATGGGAGAGAAGCCTACGTCCCAGACCTTCAGGCATTGGTGCGGCACGCCCTTGGCCGGGGGAACTCGACGCGCATCGCATGCAAGGGAGAGACGGGCCAGGTTTGGACAGCGTTGCAAGGCGTTGTGGAGCCCTTCGAGCGTCAATTTCTTGCGGTAGATGACGCTCGTGTGTAATTCGGGTGGTTCGAATATAAATTCGACCAGTTTAGGCCATGAAGAGAACAGTTGAAGGAGATTCGCATCGTCCAGTTCAACGCATGCGCATCGGTGGATTGTGATCGAAGTGAGGTCCTTGAACTCGACAATGGGAAGGAGGGTGGGTCCCTTGATAACGAAGGCGTCTCTGTTGAATTCACCGACGTCTACTTCAATGGAGGATAGTTTGGGTGCCGCATGTCGGCCAGATAGAACAGAGAAGATGGGTTTTAAGTCCCGAAGTGGGAGAGCCAGGTCTTCGTCATCATCATGATCGTCGTCGTCTGGCAGCCAGAATTCGAGATACAAAGAAGTAAGGGAGGGGGCCTGAAGCCGACGGAGAAAGTCCTGACCAGCGTCCATGGTCAAGACCTCGACATGGAGGTGAGTCAGAGCAGGGAACAAGAGAGGTGCCGGGGGTCGAATGGGAGTGGGGCGATCGGGAGTGTCCACCGAAAGTAAAAACACCTCCAAACCACCCAGTTGGCTGATAGCGAAGAGAACATCCGGAGAAAGGACAAACTGAGTGAGTTCAACTCTGCGTAAGCAAGCAGAAAGCTGAGTGCATAGGGAATCTATGCCCGGGATGCATTTGATGGCTTTGCGATCAATTAATTGGACGGCGAAGTCTGTGAAGTTTGCTGCATATGGGTGTAGGCGATCCAGCATCGCCTTTGTCAACGGGCCACCAAGAATGCGAGACGCCGCAATATTTTCGCCTGGCTCCACGGCACCATCGGTATAAATCAGCACGTTGCGCACAAAAGGGCCCAGGACGACTGCGGGATAGAACATAGCTTCCATCGGGCGAGTAGAGTAGCAAGGGAGGACTACTGACACAGCGTTATGAAATAAAGGTCCTGATACTGACACCTTGGTGGCCAGGTGATTCAAGGCGGAGAAATGCATGCTGAACCTGGTGAAATGGCGGTAGCTTATGTGCTTGACGAGCACTGCGTAGGTGCGGAAGCGTTGTCTGAAGGCGGTGTCCTGCAGGAATTCAGTCCTCTTGAAGAAAATCTATATCGGGGTCAACGAAATAATAATAACTAATTTGCGATAGAGTCGTGTACCTTTTTGTTGTCCTCGATTGTGAAATCGTCTTGGGGAAACAGGTGCGTCAAAACGGAAAGACCCGGTATCCGCTTCCACAAAACGCGAATAGCTGGGTCGTAGAACGTTCTGCACGTCCTCGCCAGCGCAGGGAGAGTACCCCTGTAGGATCTGCGTCGGATCTCGCTTTCACGGTCCTCAACGTCCCACAATTGCTGGAAAATGAGTTCGAGAAGTTCTTGCGTCTGCAGAGCTCGACTCTGAGGCCTGTACATATTGCTAAACCGCAAGACTCGTCGCTACAAGGTTGATCAACTTTTACTTAACAAACTTACCTACCCAAAACTTGTCCTTGGAGAATTCTGTGGTTAGGCGGGGTGGTTTATATCGAGGAGAAAGGGGAGCCTAACCTCGCTGCTTACTACCTCGACTAGCGCGGCCAATTCCGAGATTCACGACCAGCCCTGATGCATTGATTCAAATTGACGATCAATCGATCAAGGGTTTGTTTTTGGAATTCGCACGTTGACCTTCGTCACTGCCCACTGCTCACTACAAGTCTCCAACGGTGAGTTTGAAGCTTTTGAATCCAATTGTGTGTCTTCTATACAGCCTGCTAATGTAATTTTATACTGATACTCAGCCTGTAGATATGCATCGCTGCCTCCAGGTTCAAGAAATTCTAGAACTTATATTCCGGGAACTGGAAGAACTCGAGCGATGGTCCAAATTTCGTGCATTGCCTGGTCTCGCAAGGACATGCAAAGCGTTCCACACGCCAGCCATTCGTGTCATATGGCAGAAGATACCAACACTTTTAGTCATCTGTGGTCTTGAACCGAAGGCCTTTCGGGTGAACGGAAATGGCACGACGGTGAGGAATTCTGTTCAATTTTTATGAGCATCCTGACTTCTCTGACGGAACAACAGTCAATCGTGAAAGAAGATCTTCTCAGCCAACCGCGATTCATACAACGTCTTCAACACTACACCCCACATGTTAAACGCATTGGGACCATACTCCATGACTCTGCCAAAGATTTTGATTATAGCGCGCTGCATTGGCTATACGCCAACCCAGCAATGCCGCGACCGTTATTCCCAAATGCAGTCGACGTAACTCTGCCCTGCTTTTCTCGCTACCCATTCGAAGCCGTCTTTTATCCTGCTCTTGTCCTCGGACCATCCGTTCGAATGGTCATGATTTTGGCCAACGGAATCAACTGGGATGGTGGACGCATCGCTGAGGACCTCGACAACCCGCGTTGGAAGGCCATATCAGGCAGATTACAACCTTTCGCCCACAACATTAATTGTTTCTCAATTTGTTCAAATGCTCGCGGCGGCGTCTGCCTTCCTTCGATCGACAGCCTTCTCCGCCATTGCACCACGTCCTTGACGTCACTCACTATCCGCAACATAGTTCTCGAGCCCGATTCACTCCGCGTTCTCAGCCAGCTTGGTCACATAGAGGCATTGGAAGTGGCGGTGGACGAAAACCTGGACCCGACCTACTTCTCAAATGGCCTCCCCTTCCCGAAGCTGACATTTCTAAGCCTTGTGGCCTTATCCATAGATGGCTTGATCGACTTTCTCCGAAATATTCGTACCCCTGCACTCGAAGCATTCGAATTCGAGGTCCATGGCTCATTGTCTTGGAGGTACATTGAGTTGGAGGACATATTTTCGGCCCTCGTCAGCGACTGCACACCACCCAAACTCTCCTCCATCAATGCTCTCGTTCTTGAAGGGAACTCAGGTTGTTTCCCAATCAGGGACACCACATTTTATCCTCTCCTGGCTTGCCGTAATATGGAGACAGTGTGCATTGACAAATGCATTCAACCGGACATTAAGGACGCTGCTCTCGCCGACGTCTTCTCCGCCTGGCCCAACTTATCGGAATTTAGTCTTCGTCCATTTGAAGATGATGACGATATTTATTGGGGCCCTCTCACATTAGCAGGGGTTCATACTGCACTCAAACACTGTCCAAACCTCGACATCCTCACCCTCCCCTGCGACACGCGCCGTCTTCCTTCCCTCGACAACGATCCCAACTCGACGTCACTGACGCCTCACCGTTCTCTGCGCTCGTGGGCATTGTGGAACTCGGCAATCGCGTCTGGCGAACAGGTCGGACGGTTTCTGCATAAATTCTATCCTGCTCTTCTTGCCGACGACATTTTCACATTTCCCTTTTTCCGATCCAAGTTGAGACAGGGTCGACTTGATGTAGCCCCTCATGACGACGATGTGGAGGCTGCAGCTATGGTTGACCAGTGGACTGATGTGGTACATACCCTGAACGACCTTCGTGGTTGCGATGTACGTATATAACATTTCGCTTTATCTTATCCCTCGAGGCCATTGCAGACATTGCATCCTCCCGCTTTCGCAGACTTCAATGCTCCGCCGTTCGTCACAGATGGGCTCAGCAATCCTCTTGCATTGAGACACACCGAGAACAGGACACTATCAATGCCTCGCCACCCGTTCCCTGTCCTCGTGGGGTTTGTGGAATTCGTCAGTCACGTCTGGTAGGGAGGTCGGACGCTTTCTGCGTACCTTTTACCCTGATTTGCAGACTGGGGCAATCTACACATTCCCCACCTTCAGATCCAAGCTGAGACAGAATCGAGCAGCACCTGTTGAGCCCGAAGACGTTATGGCCACCGTTATGGTTGATTTGTGGAACAATGTCATCGATATCCTGAATGACTGTAGTGGTCGAGTTATGGATTGTTTTCATTGGGTCTACTTCTCGATGTCCTTGCGGGCGGATGAAATCAACGACTCACATCTGTTTAGCCCCTAATTTTGCTTTCGGCAATGTCCGATGATGGCTGGCTGGGTGGCAAGCGTCGTCGTATTCCATGAGCTTCATGAGCAAGAAAAATTGACATGCCATGCGTTGGCTGTCCCTGGAATGCCCCCGCGCACTGCCTTTGGCCTTGCCCGGACATGTAAAGCCTTCCACGGCCCAGCAATACGCGTTCTATGGCGATCACTGCCTACTCTTGCCGTTTTGCGCTGTCTCTTGCCTCAGTCAGGCTCCCGCGAACCATTTTCGATGGTTGGAAATGCTGTTGTGAGGAACTCTGTCAGTTCTTCGCGTGCGGAAGTGAATCTAACAAAGCTATGTGCATCGCTAGAGAATCAACGAACCTGGGGTCCTCACAAGACAAGAATTCCTTGGAAGACTCCAACATTACGCGCCGCTCGTGAAACGCATTGGATACCCTGGGCGGTATGACTCCGGAGTGTTTTTCGACTACAATTCGCTCTACCATTTTCAAGCCATCACCGCCATACCCAGGCCCCTGTTTCCCAATCTCGTTCAGGTCACCCTTCCGTGTGTGGCTGAAAGGCCGGTGGAATCCGTCTTTTACCCAGCTGTTGTGTTGTCGCCTTCAGTTCGGGAGGTGGCCATATACTCCAATTCCTTGACTGTGTACTCGTATCAAATTATCGCCGTGGATACCATGCAGTGGTCAGCTGTGATGAGCAGGGTTCAACTTTATGCTCCGAACCTAGTCTCGTTCAGCAACCCTACATCCGGAGCCGGAGGCGCTGCGTACATTACCCCTGTCGACAAACTTTGTCACCACTTCACCTCGTTAACCACACTCAACGTGCGACCTCTCGTTCTCCAGTCGGAAACAATCCATGCTCTCGCTCAGCTTGACAGTCTTCAAGTCCTCCAAGCTTCGGTGGACGACTTTTCCTTTACCGCGCGTATTCCTGAAATTATTCACCTCCCAAAACTATCGACATTACAACTTTCCGTCGTTTCCGTGGAAGGTCTCAACACCCTCCTGCGGCGACTCCACACCTTCCGTGGAGAGCGTGCATCTTCATTTTTGGGCCCCAGATCCCATCTCTATCGTCGACTTGGAGGAGACCTTTGAAAGCCTGACACACAGTTCCGCGTTGCTCGAGCTGTCTGAAGTTGTCATTGATGCTGACTACATTGACGAACTGGATACTGTCCCTGTTTTCTCAATTTCCCGCTCCGCGTTCATCCCTCTTTCAGGGTGCAAAAACATGAAGAAGGTCCACATTTCGAGATGTGCACAGCCAGAACTCGAAGATTCGGATCTAAACCAAATCTTCTCGTCTTGGCAAAATCTCACCCAGTTTACATTGTACTCGGTTGGTCAGTGTGAGTTGGAATCGCTCTACAGCGGTGCATTTACTCTGACGGGGGTACATGCCGCACTGCAACTTTGCCCCAAGTGGGAAAGCCTCGCAGTTCCCTTTGACGCCCGCGTTGTTCCACCTCTCACTCCCCCTACCTCAGGTTCAGATAACACGGCCTCGATACCGCCACCTTCGCCTCATCCATCACTCTCGTTTATGGATGTATTCAACTCTCCCATCGCCTGCGGCCTCGACGTCGGCCGGTTCTTCCGCAGGTTTTACACAGGCCTGCAGGCGGGCACATTCTTCGCTTTCCAGTCCTTTAGCACCAGATAGCAAAGGCCTACCTCTGAAAGCTTTGGACGTTTGGAAGTACAGGGAGCTGTAATGATCGACCAATGGAACGATGTAAAACGCATACTAGCACAGAATGACTAGGTGTAGCGGAATTATATTTCTTTGTGTTCCTGTATGGCTTTGTGGTTTCCTGTCTTCCTTGACAGTCGAAAATGTCGATCTCGGATGCCCCTAATTCGGCAAGGGCCGACGCATCCATTAGTATGGACCTGTATGGACCAACATCCAAGCGCGGATCCTTGACCACCGACCACCATCTGGCTCCCCAGCACAGCCAAGGTGGTTTAAAGCTAGATTCGTCGAGGGCGAGACAACAAAATTGGCCAAACCTAGGGTTTTACCGAACTCTCACCCAAGGCGGGTCTCCCCAAGCACATTTTAGACACTCAAAGCGCTGTCGTTGCCATCGCAGTAAGTCTAGCTAGTTGCTACTCTGTCTACATACCGTTGACAAGTATTTTAGTCATGCACCAGTGTCTTCGGACTCAGGGAGTCTTGGAGTATATTTTCCAGGGGCTGTATGCCAGCGAGGCGAGGTCCAGCATATACCCGCCGGCTGAACCGTGCGCACTACCCCGCCTTGCAAGGACGTGCAAAATATTCCATGGTGTGGCCATTCGAATCATATGGAAAAGGTTGCCTGGCCTCTATGTCCTTCACTACCTCTTTCCTCGCGGATCGTTCTCAATCTCGGGTCGTTCAGTGGTGAGCACACCTCTATTCGGTGTTGATAGACTATCCTGACCAAGTCGTGTCATGATTCAGGGAATCGATGATCCAGAATTTCTCAGGCAGAGAAAGTTTCTCAAGCGACTTGCACATTACGCGCCCCTGGTGAAGCAGATTGATTATCCTGCCCCGTGCCTATACACCCCCGCCAAGAAACAAAGGTTCTTTGATCACCACTCCTTGAACGAACTTTATGTCAACACTGGTGGTCTCCGACCTCTCTTCCCAAACGTCACTGCAGTGGAGCTCCCCTGTTTTATAGAACGACCGATGGAGACTGTCTTTTACCCGGCGGTTGTCCTTGGCCAGTCGGTGAAGGCGGTTACACTTCTGTTAGATGGCACGGACGGCAATGAGGCCACGGAGGGAGACAATCTCACTCAAGTCTTGGATGGTCCGCAGTGGGCGGCAATCGCAGCTCGCCTTCAACCACTAGCTGCTAACCTCACGAGTTTCTCGGTACGCTCTGGCAGCTTCGATGTCAAGAGGGGGTATTTCCGTATCCCTTCCATCGAGAAATTGTGCAACCATTTCACATCCTCTCTGGCTCGCTTGAACGTGGACTGTCTGGCCCTCAGTCCTCAAACTCTCCTCGCCCTCACCCATCTCGACTGTCTGACTGAACTTTCTCTCTCTGTTTGCAACATCCCTTCCAACTTTACCATCGACAGCCTTCATTTTGCCAGGGTAAAAAGCTTGGACCTCGATGTTAGGTCCTTGCCTGTATGCCTCGACCTTTTACCCGCCCTTCACCTACCGTCCCTCGAAACCGTTAATTTCGAGTTCAGCCTCTCGACTTTGCAGACTGTATCGCTGGAAGAGGTGTTTAAAGCTTTGGCCCACAATCGTGCGATACCCCACCTCTGTGAAGTCGAATGCACAAACGAATCCCGATTCGACCAAGGTTTGTTTGAAATCTCTGGTTCTACGTTCGACTCGCTTCTGGACTTCAAGAAAATCAAATCCTTCCACATACTAGGGTGTTCGATTCCTGAGCTGGACAATATGGACCTTCTACGGATCTTCTCATCATGGCCGGCCCTCGAGGAGTTCTCCCTTCATCGCGATCTGGCTATCGGTTTGGAGATTTACCGGGGCAAACTCACACTCGAAGGGGTCCATGCTGCACTGCAGCATTGCCCTAAGCTCCACTCTCTCGACTTGCCATGCGATACCCGACAGCTACCATCCTTCTACTCCAACACTCCTCCTCACCCATCTCTCAAACGATGGCAACTGTACAACTCGCCTATAACCTCGGGTCGAAAGGTTGGGGAATTCCTTCGCCGGTGCTATCCACAATTGGACGCAACAGGCATCGAGTATCTGACGGAGTACGAATTCCGGCTCTCGGGTGACGATGAAGAGCTTACGGATGCAGATATCGAAGCCGGTGCAATGCTTGACCAGTGGAACGATGTATCGCTTGTGTTGAGAGGGAAATTGGTTTGACATTTGCACTTTGGGAGGGATCGGATTAGCAGGAATCGTTCTTCATGTTTACTCAGCATTATTTTGACTCAGTATTGTTTACTATAAGCGAATTTCATAATTTTGAGAGGGCGTAAGTTGAATTCGAGGGGTTGCTCAGGCTCTTACCAGATCGGGCCTCTCAACAGACGCCCATGACAACGGGAAGTGCGGGAGGGAAAAAAGAAGAGCAACCTGACCTAGAGGATTACACTGGTATAGGACGGGGAAAGAGAGGAGAGGGAGATAAGGAGAAGAAAGTAATAGAGGGGGGACGTAACCCTCGTTCGGCGAAAGCGAAGAGCTGAGATGAAGGTTGAATTTGCAGGCTCGGACAAGCTGCCCCACTCCCACTTCTGAAAACCCGTCTGAAGTCTCAGCTAGCGCTCGGGGAAATCTGCCCAGGCGTGCTGTGAGAATGAAACAAAGCTCGCTACCCTACGGACATCTCGAGGATCATTCAAGGGAAATTCAATGTACAAATTACAAGCTGGACTACGTATAACGAAGAAACTAAGGATCCTCAGCCAGCATGTGTTCAACATCGATCCATTGGTCAACCATCATGGCACCCTCCACCACCGAAGGTGAAAAGTGTTCAGCGGTAGGTGTAGTCTCCCAGTAGAACTGGGTTTTGTACATGTCGTAAAAGCTGAATTGGCGCGACTTCAAAAGGGGATAGAATTTGCGGAAGAACTGGCCGACTTGGAAGCCGAAGGTGATGGGTGAAGTGAAGACGTCCAGGGAGCGCAGGGATGGGTGGGGGGAAGAGGGCAATGTCGAATCAGTGGGGACAACGCGAGCGTCAAATGGAAGCTCAAGCGTGTGCAACTTGGGACAAAGTTGTAATGCGGCATGAACCCCTGCAAGTGTAAGACCCCCGCGGTAGAGTGATCCTTGACATGGCAAAGCCAGGGACATCGAGAAGTGGGACAGGTCTGGCCAGGACGAGAAAATCTGGAGTAGATCAGCATCTTCAAGTACTGGCATCGCACATCCGCCTATTTGAATTGTCTTGATGTTGTTACATCTGAGCAAAGGCGTGAACGTGGCTGCGCTGATCGGGAAATAGTGGTCGACGTCGTCCACCAGCACAATGTCAACGTCATAGAGTTTCGGCAACGCGCAATTCTGCGTTAGGGCTTTGAAAGTATCTCCCAAGTGGACGATAGAATCCAACGCCATGAAGGTGAGCTCCACCCTTTCGATTGACGGAGCAAGTATCGACTGAAAAAGTGTGTCGAGACCAGCCGCTGAGTCGACACGAAGACCCAAAAACGACAATTTCGTCAAGGGGATCTTTTCGGAGAGTGGTGACACGAAACGGTAGTCGTTTACGGTAAATTGGAGTGCGTCAAGCGAGTCGAGCTTCCCGAGAGTGCAAATCGTTTCCGGCTGAAGGACGAGGTAGCTCATGTCAAGGCACTTCAACGAAGAACTGAAGTGGTGGCAAAGACTGTCAATGGAAGGTATACGCCCCGTGCTTTCAGTATCGCAGTAGATACCAAAGGAGTCCAAGTTCGGAGCTTGTGATTGCAACCTATTGGATACGGCTGTCCATTGCGTGTTGTCGATGATTGGATTTTCTTCATCCCTGTGCTCGAAGCAATCAGTGAAGATGGTGATTTTCCGGATGGAAGGCGATAGCACAACGGAAGGGTAGAAGATAGCTTCCACCTGTCTTTCAGACAGACAAGGAAGAACGACCTCGACGACATTTGGGAACAGGGGTCGGGGTAGTGTGGCGGAGGCGTGAAGATGATAGAGCGAGTTGTAATCGAAGAACGTTCCTTCTCGTGAGAAGTATCCAGGATAACCAATCCGCTTCACCAGCGGAGCGTAGTGCTGAAGGCGCTGAAGAAAACCCGGCTTGTCGAGGCTATTCGCGAATCTGTCGATTCTCTGGTCATTCCAGCTGCGTCAGGCCACCTGTCGTCACTTCCCCAAGACAAGAAAGACATACCACTGCATTCCCAATCATTGTGAAGGGTTTGTTGGTTTCTGACGAAGGTAGCAGACAACGCAAAACAGAGAGCCCGGGTAAATCCCGCCATATAACACGTATCGCTGGATTGTGGAAGGTTTTGCAGGTCCGTGCTAGTCCAGGCAGTGCGCGCAACGGCCCTGGAGAGTCACCGGATCGACAGACACTGTTTTCTTCTTCGTCATGCAATTCTTGGAAGATGGCCTCAAGAATTTCTTGAAGATAAAATAAACGATGCATGATCTCAAAGCTGTCAGGCGGCAGTACTTGGATTAATATCTCGCCTAATAAGTAGATTCGTATACGATATAGACTCACCGTGGGCAGCGTATTCATTCTAGAAAGTGTTTTCCAGCTCAATTGACTGTGAAGACTAGAGAGTCAAGACGAACCGAGGACTATTGCATCTTGACCGTCGGGCGTTGCCGAAATGGAATTGAACCGCGCCCCGACAAAAAACTTCATCTTCTGTCCAAGCTGGGTCCAAGGGTATCATTTGATTGGAACTACATAGCAAAGTAACTATCCAAGGAACGCGGAGTAAAAGTGTACTTTTCTCAACTGCTTTCAACAACAGTTGCCTGAGGAGGGACCCAAGTCTCTCCGAACCTTCGCCCAAAAAGCTCCTCCATCCTCAGCGATCTCGTATTCCTACACCGCGTATGCTCCATCCACCTCGAACCCTTCAGTCCCAGAGCACCCTTCCAACCAGCAGCTTTCTCCTCGTACTGACTATCCCATAAGTCCCGCATCTTTTCCCTCGTCGCATCATCCGCCAGGAAGAAGTGATAGTAGTACCAATTGTCGTTACAACGACCCAGGTAACCAACGTCTGACAAGAATTGCGGGAATATTGACAAGATCTTCGTCGAGAGGCCGGCGTTGGCAAGGTCTTTTGCGAGCTCCTGACGAGCTGGTGCTTCTGGGTCGTCTTTCCACATTGTAAGGAACCGGTGGGGGAAGAGGAGGAAGAGAGAGTTGAAGATGGTTTGGTCTTTGCCGACGAAAAAGGATTTGGAGAGGTAATAGTCGTGGTATGCGTAGAATGTGTTTCGGAACCAGGTGATTGCTGAGGGCTTTCCTCCGAAAAACGAGCCTTGAAAAAATGGGTTGAGTGTTTTTCGCAGTCGAGCGCTGAGCGCTGAAGAATCAACTCACCTTGGCTAACATCCTCATCGAAAGGACCCATATCTTCCCTCCACCACATTCCCCTCTGAGACGGCAAACGAGAAATAGATAAAAACACTCGATCCTCATTGCTCTTGAAGATGGTTTCGACCTGTTGAGGATCTGGCCAAGCCGAATACCGGTGCTCGTTTCGGAAGCTACCAGCGTCTATCCAAAACGCATAGTCGTACTCCTTGTTCTGCGTCTTCTTGGTATATTTGACGGCTTCGTCGAGGAAGAACGCCTTCGCATTCCATACAGCGTACAGCTCGGCGCCATGGATGTCCTTTTCGCGGTCGATGCTGTGCATCTCCTCGTAAGTGCTCTGCAGTCCGACGAGCGGTGGGACGGAGAAGATAGTCGGGTAGGTGGTGTTCAGAGTGAAACGCCTCTTCGACGACGGAGAGACGGTGTCGAGCTTCGCGGCTGCGCTGGTGATCTGCTTGCGCATCTTCTCGGGTGCGTAAAAGTATGTGTCAGTCTCGATTCTGGACAGGAACAGCTCCAGCCACTCTGCATACTCTTCATCTGTATGCTTAGACTTCTCCAGAGGGTATAGGGCCGTCACCAGCAGAACTCGAGGCCCCCTCCTAACCTCCTTCACCTCCTCCTTCACATTTTCCTCCGTACCCTTCCTAAGCGCCCACTCCTTTTGAATCCGCGCCACATGGAGAAACGAAGAACCAGACCCTATCCCACTGTACACGAGACCATAGGCGCAGACGAGAGCCAGAAAGCAGAAGAAAAGGACGACCCTAGGCTTGGGCCGCAGTAGTGGGCCAACTGTGCAGAGCGCCATAGCTCGTGTCGCCGTGTCAAAGCAGTGACAACCGCTGTGCCATGGAAAGCTTGGGATATATTGCGAGTCCCATGGTACCGTGTGAGGCTTTCTGAGGTTATCACCACGGGCGCTGATGGTCGCATTATCATCGATAACGATTTCTATAGATGGCGGGTAGGTCCTCGTCCATCACGACAAGAAGAGAAGCGTGATTGAAAAAGGCACCGAGGTGACCAAATAAAGAAGCGTTTTGATTGGTCGCTTGTTTCAGATGCCTGGCTCTCCAAGGTTCGATGTCGACTTGTACGAATTTCGAAAGGCGCGCTGAATAGAAATAAATAGCATTTTCTAGGTACTACATAATAGAGGGTAGGGTATTGTTCAGCTACAAGCGACCGGATGGCCTCGACTTATGCACAGCACCTGGGGCTGACGACATGTGAGGTGATGTCAAAAGCATCATCAGTCCGAGGTAAAAAGCGGTATACCCAGCCCACATGGGTGTCTGTAAGTCGCAAATGACCTTGGACGATCTTCTTCCTCATCCGTAAGCTCGATGGCAGGGGCGCGTGCGTCGAGGAAAGCGCCTACGCGCTCGCTGACGATGGCTTCAATGTCGCAAATACCACAGGCACCGCACAACCAGGGTCTAAAAAATAGAAGCAATCATCAGGGTAACCGCAACCTCAAATGGTCGGTCTGGAACTTGATGATTGGGAATGGGAGGGATGAACCGATGCGGGAGAACCTCTGTCAGGATCTCCTCTCTCCGATGGATGAGTTCTTATGGGACTACGGTCTGTCAGAGATAACAATAGTCAGGGACTGATGCTCCAATAGCCTGAGCGAAGCCTTGTTACCACATACCAGACTCCACACTTGAAACATCATCTTCGAACTCTTCGCGCTCTCCGTGAATATCAATCGTCGAAACCCTTCTGTCGAATTTAACTACCGATGGGCGGTCTTCGTGATGTATTCCATGGCTTTGTACGTGGTCCTGTGGACGATCGTAGCGCGTGCCGTACTCCGCGTGGACGATCTTCATCGAAGGAATAGCTTTAGGTGGTTGCTGGATCACACCGACATGGTCTCGCGCACTGTGACTGTGGTCGGTCGATTCGAGATCGTCTTCGTTCGTATGTGCCAGGGAAACCCGATGTGCGCCCGCAGAAGGATGTGGATGTAGGTAAGGCGAAGCGCCCCACTGGGATGTTGCACCTGAGCGGCTAAATTGGCTCGTCTTCTCATCTTCGCTGCCGGCCAGATCTTCGGAGTTCCTGCGGAAAGCTTTTCGAGTCCCGTTGTCTACACAGGTGAAAAATAAGGTCTTTGTTTACATGCAAGGAATAAATGACGCGACGCACAGCAGTATTTTGAGCCATCCACCACGCCGCGGTAAGCAAAATCTGGAAGCTGTGAGTTCGGGAGTGGGAGCTGCATCTGATGAGGACTTACAAAAGCCTGCCCACACCATAATACAGGGGCAGCAACAGCAGATGCAGTCGGAATCACAAGTGCTCATCGTAGCAAGGCACAACCGGTTTACAGCCTTGAAGATGGAGTAGAGGTTGATTGAAGGAATGCAATGGACAGGAGATACTGCGGTCGGCGAACGGACAGCGGGAAAGTGTCGAACCGTCGGTGGCGACACAGAAAGAGTGTGAGGAGGCAAGGGGGGAGTAAGATAGCTATCAGCAAGTAGAGCAATGGATTTTACCTGCCCGCGAAACGGAAATATAACAGAGTTGACAGTAGAAGACTCGCAGCACAGGTGGTGATAACCATCGTATTTGATGGAAGCGCACCGAGTCCGGTGCAGGTACTTGGCTTCGGAAGGCCAATAAGGTCCACTCTTGATGAGTATTTCTACTCCATCGAGTTCCCTTGATCGTCCCGGGAAAGAGAGAACAGTGGTAGTGATTCGGGTTCAGAACCGTTTGGTGGAACGCCTGTTCATCATGGCGGGTTCTTTAGGCTCTAGATGAAGTGAGATCGCGACGCCCATGGGTATATATACCTGCTCGAAGCCTTATGGTGTTACAGATTACAGAGTCTTGTGGCCGATGTTGACGAAATAAACAGATCCGCAAGGCTCGGTTCGGAAATAAATCTGCCCGGGCGCTTAAATTTAGTGTCACGCAGCTAAAACGGATCATCTGGCCAACCTGAGTCTGTGGTGGTACCTCGACGCCGATCTTCGCGCTCCTGTGTCGCTGGAAATGCCCCTCAAATCCGACCCCATCGTTCTAGGGGAGCAGAAATCTCCTCGTGCCGTACACTGCCGTATGAAAAAGAAAGTTCAAACGAAAAGCTGTCATGGATGCAATGGCTATGAATACACGTGTAATGCCTGATCTAGAGAGATTAGAAGAAATGAACACGAAAGCAAGGAACGCAGCTGTGAATCGAGTAGGAATCCCATGAGAACCCAAATAAAAGAAGTGTTCCTGTCGCAAGTAGTCTAGTGGTAGATAAGTCAGAAGAAACAAAAGTCCGTCGTGGGCTAGTAGGGTGAAGTAAAGGCTCGTCAAGTGATCTAGTTGAAAAGCAGCTAGATCCGCGCGGAATCGTGAAGTGAGATACTCGCCTATCCTCTGACACACAGCCGGAGCAAGTCGAGAGGGGTGGCGAATGCGCTCGACCGAGCCAAGCCAAGGTCATGAGGGAGAGGCTTGGGTCGGGTACTTTTGGGATGTTGTCTGCACCTCATGAGGCTCGCGAGGCTCGACTGTTATACCATCCGGGTCCCCCCTATCTCTTTCCCTGTCGTCCCCGTCCCTTTCTGTAGGCTGTGGCGACACAGTTGGTGGTTGTGGGATGGACGATGGTCTTTGGGAACCATCTGCCAAGCCGTGCGAGCGTTCGCCTTGCTTGTTGAACACGAGGTCGGCGGTAAATGAATTCGAAGCCAGGGATGACCGGTGGTGTGGACGGTAGCGGTCCGAATATGAGTAGCTTTGTGGGCTTGCCCGACGGCTGCTACTGGGACTTGGGCTACTTCTTGAAGGGATGTTGAGCGTCATTTGTTCAGTTGGGAGCGGTTGTGATCGGATGCTCGGATTGTGATGGGTGGGTGCAGGTACTTGAAGGGAGACTGGCCGTGAACTTCTGCATTCCATGTCGCTAGTCAGTTGCCTTGTCGAGGGCTTCAGAGAGTTCTGAGAATATTGGCTGGTAGGTGCGCGCTTTCCCCGTTGGCTGTTCTCCTCCTCGCCTTCATCCCCTGGACGGCACTTCTTATCTGGAGATTTTTGTGAGCAACATGGAGCCGGCTAGAGCGTAAGGGACATACAGCAGAACTTGCAAGCCGATCGTACCCCAGCGTAGGCATAATCTGCACAAGTCGCGTCAAAGGTCAGCTCGACAATCGAATACCACGAGGATGGGCTACTCACAAACACAGGCCCAGCACACGATGCAGGGTAAGAAGCAGCAAATACAGTCGTCGCTGCAGGAACTCATAGCTGACGATGTCAGAGAACTATGAGGGATGGGTACGTGGGTGTCGGAGAAGGTGATGCAAACAAGATGACCAGAGTTTTGAACGACAATCAAAGGGAAAGGCTGTGAATCACACGGTATGTAGACATTTTAGAGAGATGGCCTTATCGGGGAAAGCTTTCGAGTTTCCGTTGAAGTGACGTTACATACGAGGCTAAAAGTAGCGAACATGACTTATTCAATCGCCGTCAGGCACGCACACGAGGCATCCGCCCTTCAAGCCTAAGTGCCTGGTTCAATCCAGCCTGGGCTACGGACAGCCAGCACCTCGAGCGGGAATGTAAGGCTGGCATTTACGATGGCCTCCAGGTGCAGCCATCTTGAGCTCCTGAGGGGAGGGTGTTTCCGTCTGTTGACTGCCCTGACACAACGTCATTCCCAAACGGGTCTATCGCCACGGTGTGCCTGACGCCGCCAAGGCACTTTTGATATTGACAGAGCAACCGATCACAGCTTGATCGAGGAGGCGTACTAGGGCGTGCCTGGACAATGAAGTTGGCGCTCTACCCCCTCTCACCAAGTCGAGTAGATATTGCCAATTCTGTTTGAAGTGAAGGTCTCAGCATTCTGCAGTGGAAATAAAGAGTCTCGAGAGAGTAGTCCTGACCGGCGGCTGCGGAAGCTGACAGACCTGGGAAGTATGTCAGCCTACAATGGGCCAACAACCCTTCCGACCAAGAGATGTGTTACTGTAGGCCCATCGCCGCGGTAAACACGACTGAGTCCACAGGAAATGAAAGATCGTGGGTTTGCACTCCGGGAGAACACCTTTTCCTCGGATATCCTTGGGAACCAGTGCGTCTAACATTAGTGAGAGTTTACAACAATCGATGTAGTCGATGGAAGTCTAGGCTGGGGAAGTATTTAAAGAAGGGAACAAGCCGGTTGGCTTTTTCTATGCTTCCTTGCGTCTCCGTTTCCCTCCTCTCGCGTCGATGAAGCTGTGGTCTCTGCGCTTCTTGCTGTCCTTCTTCAGTTTCAGCTTTTTCTCCTTCCGCCTTTGAGCCTGCTCCGGATGATGCGTGGCCAACATCACTCGCTTCGTTCGTCTATCCCTTCTCGTATCCAAGATCCTTTGACGAATAGTGTTGTAGACTAGCGAGAAAGTCGTTCCGCCGACCTTCTGCTGAACAAGTTCACGGAGCTCGATCGCGGTCGTTTTGAGTTCCTCTAAAAGATGACATCAGCCATGGAGGGAACGGCAAATGGAGACGAGAAACGAACCTAGTTGATCATCACGAATGGTATCCTCTTCGATGATGCGGTAGAGGGGGCTCAAGATGTGGGTTAGGAACTGCTCCAGCCGTTTGGGCTCCAGGTATGTGACCATGGCAGCAAACCAGCGAACGACAGCTAGGGGCTGCTGCGTCCAGTTCGGCTATAAACGATGGATGGTCAACCATACGGCAAAGTCAACAGACGCGGGCAACTCACGTTGTTACGTCCTTGTCTACCCTTCCTCCTAATCAAGGCCCCGCGGACTTGATATGACAACTTCGAGAACAACCAAGGAAGGTTATCGAGCCCGGCTGGTCCTTGTTCAAGTTCAGCTTCGCCTGCTTCATCGTCTTCCGCCTCGCTCTCCACTTCGATCTCAGCCGACTGAGATGAGTCGTCATCTTCGGAGGACCAATAACGACCGATCCAGACAAGGTTCTTGACGACTTGTAGGCCAAGTGCCGAGTCCAAATGCTCGCTCTTCAGCTGATCGCATAGCTTCGAGGCTGTGTCTCTGAGACCTCCCGGTGCAAACGGATGGCCAGGTTCGAAGGTCGAAGATTGGAGGATAGCGGCGACGCTGGCAATTGGGTGGGCATTGAAGAGAACGCCTAAAGCCCTTGATGCGGCGGTTCGAACCCATGCATGTGGGAACAGAAGATGGGCAGTAACCAGGTTCCATGGAACAGGGATACCCTTTCCTTTGTCGCTAGGATCGCACCGAGCATACGAAGGGACAGCCCTTAGGACCTTGCTCAGCGCCGTCAAGGAATAGTAGGCAAGCTGCCACTCCAATTCATTCGAAGGCTTGCTGGGTCCATCCACATCCATACTGTCCTCGTCTGCGGATTGCGCAAGCGAGTCGAAGTGAGATTTGCTTTGATGCAGGGCGAGGGTCACGTCTTCGATCGTATCTTTGCACCAATCTTGAACGGTTTCCTCTTGATCCTTGACCGCAGCATCAACCACGATGCCCCAAACCTGTAGTGCAACCCATGCCAGCTTCTTTTTGCCACCTTCGGTCGTTTGAGTACCAGCCTTCACCCACTTCCTGAGCCAGCTGCGAACAAAGGTCTTTCGAGCGTCAGGGTCGAACCTTCCATACAGAGTGGTGAGCAGGGCAGCCGCCATCTCCTTGCACTTGGCACTATCGTCATTCGCGATGACCATGACCAAGGTGACAAAGACCATCTCCCCGTATTCCTTGATGAGGCCGACTTGGAATTTGCTGAGGATCGCACCAAGCAGCTCGAGGATAGAAACCCGACCGGATTCGTGAACATACGTTGTCGCATTGCGAAGGAGGAAGGCTAAGGTCTTCTGCAGGCGTCCCTTGCCTTGAGGATAATCGAGCATGAATTGGAGCAGCAACGCCCGAGCTTGCTCCCGCACCACACCAGATTGGGATTGAACCAACAGGGGGGCCACTCGATCCTCCATGATGTCGTACATTTCCGGCACAATGAAACGCCTCGAGACAATGGCGCGCAGCAGGGTGAACGTTACATTCTGCTTGTCCGGATCTTCAAGGTCTGGCGTGACAAGCTCGAGCAAGAATGAAAGGTCCTTCTCCTGAATCTCAACCCCAGGACTGACCGTCCCGTCGGAGCCCGTCATTGTCTTCGGACCGTCCCTGATCATCACGCCCAACGTTCTCAACGCCGACTGCAAGAGATCGCCATCGGTGCCTCCCATGCTTCCTCCGCCGCCTCCGCTGGTTCGAATGATGCTGATAACCTGGTTGACATAGACGGGAAGGGCGCGACGCATTCCTGGAAGCTTGGTAGCGAAGCGAGTCACCAGCAACGCGACCGACTTGAGGGCGGCAAGAAGGACCGGTGTCGAAGCCGAGTAAAGCGTATTTCCGATGGCGGGTAGGAGGAGGTCAATTTGACGATACGCGGCGTCCGATGCGGACATGAAACGACCCCGACGCATAGCCGAGTTGAACAGGTCCAGGCCAAGAACGATAAACCTGACAAAATAACACCCAAATTAGTGTCATCTTCATGGAGAATGGATGAAGACTCGAACCTGAAAGAATTGTGCGCATAGTGATCAACCTCTTGCTTCACAACACGCTTGGTTTGAACGATATGGTCATCGGGCTTATCACTTCCATCCCGGCGCTTCTTCTTGTTCTTCGCCTTCAACGGCTCGGGGCGTTCCTTCAAAAATGCGATGTTGCCAGTGATGAGGCCGGAGATGACAGTAAGAAGCCAATCGCCATCTGGAGGGGTAGTGGCGTCCGCCTCCTGCTTCTTCAGTTCCACACCAGCGTTCCGCTCCAATCCCCCGCTAACCCTACGCAGCACCTCGTCCACCATGTTCAAGACCTTCATGTTGCTCGTGGTCTTCATCACACTTCTCACGTCCTTGAAGAGGTCCGGTAATCTGCTCGGCGAAGTGAACTGAGCAGCAAGAGCGAAAAGAGTATAGGACGCGTTGGTCGACTTTCGAGGTTCTCGGAATGCCGCAGAGGCGTGATTGGGAGGGCCCGGTGCACCGTCTTGTCCTTCAGAAACCGCCACATCACCGAAAAGAATACGAGAGGCAATGTCGCAAATCAGGTGCAAAATGTTGTCCAGGAGTATGGGAGACCGTTTCGTAGTGTCGATGGGAATGGTACTGTCGTCATCAGCGGTTTTGGAAGATTCGTCTACACCCTCTTCACTATTCTTCTCCATCCGATTCGCCTCCTCCACTCCCAACGTGACTTTGGTAACGATCGACTGAACAGTGCAAGCGAGAACATGGACTTGAGGGCCACGAACCAACGCAGTCGCAAGTTCCTCCACAACCACTCGCAGGTACTGCACCCTGTCAAACCCCACATCCTCACCAGTAGCAGCAGCCGGAACATTCTTCTCCTCCTCCCCAACACGAAGCACCAACATCGCAATCCTCCCCAAAACCTCCCGGACACTATCTCTGACCTCCTGGCTCCTACTCCTCATCATGTGGCTGAGTTCAGTGGCCAGTCGACGGAGCTCAGTCTTCTTCCTGTCGATATCCTGCGGAGAAGAAACGGGAAGGTACAGGGTGAGCCGTGCGATGGCAACAGCGATGGGTAGGCGGACAGTCAGCGGCGTCTGGTCTTCTTCGAAACGATGCGACGGCGGAGAGAGATACGTGAGCAAGGCGGGAAGGAGCTTGCTCTTCAGCGAGGTGAGGATCTTGGGTTGTCGACGAGGGACAGGGGCGTCCGGCTTAGCTTCAGGGATATGCAACTCCCCTTCCTCCACAGCCGCTTCTTCCTGTTCCTCAGCCTCCGCATCAGCGCCTTCAGCAACTTCAGCTGCAGCTGTCGGTGATTCTTGTCCATCAACATCCATCGCATCAGCCTCCACCTTCTCCTCACCATCCGACACCACAAACGTAAAGTTCTCCAACACAGAAACAATCGTCCTAACATACACCTTCTCCCATTCAGTCCTCGCCTTCGCCAAACGAAGATACCGCTGGACCAATGCATAGTAAGGCGCCCACGGCAAGTGTCTCGCCAACTTGCCCATCGCATGGATAGCCTCATTCGTCGTCAAATGCTGCTGCTGATCCTGCTTCTGAGCCGAATTCGTAGTCTTGAACCCTCCTCCATTCCCAATGAACCAGCAGACGATCGGGATCAGCCAGTCCCTGACCACACCCGCCTCGTGCTCCTTGCCCGCAGTTTGGAAGCCTTCCCTATCAGCTCGTTCCCCAAGCCTTCTGACTGCACGAGTCCGTCGATGGACCTGGATATGCAGGACGTTGTTGAAAAAATTGGCTTCTTCGTCTCCACCTTCTAGCAGAGGTCGCAGCGCTGCAATGGTCGGACTGATAGTCTCCGGTGACTGAGCGACGGTGTACGACAGAACGCCGAGGAGGTCAGCCTTGACCGAGAGCGACGATTCCAAGGTGGGTGAATGAACGTGTAGCGGAGCAGAGACGAGGGATCGCAGGCCGGATAGGTATACTGAAAGGAAGACGGTATTGTACGTCGTCGCCTCCGCAGAGCCGCCAGGGATAGCCTCAGCAATAACCGCCGAACTCGCCACAACATCCACAAACCGCCGCAACGTATGCGCAGCAGCAGCTCGCACCGCCAACTCCTCCCCATCCTGAATATCAAAGAACGCCTGCTGCAGGAGCGGGATCCACGCCAACGGGGCCAACGAAGTCGACTGAGACGCATCATCATTGAAGCTCGAGTAAGCTGCAAGACGGCGGTCAAAATCTGGTTCGTCCAGCCTCTTCACCGAATAGGCGTTGAGCGATGCGAGTTGCTGGGCAATGGCAAGCAGCCATCCTTGGCCTTGTTCGTTGGCGATCGATCCCAGCTGGGTGAACGCTTCCACGAGCTGCGTACGCCCAACGCGAGTCTTGAGCGTCAAAAGAAGATGCGACAGCGTATCGAACACCCTGCGCCAAAGAGGTGACTCCAACGACTTCAAATCCGGCACCAAACGCATCATGTTGCGGATGATGATAAGGATATTCGACTTGACCTTCTCGGGCGCCTGTTTATTGGGCTTGCGGAACACAGGCAAGAACAGGTTGAGAAGGGTGATAGCTTGGCTGGGTGAAGTCGAGTACGGAGCGAGCAACGAAAGGATCGTCAAATGTCGTTGGCCAAGCGGTGTCGTCAACGACAACGAAAGGACACTCGGTCCTGAAGACGCCTTGGGAGGGGGAGCGGTGTGCTTCGCATATTCGACCAACTTGGCAAGATTGGTGAGGAGAAGATCAACATGAGGTTCCAAAACGCGCGTAGTAACCTCCGGATCCTCCTCTGCATGTCCAAGTATCTTCTCCACAATGTCGAAGACGCGATCGACCACGGCGGGCTTGACGTTGGTGGCGACGAGACAGTTATACAAGGACGGCAACAGTCGGTTGTCATATTGCACCAGGAAGAACACCTGCGCGTGCTCCCGGGACCATACTTGGAAGAGGTCAAGCAAAGCCGACGGTGCTTGCGTATTTTCCTGGGCCAGGTGGGCGAGTCGAGGCGAGATGAACGACGAGAACGCCGAAGGTAGGTAAGGGTCGAACGGGAACGAGATAGGCACACGGAAGAAATCCGCAAACCGCTTCAAACCCAACTGACGGATGGTACGCAACGTCCGCGGGTTGGTGGACGACGAAGCCGAATCAACATGGGCAGCTTCCTCAACTCCTTCATCCTCCACTTCATCCTCATTCTCCGGCGCCTCTTCCGCAGACTGCTGGCCCGCAGGAGCAAGTTCCTGAATCTTGCTTTGCGCATAGTTGACCAAGTCGATGGTAGAACCAAGCAGTGCCGGCCAATAATTGACCAACCGCGACCCAAGCAACCTCATCAAATCACCCAACAACATCAAATACCCAACCATCTGACCATCCCCAACCTCCCCACCAAACGTCCCAAACTCGAACCCAGACTCGGCCGCAGAGGAATGCGAGTTCCTGTCCATCCCAAGCGGCTGCAACATGAGATCAACCAACAGCCCAAGTTCCTCGTCCGTGCAGTTGGCTAACGCAGTTAAGACAGCAGCGCGCCGATCCGTTCCCCTCGTCCGACCCTTCTTCTCCAACATCAGACCGAACAGAAGCCGAGTGAGAACATCAACGACTTCCTCCCTCTCCCGATGCTCCAGATTGACCAACTCCAAAGTCGTCAACTCGTCCCTCCACCGCGTGTCATCCAGGAGAGCGCGAAACTTGTCCTCGTGCGACGTCAGGTGCGGTGACTTGTAGGTGAGCAAACACGTCAACGCTATCCTCTGAAGCGGCCGATAAGGATGGGAGAGGAACAAAACATAGACGGATTTCAAAGTCGAGGTCGCATAGAGGGCTTTGGGATTGGCGAACTTGGAGAAGAGCGTGAACCACGAGATGAGTTTTTGCTTGGATATTTGGATGTCGGAGAGTTGAATGTTGGCGTTGGTCGTTGCGTCAAAGGAAGGCGTGAGGAGGCCGAGAAAATAAGGGATCAATTCCCGGTTGTACTTTTCGACCAAGGAAGAACATTCGCCCAACCCTGACAAGAGTTGAAATTCGTACGTTGCGGCATCGAAACGTTCTTTTTCCTGGTGTGACTATGGTGGATGTCAGTACAACCAAGTCGGAAAGAGACATGAAACCATTGACCTTGATGTACTCTTTGACCCCATGAGCCTCATCCTCCCATTGGGCCGACACAACCCGCAGTTTATGCGCACTAGGATCCCTCCACGACCTTTCCTCCTCCCACGGATCAACGTCCTCATCCGACATTTGCTCCGCATCCGACACCCCGCCATTCGAAACCTTTCTCTCGCTCGAATCAGACGACGTGACCGAACGCAGTTCCGCAAACAGCAATTGCCAAACGAGGTCGCCAAACCGCTGTGCCAAAGACCCGATCGCAGCTATCGCAGGCGACCAAAGCGGGCGAAGGTTAACCTTGAGTTGGGCTATGAAATAAAAGATGAAATTTCCCGTTCAGATTTCGTCCCAAACGGAAATACGACACAAACTGACCTATCAACCATCGAGCACAAACATCGGCTCCCTGGCGATCACCAACAACCTGCCCCACCCTCCCTATCCTAAGCACTCGTTCACGTACACCCTGCAGGTCAACCGTCGCTTCTTCTCCCTGGAGACACCGCTTCACAACCTCCCCAGCGCCCTCCGGGACATTGACAAGCTTCGAGTTGAGGAACCTCAACGCACTGAGACGCAACGGTCTCGAATACGATAACAGCGCAGACTGCAGATTCGGGTATGCTGAATCGAAGGGTAATTGCTCGACATTTGATGTTCTACAGGTTTAGGTTAAGCTGAAGGAAGAGTGCGAGCAAGGGTAGATACGTACATCGACTCGGATAGCACGACCATGGATCCAATAACGTGGTGGGACCAGGACCATCGTTCGATGGCCTGCTTCGACCATGCTTGCAGTGGCACCTTGGTTGTCCACTCTTTGGCAGGTCGTCTCGAAAGAGCCTGAACGGCTCCTTCGATGACCCAGGCTCGAGGGGTATCTGTCGCCGGATCTGCCGACTTCTGGAGGTTGAAATCGATCAACCCAATAAGCGCTGGAATGACGGCTTCTGAGAAAAACGGCGAAAGGGTGAAGATATCGTTGATTTCGGTGTCCTGAAGGAATCATCAGAAACGTCAAATAGAACGACATGTCAGGAAATACTCACAACGGCTTCACCAGTCTGCTCTTTCAAAACCTCCAGCCTCGCCAAAGCACACTTTTCAATCTTCGTCCTCCACACAAAATCGACTTCATTCGGGCTGATCTTCTTGAGACGTCTGAGGGAAGCACAAAAGGCCAACAATTTCGAGGGTTCACTTTCCAACAGGTTCGGTCTGACGGTAGCCTTGAGAACCAGAGGTAACGCGACCATCTTCCACCCTCCCCATCCCAGTTCCGCAAGCGATCCATGTAGTTTCAAGCTGAACTGTATACAAGTCGCGTCGTCCGCGTCATTTTCGCGCCTCTCGATGATTCCCCAGCTTCGTTGCAAGAACTTGAGGCCCGGGCCGATCCAGTGTGACATGTCCGTGGCGGCATAGATAGATGTGACAAAGGGTAAAAGTGAAGGATGCAGATCCGATGTGATAGGTAGTGTTTCGAGGTGGGAAACCAATGTAGTCTTTTGGTTTTCTGGAAGGATAAGAAAACATCAAGCTCCGCGACGATAAGGGATGATACGGGAGGTAGCTCTTACCAGTTAACCGGGAGCCTTGCCTGACAGAAGAGATGACAGTGACAACCGCCAATGTACGTTTGAGATGTTGCACGTTCGTGCCTTGAGAAACGGTTTTGAGTTGTTGGATGAGAAGGTTTCCCAAGTCTGCGAACTGGTCTGCTGTTTTTACGTGGTGGATCAAGGCGGTAAGACTTCGACGAAGAAGCTTGAACGTTGGCTCCGGATCTTCCGCGTCGAGATGGTAGGCAAGAATAGGTGAAAATATCGAAGGCGTTGCTGTATGCAGGGTTTGCGAAACCGACTATAGAGCGATCAGAAAAGCCCTGAAGCGAGGCTGACAGGTCGTACCTTGCAAGCATAAACCAAAACCCACGCCGATGCGTCGTCCACCACCTCTGCTTCAGCAGCCAACAACGTAACTGCCTTGACCCTCGCCGTCGATTTGAGCTTCCGCAACACAGAACCCCACACCTCCGCCATAGCTCGTTGGATTTCTGGTAAACATTTTGGTAGAGTCGCTTTTATCCGTGTCCAAGTGTGTTCTAGGAGATCTAGGTGTATTGAGGGCACCAAGAGGTACCGGAATAGACAGTTGAAAGTTTCCAATAGACTCGTGAGGGCCGTTGGTGATATTGACTTTGCTAATAGATTGAGTAACCGGTCCAGGAGATCGTTATACGCTGGTGCGATAGTCGTTCGTAGGTCGTGTGTAAACTTTTGCAGTAGACTGGAAACAGGTCAGCTTCGTCTAAACCGAAAAAAGCTCCTGGGAGACGTACTCGAGGAGTGCCCGCAATCCTTCGTCGTCTGAGCTATCCATAGCTTCCCCCCACAACGCCATGATGTCCTGCCAATGATGCAGAAGCAACGCCATCGACCCCGACAGAGGATCTGCTTTCTTCGCAAACTTGAGGAAGCTAGGTGCCATACTGAGCTGCCTCCAGTCGTCGAGTGCTTGATGAAAATGCGAATCATTGTCCTATATCCCGCCCTGCTCAGCACCCTGTATCCATATCGAATAGCCCCGCCCAGTACTCACCGCAACCTCTGTCTCATATTGCAGCTTGTTGAACACAGACGGCAGATGGACCTCTTTTAGTTGTTGGTTATACGATTGGTGCTAACAACCCCCCGCTCATTAGCGTCTGTCTGCGAACGAAATGGATAAAAAAGGCTCACCTTGAACCGCTTTTGCGGTACAGCGTCGACGAGCTCTTCAGCCTCCATCGTTGACTCGAGTCAGAGGTTGCGGCTATAGGGTTGTCAACCAACTCGGTTGAAACTGGGAGGGAAGCTTGAAAATTCGAGTGCCGCAGCGGCATCTTCGGACCGTTCATGAGTTAGGGGCTTCTTCTACCTAAAACGATCGACTCGTCCCGGTAAGAGAAGGTGTATTAGCGTTTATTGGCTGATAGTAGGGGTGTTTGTATTTTAGGACTAGATATGTACAGTGAATTTTGGGGGTCATCTGATGTCCTTTATAAATCAGCGATCCGTCTCCCTTTGACATCGACCACCACCACAGAATGTCCACAACCGCTTCAGAGCCCCTGGTCCTCCCGCTACCACCCCTCGACAAACACTGCTCCTACAACCCGTGTCCCACGTTCGGCGAAAGCGACGGCGAGGCAAAGCACCGATGCTCTCTCTGCAAGGGCGTGTCGTACTGCGTGAGTTGCTTTGCCTTTGTCTTCGACCGTCTTTACTTCTCTCTACTACTCTTAGACCTGATCTGACTTTTATTATATCTCCAGGGACAAAGATGTCAGAAACTAGACTGGAAAGAGAACCACAGATGGAACTGTTCCCCACTAGCTATCGACAACGACAAAGCTTTCCTCGAACCCGATCCTGAAGAGCTGGAAGAGCTCACTCGAGTAATCATGCACTGGAAAGAAGCTTACGACAAGCTCCCAGACGCCGAAAAGCAAAAGCAGAACAAAGGATGGAAAGCGAGCTCGATGCCCGAGTCAAAGGGACTACTGGGTGCGTCGGGACGTCGCGATCCACATTCTTACGCCCTCGCTCACCTCAGACGCTTATCCAGACCTCCAAATTGCCTCAGGCGCCTCCTACTCCCGCCTCCCAAAAAACCACACAAAATACCCTTTCAGGCTCCCCATCATCCTCATCACCCGACGCTTCCTGTCCTCCATGTTCCACCCCCCACTCCCTCCAGCCCTGGAACGCATCCCCGACATGCTTTGCAGGATGGGCAGAGAGATCGTCGCTCCTAATTACTATCCTAGAATGCACGGGCCAAAAATCATCCGCAAGCCTGCTGATTTATCGTCAGGGGAGTATGGGACAATCCTGGACTGGATGCCGGTCGCGCTGCTTGAACATGGTATAAAAGGCGAGGTGAAGGAATGGGGTGACAGGTGGATTGCCCTGGCTACAGCGGAGAAATTGCTTTGGACTGATGATGGTGTCGCGACACTTTAGAACACGGACCAGGCGACGCGCAGGTTGCGGACGCGACGCGTCGAGAGAGTGAATTCGCGTGTGTAACAGTTGTAATGGGCTTTCTGTACTCCACCTCACAATCCTACTGCGTGTATATACCACCTCTTTCCCCGTTGAATAGACTTTTTGAATGTTCGTGACCTGGCGCCTGCGACCACCATCCTGTCATACTCAGGGGCTTTCCTGCCTAAATCGTCTCGCCTCATCCCCAAGACCGTATCTGCAACCACAACAACGCAACCACTCGTAATATATCTCGGAAACCCTATAGACCGCTTTAAACGGGACTCTTGGGCGACCCCTCGCACTCGCACACACCCGCATCGACAGGAGCGCTGAGGCCAGCTTCTCATCTTTAAGCTTTACACCTGTCACGGGGCTCTGGTTCTATCAATCACTGACTACATATATGTGATTCTCCTAGTTTTCAACCCTCAACCCTTCTTAACATCGACCACCACAATACCATGTCCACAACCTCTTCCTCAGAGCCCCTCGTCCTCCCGTTACCGGCCCAGGACACCGGGTGCGGCTACCCGCTCTGTCCCAATGAAGAAGAAGACGAGCCGGTGGAGGCCCAGTTTCGCTGCTCTGTCTGCAAGAACGAGTCGTACTGCGTATGTGGCTTCGGTTTTGCCTTCAACCACTTCCCCGTCATGTGCATCGACACCGCCTAGCGCTGCTCTGACCTTAAACTTGCATCTACAGGGTCTCAGATGTCAAAAACTGGACTGGAAGAATCACAAATGGATCTGCTCCCCGCTAGCCATCGACAGCAACACAGCCTTCCTCAAACATGATCCTGAAGAGCTTGAAGAGCTCACTCAGGTCATTCGCCGCTGGAAGGAGGCATTTGTCAAGATCCCAGATTCCGAGAAGAAGAAGAAGGGATGGAAGGCCAGCTCGATGCCCGAGTCGCAGGAATTGCTGAGTACGCCGGCCCAATTCACATTTTCATGCCTTGGCTCAGGACTGATTCCATCTAGACTTCAACATTGCTTCAGGTGCCTCGTACACCCGTCTCCCCAAAGACCACACAAAGCGTCCCTTCCGGCTCCCCATCACCCTCATCATCAGGCGCTTCCTCTCCTCCATGCTCCTGCCCCCAATTCCTTCAGCACTCGAAACTGTCCCCGACAGCATTTGCAAGCTGGGAGAAGGAGCTCGACTTCCTCACGGTTGGGGTAAAATGTACGGACCCAAGGTCGTGCACAAGCCTGCTGATTTGTCGCCGGGGGAGTATGAGACAGTCGTGGACTTGATACCCATCATGTTCGTCGAACAGGATATGGAAGGCGAGTTGAAAGAGTGGGGTGATAGGTGGCTTGCCCTGTCTCTGGCGAGGAAGATGCTCTGGAACGATGATGGTGTCGTCAGAGGAGGATAAAGTACCGACAACAACATAACGCGACGCGACGCGTCGGGAAGATATTACGCGCGCATCAGTTGCAAAATTGACTCTCTTTACAACATGTAATAGTACCAATCTCCTAGTACCGTTATCGAGTCGTTGGCCTTCCAAGCCATAACCAAGTCTTCCTTTGAGAGAATTGTAAAATGTAAATAAACACCAGGTAAAACACTTCTCCACCCAATAGCCCCTAAACTGATCAAACTCGTCACGGGCACGTTTCCTTACATAATGCCCTGTCATTATCTCCGAAAGTTTAAGCTTCTAAGAGGCACTCCAAGTTGACTAGGACTTCAACTAGAACCACCACCATGTCTACCTCCAACACCACCCAAGATAACGCGGTTCTCCCGGCCCCAAAGCCTTCGGGGTACTGCGAATTCGATGACTGCCCCGACGCTGACGAAGGCGCAGCGGCGAAGAGCCGATGCTCAGTATGCAAAGACTACTCCTACTGCGTGCGTCTATTTATCTCTGAAACAAAGACTCCAGCTCTTCGTGAATCGTGATCCAAATCTGACTTGCCCAATGAACACCACAGAGCCAAAAATGCCAAAAGCTGCACTGGAAGCAACATCACAAGTGGGGCTGCTCGTCTTTGGTCGTCGAGAAAGACAAGGCATTCCTCGAGCCCGATCCTGAGGAGCTCAAGAAACTTGAAGATGTGGTTGTACGATGGCACGCAGCGTTTGAGAAGCTCCCGCGTGAAACACCCTCGAGCCGAGCATGGAAGGCGAGCTCGTTGCCCGAGTCTCAGGAACTTTTGCGTACGTCGCGGCCCGGCCCAATATTTAACAACGCTAACCTTTTCTCAATACCTCATCTCATCCCCAGAACTCGAAATCCCATCAGGCTCCTCATACACCCGCCTCCCACCAGACCACACAACCTACCCCTTCCGCCTCCCCTTGACCCTCATCGCCCGACGCTTCACCTCAGAAATGCTCTCCTCCCTCACCCCAGAAGCCCGCACCGTCCTCGGGGGGTACATCACCACCTGCGGGCACAACCCGCCCAAACCCCACTTCACCAAAGTCTACGGCCCTAAGGTGGTCGAGAAGCCAGCGGATTTGGCGCCCGGGGAGTATAATTTTTGGATGACGCTCGCGCCATATGTCGCGTTTCAGGATTTCAAGGTGTGTAAGTTTGGGGAGGAGTGGGCGAAGAGGATGAGGGCGTTGGCGACTGCTAGGGTTTTTTTGTGGGATGATAGGAATTTGAATGGGAGGAAGTGAAGTGGTCTCGTGTAGGAGGAGGTGGGAGATGAACGAAAGTTGTTCTTGATCTTACCTGTGATGGCTGCCTCTTTGCGCGCGTGTATTATAGTACTATCTTGCTATGCTGATCTAGCAATCGTTATCCTTGCCAGAAGAACGCGATAAATGGAGAGTGGCTCGCGACCTTGCGAGGCCCAGTTCCCTGTGGTGTCATTTCCTCGATCCCGAAAAGAGGCGACAGTGGGGAAGGCACCCGTCGAGACTGGCTGCCAGTGGAGCTCACTGCAACCCTTGCAGCATGCCATGTGTCGCGACCTAGTCCTGGTCCTCGTTCAACACCACGTGGCTATAGAAGCCCAGGATGAATCAGGCTGGATGGGCGCTTAATCTAATTTGAACTTCGAAGCGACTTGGGGCTGGCATTACTTGAAAGGATCAATGCACTAAGATGTCTATTGTACAGATTTTATAATTCGGGAACATATCATTCTCTTCAGATGGTAGAGGGCTTTTCCGCTCCCGCATCTCGAAAGTAACGACTTTGGAAGTGGGAGTTGCCAGATGAGTGCCGACCATCTAGCCCTTAAAAGAACTCTCGGTGCGCTTTCTCTTTGCAACCGGCTGATCATCGGATGATTTTCTGCTTGGGCCGTCGCTTCTAGAAGCACCTACACTGTTACGAGGAAGCGGAGCGCCGGTGGATATGATGTCGGGGGCTGGCGCGAGCTTCGGCGGTTCTGCCTGCAATGCCTTTGCACTATATGAATCTCTACCTTTCTCGTCCACCTCGGGTATTCCAAAATTCCCGGGCTTCAGACCTCCGCCGGTGTATTGTGGAATCTCATCCTTCAATGTCTTCCATTCCGGGTCTTTTAGCGCTTCCTCAAGCACATGCATAAGGCCATCGTGAGTTGGAATGTTTTTGCTGGGATCGCCAGTGTAGACGGCTGAAAACATGCCTGCAAGTGCCGGTAACAGAGTGCTAAGCCTCTTGGCAACAAACGGTATGTCTTTTAAATACCACCCATTTGGCTCGATGCTCTCTGTGATCAAGAACGCCGCTTTCTCCTTTCCGTGTAGGCGGTCAAATTGCGCCAACACAAGGGCACGCGCCTTTGCAATGGCCTCTCCGACGCCCAGCGCTCGAGCGTATCGGGCACAGGCGTACATAAGGACATGGACAAACGACTCCAGATCATCCAGGACCGTATTAGGGCTGCTTTGATCCATCATCAACCTGCACGATAGAAATTGCCATGATACCTAGATAGCAGTTTTTAGTCATTGGAGTAGGCAGAATGGGCGAAATAATGTTACCGTTCGCTCAACAAACTTGGGGGCGCTAGCCTGACTAGTATCCGACTCGGACACTGGCACGTCGAGCTTCTTCGCAAGCCCAATCTACAAGGAACCCGGTGACTTTTCCATCCTTCCAATAGACCATGATGTTGTCGATAGAGATATCTCTGTGCAGAAGACCGGCCTTTATATAAGCATCCAGGTGGGCTAAAGAGCATAGAATTAATAAGCCTCTTGAGAGCAGTAGTTCTGACGTTAAAGGCAACGGACCTTGGAGAGCATGTAGGACAGCTGTTACCATCTCCCAAGAGTACGAAAATTCGCTCAAAGGTTTTCCTATACGATCGAGGACCAGCCTATAGTGGTAGTGAACCCGAGCCTGAACCTTGCGTCCGTTTGGGGGGCCGCATTTATGGAACTTGGCCTCCTGCACTGTAACACTAACATCGCCTGAGGTCAAACGTGGGGCTATGTTTCTGACCTGGCTCTTTTGAAGCCGCAGATAGACTTCCCCTTCTGTGTCATATCCGTCAATTCTCCAGGTGTCCTTCAGGAAAACTAACTCGGAGCCGGTTTTCTCTCTCTCCATTGGTGATGTGGCCTCCGCATCGAACTGGCAATTGTAGGCGATGAATCCTCGAGTACCTCGGCCGACCGGAAAATAGTGAGTTTGCGTCACCGGTACACCACGAATAATGTAGTAACTGGTTTCCCCAGAGAATTCATCCTTTACTCCCACTTTGTACAGTGGCTCTTCACTAGTCGCGTTCAGGGCTTCGCGAGCCAGCTTGGCTTCATATGCATCCGTGGGCGAAACCGAGTCCGAGATCGGAACAAAGCTCTTATCATGTCCTCTATACTCGGGAGTGGCGCGAGAGAATCGCCAGAGAAAATCAAGTAACCATGAGGATCCTTCTATTGAATCGAGGTCAAACTCTCTGGTGACAGTTGCACAGCTGCGTGTCCAGTGGATGATGCGGCAGAATGATCCATTGATAAAGATTGTGAAGGCATGTGTTCTGAGCTGCGAAGCCAGGAGGGCGTTGGCATAGATAATGAGTTGGCCCCGTGTCTCTTGACCTGCTTCTGTAGTCGTCTCAAATTCCTTATGGCTTTTGGCCTGGTCGTCGAATGGTTGGCAGCTGGAATCCATCTTAATCTCCAAGATGGATTCCATCAATCTGACCCTGGTGGGCTTGTCATTGGAGATATTCATAGAAGACCTGTAGAACGCAATGTCTGGTTTTATAGCATGTCCCAGGAAATAGCCCGAGTCCTTGTCCACAGAGTTAGAGGTGTTGACAATCTTCAGGTCGGGACAATAGGGAGATAGAGCCGCAATCTACATTTTGTGACAGTGAGCAATAGTCTGTTTCAATAAGTAGTACTGGGAACTTACCAGGGGGTCGTACAGCTTCGTTTCACTCTTAGCGACTTTGCATTGTTCCAATGCAGCCACAAAAGCCGCCCTGAACTCAGACATATTGCCCCTGTCATCATCTCCCAATCTGTTCAGCGGCAGGTGGTTGTCCAGGAAGTTTCCTGGATCTATTGGACCGGCGAACTTGCCGCTCATTTCGTTTGAAGCCGCAAGATAGATAGCTGCTTTAGGTACATGAGGGCTTGTGCTTGACGGAAGCCTGCTCATGAAGCGCTGGCTCTCTGGCGTACGGGTAGCAGCGGCGGCTAAGTTGGATGATCGAGCTCCGTAGAACATGTCTGGCGAGATGGTCATGGCGAGAAAAGATTCGGGAGGTTTGCAGTGGGAGAACAGAACCTTAGGCGGTTTGTGGTTTGAAGGATAAGGCTCTACACTTATATATTTTCAGAGGAGCCAGTACATACGATGCAAGCTAGGTTGGAATGTCCTCTCGGAATAGAGAAAACAGGCTACTCTCAGTGTGTGCAGTTCTCGAATTGATAAATAACGGTAGGTACACAGGAGGGTCCTATCACTTCACCAATGCATGCAGCGCAACACACTGGTCGACCAGATATCGGAAGATTCATGAGTGCAATAACAACATTTTTTTTAAGCGCCGAGGTGGGATATCCTCACGAGTCGTAATTCTTCAGGAATTACCATCAAGTTGGAGGACGGGCTCCCCTCCTCAATCTCTAATTGCGAGAATTACATGGTTGTCGATTTTACCATTCCTTGGATAAAATCCTACAGCTGTCGGTAATTCTGCAAGCAGACCCAAGTGTGCAAACAACGGTTCCTCGGTTGGGAGGCTACTCGGAGAAAAATGGATGAATTGGCCACTAGTCGATGACGAGTGGGCCAGTCAGAATCGAAAGAGACCCTAAGTGCGCTAGTAAGTTTCTTCGCACCACATGAGACCCAGCCGAGTGCCCCTACTATGATAAACTAGGGACAAACAAACGGAACGAAAACATGTAAACACCTGTCTGCAGTGGGGTTGCTTCTCGTCCCTCGTGTCCATTTCATGCCAGCAAACACCTCACCTCGTCTCCCTCCCGAGCTGCTTGAATTACTCATCCACCCCTACGTGAATGATCGGCCAATGCTCGCGCAGTTGTCCCTTGTTGGTCGGGACTGGTACCCAATAACGAGGGTGCATCTCTTTCGCACTATTCAAATCCCCATCCGATATCCACCAGGAGTGTTAGAACAGAGAAGCTTGGAACTCCTTCAGCTCTTCCGAGTTCGACCCTCACTTCCGCAGTTCGTCAGGGAGGTTGAACTCCTGGTCAACGTAAATCACGAATCGCCGATAATGGATGCGGACCAGGGCCTCAAGGACTTATCCGCCCTCTTCGCGATGATAGGCTCACCAAAAGCGATATCGCTACAGCCTTCGACGGACTACAAACCGAGCTGGACATCAGGTTTCGATTTTTCGAAGGGGTTTGTCGATGCTTTCTTCCACCTTGTCTCGACGCCTACCGTGGAGAAGGTCAAGATCTGGAAAGTGATGGACTTTCCGTTGTCGCGCTTGTTGAGCATCCCGACGCTCAGGCACCTGGACCTGACAAGGGTTGATGGGTACTTCGACTCGTTGCCGGACAAGGCGCTACCTCCCTGCAACACCGACAGTGGAGAGTTGGTCCACTTCACCACCAACGACTGCCACTATCCTCTGCCCCACTTGGTGCGACACGTGCAGTCCCCCTTTGCAGCCTTGCGGCTCGATCGCCTTCGACATCTCACGTTCAACGTGAACTGGCTCTCGAGGAATGATTGGATAGAAACCTGGGACCAATTCACGTCGCTGTTTTCCTCCACTCTGGAATCGCTTGCAATAACGCATTGTGGACATCTGGAAACCACTTATTCCAGATGGGCGTCTTTCTGCAGCTCTGCTCATAGTACGTTTTCAAAATTCCTTCCTTCGAGGTTATTTCTTTCTTAACTCTGACTGGGCCAGTATCCCCCATGGCCTTCCTCGACATCGCGGTCTTCCCCAACCTGAAGAAATTGACGTTTTACTGCAGTTACTCATATGCTCACTACACCAAGGCCCGGGACTGTCCAATCAACGGCATGTCCGCAAGCCTTGACCGGTTTTCCCGAATGCCTAATCAGCTCGAAGAAGTGGCTATCGAGTTGGTAGACTATCTATGGGAGCGCCGATGCTCTGGACCGACTCTCGGGGAAGGTAGAAGCGAGAGGGATTGGGTTGATCTGGATCGGGCACTGGCAAGCCCGGGCCTAGAGAGATTGCGTAAAGTGGTATTAAGACCCCGATTTCTTAAAGAGGATGCGGGGCTCTTGCGTCCGTTTAGAGAGATATTTACGGGTTTAATGGTGAACACTGTGATGGCAGGTCGCGAACTTGCCTTTGTTGATGTACCTCTAGGCTCAGGCGACCGTGGCAAAGATTACTACAAAAAAGAGATGATAGTATCCGAGGACTGACATGGTAATTAGTACTACTTACATTCGGACGCTACACCCGTTTCCCCGTGGTAGTTAGCATATATACATGGCTCGCCTACCTTGTTGACTTCAACTGCCGTCCAGCACCCTCACTCTGACAGCCTCGAAGCCATTCTTTTCAATTACACTAAGAGATCCATGTTCGTTCTAAATCGTCGACAGAGACAAAGCCTTCCTTGAGCCCGATTTCGAGATGAGGCCTTCAGATTTGGCTATGCGATGGCTGGCAGCATTTGACAAGCTCCCGCCGCCCGCGGGAAACACCCTGCATCACCGGTACAAATGGCATCAGGCTCTCACCATACATCTGCTTCCCACCAGAGCACACACCCCACACCTGCCCCTATCGATCTATCCCTCGTCGGCTCACCTCCAATATGCTCCTCCCACAATGCCGAAGCTGGATGGCGCATATGCCGCGTTTCAGGATAAGGTGTGCGAGTTTGGGGGAGGAGTGGGTGAGGAGGGATGAGGGCGTTGGCGACTGCTGGGGTGCTTTTGTGGGATGATAGGAATGACAAGGGTAGGCGGAAGTGGGGGTGAAGGGGCCTCGTGAGTGAGAGGTCACGGAAGACAGAAGGTGTGCATCGTGCTTCTTCGTTCCGGTATATGTGCACAAGTGTACTCAAGTGTTACATTACATTACCACCTTGGTATGTTGAAATGAACTGAGATCCTTACCCGGAGAACACGATAGAAGCAATAGCAGCAGATCGCGACCTCGAGAGAGGAAGATCGAGGCCGATTTACATTCCATGCCCATTGGGTGCGATGGGCGCCTAATCACGTCAGCCACATACCGCGACAGCACAGGCTGACACGTCGACACCGGCACAGCACAGAAAGATCATAGCATCTATAATCCTAATGAGTTAGCCCTAAGAACCGACACATCATGCACCCATACTCTTGAAAATCATCCTCGTCCTCTCTTCGACCGTCCAAATGGAAGAAACTATACCAACTGACGAAGAGTTCAGGATACCTGCGCCGAGGCGGGTCCTCAAGCATTCTAATGAAGACGGGTGCCTCGTAGAAGAGACTTAGCTCATCATCCTGGAACAGATCGTCTTCGAGTGCCGGATCTTTGATCCCATGCCTAACGTGTTGGGTAACAATCAGTGAAAGGGGCGGAATACAGAGTCATGTTGGACGACTGACATCATGGTCTGAAGGTGACTCATCACTTCACCTTCCCGAGCAGCGTAACCGTCGTTGAACTCGGTACAATGGTTGCAGAACCACGACACACTTCGGTACAATTTGGTTTTCGCAACTTGTAGCTTTACAGGGTCAGTGATCACAGTGAACTGAAGCGAGTTCCAAGGGTCGCTGTTGAAATACTTGGGATGCTTGGTCATCGCGTGGTGTATCTGTGGATGCGGGACGTTAGAATTTCATGCCAGAAATTTCAGCGAAGGGAATGACTTACGGCGCTTCTCCAAGTATAGGCGCCTAAGAACGGCTTGTATTTGTGTCCGTTCTCCTGCTTGAAAGTCTCCGTCTTCAGGCAAGCGTTACACGTGAACCTCTTATCCAAAGCGTCCATTTGAGCTACAGTGGCTGTCAAAGGCGACAGCCTAGCTTCCTCGATAATCTGGCTGGCGATATCCGAGGCTCGAACGTTGAGCTCCAAAGAAGGGCAGGCCTCGGGAGGGATACTGTACTGAGGTCTGCGAGCATTTCGTGCTACCTCTCGTCCAAGGTAAGAACAACGGTGAGTTGCTGCCATGCCCATCCCGATCAACGGCCTTCGAACAGGCTTGACGTGGCCGGGGTTGTTGCATGTGAAGACACAAGCAGCAAGATGGGATATGTCAACGCCCAGGGGTGTGGCCGCCGAGCATGGAAAGCGAGCTCGCTGCCCGAGTCGCAGGAACTTTTGCGTACGTCGCGGCCCGGCCAATATTTAATCAACGCTAACCTTTTCTCAATTCCTCGTCTCATCCCCAGAACTCGAAATCCCATCAGGCTCCTCATACACCCGCCTCCCCCCAGACCACACAACCTACCCCTTCCGCCTCCCCTTGACCCTCATCGCCCGACGCTTCACCTCCGAAATGCTCTCCTCCCTCACCCCAGAAGCCCGCACCGTCCTCGGCGGCTACATAACCACCTGCGGGCACAACCCGCCCAAACCCCACTTCACCAAAGTCTACGGCCCCAAGGTGGTCGAGAAGCCAGCGGATTTGGCGCCTGGGGAGTATAATTTTTGGATGACGCTCGCGCCGTTTATGACTGTGCAGGATTTTGGTGTGTGTGAGTTTGGGGAGTGGGCGGAGAGGATGAGGGCGTTGGCGACTGCTAGGGTTTTCTTGTGGGATGATAGGAATAGCAAGGGTGGGAAGGAGTAAGGTGAGCGAGGGAGCGAGCGAAGGAAGGGGGTCACGAAAGAACATTGGGTTCTTGAGCTTGTTTGTGATGTACATCGTGCTTCGAACTATATCTGTATTACGTATAGTCCCGCTTATACTTGTGTTATTCATACCTAAGCCTCGTGACTGCCTCTCAAGAGGTCCCCGTTGGCCTCGAGTCTTCAACCTTGGGTGGATGTAGTGCAAGCACAACATCCGTGGACAAGATGAGGTCGAGTGATCCGGAGGCGGCGCACCTGTTTGGTCAGACCAAACAGCCTCGTCTTCCTCGCGCCGATGAGAGATGGTATCTCTCATCTTCTCGCCGTTCTCGAGAGGTCCCCATCCTCTCTACTCGCTCCTCTCTCGTTTTCGCGTCCCACCGCTCCCGCCCACCACCAGCGCCTACGCTTGGCCATCCAGCCACGGTTGCTCCGGCTCGGTGGTCATCTGGGCGTTCCGGCCAGCAAGCTGTCCCAGGCAACACCAAGGAACTGATTAGGTTTACTTGGCTTCACGCTTCGTCACGGCTCTCGAGAGAATGAGCCTATCTTGTCGGATGGACCTTGATCGTTTTTCACATCGTCGGATAGAGGGGACTTGTAAAACCATTGGTCGCCGTCGAACTCAGAAAAGCTATTGGGCACCTGGGAGGATGATTCGATAGGTATCAACCTTACTGATTCGCACCACATAACAGAGCTTACCCAGGAAGAGAGGATGCCAGCAATTAAGGCGGGATCATACCGATTGGAAGTCACGGGAACGGTGACATCCGAAGCCATGTTTTCTGTCCTCCATCCAACAACCTCCGATTCCCAATAAGTCGCCCCTTCACCCTCACGGTCAAGGTTAACAGCAAGAAAGATCCATCTGTCACCACTGGTCAAAGCACCACGAATGTGAGACTTCCTGAGTGGAATGTGAGCATAATTCAAGAATTGGGGCAAAAACAACCAACCCAAGGTGCTTCGCACAAGCAACGAGCTCAACGAGAGCCCGGGGAGTATGTCCCTCGAGTACAATGCCGTCGGAAGCTTTAGCCTCAGCGGTAAAAAACGCGACCAGGTTTTGAGAGATACGCGGTGTGAGCTGAGGAGGCTTCCGCAGATGCATGCCTGTAAGCGAAGTAAGCGAGTGCAGCGAGGCCAAGCACAAAGGGGAAGATGTCTTACGGGCAATCCGGGCATCCGCCACAAGAGCGGTATAATCGATCACCCCAGACACAGTGTCCATCTTCGATTCCCTTGGGCGAGCGCTTGGTACGGGTTTCTCCAGCATTATGACCACCCTTTGGTCGGAAGGAACCATAGCCGTGGTTCTGAAAAAGAAAGCATCAATGAACATTCGGGAAGAAGCCTCGTTCTGAATCGATGTTAGGGAATCGTGTGTGCTCGGGGATTAGACGAACACATACCACGTTGTTGTAAGTATTGGACAAAAACGACAAGTGTCTGTACATATTTCCGTTCGACCATAGCTCAGTAGCACCAAGTTGTCGGGTAGATTCAATGGCATCGCGAAGTTTCTCTTGGTCCTGCAAAAACAGCATGCCGGCTTGTGTGATATTCAGCCGACCCAGATTGGTTTCATTGACAGCAGAGAATGACAAGGACTGTAAGGCAATCAGAACTTTGTAGGAGACGAAACAACTGAAAGGCGTACAAGCGGTTCCTTGGTTCGGGTTTCGAGTAGAGCGATCACTTTATCCAGCTCATCACCAAGTGTGTCGGTTTCTGTTGCTTCTAATTCGAGCACGTCTTCAAAAACGATGGTTTTCCGAAGCTTTCGAAGTTGTACGAGCGACAGTTCGAGCTCTAGGCCGCTGAGGCCTGAGATCTTACGTTTCTTGGATGCTGACATGTTGGTGAAAGGATTTGGCCCTTTTCTGGCTTGCCGCGGCTTGACTGGGAAAAAGTGATTGGTAAGCTTTCTAATGCATCCTCAGTCTTGACATGCACCGCCTTCCGCGTCTTCTTAGAGCTTAGGCGGTTCAGGATTGTACCCGCCCTCCAACGCTCGTTTGGCGCCTCGGGTGTTGACCATAGGCGCTTGGGGTTCACTGCAATGTGGGGTTTGTGTGGGGTCGTCGAGACGAGAGGGGATGTTGATTTGATGGTCAGTGCACTGGGTTTGGATAGGACCACACAACCACCGTCGCGGACCTTGTTGTGATAAGATGGAGGAGATTAGATCATGCAAGCCCTGGCATTCCTCCTGCACGAACTGAGCTCGGACCGTTGATTGACAAGGACATCTTTCACTTCCACCGGGACGAGCGAAGAATTACTCTATTCGAGATATGCATCCCAATTAATTATGTTCCAAGACATACACAATCGCAAAATCCATAATTCACTTAGCTGCCTTGGCCAGCGATTCCTCATCCACATGCAGCAAATCGATAATGCGCTCAAACTTCTCGTTCCCTCCCAGCTTGGCGATCTCCTGCCTCAACTGAGCTTCCAGCTTCTTAAGCACGGATAACGTATAGTCGAAAGACTTGGTGCGATCGCGGAGGTAGTTGATGGTGTGGATCTTGAGCGTTGGCGTCGGGGGCCGTTTTTGGAGGACGTCTATTCAACAAGCGTTAGTTCGAGTTGAGTTCCGTTCGTCTGAATCACAGGAAGGGTGACGTTGATGGGGGACGTACTAAGAACTTGTCGGTTTGACCGATCGGCATGGATACCGTGTACCACTGGGAACGAGAATTTGCCTTCCGTCAGGTCCTCCGCGAAGCCCTTGTTTGATGTGTATTCTGGGCTTTGAAGGTTCATGAGGTCGTCTCGGATCTGGAAGTACACGCCGAACAGGCTGACGAGCGGTGTATAGTCACTATCCCCCGGATGTTAGCTCGAAGGTCTGGCGGCACGAGATAGCACGACGGCGACGCACACGTCCGAATTGGTGGTGGAGCAAGCCATCATGAGTTTAATCCCCAATCGTAATAGGCCCCCGGTTTCTGCCAAAGGGCGGTGGGTTAGTCTGAGTCGATGTCCATACTTCGAAGGGGTACACGCACTATTGCTGACCATGTCGATGTATTGCTCCTCCGTCGGGCACTGTAATGAGTCGCGCCATAGAATCTCTAGACCCTGTCCTCGGTGTAATGACAGTAGCTCCTGCGTCACCATCTGGTCGATATCCTGCCTCGGCGGTGTCGGTCCATTCCTCAGCGCAAACAGCTCCTGGAACGCCAGGAAGTAGACGTAATTCGCAGAGTTGATAGTTTGTGGAATCCCATAAATCTTATGGGCGACTAAACATGGATGTTTAACAGCATTCTAGAAACCCAGCAAGATCGAGACGCACCTGGGTTCCCCCTCCGTAACTGCGAGTCGTCTTCAATATCATCCACCCTGAGGTTCTGAAATCAACACGGTTCTTGATACCCAACCTCCCGCGATTTCGACGTACATGAGACTAGCAGCATGCAGCATGTTGACAATCTTCGCTATCACTTGGAGTTTATCATCGGGGACGTTGAGCCACAAATTGAAGGCATCTATAAGTTTTCCGCGTATCTCCTTGCCAGGATTCGAGGTTGTAAACGTGAATGGTTCCAGGATTGCCTAACACCGCATCCACAGCAATTCAGTACATTCCCAACTCGCACCCATGAAACGCCTTATCGCTCACCGATTCGAATTCTGGTGACCACTCTGGTTCTCTAGAAAGACGGTCTAGGATGTTGTCGTAGTTGGCCATGTTGAAGATGAGAGAGAAGGAGAACTTGGGAGAAGGAGATAAAGTTTGGTGGACATGGTCGTCGCTGCGGGCAAAGGGCTATAAAAGGCACGCCGAGTCGCGGTGACGAAAGCGATGAAACCCCTATTCGCGGGGCTTGCCGGCATCGGACCAATCTCCGACCAGCCCGCTCGAGGCGGCCAGCACTGAGCAGGGGACGTGTTCGCTCCCTGCAATGACGCTCAAGGCAGACAAAGTCCTCTGAACCGACGCTTTAGGCGGTGCACGCGCGAATAATGCCTGGATTCCCTTACCGATTCCAACAACAGGCTCTTCTGAATCCAGTACCCACCGGCGATTTCAAACTCTACCTTGCGGACGGACATCGTACAGCACCGAGTCTACTCGTCGACGCGCTCTTCACTCTTCGGAAATGGACGATGGCTTCTCCGGCTAGGCTTACCGGAAGACGTAACTAATTTGCGTCGGGGCTGTGGGCATCTGCTTGGTCCACAACCACGATCTCTGCTTCGCCTCAGCATGGGCGACGATCTGCGACGACGTGGCAAGCATGTGTGTGTGCGATACCGCTACGAACAAGCCTGTCGAGCTACCCGACAATCAAGCCTTCTCCCTCCAGCATGGGCTTGGCCTCGAATGAAGAAATTGGGAGGATGGTGCGGATCGCCCAAGAAAGATTTCGATGCCTCGAAATTCAAAGCGCTCAGCACGGTCACAGCGGCGCGCCCGACCAGGTGAAAGCCATCATTCGCCAAGGGTATGTAGCTCAGTTATCGGTTTCTGGCAGAGATTACTGATTTCTTTTCGCCAGCCAGAATGGAAACGTTCAGACGGGTCACGGGGGTCGCTATCCCCACCTAGCATACGCTCTCAAGGTAATCTTTCCGTATGACGACGGCAGACGATGATAGAATCCTTACCACATCCACGATGGCGACGAATCGATTATCGTTGTGGGCATTGAAGCAAGCGTTGATTGAGGTAAAAAATACGTCAAGATGGGATGTACGTATAGGTAAAGAGGCGTGCAGGGCTCGTTCTTGTTGTCATCTCACACCGTGAAGTGACTCACCCTCGTCCAGGGTTTCTCTGGCAAACACTGCCGCGCATTCAGTGTCTTCGAACCCCTTTCTCGAGCCTAGTCAGGTCCTTTTCCCTTTTTTTCTGCTGTCTGGAGGATATCACAAACCCTCCTTTTGGAGTCGCAACGTGACATCGAATCTGGGAAGCAAAGTCAATTCAACACATGGTGAAAGAGCAAAATGCGAATCCTCGTTACTTTCGACGGTCCTCGTGCCATTGACAAGCGGAAGCGCGGGTAACTCGCAATTTGAGCTCGGGCAGAAGACCTCCACGAGCCTGCACATGTAGACCAGGATACATAAAGCCTTCCTCTCGTGCGGCCATCTTTAACCCACACACCATGACTGCCTCACAGATTCAGAGCTCTGGCGTTGGTCTTTCTGATTCCCAAATCTCCCAAGGTCGACGACAGACCTTGGACCTTGTTAATCGTCTTCACAGTACGGGGTATACCTTGTCTCATGCTTTCGTCTTCAGCCCATTGAAAGCTCCACTACCAGCGTCCAGGTCGATATCGACCTTCCCCAGATCGCCGTTGTTGGATCGCAAAGTGTCGGCAAGTCCTCGTTAATCGAGGCCATCTCTGGCATCACCCTTCCCCGCGCTTCAGGTACATGCACCAGGTCCGTCCGTCTTCATCATTTCCTCCCTGCCACTTGGCACCCACTTAAGTACCCCACACTCAGATGTCCCATTGAGTGTCGCTTGGCCCAATCCAATAGTCCTTGGCAGTGCGAAGTTTCTCTGCGCTTCACCACTGATAGCAAGGGCCAACTCCTCGGCCAAGCGCGCAACGAGGCATTCGGTCCCACCATATTTGACAAGTCGGAAGTAGAACATCGCATCCGGCGCGCCCAGCTTGCCATCTTGAACCCAAACCAACCTCCTCGTGTCGTCCTCGAAAGCGATGACGAGGAATTTGAAGATTCGCTTACTTTTTCTAATAATTGTGTATCGTTGAAAATCAGTGGGCCGGATGTTGCAGACTTGTCTTTTGTTGATTTGCCTGGTATGTCTTTATACACATCCTGATCGTCGTAATTTTGATCAGGCCCTCTTCGTTGTTGTTAGGTATGATTGCGAGCGGGGGCCAACCCGGCGACAAAGAACTCATTGAATCTCTCATCACGTCGTATATCAAGAGGCCCAGCACAATCGTGCTTCTGGCTGTCGCCTGTGAAAGTATGTTCATCGATCCCCACTACGGCTAGCTCGCATTTGACAGTACTCGATCAGCCGACTTTGAGAACCAAGGTGCCCATTCCATTGCCAAACTCCATGACCCCGAGGGCAAGCGTACCATAGGTACGTCGTTGTTCTTTTTACCCTCCTTTCACGAAGGCTGACGTTTGTTGCAGGCGTACTCACCAAGCCCGACCGTATTCCCACTGGCGAAGAGTCGAGCTGGTTGCCCTACATTCTTGGAGATCGTGAGGTTCTCGAGAATAACTGGTACTGCGTCAAGCAGCCCAGCTCCAACGACCTCAAGAAGAATATGACTTGGGAAGAAGCTCGCCAAGCTGAGGATGTGTTCTTCAGTACTACCGCTCCCTGGTCTGAATTGGATTCATGCTATCATCGCTATCTGCGCACATCCAACCTCGTCGAACAGCTCAGCTTCGTTCTGTCGGACCTCATTAACAAACGGTGAGACTCCCTTGTGGTGTAGTAACTTGGAGACGGCTGGTTTAACGTCAACGTTTACTTGCAGTCTCCCTCAAATCCAAGAAGAACTGGATAAGGCGATCCTCAAGGCTCGAGAAGCGCTTCAAGGTCTCCCTCCTCCACCCTCCTCCAACCCATTCAACGAAGTCGTGTCCATGCTCCACCGGTTCACGGACGACCTCAAGCACCATGTTGTCTCGGGTGTCCCGCAGGCCAACGGTCTTCTCCAGGCGATCCGACCGGCTTTGATGAAATTCAGGAAGGGTATCAAGGATACGGCTCCTCGTTTCCACCCATGCGAGAAGAAGGTTTCGTCGACCACTACATTCGTCCAGCCTCGCTTTTTGGATAATGAAGAGGGATCGAGTGAGGCTGATTGGACGCCCGTTGCTGGTAGTGGGGATGGGGTTATTTATGTTGATCAGGTTCTTGCGAGGGCTCACGAGTGAGTGTCGTTGGCATGTCAGGGCTGTCTTAGCATTCGGTGCTGATGATACCCTCACCAGTGCGCGTGCCCGAGAGTTGCCAGGGCATGTCCCATTTGTCGTCCGGCGAACGTACATCGAGGAGATTGTCCATCAATGGCGTAGGCCTGCACTGGAACTGATCCAGACTATCTACGCATTGCTGGCGCGGTACATCAAGGACATCGTCAACGCCCACTTCTCGGAGTTTGGTCAAGGACTTTTGGAGCAACGAGTCAAGTACGTATGTTTTGGCGTGCAGTAGTCCTCGGCTGACCCCCATGTCCTTCAGGACAATCGTCCACAATCAAATCAACGAGTGCCTGGCTAGGGCCCAAGCTCGCGTGGACTGGTTGATTGAAGTCGAGACCCTCCCGTTCACACTCAACACGCACTATTTGTCTGATTACAAGGGCAAGTTCTTGGCCTTCTACAAGGCTACCAGGGAGAAGCACGCTCGAGGACATATCAGTCGACATATTGAAGAGTATTTGAATCGAGAAAAGGATGAGTACTCTGAGCGGGAGGGGGAGTGGGGTATTGAAAAGGTTTTGCAGGGGTTGAATGAGATTGGGATACGGGATGCTTCACCGGAAGATGTTTTCAAGATGCTGCCGATCGACGAGATGGAACCCGCTATTGAGATTATGGCCGACGTTCGGGCGTACTTCCAGGGTATGTCATTCATCCTTCCTACTCCCCTTGACTGTTTTTGAGCTTTCTTCGCATCATGTATGTAGTCGCCTACAAACGATTCGCCGACAACGTCCCTCAAGCCGTCGACTACGAGCTCGTCCGGGGTATCGAACGCAATATTCTTTCCGTTCTCTACTCCCGACTCGGTATAGACGGGCCTGAAGGACACCGTATCTGCAAGGAGTTGGCGCATGAGAATCACCATGTTGCTGCGAAGCGCAGGGATTTGGAGAAGAAGCTGGAGAGGTTGGAGACTGCTATGGCAGAACTTTTGGATGTTGGTTCGTCTGGGTCTTGAGGTTCTTTATCGTTGTTTACAATTGCTGTGTACATACTTACTGCTGGTTTCATAATTTGATTTTGACTCGTTTGTGTACCCCTCGTCGCGTCGCGACGCGCCCCTAATGAACTTGGTGCCACACGTGATCGTGGTCTTCTGGACCAAAGCCTAAGGCTGATCCCAGGCTGATCCCTGAATTTCCTCCATTCACCATGTCCAGAATCCACGATGGCAACGGCGGGTTGCCAATGCTAGCCTGTGTTTCGACTTCTCATCCTTAAAGTAATTTCGCGATTGGTCAGAATGATAAAGGCGGAAAACGGGGCTTTATTTTCAGTACGTCGTCCTATATTTGGCCCTAGATTCATTTTCTACCGTTCTACAACAAGGTAGATCCATTTTCTCTGCTTGGTTCGCGTAGAAACGCCATGAAAACAAAGGATCGACTCTTGCGAAGTGAAGCGACACCCAAGGATCAGCTACATCTGGGGTTGGTGGGACACTGGTGCTCGTGTGACCACTGTACCTGAATTTCTCAGTTTCCCCGAGCTCAAAGCGACCAGTCACCACCGCCAGCTTTCACTTTTGGTCTATATCGGAGACCCGCTTGTCGTCTGAAGGCTGTCAAGCGCGTTGGAAGATGGACATGTGCACCGGTCATGTTATCTTTCCAAACAGCATTACAGGAAAGGTGGGGGATGTCAGCGACTCGCAGTTCTCCCCTGTCGTGTCGTCGGCAGCTTTACCCCACATTGGACATCACAAAAAGATTCCTTGTGGTCGATAGCAGCGACTCGTGGGCTTGCGCTGCCAGTAGCGTCAATGTGCATATCTGGCGGCCGAACCCTGCAGATGGACGGTCTGCAGTGTTCTGCAGACGAACCTTCTAGCGAGATTGACGGGACAAGCTCAAGATCCGTATTCAAGCTCGAGCCTCGCATTGGCTGCCCTTCTCTAGCACACAGCAGCCATCTACTGCCCTATCATGATTCCTTAGTCCGCTCTGATCACATAGTGATTTCACCCATACTTAGGACGGATGGGAAATAAGACGATCGGTCTTGCCTCATGTGGGCTATTCAGAATCCCTCTAATAGCCCTTGTGACGCAGCGTGCATGCGGGCACCGAAAGGAACTTGACTTCTTCTCCCCCCAGCATTCTTGAACGTTCCCGTGTGTTACCACTGACGTACCTGTTCACACCGGTAGCGGGGCGAATAGCGAAGGAATTTAAAGCGACGTAACGACGGACGTATGGCTTCTCTAGTCCACGGTGCCCCAAGCTCGTCGTTGGACTTTCTGCACCTGTTCCTGCACAAGATGTGGAGCGGGTTACTTTCCGTCGCAGCGTTCCTCGCCACCTCTTCTGTCCTCCAGCAGAATGTTGTTCCTGGTGTGGCGGGGCAGTATTTACTGGGTCTCGGTGCGTGCGTTCAGCGTTGGGATATCTGCTGGCGACTTGACCACAGTCTACAGGTATTGGTGATGTCACTGGGTGAGTCTGGGATGTCTCGTTCAGGGTGGGACGGGAGGACGGCTGACTTCGCATGCGATTGTAGGCCAGTGGTTGAGACGAACATGATGGTGCGCCCTGACCGAATCTTTCTTTTGGACTGCATGCTAATGACTCATTGATACAGGGATATGCATCGTTGGAACAGAATGGGCGGGGACTGCATATGAGACAACGTAGTCGGGCTTTCATCGTCGCGGAGGAGTCAGCACCCAACAACCGAATCGTGTTCATCAACTCTGGTACGTGTCCCTTGGTACTCATATTTGGAATCTGTTGTTCTCGTTGGAGTGGGGAACGCATCGACCATCCACGCCAATAGGGGCTTGATGATCTGTTTTAGGATACTTGGGCGCTAATACTGATGACCTCATCACAGATGTTGGCATGGGCGATACAGGAGTTCGTCGGTCCATCGTACAGCAACTCTCATCACAATACCCCGGATTATACTCCGACCAGAACATCGCCTTTGTCGGTACCCACTCTCATGCTGGTGTCGGCGGGTACATGGAGAATCTGCTGCCTCAGGTGACCTCGTTGGGGTATGTGAAGCAGACCGCGGACGCCATCGTGGCGGGCACGGTCCGCGCTGTCCAACGTGCTCACGCTAGTCTGGCTCCGGGTCAACTGAGTGTGGGGAACACGACAATCGTCGATGGCAACATTAACCGCTCCCCGACTGCCTACCTTGCTAACCCGGCTGCTGAGCGTGCCAGGTATCAGTACGACACTGACAAGGACATGTCTCTGCTTCGTTTCGATGATGCGAATGGAAATGCGAGAGGGTTCTTGAGCTTCTATGCCGTCCATGGGACCAGCTTGTACATGGTGAGCCTGAGATTCTCCGAGAGGCTCTGTCAACTGTTTCGAACTTCTGACCTGATTTGCCGACCTGATTTGTTCCCCTTAGAACAACACATTGATTAGCACAGACAATAAGGGAATGGCCGCGTTCTTGTACGAGAATTTTGTGGAGCCTGATGCTATGCCGGGCAACACTTCCTTCGTCGCTGGATTCGCACAAGGTGACCCAACTTCAGTGATTGTGACTCTTTGACTGACGAATCTATCACAGCTAATGTTGGTGACACCACGCCGAATACGTGAGCCCATTCATCGACTCCTAAGCTACGAACCCTTCGAAGCTGACCGAGTATCCTAGATTGGGCGCTTTCTGTCACAGCCCCGGTCAGCCTTGGGATGGACAGCCGTGCGAGCCTGAAACTTCAACATGTGGAGGGAAAGCACAAGACTGTCATGGACGGTAAGGGATAATACATCCTCGGCCGAAGCACCCACATGAAGCTGACCTGTTTTGCAGAGGACCTGGATTCCGTATCTCTGATTTCGAGTCCAATAGAATCAACGGAGAACTTCAATTCCGCGGCGCTCAAACCATCATGAACAATCGACAACTAAGTCCAGTCAGGGGTGCTGTTCGAAGTGTACATGTCTGGATGCAGATGTAAGTGAAAATTCCGATCCTTCCTTTGTACTTGTACTTTGTGTTTCGCCGGTGGGCAGGGATGTGATGTCTGATCATGACTTCAGGGCCGGACACACCTTCACCTTGCCGAACGGAACAACAGCTTCGACCTGCTCGGCGGCTCTAGGTAAGTACAATTATTATTTGGCTTTCACAGGTAGCCCGGTTGCTAACGCATGGACACTAGGCTACAGTTTTGCGGGTGGCACGACGTGCGTTTTTAACCCAACTTCTCCCTTCACATGTCCCGCTGACTGCGCCATAGGGATGGTCCCGGAGCCTTCGACTTTACTCAAGGCTCAAACGCGTCTGATACCCAGTAAGCTGATCTGGCTTCGATAGGGAGAACATAAAATTGAGACACTGACTCCGTTAGGAATCCGTTTTGGGAAATTGTAAAAGGTTAGATTTTCAGCGCCTAACAATCAAGTTTCAACCATTGACAAGACGTTGACATTTTTTTAATAACCTCCATCCCTGCCACGGTTTGATCCTACGCCCAACTTCACGTCTTGGCCTGGTATTATCTGATAGGCGCCGTCACTCCTCCGCCGACTGCTCAACAGGTCCGATGCCACTATCCCAAGCCCATCTTACTGAATACGGTGAGTAACATGTAGTCAAACATGCTTCTTCAAGCGCGTGTTTCTCCCGCCATTTACTAACCAATCTATTCACTATCTATTTGACACTAGGGTGCCGCGCATTTCCCATATGAATGGGCACCGAACAGCGTCAGCGTCCAAATGCTCCGTGTTGGAAACTTTGGTAAGTGAGATGTCGAGCGCGCCTTGCAAGTCAACTGGAACTGATTATCGTCGGTGTCATTCAATTCCGCTCCGACTACTGTTTTTGACTCTCAGTGATGCTTATCATGCCGGGTGCGTAATTCGTTCCCCATGCTTCGACGCTACAGTCTAATACGGTAGGCTTCCATCTCAGGCGAATTCACTACGATGGCTGGAAGACGAATGCGGTCCGTGATTTCATTTTACTTCTTTCCTTCTCCGCCACAGGAAATTAACGGAGTATTCTTACCTTCTTTAATGCCCCTTTCCCATGGGTACTCATCACAAACCGTATCGCGGAATCGAATTGACTCTGCCAAATCCTCCGCTTCTTCATTGAATTATTACGTTACGCACGACTTCATCGTGATCACACCTCGCATCCGCCTCGCCTCGTGTTCGTTTGGACCTCCCGATTCAATAGCGAGTCGCTGCGAAACGCCTTGATTTCTTCAGGCGTTCTCGGTTCGGATGCATATGTGGTACTTGCTGGGCCGGCGAATACGTACGCACACTACGTCACCACCCGGGAAGAATACTCTGTACAGCGATATGAGGGTGCGAGCACCATTTTTGGACCATGTAAGTCCTTGATTCTCGTCCTTTCCGTTCTCTTGGGAGCCTATAGGGGAGCGGCAATTCCTCATGCTCTCAATTCTACGACCTTCAACCTCTTGGAAATGAATCGACCGTGCTTTGCTGACCGCATCTTCATCACTTGCAGTTACGCTCGAAGCCTATATCGAGAAGTACTCTAGTTTAGTCCCCTACCTATCCGATAACACTTCTGGGACGCCGCCGAGCGATGCTGCTCCACCCGAGCAGACTTCCAAAGCGATTTCTCTTCAGGTGGGTTCTTCCTGGACGTCCATATTCCTGTCTGACGCAATCTGAACGCAACGTCATTAGACTGGAGTTGTATTCGACGCCCCACCGGCGGGTAGACGATTTGGTGCCGTCATTGAAGATGTTTCGTCAAGTCCATATCGTGCCGGGGACAAGGTATCGGCCAAATTCGTTGGCGCCAACCCCCGAGTAAGTCGTCTCAATGGGGCTATCCTTGCGCTTGTCTGACCTTTGGGGAAGAACAACCTTTTGCTAGAGGGAACCTTCCTCGCTGTGGAACAGTTGGTCTCGGGACAGTGGCGAATGGTGAGATCTGACTCTCACCCCTCGACGATTTATGAGTGGACCAGAACTAACACTGTAAGTCGGATATGCTTTGGTCACTTTGACTCGGTCTGACGCTCCTGTAGATCTTGGGAATGAGCACCGTGACCATTTCATGGTAAGGGTCTACCTGTATTCTTGTCGGGGTTAAGTCTGAATTCCTACCCCGCCCACAGGACTATCGAAAATGGAACACCAGGTGCGCATTCTTTCGCCTAACCGCCTTGTCCCATAGCTAAATGAATTTCCACTCTTTAGCTGGAACTTATCGACTGCGATACTTTGGCCATTCGAAACCACTCATCGGTTCTATCTCAGCCTTCACGGGTCAGTCGGCTTCGTTTACAGTAGTATCGTGAAAGGGAATGTGAATTCACCATGCCTATTATTTCGTGTAACTTTAATTGCTAATCGATGGACAATCTGGACCCACCATTCTTGATCATGTACGTTTTGAGCATTTTCAAGGATCAAACACCCAAGGCCTCGCACTATGGTCCCCAGACCCTAGATGCCTCGCGTTTGCCATGTGCCTCACTGCGTTCTCCATCGGTAGGATTAAAGCGAGAGGCAAGAGTCCCCTCTTCTTTCATCCCCAGCACGTACTCCACCACGAGCGCTAGCCATGTTTCGAAATCTCGCCAACCAAATTGCAAACGGTGGAAAAGACGCAGACGCCAAGAAGACTATGTCACCTACACTTCGTAGCGACTTGTACGACGCAATGGACAAGACCAAGTCATGGCTGTCGGGCGGGCTGGGTGGCGGACAAGCAGGCGACGGCGTTTCATACGGACCCATTTTAACACTCATACAAAAGCATTTTCCCAATCTCAAGCTTGGATTAGAACTTATCGGTCACGCTGAACACGAGGTTTCTGCCATTGTGGGAGGGGTTACGGATATGGCTTTGGAGCTCAGCAAATGGGAGCCGATGGCTGGCGGGATGGCCGTTCGGACGTGGGCTGATGCACTGGTTGAGGGGCACAAAAGGGCTACTGCGGGAACGAGGAAGGACATAATTGCCAAAGGCATCACTAGGGGCCTCAATTACAACACGAATGTGGCTCTCATGACCCCAGAGTTCACGGCAAAGATCCAAATTATCTCCTGTTTGAAGTCCGGTGAGGAGTCCTTGTCAATTGCCTTGTTACGTTGTTACTCATTTGAACAAACCTTTTTGTAGTTAGTTCGAAACTTTATGGCGCAGGGAGTGATGAAGCCAGACAGTCGGAGGCCATTTGGAGCTCGAAGTTTATGTGAAGGGCGTAGATGGTGGGATTCCCGCATTCATGTCGTTTCAATCTTCATGATAGATTCGTAAAGCGGAGAGTACATGATATGATAGCTTAGCTTGCTCTATAAATTGCATAGGATTGTCTCCTCGACCCGAAACCCAATAGACCCGATGAAATAGCGAAGATAGCATGTAATATATAAACTACGACAGCGATTCATTGTCCGAGCGAAAACGTCCAGAAAGATAGCAAATGAATGGCAAGGTCTGAAGTCAACTGGGGGTTAGAATGCGAACATAGACCAGGGAAGAAGGTACTCACGAATAACGTAAATGATAAGGCAAAAGGAAAGAAATGCACATGGTATGGTACAATTGATACAGATGGACAGTGGTACAGTGCGGTGAGTTCTGGAGAACCATAGTAATCAGTGCCCAGTGCAAAAGGATGGGAGAGAAGGGGACTCACACAGAAGGCAAGACAGAAAAGCGATAGAAAAGGAATGAACATAGGGCGTTACGCGACTCGAAAATCGGCAGGATAACCACTCCAGTCGTGTTTCATACAGCCGATATCATAGAGGTTTTGAGACTTGTCATAGTTTGAAGAATCCGTGGAATAGCCATCGGAGGAAGACATAGAGAGGAGATTGTCGAAGGCGGCGTAATCGAGGACAGCGTCTTTGTGTATGGGCACCTCGTCCAGGCGTTGGGAAGAAGCAAATACAGGAGAGTAGGCCGACGTCGGGTATCTGAACTTGTACATGGTGGAGAAAAGGACGGGACGTGAGAGCGCGCTCGCCCCATTGTCCTCAACAACTCGGTGGATGATGGAATAAGAGGACAGGTCTTCTCGTATGTCAGCAATGCGCTGGCTATGGGACAAACGTTGCACTCACTAGGTATGTGGGCCAACTTTTGCCAGTACGACGGGATGAGCGATGTGCTGTAGAGGAATTGGCTGTCACTTCCAGGTAGCATTCCCAACGCCTTCAACGAAGTCGATTCCGAGTGAATGAGCTCTCCGTTCTGGTACAAGGAAAAAAGGGAGACGCCAGACTTGGGGGAACGGGATACAAAACTGATGGTAGGGTCGATGTCCATGATGTAACGTGGCTGCGATGAGATTTTGACGACCTCCAAGCCGCGTTCAGACCAGAAGAGCGAGTCGTCGTCGGAGGGGGAGTTTGGAACGTCGACCAAGCCTTTAAGACCCGAGTCCAGGTTCGAAAGCAAATCAATGTATACCACAGAAGTTATCGAAGACTCCGAGGGCAGCGCAATCCCCCGATAAAGGAGGCTTTGCAAGGTGGCGTGAACCTCTGTCGGTGTTGTGGGGGAGCTAGGGGAAGATGTGTCACTGCATGATTCGCCCTCTTGCTCCGGAGATGCAGTAGGATTGGTAAAAGCAGCACGGTGCGGTGGTTTGGGGGAAAGGGATGATGAAGTTCGCACAGGGATCGGGCGTCGGGGAGAAATCAAATTGATCACTACGAGAGGGTATAATGGTGAGCGAGTTTGTCTCAGAGAACGGAGAGTACATAGTATACTGACGTCTTTTGCCACCGCACGTGTCCCTGAGCTGTTGGAGGCGACTGCCGACTTGCTTTGCCGTCCTGCGTTTACCGGTCTTCTCGAATATCCAGTCAGAAATAAACCGATTTCTGAGAGGGAAACGACCCAGTAGCCGGGTTTCCCTTGAGTCGTCGGGCTTGTAGTTTTCCAGTCCTATAACATTGCTGAGGCTTTGCAGGAACATTGACCAGCATGGATGCCCCACCTTCAATCAGGGCGGCTTCTAGCTCGGGGGGCCAAACGACTTCACCCCCTCGGGCAGTTTTCCAACTCTTGCGGCCTTTTACGATTGAAGTAAAAACATCTTGCGTTCGGGGATTGTCGAGCTGTGGAATATGGGTGCTATCGTCGGTCGATGGGCGCAAGCGCTTAAGCCCTTCAGGGGCTTCGGACATGGGACTTCGTCTTTCGACTGCTGAAGGCATAGAGCAAGGGATGGATCAGGGGAGAAAGGACGTGGTGGGAGTGGAACTATATATCCTAAGGGCAGTAAGGGAGATCCCCGCGAGGCGAAGGCAGGGTAATATCAGTTATTCGGGAGCTTGGACTTAACCAATCAGAGATCTCGTCATGTATTGTTGTTTACCCAACAGGAGTTAAGTCCTGCTGATTCCACAAGTCGAAGGCGCCGCCAAGCCTTTCTCTTCCCACCGGATCGAAGACTGCTCCTCGCTGATGCACCATTGACCGTCCTTGGACCGGCCCCAGATCCTCGATTCCTTTGACGGAGAACTGGAAAGAGAAGTTTCATTATGTTGGGCACCCGGATTTCTCGTGGGAGCCATCGAGCCAAACATAGCCCCAATCCCCAGCGGCGTTTAGCTCTTGCAATCAATCTGGAAAACAAGACCCAGATCTTCATGGCGCTTGTTGTCGGTGTCGATCTTTTTTCAAGTTCGTTGGCTTTTCCGAGAAACGGTAAACCCATCGCGATCAGCCAATTCCCTCGACATCGCCACCCGGTTTTGATGTAACCCCGTAGCCCAAATGGGGAAGCAAGGGTACGATTTCGGCGCATCGCTCTCAGTACCACAGTTGCCGAAGGTTTACGGCAATACATGAGCGCCAACGCGCTGGGTTGGAAGGTTCTCCACTTCTCTGTTCGCCAAACTTCAAAGGAGCTTGCCAGAATCGAGAAGGAGAACCACAGAGTGTGTTCGCCTACCACGTCGGTAGTGAGTACATTCCTGCTAATGATAGCCTGCAACCCTGACAATTAGCATGCGTCACAGCTGAGATTATCTGGCAGCCTTCGAACAAAACCGTACCAAAGAATCGGTCTAAGTGACGGTCCTCCACACAGTGCGGCTCGGGGGGTGCGGGACTTTGCCTTCTAGGACTTTGCCTTCTACTAGTATCGAGTGATTATCGTGCTGTCTGAGTTCTGATTTTAGCTACGATTCGGAAAGACCTCGCAATTTCGTCTCCGAACAAGCCCTTGCCGAGTGACAGAGATTTTTTTTTTCGCTCCTCAGGCGCTTTCTTGAAGTCTTACCTACCTGTAACACCGCCGTTCGCCATTTGTTACTTCGTTTGTCACTTATCGCGACTTCCACACGACCTAAAGGTGTAGCAAACTCTTCCAGCAATGTTCAACCCGTTCTACCCGTCCAAGAGCGGCCCGTCAGGCCGTTCCATGCCGAGCTGCCGAGCTAGCTGAACGGTCGGCGAGGGATCCGTGTTGGCTGAGGTGACCCTCACACTGACAACTCACCATGAGCGCTTTTCAAGAAGCTGCCCATGATAAGCGCGACACCTCATTACGAAGACTATGGGAATGATTCTACCTACCGACCTTCAACCAGAGTCACTGATACTTCAATGCAGCGACTCTGTAGCTTCCTAAGCTTGTATTCTCGGTGCATAACACTTCAAGTCGTCGGATGATTCTTGTCGCCGTGGTCTGTCGGTCGTTGGACTGGCCTCCAGTAAGTGTTAATATTCCACCGTGTTTGGGATGTTTCTTGAAACTTCAAACGCCGAATTCCTAAACTGTCGTTCAAACTTCAGGCACAGATGATCAGTGATTCGAGCATCAGGTAAGTAGAATACGACCTCGGGGTCCAGAAGTGGCTGTTTCCGCAGCCCTTAATTTTCAAATCTCTGGCCTCGCTGATGGCACTGTGACGAGATCGTTTCTCTCCAACCTTGTCAGTTTGAACGATAAACACCGTCTCCTCTGTGGGATGAGAGAAGTTGAAGAGATTATAGCACTAAAGCATTGTATTTTTCTGGTATCATGTTTCCCCGACAGATGCTACTAGTACCTCGTGTTCCACGGCTTTTGTTCCGTATTTCCACAACCCTTTGAGGCCTCCATATGTATGTACATAGTGGTGCCGTCCTCGAATTGATGCCAGGCACACTTGACAAGGCACCGATAGATGCCTCGAGCTGTGGGTGGTTGGTGGTTTACATATCACCGCTTCACGTACTCAAAAAGGCAGACTTACATATTTTGATACTCACCACGTCTCCGTTATCAAAGTGGTTCCTGAACGCCTATTTATAACTCAATCAAGGACGGTTTGGTTCTGGTTTTGTTGTACGGCGATACTGAAAAATGAGCCAACAGCGCCCAACGTTTTCACCAAAACTTATCACCGTCATAGAAGCAGAAACAGTCATATTACTTCCAATTCGACCAACAAAGAGTGTTCAACATCACAAATGCACCATCCCATGCGCCTACCACCTGGTTAAACCTTTCCATGCAGAACTTGAAGCCCAATCGTCTTGCCGGGCACTGAAGCTTGAAGACTGACGATGCTACGTGGGCCCTGATGGTGGGGCAGGTACAAGTTCAGCGGCTTCCGGACGTATGGCTTGATTCGGAGCTTCACTGAGATGGCATTGTCAAAGCTAAAACTTGCGCAACTGTATAGACTGCCACCAGGTCCTGGTGCCTGAAGATTTCCCCTTTTATGCCGTTACTTCCTCGATTAGTGTGATATGGGCTCGAAGTTCAATTCATCATGGCCACAACCCTTCCTTAATAGCGGCAGCGTTTTCATTCCGTTTACATATGCGTGGTAGGTCAAGGCACCAAATTCACCTGTTCCTTTTGCGCTACCACGAGACACTTGCGGCGAGACAAAGAACGCGCCTATCGTAACCAGTGAAGGAGTGTAAGCGACCTTCAAGTTGTACGCAACATGAAAGGACACCTCAGGCCTGACTGTGTGGGAACAACTTGAAGTACTGTGTTGCTTACATACCTAGTCTTCTGGCACAGAACATGATAAATCATGTTAGATATTACTGAGCACGGTTTAGAGGCAATAGTTACGAAAGGGGAGAGCGCGGTCTCAATGGCTCTAAAGCTACGATACCGAGGCGTCAGTACAGCGTTGTGTATCGGAAAGTCAGAGAAAGGTCAAGCGTCCGCGTTTTATCAGCATTAAAGGTATATAATAAAGCGTCCGGAAAGCGTCACAAGTCAGAAAAAAGGAGTTCGTAGCGAAAGAATAGCTGTCGTGGAAAGAGGGTATCTAGAGTCCATATATAGCTCGAGGGCCCAGGGCCCGGGAAAAACTGCGGAATTACACTCCACAAAGCGCAGGGGGTGGTACACCGTCAGAGTCCCAGCCATCAGGATAGGTGCATCCGGCGATGGGTGTTGGCGCGGGGTGGCTTGCCTGAGTGCCGCTAGGAAGGATCTCGTTGCCTTGCGAATCGGTGAAAGTGGGTGCGGGCAGGACGACAGGACTGCCGGTGGTAGCATAAGTGGGAAGTGCTGCGACAGCATTGCCATCACCGAGCGCGGTGGGTGGCCATGGATAGCTGGAAGCATCGGAAGGTGCCCCTGCACCAGGACCTCCAATCATGTATGGTTGGAAGGTTCCATCCCATGGGGTATAGACACCAAGGGCCTGGCAAGTACCAATTACAGTGCGAGGGTCGGTCGGCATCCATCCATTTCGGAGACCAAGCTGGTAGGACCAGAAGGGCGATTCAACAATACCGCGCTCTGATTCGCCAATCTATGGGATAGTTATCAGTTTAAGGAAGTGTCCACAGAACTGGAAGTGTACAGACCTTCCATGTCCAGAAGAACCAATCGCCAAGCCCATCCATTTGAGCAGAAGCAAACGCCAAAAGGCCGGCCTTGACACCATCCGACCAACCGGAAGAGTCCAGCCAGGGGGTGCAGTCACCACCGTAGTCCGCCCTCCCACCTACTCCACGAAGGAAGAGAGAGCAATCTTGCCAGGCGTTGCTGAATTCCCCAGCGACTGTAACACCGAAATCCCTTCGACTGTAATGGATGATTAACATCGGAATGGTGAGGGATAGGGTGACAGGGCATACCTGTCATTCATCATGGCATTGAATCGATTACATGCGCGAAGAGGCCAACCGTTGCCTGCACCAGGACCAACACCACCGTCGATAGTCGGAGGGTCGGAATCACCATTGAAGGCGAAGTAAGGGTGAACGTCCATTCCCACTCGATCAGCGCCAGTCATGAAGCCAGCCCACGGACCAGGACCACGGAAACTATCGTGGATGACCATGTATGGTCCATTGCCTTCTCCGTATCCAGTAATTTCGCGCATAATGCGATGCGCTTCGACGTAGCTGAGCACATTTGTAGGGTAAGCGAAAGACGAATTTTGAACGGTGCGTTGGACTTACAACGAACGCAATTGATCAACACCGATGGTGCCAATGATAGGCTCATTCATGATGCTGAACATCGGTACGACGTTTCGCCATTCAGGCTGGTTGATGAACTCGGTGAATACCTGGATATAGTACAAAGCCCTCTGGGCGTTTGCCATGCCCATCGCGCCGTTGAGGAAATTGAACGCATTCAGTTTTCCGCCGTGGTTGTAAGCTTGGGGCAAGGTTAGACAGTGATCCTTGGTTGCGAAAACGTGACATACCATTGTGTGAACCAGGGATAGTGTGAAGATCGAGGTTCACACGGAGACCGTATTTTCGACACCACTGCAGCACTCGAACGATATATCTGGAAGAACAGAGCGAGTAATTCACCTGCGTGTCTGATTGTAATTGAACTATCCCTCACCTCCAGGAAGTCCTCTCAAGGAAGGGCTCACCAGGCCACTTGTCTATCGCCCAGAAAGGAACAGGGAGACGGACCCAGTTCAAGCCGGCGCCCGCAATCTCAGCGATGTCTTGTTCCGTCTGTTTCGGCAAAAACAAGAATGAGCTGTGGTTCGGGGGTAAGGCTCAACGATGACGTACGATGAATGTCCTGTAATGTTCCTCCAGTTGATCGAGACCGCCGTTCGCGGTATCTGCGGCCATAGCTACACTGAGATCCCATTCATCTCTGGCACCAGGGTATCTCTGGAATAGAGCAGGGGAGATAAAAGGTTCCAATACGAAGAGACCACCAAGATTCACGCTGTCAAGAGTTAGAGACCTCTCTTATCCTTTCCTTGTCGTAGGAAGACCCACCCAAAGATGCGAGTCGTCGTGTAATCGAAGCTAGCGTTCAGCGGAGGTGTCCACGAGTTTGGTTGGGCGCTGTCATTGTAAGGATCGTCGGGATCCGAATACCCTATATAAGAAAGTCAGTTGCGGCCGCGGTATGAAGTCAAGAGAGAAAGCGAGGACAGAATCAACACCACATCGAAGGTGATCTTGAGAAGCAGAACCTCAGAAGCGACGTCAAACGTACAGAAACCGCCAAACTGGTTGGAATAGGTAAACGTAGTTCCATCTTCGGTCGTGACTGTCGATCCGTCACCACCAGACGTAGGGTTGGTGGGAGTAGCAGACCCGGTAGGCGAAGGGGCTGATGTCGATTCGTTACCGTCGGTGCCGCTGCCGCTGGACCCATCGGTCGAGCCATCTCGATTTTGTCGGGGTTTGATGACCTTGAAATAGACCGGGAGGACAACGGCCAGCACCACAATTGCGAGCGCGAGCAGGGCCAGGAGGGCAATGAGAAGGGGTCGTCGTTTCCTCGAGGTGGAGGCAGGCTCACCAGCCTGGCCACCTTCCGCTGCTGAATCCGCCGCTTCTTTCGATGAATCCACTGCATTATTGCCGGGGCCGAGCGCTGTAGTTGAATCCGCTAGTGCAGCGGAGTCGCGCAAGGCAGCAGAGGAGGGCGTCCGCGAGTCGAGCGCTGCTTGAGGGTCGTTGAGCGAGTTCCCATCTCCTTGAGGGAGAGGGACCGATGCTGCATTCGCCAATGCGCCGTCCGACACTATCGAAACTGGTCGCTCTGCCATGGGACCAGTCGAGGAGGGAGGGAGGGAGAGGGAAGAAAGGGAAGCAGGCGCTCAATCCGCTTGCCACCTGCCAACCATGGTGAATTATAGACCGCAAGTGCACTCTATTGGCCAAGTCTCCGGAGCCTGTAGCGGGGCCTCTAGATCACTGGTAACGGCAGAGCCTCGTTGATCGGTTCCCCGCACAAAGTTTTGAGTGACTTTGGTGCATACGCCAAGAAGGCAGAGAAACCAACATTCATCTTTGTCTTGTGGAAAGTGTTGTTCAAAGCATATGTTCTGAGTCGTAGAACAGACTATGCTGTAGTTACTTGTGGAAGTGTCGGGCTTGAAGCGCGTCTACGGCGGGCCAGACGGCAGTGTCGGCAACCACCACGTTCAGTGCCCCGTGTCAGCCCGTGCCTCGCCAAGCAGATCGTTCTTGACGCACACCCAATTCTTGGTTTTCTTGGGGTTAGTGAGCGCTATTGGACATATCAATGCATGCAATCTGTATTCTATCCGTCATGTAAACGAGGCTGTTCATTAGTAGCTTCCTGTATGTAAGTTGCCGTTATGTTCTCTTGTCCATTTTATTCTAAACAGCGCTGACCAGTCCAGATACATGAAGAGGACAGAGTCGTTGGACTATGTTGATTCAAAACAGTTTCTTCGGGAACAAGGTCCTTCTCCGCTACCGTCTTCGAAATTGACGCACTTCCCCTTTGGGCTACTGGAAAGGCAGTTAGTTGACGCTGGTGAGCAGAGATTGCAATCGATTGAAGTGAAGGGACGTCGAGCAGGATCTCGCCTCGCCGCCCAAGCCAATGATCATCTAGGTGTATGCATAAGTGCCACCAAGCAGTCACTGATTGCGACCCGTAGGAAAAACGTCCTATGTACGAAGGCGTGCGCCGAGGGTGCCTGCATTGCCCCGAACATGCTCGAGGCGATTAAATCCACCCTCAAACCTCAGCAAGTAATTAGCATGCACTTGGGCGTGCCGCAAGTTACCAAATCCCGCTACCTCGTGTCCAGTGGCGCCTGACTATGTAGCTATCGAGCGCCCAACGGACCTCAACAAGGGTTCTCCTCGAAGTAATCGGATATAACGTAATTATCATAAAGGAGTAGATATAACTTCTCTATATATCCTGACCTGTGCGATATGTTCGTAAACTGAACGAATTCTGGGTATCTAGACGTCGAGTCACTAGTGGAGAACGTCAGTCAGGGTGAAGGCAGCCGTCAGCTGTTTGCGAAGGTTCGCTCCACTCCAATTCAGTCGTGTCTTTCGTCGAGAGATAGAAAGAGAACATGTGCTGATATGTGGACATTGGAGGCCAAACGATTCCTGAGGACGAGGTATTGCTCAACGCGAGTCAAGTGCCTCATGCATCACAAAGTAGGCGCGTTGCTTCTAAAAAGTGCGAGTGTGCACGACAAGCGCTCGCACTGAAAACTCGAACGCAAGCATAACGTGTAAATTACCCCTGAAGGGGGAAGGTCTGCGTTTGAAACAGAATGAGCTGAATTGAGGGCTATAAATACCGGATCAGTACGAGAAAGAGAAAGGGCTGTGACTACCAGGCTCTGTTCACCAAAACGCGTGTATGACGGCAGTGACATCGATTGTGGGTGTACCCATCAGGAAACATGTTCGCCATAGTGCATCGGAGGTGTGCACCGGACAAACCTGATACACGAGAAAGCTACGCCAAACATTGGGAAGATACTGCGGTCGGTTTGGGGTTCCAAGCGTCGGGGTAGACGCAACCCTGGATCGGGGTCGGTGCGGGAGCCGTGTCTTGCGTATTGAACCAGCCATTTCCAGACGAAATTGTATGTCCGTCACTTGCGGTGTATGTCGGTGGCGGTAGGGTCGCAATAATGCCAGTAGCTGCATAGTGCGGAACAATTGTTGGCGCTCCTCCCCCGGCGATCATGGAGGGCGGCCAGGGGTAGCTTCTTGCATCTCGAGGAGGTCCTGCGCCATCACCACCGGTCATCCAAGAGGGATAGGGACCTTTGACCGGCGTCAAAGGAGAACCGAGCTTGCTGCACGTCCCGTAGGCGGTGCGAGGGTCTCGCGGAATCCAACCTCCTTCGAGTCCCAGTTGGTATGACCACAACGGTGCCTCAACGATACCCCTGGTTGAGTTTCCGATCTTAAGAGGATTGAATAAGTTGCAAGAACAACGAAAATCGCCGCAGTTTTTACCTTCCATGTCCAAAAGAACCATGAATCCAGGGCATCCATACTTGCAGTTGCGAACTTGCGAAGGCCTGCCTTCGTCGCCTCATCCCAGTTCGTGGAGTCCTGCCAGAGATTGCAATTTCCAGCGTAGGTGGCTGGTAGGCCAACCCCGTTTAAAAAAAGACCACAGTCGTTAAAGCCGTTACTCCATTCGCCCGCTACGGTGACTCCGAATTCCGAACGGCTGTGTTCGCAAGTGATGAGGCCAAAAGGAAAGCAGGCGCAATGACAACTGGACATACCTGTTAGAGAACAACGCATTCCATCGCTGGCACGCTATACCAGGCCAGACGCCACCTGCCCCAGAACCCGTTCCATTAGCAATCGGGTCCACCCTAGTCTGTCCTCCGTTGAAGGCAAAATAGGGGTGCATGTCCATGAAGATTCTATCACCGCCTCGCATGAAGTCTCTCCACGAGTCAGCCCCATAGAATCCATCGTGAATGCCAATCCACGGCCCATATCCAGCCCCGTAACCAGTGATACTCCTGATCAATCCATGGGCAGCGACATAGCTTCGAGAACCCGATCAGTAAAGAGGATCGGCGATAGGGGATGTGACGAACAAACTGCGTAAGGAATCCGGGCCAATGGCCTCTAACAATGGTTCGTTGATGATACCAAACATAGGAACAACGTCTCTCCACTCCGGTTGGCTGATAAATTCGGCGATTATCCGTATGTAATTCAGAGCTCGTTGAGCGTTTGCAAGTCCCATGATGCCCCGAAGGAAGTTCACTTGTCCGTATCGTCCAGAATGGTTGTACCCTTTGGGATTGGAGTCAAAAAGGGATGGGCCACCTATTGGGATAGAATGCTCACCATTTTGAGAACCGGGTACTGATGAAGATCAAGATTGACGCGAATACCATACTTTCGACACCATTTCAAGAGACGGAGGATGTATCTTGAGAAAATAATGAAGTCATTTAGATCCGTGAAAGGTGTAGTTAAGAACCTACTTCCAGCTCGTTTTCGCAAGGAATGGTTCGCCATCCCATGTCTCAATGGCCCAGAACGGAATTGGCAGTCGCACCCAGTTCAGTCCTGCTCCCGCAATATCAGCGATGTCCTTCTCTGTCTGATAATACGGATGTCAGAATCACAGGATTGGGAGCGGTAACGAGGAGATCTTACAATGAAGGTATTGTAATGATGCTCAATTTGACCCAATCCTCCGTTGGCCGCGTCGGCCGCCATCAATACGCTCAGAGACCACTCATCGATAGCGCCTGGATACCGCTGAAACAAGGATGGGGTAATGAAAGGTTCCAGAACGAAAAGGCCGCCTAGGTTGACACTAGAGCGCCACTCAACACAATGCGTCTAGAAAAAGAAAGAAGAGCGTACGCACCCAAAGATCTTGTCTTTGTTGAAGTCCCAACTTTGGTTCAGAGGTGGAGTCCAAGAGTTAGGCTGCGCATCATTGTTGTAAGGATTGTCAGGATCGGAAACCCCTAGAAGCAGCGGGCATTTAAGTTAGGTCTAGTCGAAGATAATGTCGAAGGTGGGGCACAGTAGGCGCACACCCTCGATTTGTTCGCTTCTAGCGAGTCAGAGTTCTAGTTCGGAAGGTCGAACAGGTTTTTGGGTGCTTGACATGAGGAGATCCAATGACACCTACAGAAGCCCCCGAACCTATTGGAGTAGATAAAAGTAGACCCATCGTCGGTGGTTACCGTGGACCCATCGCCTCCGGAGATGGCGAAGTTCGCAACCGCCGAAGGTGACGCAGGCAATTGCGATTGATTGTTGTTGTCGAAGTCACTCCCATCTCGTTTCGACCTCCCAACAAGCAATCCCACTGGCACAACGACAGCAAGGACAGAGAGAAGAGAAACTACAGAAACCAGGGCAATGAGTGCTTTTCGGGGATTCCGAAACGATGCCGTTTTCGGGTCGGTTAGACTGATTCCATGGCTTTTGTTTTTCAAAGGGGAGAGATGGTCCTGAGATTGGCGACTAGATGGCAGCAGCGACGGTGGGATGTGGTGACATTGTTTTTGGCCGTTAATCGGATCTGCGTTATCGTACGAGGAGTCGGTTGGATTGACGAGGGTGTCGGACGAACTAGCCATAGTCCCAGGTCGATGCAGAGGTAATAATAGACACCTCCTGCTGGCACACTGCCAAGGTTATATGTAGCGCGGCGATTTTCGTCAGCCACAGCCCACCAGCGGCTTTCATGGATATTGGCCAATCCCCAGTCATCCACCGTGGCTTCACGAAGAAACTCGACAATCGAGACACTTTTCGAGGTAGTGAAGGTTAGCCCGCCATCTGTAGGTCTCAAATCCAGAGAGGGAGCCCAGGTGAACGCTCAGGTTGGAAAAAGACCTGCCAGCGGGGAAGCGCTTGGGAAGCGCTTGCTTGGCGCGGTGAACCGTGGGAAGCGTCGGGATGCGCCGCCCGCTCATCCTTGGCAATTGATTGCCTTCCTTATTTGGTGTGTCAGCCTCGGGATGAGCACGGTGGCGGAAAAGCAGAAGCGTTGAAAGTAAAGCTTGAAGGCGACCAACTACCTTGAGGTGTGTCTCTGGTGGATTCTCCATATGGCCTACACTGTGGGCCACAACTCACGGAGTTTCCCGCATGTTTTCGACATAAGAAAAACAACATCAGAACGACTGGCCATGCCCGAAGCAATGCCCGAGGCATCACCCACGACTGACAAATGTAATAGAATGGCGGCTATTATCGCATCAACGTTAGCAGCGCCCTTGATTTAGACTCTTAGAAAGCCTCGCACTATGAATGAATGGTTTGGAATTTTGAAAACACCGCGACTGAGGGCTGGATCAGCCACTTTACAAAGCTCGAGATTCAGCATACCGGTTAATATGAAACCTATGAACCGGATGGCACCAGCGTTTCTGACACGCATATGCAGCACCCCCCACATCCGAAAACGGAGGATCGCAATTCTTCCGTGGTTTAAAAACTGACGACATTGGAGGTACACGACACGCATACCCTTCCTTGACATGACCATGCCTGGCATAGAGAAGAATCCTGCAGGCACCTCTCGCTCGGACGTACTATCACCACAGCCAGATCCAGCAGCAAAATTGGAGGTAGAGGACCAGAAGTCTACAGCTTCTGTACGGACCATCGCAGCCCATACCGACCCCAACCCCGCGATCACAATTCCAGACGGAGGAACAGAAGCTTGGCTTACAGTCCTAGGAGCGTACGTAACTCCATGCCCTTGGTTGACGACCTCTCGACTAACCATTTACCAGAACACTTGTGCAGTACATAACCTTTGGGTGAGGGGACTTAGACCCTTTAACATGACAAGTCAGCTGACAGTCGCTCGCAGATATGTCAACGCTTTCGGGGTTTACCAAGATTACTATGTTCGGGTGTATCTCACTAGGCATACTCCAAGCGAGATAGGGTGAGTGACTACCTCTATATCGCTTGTTGAGATATTCAGACGCGCATCCTGATCCAGCTGGATAGGAGGGGCGCAGCTCTTCCTCACATTTTTCGCAGGGGCATTTGCAGGTCGAGCCTTTGATCGAGGTTATTTGTATGTTTGATCTCTCAAGATATTTCAAGAGTTCAACTTCTAACATTCTATTTAGCCGCTCGCTAGTGATCTCTAGCCTCCTACTACACAGCCTGGCGTTGTTCACACTTTCAGCCTCTTACGCCAACAAGTACTATCAAGTACTTCTTATTGCCCCATTCCGCTGTATGGCGCCAACTAATGCTGGTTTTCGACTAGGTTTTCCTTTCTCACGGAGTCGCCTTAGGTCTGTCTGCTGGCCTCATCTACATCCCAAGTGAGCCTTATTTCTCGACGTTGATACTAATTTAATTTAACTGACATCTATGGCAGGTCTCGGTATCGTATCCCACCATTTCCAGAAACGCCGGCCTATAGCTCTAGGTATCATCTCCTCGGGGGCAGCACTAGGTACGAAACGTCAATACCTGTACTGAATGCGTATCTCATCATCGAATCCACCTCAGGTTCTGTGCTTCACCCAATTATGCTCAACAAACTCTTCACCAACGAGGCCATCGGGTTCCACAACGGCGTCCGCATCAGCGCAGGGATCAACACCTTCCTCTACCTCGTTGCAGTCGCTTTAATGAAAACACGACTTCCACCTAGACCCGCACAGAGATATCCCATTGGCGAATGGCTCAAGGAGTCGGCATATGTGGTGCTTGTCGTTGCGTGAGTTCCAATCGAAGAGGCTGACTCCAACGTTGCCTACAGTTACTAATTGACGTCGCCTTTCCTTGCTAATCACAGGTCTATATTTGTTTTCCTCGGCCTTTTCTACCCCGTGTTCTTTTTACAGTTGACGGCGGTGAGTAAAGGAGTAGACAAAAATATTGCCTTTCACTCGGTAAGTTCAAATTCATAGTACTCCCAAAGGCTGCGCACCTAACGATACACGATGCTGATGCGATGCCGCCCTTTCTTGTTGCAATAGATCGCCATCCTAAACGCATCCAGCCTCTTTGGTAGAGTTCTCTCTGGCCTCGCCGCTCAAAGTTTAGGCTCCATGAATGTTGCTTCATTCGTCGCGTTCGCAACCGGAGGCTCCGCATTCGCCATGATGGCAGTCAAAAACGCCACCAGTACCATCCTCTTTGCAATCTTCTACGGGTTCTTCTCTGGTGCGGCCATCTCAATCGTACCCTCGGTCGTCGCCGTGCTAGCCAAGGACGTAAGTGAGATGGGCGGACGGTTGGCAGTGCTCTTCATGGCCGGAGGTTTCCTGGGCCTATTTGGTATGTAGAACGGAATCTTATCACCCTTGTTTCGCCACTCGATACTGACATCGACATCGCTACCAGCCAGCACGATCGGCGGGGAACTAATTGGAAACGGGCCAGAGTTACACTTTGACAGGGGTGTGATATTTGCTTCGGTATGTCCATGCTAGTAGTACCCCATCGTCCTAATGCGGCTTGACATTCGTCCCGCCGGCACTTAACGTTGCGACAGTTGCGACTGAAGGCTCACTCGAATATATCCCTTTTCAGATATGCCTCACCATTACCGCAGTCCTCTGGACCATTGCAAGGACGATCGTCGCCAGAGAAAAGGGGAGACAGCGGATATGATATACGGGCGATGTACAACTTGAACGGAGCAGACGGCTATGGTGAGCGAGCCGCCATCTTCCGGGTATTCGGATGGATTGGGTCGGTCATCCAGTTAAACGCCGAGGGGCATTGTAATATAGAGATATTTTGGACCGTAGAGATTTAGACGGATAGGCTCGCTAATGAGATATTTGGGAGCGTAATTAAGTTATATATAACTGGTCGGGACACAAGGTTACATGAGGTTTATGGGTATATATGGGGTTATTAATCATTGCAAGAGCATGTCTAGATAAATTCCAAACCAAAGCTCCAGCAGCGAATACTTAAAAACGAATTTTCGGCTCAAGGTTTAGATTCTGTGGTATGGAGATCTAATCAGTCGACGAGTCTATAGATAGAACAAGAGAGTGAAAACATGCATGGAACCAAACCAGGCGCGTCGAGTCGCGAGCGACGATGAGTCACTCAAGCGATAATGCAGTGGGCACCGTTACCGGCGCCTCCACCGGTCTCCTTGTCGAGAGGGATGTTGCCAGAGGTGATGGAGGCGTCCATGGCTGATGTACTGTAGAACAGTGAAGAATTCAAGACGATTTCGAGGCCGTTTTATACTCTTCTTGAAGGTCCAAGCAACTCAGTCGGCTCCTTGCCCTCATTTGCTAAACGGAACTTCGTCACCACTGCCGATGTTTCGCATGCATCGAGAACAGGAATTGCTCGACAATTGAAAGAGAAAAATCTTTTTGTATGGAGCCCTATTGGCTCTGTCATGGAATGTGTGCATTCCTCGGAGCCGCACACAAACAATGTCCAGGTTGCGCAAGCCCCCCGACTCCCGAAGCCGGAATCGAAGTCGTGATTGTCCCTCCCTTCGGTGACGCGAGGGCACACGTCCAGGAATGTAGGGGAGAGATGCCGAAGCCATGTCCCAAGTACCGGCATTCGATTGATCTCCACCAGTACCCTCGCGCTGGTCGAAGGGTGCGGTTCTCCGGTTCCCACCTATCAGTCACTTAAAAAACACGTAGAACATTCGTTTCACCTCATGACAGACACAGAAGACGGAGGATAAACGTATCCGTTTCAAGTTCCAGCCCCAAGGTGTTCGAGAAGGAAAAATTAAGCGCCGAATCTCATTACTGCCTTCCTCCTCTGAAACGAGATTGAGATTTCCTAATCCCGATGATACGGGAAAAGAGGCAAAGACCAAAGCTTTATGGAGTTCGAGAAAGGACAATCAGGGAGCGCAAACGCTGTGCAGGAGCTGGTGCGTCGATTGTGTGGAGCAGAGTAAGACCTTCTTTAGAAGACCTCGTTGACGTGAGGGTGATGGCTGCGCTCACAGGAGCGGGTCACAGGGATCCTCGTGTAAGAACTCTCCCGTCCATCTGTATACAAAGACCACTTCCAACACCGGGGGAAGAGCGGAGCTGCACAGATTCAGGCAAGTCAAAAATGAATTAGGTGACGAGATAGCTACAGCATGAGCAAGGAAGGTCGAAGAAGGGTAAAGGAAGAGCGGAAACGAAAGGGAAGAACGTACGAAATATGAACAGCTGGGGCAGCACGCAGGAGAGGGGGTCAGTCGATGGGAAGAAAAGAACGAGGAAGCCCACGCCACATACGTCTCATGGTAAACTAGTATTCAACCGCATCATCGTCATCTGCTTGCATGGGCACAATGTCCTCCTTCTTTTCAGTAGGCTCCGGATTCGATTTCGCAGGCTCCGACGGCTTAGGGGCACCATCGTCAACCTCCATGTCAGTTCCTGGTCGGTCCTGCTCTTTCTTCATCGCAGGAAGCTGGGACTTGCCCCTATCCTCTTCTGCTGGAGCTGCGGCGTCTTCCTGAGGACCATCGGTGTCCATTGCATCACGGTCACGTTCCAATTTCTGACGCGCTTCCTCGTCTGCAACCTTTTGCCGTAGTTGTTTGATTTCTTCAATACCTGCTTCTCGTTCTTGTTTGAATGTTTCCCACTCCTTCTCCGCTGCTTCGTTAACCTAAAGACATGTCAGATCTGGACGAGAGCATATATAACTGATTAGCGTACCTCTGCTTTCCGTCTTGAGATAAATGCTTCTTGTGCAGGGGTGAGGATAGCGGGGAGGTAGTAGAGAGGCGGTGGATGAGATCGTGGTGGAGCAGAGAGGGGGTTTGTTGAATGTGGCGAGGACGAGGAATCAGAGGGAATTACATCAGATGTAAGCAAGAAATTAGCAAGAATGGGGAGACGTTTGCGCCGCAATTTGTACTGAGGAGCGTCAAGTCAGAACAGTCATGCCAAAATTAAACCACGATGAACATACAATCGAATCTTTGAGCTGCAAGTCTTCCTCCTTCCGGTTGGCCAAAGTCTTGTCCTTCTTCGCTTCTTCTGCGCGTCTAACAGAGTCAGTCTCTTTTCTGAGTTTCTGCTGCAGCCGTTTTTCGATCAACTGTCGTTTTTTGGCCTTGAATTCAAGAAATGAGGTCAGCAACCGGGTCAAGCTGGCGATAATTATGTTCGACTTACCGCTTCACTCGCACTTCGTTCTTTATCTTCAATTTTGGCCTTGTTCAAGGTACCGACGACGAGACCGAGTATCCCCTTGCGCTTCCGATCTCCACCAAGCGCTGCGTTGAGGTCCAGTCGAGGCCGCCTTCGCTCCGTTGTCGACGGTTGCCCATTCCCGCTGGGAGCAGTGGGGCTGGCGGGCGTATCAGCCTTGGTATCAACCTGTATTGGTCTAAACGCCGTTCAAAACCACGACTACCGTCAGAATAACGGAAACTTACTCGTCGTTGGACATATTGAGCTCGATGATGATGAGGGCTGTGGAAGAGAAGCGTGCGAATAGTTGTCGGCCGCGAGTTGCTGACTTTGGACGACGCCGCGTAACGTCAGTTCAGAGAGTCCTCGACGATGCCGCCGAAACCAGCGCAGAAATCCAAGGCCTCGAAGCCAGATCCCAAGGCTATTGGGAAAGGCCCAGGTCGCAAAGCTGCAGCCAAGCAGCCGATTCCATTACCCGAACGACTGAAACGCCTGTTTACGTCGCTATGCGCACAGATCGATGGTGGCCACTTTGCGAACGCTATCAAGACATGCGATAAAAGTGCGTCAGAACCGTATACAACCCGGCCACGCGATCTAATAGACTGCAGTTCTCAGACTGGAGCCCAACGATGTCGACGCTGTGAAGACCAAATTGTTCCTGCTGTTGCAAACTGAGCAGTACGAGACCGCCCTGGCACTTTTGGACCAATACCCCGAAGCACACCGGTTTGAGAGGGCATATACGCTGTACCGTCTGCACCGAGAATCTGAGGCAAGCGCTATCCTTCAAGAAATCCGGGCACAGGATAGCGAACATCGAGGTGCTGCACATCTCGAGGCCCAACTTGTACGTACCCGGGTCTGCGTGTTTCTTACGACAACTCATCTCCGTCCAGAGCTATAGAGAAGGCAACTATGAGGCCGCCTTCGATACCTACAACCAACTTCTTGACTCTGCTGAGCCAGTGTGTAGTGACGTCGCATACAATAACTATATCGATCTCACATTTCATTTAGGACTCGGAAGAACAGTCTGACATCCTCACCAACCTGCAAGCCTCCCAGCAGCACCTTGATTTCGTAAATGAAGGCTACCTGCGAGCACTCGATGGCCTGCCCACGAACGTCAACACCGCATTAGAATCTATTCCTCCACCGGTACCCGCAGCACCTGCCCCAGGCCTCACGTCCTCGGTGAACACTGGGGCTGATAACCAGCAAGCTACCAACCCGCCCGTGAAGAAGGTTCGGAAATCACGGATACCTCCAGGCGTTATCCCTGGTGTTACGCCTCCCCCTGATCCAGAACGGTGGCTCAAGAAAAGCGAGCGATCAACATTCGCCCACGGCAAGCGACGAAAGGGTGCCGGTGGGGGAGCAACACAGGGAAGCGCGGTGGATCCGATACCCCAAACTTCTTCCTCTGGGCCTGCAAAGTCAGGCGGTAAAGGCAAGAAGAAGAGGTAAATCCAGGCCTAGAATGTGGAGGCCGTCTTGTACTGTACGTTCGTTCTGTCACCTTCGTTCCGGTGGAACTTTCTCTGATTGTATGAAAGACATGTTGCAAATGTCGCAGATATCGACAGTAGCGCAATCTCAATTAATCTCAATCAGATAGCGTGCCCTTTACTCAAAGGAAAGCGACTGGGATTTCGCTTAGTCCGCCTCATGGCTTCCCGCGTGTTTGTGATATCGCCGCCGAGTGATTGTCGCCCTCGGTCCATACACTGATTCCCCGCACCGCGCTTGAAGTCTGGTAATCAAGACTGAGTGTGTATACCTACTCTATCATCGTTAAGATTTCTGCTCTTCTAGAGCAACGCTAGTCTCGATTTGAGGTATCCCTTTGTGAGTTTTTCGGATTTCAAGTCCATTGTCTGACTGCCTCATGGTCCGCTGCAGGTTCAGTTATTAAATCGACGTTTCATAACACCCAATCAACGCAGTGGCCACCATGTCAGGCGCCATGCCACTGTTCCGATTAAGCAGCTTATCCTGCACGACGCAAAACAATAACCCAAGATTAACAAAGGTTATCTCTTGGATAATTCCTTGTCCCAGTCCACGTTCCTCGCCGTGCAGGGTCTTTCCATACTGCCGCACAATTCTGGACTTTCTAGAATAACCTCTCAAAGCGCATCTGTCGCATTGTTACGCTGATCAAGTGTTCATATTCCGGTTCTTTCAATTTCAAGCTAGCATCATCCTTTGGCCAGGCGTTTCAGCTCCGGCGAGAAGCCGCGAACTCTTCAACGTGGTCGACTACCTTCAAACTCTTTTGGGAAAAGGCCATTATGCAATGTTGATTCAGACGGTGGCCTGAAGCCAATTGGGCCGGATCCATCACCATGCTCCCAACACCTGCCCTTTCATAAAAGTCTTTCAAAGGGCCCCGCTCCCACCAGGCTGGCATATAAACGCGCTCGACGCGACTCTTCGTCTTTCACTACCAACAGCATCCCATCCTCTTTCCTTCCAGCCTAACGAGTTATCCAGAATGTTGCTGTCGAAAGTTTTGGGTGTCATCGTCATCGCCAGAAACGGCGACCGATTGAACTACTACCAGGATCCCAATACCTACGCTGGTTCCAACACTGAGAGCACCGCGCTCGGCCAGGCACGTTCCATCTCTCCTTGCCTCGCTCTGAAGTAGTGTGACTTACCGACGCCGCTTCCCTTTCGTCTTTGTACAGGTCGAGTCCTTCAACCTCGGTGCCAACCTCCGTTCGACCTACTTCGACCCCAGGTCCCCATCCTACATCGAGGGCATCCGCTCCGACCTCGTTGACAACAACGAAGTCAAGGTTCGCGTCAAGGCTGGTGTTGAGGGCACCGTCGTCTTCGACTCTGCTGTCGCCCTCCTCCAGGGTCTCTTCCCTCCCAACCCCAACAACAAGATCAAGTTGGCCAACGAGACCACTGTTGTTGCTCCCCTCGGTGGCTACCAATACGTTCCTCGTATGTTCTTCCTGTCTTTGCCTTTGAAGAGTGTTTCGCTGACTTGGGTCCAGTTGAGACCGTCGAGCCTGGCAATGATCGCTCTTTGGAAAGCTGGACCAACTGCCCTGTGCGTGCATTTCCTGACCTTTTGTGATCTTTCTTGTTTCTTATCTGTTTCCCTAGGCCTTTGAGAAGCACATCAAGGAATTCTACGCCTCCCCCGACTTCAAGCAGAAGGCCAAGGATGCTCAAACCTTCTTCACCGCTGCCAAGGACTACCTTTTCGGCCGCCCTGCCACGCTCGAGAACGCCGTATGTGCCTCCACGGTTTCCTTCTTTCGACGTTTGTCTGATACACTCTTTGTCCTCCACAGTGGAACATCTACGACTTCATCAACTCCGAGCTCATCCACAACAAGACCTTCGCTCACCGTCTCCGTCCCACTTTCATCGAGCAAGCCCGCCACTGGGCCAACTACCACGAGGCTGGTGTCTTCAGCGATGACGACATCAACGGTATCGGAAACAGTGCGTAGTCCACCCTATCTCTGATATGCTTTTTGACTGACTGGTGCCTTGCGCTGCCTACTCTGCTAGTTGCTGGCCGCACCATGCTCCACTCCATCTTGAGCTCCCTCGAGCGCATCTCCTTCAACGGCGACCCCCTCCAGTTCATGCTCATCCAGACCACCTACCAGCCCTTCATCTCCCTCTTCAAGCAGACCGGTATCTCCCAGAAGCACCCCGAACTCGCTGGCATCCGTAAGTCTAGCCGCGTTCTTGTCGTACAGTGGATGGAGGACTGAGGACTCATGATCTTGACCAGCCGACTTCAACTCTGCCATCGCCATTGAGCTCCGCCGCGGCTCTCCCCCCGATGTTCGCGACTTCCTCCGCTTCCGCTTCAAGAACGGCACCTCTGGCTACTGGAAGGACGTCCACGTCTTCAACCACCGCGCTGACATCCCCTTGACCGAGTTTATCTACCGTGCCGAGGTTCGTTTCGTCTCCCTCTCTTCCCCTCATTCCTTCTCTAACCACACCTCTACTCTCCTCTCTCTCCTGTAGAACGCCGCCATCACCAGCAACTCCCAATGGCGCCAAGTCTGCTCTAGCCAAGGCGTCGTCTCCAACTTCCTCTCCAGCGTCCCTCTCGGCTTCACCGACCAGCCCACCGTCGTCAACTCCCAATCCGCCTTCACCCTCGCCTTCGCCGCCGTCGGCCTCTTCGCCTTGTTCACCGCCGCCAAGCTCGTTAAGCGTGCCCGCGCTAACAAGGCTAGGCAGGTGAAGCTTGAGGGAGATGAGGTGAGTCAGGTTGTTCGAATCGATTACGGTTCGATCCCCCGCTCCGCTGCTGCTGTTGGCGGTAAATCGTGGTACCAACCCAACCGTCCTTATCCCGCCGCTGCTGCCGATTCGATGGTCGCCACTACGCCTGTGTCGCCGTTGTCGCGGTCAGGTGCATCTGCTGTTCAGAATTCTGCTGGGGAGGAGAGGGTACAGGCCTCTGCGTACTATCCTGAACACCCCCGGTGGATCATCTGAGCTGGTCCAGGGCCAGTGAAGTAGTGCTAGCCTTGGCGGCGATCTCGCATGCATTTACTCGATGAGTCATGGGTGGAACTTCGTCCGGGTCCCTGGCGGATGGATGGATGGAGTTGGACGATGCGGGGTGGGGGATCGGCGGTGGCTATTTATTTGCGTTCCCTTATCTCATTTTCTTGCGAGCGGTGGTACTTATTGGCTTTCTTTCGTTCCTTGACAGAGTCTTCCCACTGCCAGCGTTGTTGAGGTTGCGGAGAAGAGGAGGTTGATTTGAGCGAGTGGGTTTCGTACACGGGAGAACAGTTAGCTATTTAACGACTTCTTTCCATCGCTCTTCAGACGCGGACACGACTTTCTTTCTTGACGACTCTGTGACGACATTTTTTTCCAACGTTCCTTGCTAGAGTTTTTCTTCTCATTGTCATCATCCTTCTCACACGTACATTCACGAACATAAAAAGCTTCCATACACATTGTGCGCACGCTGTACTCTTCTTCATTTGACACGGATCCTTATACGTATTTCATTGTTGCCATCCCAATGCCTTGCTTGAGTGTTGCAGTCTTCTTGCACAGCAAAATTTGGTATGTTTAATCCTTCTCGCTGGAATGCCAGCCATTTTAGGGACGTGCTCGGGGTGAAGAGCGGCTCGTCTCCACGAGACCTTTCCATCGGATTTTACAGCACGTCAGAATCGAAACATGGATACCGGGCTTGATATCCCGTTCAAACGCTGATCCAAACTTGTTTATAGGCTCGGAAGGCTCAGAAACAATACAGAAGATCACATCTTTGATTCCGAAGCTTAAACGAGAGAGGGCTTTATAAGTCCTTGCGAGTCGCATTTGGGGCTGTACCGCAAGCTCTTGCTCTCTTTCTTCCTGCTTTCCTTCCTTCGAGTTCATCACCTGTGTCCGGGTCGAGCGCTGAGCGTCAACTGCTTCAATATGGCCAACGAATGTGACGCTTGCTGTTTGCCTTGCATGCTGTGCATTGGGCTCTTCAGTGCGTACTCCGTGTGCGACGAAAATCATCCCTCCTAATACTAGCTCTTCCTGGGTAGATTGTTTGACAAAGCTCGAGTTCATGCGTTTGATCTGCCGACCATGTAGGTCCCATTCACCACTTGTTTCTCTGGACGTTCTCTTAATTGGTGTGGATTGCGTTGTATAGGTGGATGTCGACAACAGGATGCTTCAAAACCGTACGACGAAGAGGATGCGAGATATGTCGCGGAGGTGGAGAGCGAGATGAAGGCGCAGAGAGGGCGGGAGAGCAATAGTCAGCCTCAGCCGATAGCGCAGCCTCAGCCAATAGCACAAAAATCAGTGTACGATAGCCCGTATTACAACAACCAGTAGCCTTCGTCGTGTCTCTTCAGAGAAGAGACCTTTCGTTTTCTAGTCGCAATTCAAGTTGCTACGCTCGGAGCGCCCATGGCCCCCGATCATCCCGAGTCCCCAATAGGCAAGCTGGCTTCAAAGTTTGGAAGTCCGATTAGTAGAAGCAAGCTGGCAGTGCCTAGTGACTCACAACCTGGACCAGTGTTTCGAATAATTCCTTCAGTCCTGCCGTTTCTGTCTCGAAAATGGGATCGAATAACCTCTGGACCTTGATCTACAGGTCATCAGCCCTAGCTGCTTGTTTCCAATGGTCCTGATGGCGGGCAAACGGTTGAAACCCAGCGGGTCCGAGCGCGGTCCCGCATGACCTCCTGTATGTGGATTGACACTGTCTGAGCGCTGATATATGAGATGCGATGACTCCATCAGAGAGATGCTGATGACATGTGGTCCTTCATAAGAGCCCAGAGGGTCCTACCAGGAGCCCTCCCCAAGACCTTGCGTCTCTACCAGCCACAGCGACATCGCACAATGGCTACCACTCTCCCTGCCACGTCCTCCACCTCCCAAAACGTCGTTCTCCCCGACATCCCGGAGCTCTTCAATGAGAATTTCTTGGATGTCCTTCTCCCTAGCCAGGGCGAAATCCGGATGGAGACCGACTCCGAATCGCCAACCATCGTCGAGACCCCCAAAAACGCCTTGATGGAAGCGCTCAAGGGGACCACAAACCAAACCCTCACTGCCAACCTTGCACCGGCTCTGCGCTCGACCCTTTCTTCCACCTTGGACGCGTTCAACCAAGTCGACGCGCATGCTCGTGGAGAGACCATCAAAGACCATTTGAGCAAGGCATGGGCTGAAGATCCTCAGCTCACTCTCAGGATCATCTGGTGCCTCCGTAGCATCCCCGACGGCAAGGGAAGCAAGGAGGGCTTCTACCGTGCGTACGCCTGGCTGTTGGACAACCATCCCCGCACCGCCATCGTCAATCTGCGTCTTCTGGTCGAGCCAGTCTCGCTCAAGAAGAAGACCAACACCAGCATCTCCCACGGGTATTGGAAGGACCTCCTCAACATCGTGGCCATCGCTGCATGTGGTGACCTTTCTCCAGACGTCATCCATCCAGGATTCCTGTATCCTCCCAGGCAACACTGGTCCTACAAGCGAAAGAAGGAGCAGAAGACTGGGACACCTGAAGAGCGGATCGCCGCCCACCTTGCGAAGAACGTCGAAAAGAAAGAGGAGGCGAAGGTGAAGCGTGCTGAGAAGCTGGCTCAGTCTCACGAACGTCTCACTGCTCGTTTGGCTGACCCCAAGTTCCGCGCCCTCTACATCGCTGTCGCTCGACTCTTCTCTTCCCGTCTTGAACAGGACATGGATATCCTCACCAAGGTCGCCAGTCTTCCCAAGGGTAAAAGCCCTGTCCCGTTGCTGAAGACGATGTCCTTAGCCGGCAAGTGGGCACCCACTCCGGCTCTTGCGCACGACAAGGTCACCAACATGTCCTCGGCCATCGCACTCTTACTTTCCAGATCCCAGCTCTCTTCTCACTTCCCCAAAGCGCTGAGCGATCCATCTCTCCCTCCTCGAGACAAGTTCCTCATCCTCCGTTCCTTCTACCAGCGTTGGGTCCTCCGCCCGCTCCGTGAAGCCATCCAATGTCCGGAACCCCTCATGTCCAGCAACCGGTGGAACGAGATTCGCTACACGCGTGTTCCCTCGATCGCTATGAAGAATAACACCGAACACTTCTTCAGACACGATCCCGATCGGTTCCAGGAGTACCTCATTTCGGTCGAGAAGGGCAAGAAGTCGATCAGCGGTGCCACCCTCATGCCCCACGAACTCACCAGCGCCATCTACCACAACGGACTTCTCCTTCGCTCCGACGGATCCGACTCCAAGCCCGCCAAGTACCCAGCTCTGCAGGAGTTCAAGAAGTCGCTGGCAGAGACGGAGTTGAGGGTTGCCGAGGCGCAGTGGAAGACTCTCATCGAGACCCTCAAGGCGAACGGCAAATTGGACAACTGTCTCGCCGTGTGCGACGTCTCCGGTTCGATGGGCTCTCTCCATTCCAAGGTCAGCAGGACCAACCCCGCCCCAATTCATGTCGCCGTCGCGCTCTCCCTTGTCCTCGCTTCACTCGCCAAACCACCCTTCAACGGCGGCTTCATCACGTTCTCGCAGAACCCGCAGTTCGTCCAGTTGGATCTGGAGAACAAGTCGCTTTGTGAGACGATTTTGGAGATGGAGAGGGCGGATTGGGGTATGAACACGGATCTGAACGCGGTGTTCCTAAGGCTGCTCCTCCCCCTTGCGAAGAAGAACAATCTCAAGCAAGAGGATATGGTCAAGCGTCTCTTCATCTTCTCCGACATGCAGTTTGACGAAGCGGGAAGTCAGGGATACGGGAACGTCATGACGGCTGCGAACTGGGAGACCAACTATGACGCGATCGCAAAGGCGTATGAGGAGGCTGGGTACGAGGTGCCGCAGATTGTGTACTGGGACTTGAATGCTAGCGGTCAGAAGACGGTGGAGGTGACTGCTGAGAGGAAGGGGGTTGCGATGATGAACGGGTTCTCGCCGGCGTTGTTGAAGGTGTTCATGGGCGAGGAGAACGACGATGAGGATGCGGAGGATTGGGAGAAGGTTGGGAAGGAGGGCCAGGAGAAGGAGAAGGAGGACGAGTTCAATCCTCTGAATGTGATGAAGAAGGCGTTGATGAGGAAGAGTTTTGAGGGGCTGGTTGTTGTTGATTGAGGTCGCCGTTCGTCGCGTTTTCGGTTTCTTTTCATTCTTGCATCTCATCTCATTCGCTGGACATTGTACATTATATACCCACATCCCCTCATATCTCACCGTAGAGCTTATTGACTCAAATCTCCATTCGTATTCTCTTGTACGCTGTATTTGCAGTAATGCTATTTCAGTCTTTGGAACTCGAAACATCTCGCGTGGGTTGAAAAGTTGGTCCCACTCGAATCGGGCAGTCAAAAGAAGGACTTGTACAAGTCGTATCGAGCGTCTCTTCGACGAATGGCCCGAGAGCGAGAGTAAGAACCAAGTATGCAGGTTGCATGTCATTCCATACACCTCAGCATACAATCTACACTTGACCGAGCCTCGTGAACGTCAAATCCAAAATCCTCTCATCGTCCTCCCTCCGAATCTTCCAATGAGAACAGTTCCTCCCTTCAACCAACAATTCATTCAGCCTCGGAGTCGGATAGCAGACTTCACCCTCTCTCCCTCCCCAATCAAAGTCGACAACCCAAACCTTTTGCTTGTCTTCGCTCCTGAGGATGTTGCAATATCGGAGGTCTCCATGCACCCACCCTTCTTCGTGGAACCCTTTCATCAGTTGCTCAATCGGCTTCCTAAGCGCACGGTCATTTTCGGTGTGGATGGGGACCATCTCCGGATCGTACTCCATCGCGATTCCATACCACCCACCAGGGAGTTGTTGGAAGCCAAGCAGTTTAGGGGCATAGCCCTTGTTGTAGCAGTATTCATGCAGCTCACGACAGTAGGTCCTAGAGAACTTGATGAGGACAGCGGAGTCATCAGCGGCAAGGGCGATATAGAGGAGCCGACAGTCTGTTCGAGGATATCGGTAGTCTATGATCTTGAATTCAAAGTCGCCAACACCGTCGTATTTGGCGAGCTTTGAAACGGCTGGGAAGAGAATTGCATTAGGTGGGATGGGATCGACGTGCGTGTTGTCGAGGTGTTGTTGGAGATCTGCGAGGATGCGGTCTCGGAGTCGGACGGCGGCGAAGAACGCGGCGTATAGGGACATTCGTTCCGCCCCGTCGCTGGCACCTTGGAGACATGACAGAGCTGGTGTAAGGCTGATCTGGCGGTACTGGTGTCCGAGCAAGATGACGCCGTAGAACCGGACTTCGTGTCCTATGACGAGCTTGAACGACACGGCACGAGGAAGAGAGAGGGTATTCCTGTACCTACCAACAATTGTGGTAACAATGCAAGGCACCCTCCACGGCTGCAAAACAGTCGGACGTTCCTCTCTTACAGTGTTATGAAGGCGCGCCACATAGCCGACGGCTTCAGTGCCAGCATGGGAGGTGACCCCAACCATTTCATTCTTGAATTGTACAACGTGGATGGGGAAACCGTCCTCGGTGACCGCATGTCCATCACTGATGACTTTCCCAATGAAGGCCGCATAGAGTCGAGGAGGATGGTCAACACCGGTTGAGGTCATGATGGCATTGAGATGATATAGTCCAACATCACGCCTCTCTGCTTCATCCTTGTAGAACCGGGACATAGCATGCGCGAATTGATCGACAGCACCCATGAAGTCCTTGACATCGACGAAGTCTGGGACAGTGCTCAGGAAGTTCTTGACGTGAATGCGTTTGAGGAAGTCATCCATGAACATTCCGAAGCCCTGGTATAGGAGCGCAAGAGGGGGAATTTCAGAGTCGGGTTCAGGACGGTCGTCAAAGATCCTCTGGGTAGATTGGCGTTGTAGCGATTCATAAATCCACTTATGGGCAAGCTGTGACGGGGATTCAGTCACCACCCTGGCCCGCTTGAGTGCGTCTAATTGGAACACAGACTCGGGAGCAGATCGTTTGAGGCCAGTATCAGGGAGGACTGCAGCAATCTAAGTGAAGATATGAAGCACGGTCATAGCCTTTGCTTACCTGCGAAAACATGGACTTTGTCCCTCGATAAGTCTTTGAAGATGGTTGATATCAATGCAAGCGGTGATTTGAGCTCGTCCTTTGGGTTTGGAATCGTTCTGTGTAGCTCGTCTGGCGTCAGGGAAACCTTGAAGAGATGTATGTCCGTTGGATCGATACTCGACAGTCGCCTGCCCGTCGCTATCAATTGTTTGAGGATGCTGATGTTATCGCTCGCCTGGATCTCTACAGTAAACGCCCTGTCGGGACCATCGCCATAAATAAGGCAATTAATCGAGATGGTCTCCGCCATGGTTGGGAAAGCAACAAAGCAACGCAAGAAAGCAAACGCCCGCTCGGGAACAACCGGAGTTTCAAACCCGAAAGTGCGCCCCAGAGTCCGAACCGGCAACATTGCCGACACATCGATTCCGCGGACGGTCTGTGCACACGAAGTCTGAGCACCTGCACGCCATGACAAATAGTATGCGGCCAATTTCCTTGTTACCCTAGAGGTATATGGTATGGTATGTACGCGGCTATGTCAGAGTGCAGGCAGGGCGTAAAGAGACCGTCCGCCGGAACGATGTGTAAGCAATGTTTTGGGGGATTGGATATTGAATCGACCACCTGGTGGTGTGAGTTCCCTTCTCGCACAACGGGAATTCATCCTTGGCCTTTTGTGTTAATCAACATCGATCGAGCAGATACTGATCGCCACTGGTTAGGGATCCTCTGACTCAGATACATGTCGATTGGCCTGTAACCTGGACTCCAGAACGTCGTACTATGCCCGCATGTTCATACGAAGTTACAGAGTAAATGGAGTATTCACGGATAAACCAGGAATTTATGACGTATACCCCTCCCATTGCATGGGAGTATGGCATCCCGGACTGGGCGCCTATTTAACATCACTCGATCACCAGCAAGGGCACGCTCAATCGATACCTCCAGACACCTCACTGTACAGTATGGCAAACCACCTGACTCGTAACGCTCACGATATTACGCAGCATTTCGTATTCGTGATTCTCCTTGTAGTAGGCATACGCGCCCCTACGTTTCGTGCTGTTCCCGACATAAGCGCCCGGGCTTGTGCCTCCAAATTTGCGTCAGCCTGACCGTGGGCGCTTCCGCTTGACCTTCACCCCCAAGGCCACTAGCACTAGACTCTTCTACCTCTTGAATCTGCGCAACAGTGTCCCAATAACCCTTCACCAACGCCTCTCTACACCTCTCGAGCGCACCTGACACGAGCTCCGCTTCCGAGCTTTCCGTTCCACCACCCCCAGGTTGAACCAGTGGAGATTTAATATTAAGCGCCCTCTTCACGTTCTCCTCCAACCTCTCCAGAACCTCCTTTACAACCTGCTCGGCCCCTGTGCCTAGGCTCACAGGTAGCTTTCCCAATGTTTCAAAGCTCGCGATGCACCATACTCCTGCTGGGAACTTGGGTTCGTCCTTGGACGCGATGACGGTGATCTGTTCCACGATCGATGGTTGTCCTTGAACTGGGATGTTGGCGCAGCCATCCGAGGCCCCTGGGCTCCTGGTGTGCTGCTGCGGATCCCGTCCCTCGTATTCCGGAACTATGTGCAGGTGATGCCACTGATCTCCAATTCCTCGAAACGTGAGCAGATAAGACTCCCACTTTGGACGCCGCGGCTTGGAAGAAAAGTAGTTGAGAACGGTAGAGAGGATGGACATGACGATGGTCGTGGTCCAAGAGAGATACAACAACCGACTGTGCCACGCGGAAGCAACCGCAACAGAACTGATAAAGATCATGTAGGTTTACTTGCATGAAAATGAGTCCTGAAAGCAGTAAGTGCGAGTCAAACAAGAAATCAGAAAGTAACAAAAAAGGAGGTACTAATACTAGTAAGTAATCAAATGGGACAAAAGAAGCTAAATGATGATACGAAACTGGACTATGTATATGCGTGGAATACCGGAAGAGTGGAGACGTTCAGTACATGTACATGTTACAGGTGGGAGAGGGAGTATGTATTCCAACTCGAGAGAAGAAAGAAACAATTGAATGGACAGTCTATGTACATATCAAACGGGGACAATGAACCATCGGAATGGTTATGATGGCATGTCGTATGAAGGGTAGCACCGTCTACACAAACCGCATTTCCAGGGGCCAAGAACCCCGGCCCCTAAAGACAAATTCGCAAAAGACCACGCCTTCGCCTTCCTAAAGGATCGTCGATCATCGCACCGGTCACCAAGCAAGACAACACCCGCGTCGCGACACGACGCGTGACGTCAGACAAAGGAGAAAAAAATGCCAAAACCACAAACGGAAGCAACCAAATTCGCGTTCATGAATCACGACAGAAGCGGAGGCAGAGAGGTGATCATGTCGGAGTAACAAGCGATTGGCTCCAGGAAGCCAAAAGTCTTCCAAATTCACATCCGCGCGCGCGCAACCCGCAACCCACAATCATCCCGTTCCCGGTGACAAACAGAACGAGACGCAATCAAGCACCGAGATCCGGCGGGGCAAGTGGGTTCTCGACATCTTGAATGATCGTCGACCCACCCAGTTTGGCCTTCTTCTGTGCCTGTGCCACTCCGTCCGCATCTCCTCCATCGCCCACTTCCAACTCTTCGCTGTTCCGTTTGCGTATCATCGGTCGTGACCCGATCTCGAGGTCTGTGGTCGTCAAACGTGGTGGTGGTGTGGCAGCTTGATCAATGGCCTCCTCCAGAGCTGGCGACTTGCGGCGTCTGGCAGGCGTTCGGGGTGGCGAAAGACGAGATTCGGCTGGTCGTTTTCGAGGCGTCTGGGGAGCCTGGGTGACATGGACGGGAGACGGTGTCGCTAATCGAGCTCGTTTCGGGGAAGCCAGTGGGTCATTCGATACCCTCAGATCGACAGGACCTTCGAGCTCGTCGCACGACCGTTTCCTTGACGAATTACCGCTGTCGGGGCTGTCAGCATTGCTGGTGGTATCCCCAATATCCTCCGACGGTAATGGGCTTTGGACAATTTCCCCTTGACCATCCCCGTTGTCATCTTCCTCAAGGGAGACCAAACCTCCATCCGCACTTCGAGTATACCCAAAAGCACGCAACTCTTCGTCGGTCAAGGTGAGCTCAGCGTCAAGTTTGGGCTGCCCATCGTCAGTCCCGCGTTGTTGTTGATGCTGCTCCCGCTCCCGAGGAAAGTAGTACGCCGCGTTCTCGACACCACCACCTCCTCCTCCCCCGTCATGCTGATCAGGCAACACAATCTCCACCACCTCATCCGAATCAAACTCGAGCTCGTTCAAATCAACTTCCTGCACCTCCTCCTGCCATTCATGCTGCTCGTTCTTCAACACGATACGGACCGCTGGCTGGTCACTTGTAGGCACAGGCCTGCGAATGGGAGAAGTAGGTTGGTACTGACGTGGTTCTTGCGGAGACCTGGGAACGTAAGAAGAGTGGTGGCCTCGTTCAGCTTTGGCTTCAGCCGCCGCTCGAGCCGCCGCCGCTCGCTGGCATATACTGCACCGACAGTGGAAGAGTGGCACGCAAGCCTCTCGCCAGACCTAAACGTCCGTCAGAATACGAGGTGGATGAGGGGATATAGATTCAAGCTCACCATCTTTAACGCCTCCATGGTATACTGAGGGAACCTCGCCACCGTCGTTGGGACATAGGGAATGGGTCTGAGCAATCTCGGAGCTTCCAGCACAGGCGCCACAGGAATCAATATTTTGGGAACCGGTTCGCCATCCTCAGACGCATCGCCATCCTCGATAGACTCATCTCGCGAGACAGCAGCCTTGTTCGAAGCATCTTCGCTTGACAAAGCCATACTCGGAGCCATCGGTGGCGAAGGTGTCGTTTCCAGAGTAGTCGTCGATAAGACGGGGCTTGTTCCGCTCCCGCTCCCGCTAGATGCAGAAGCCGCCTTGGCAGTATGGCCTGGTCGATAAGGGTCCCTGTCGTCGTCGTCCGTCGTAGGCGATGAATGAGGAGAATTAACCACCTCTTCGGGCTCGTTAGCAGTGCCATCTGCGTCGTGAGCATCGTAGGAAGCCCTGGGACGTTTCCTCACACCGGCACCTTCATCGGCCTCCCTGTTTTTCATCCTCTCTATCCAGTCCACGCCATCGAACCACACACCCTCCTCTTCCCTCAATATCCTCACAACCTCCTCCATCGACATCCTCGAAGCAATGATAGCTGGATCTTCAAGCTTCCTTTTCTTGGTGTGTGTAACCTGATACGCCAAGTCCGAACTCGTAGCGGCGGCACCGCACTCCATCACCAGCTTCCGCACAATGTTCCTCATCGCGGGGAGGAGGATAAGCCTGAGCTGTTTTTGGTGCGCGAGAAACGCCTGCTCGCAAAGGGTATACGAAGGCGGGACTTCTGCCGTGACGACGCTCCAACGAGGATGCGAGTCCTCCTGTTCTTCATCCATACGCTTGTCATCTTCCTGGTTCTCCCAGCTCTCGCCGTGGTCGTCAGATGACGAGGACCCCGCTTCTGCTGTATCCACCACCCTGCTACTGTCCCCATCGCTCTCCTTCTCCACCGTCCAAGGACATGGATGCACCGCATACGTCCATGTCTCACCCTTCCTAGCCTCTCCGCCCCCCTGCTTCTCCTTTTGGTACCGGACGGACGGCGGTGGATAACCTGTATCGAGGTTGTACCACGTATCGGCCGGACTGATCCAATACCCATCCAAGATCCGTGCTCGTGCCCAATCGCCCAGGGCAAGCTCCTTGACAGAATTCTCCTCCCGCTGGAGGAGGGCCGCGTCTTCATCGTCGTCCTCGTCATCATCCTGCAGCGACTCTTCCTCGTCTCCCAGGGATTCATAATCGTCGGTTACCTCTCGCAGGATCGGTCGTCGCTGGTGGTCGGGAGTCGCGTCCGCGCTGTCGTAGTGTGTTTCCTCTCGGTCCATCTCACTAGCGTTGTCGCTTCCACTTGATGACAACGTCCGACTGGTGATCGTGGCAGCTTCCTCGAGTAGAACGACTTGTTGAGACTGGTGTTGATGGTCCTGGTAGCCCCTCGCAGGTGACGCCCTCCCACTCATGTCCTCGGTGTTACCATTCCACCTCCGAGCCGCTAACGCCTGCTGCATCATGTCGCCCAATTTTGTAAACTTTCGCAACCACCACTTTTCGCGAGCCAAACACAGGACATCATTGATGGTGCCTTCTCCTAGGTCCAAGAAGCACTCGATCGTCTGGCGTGTCTCCCAGTCCTCGGAGCTGAGGAGGATGGCGGCAAGGTTGGGCGGGAAGTCGTCTTTTGATGCGGTTCTAGGTGCTGCTCCACCGGCGACGGCTTCCCTATCCCGTTCGTTCGTGTTGGTTTTCCTCCACAACCATTCCAACCGACAGGTTCGACATGTAGCCTCCACGTTGGGCCAAGTCTCCTCGTCTTCATTTTCGATACACGCCACGGACATGACAAGACTGCCGAGAGCCTGTGCATGAGCTTGAGATTCTTGATCTGAGATAATGAGTATTAAACTTTAATCTACCAGCGGAGAACAAGGACTTACTCAATCCATATTGGCTCAATACTGCGTTCGCGGTTGCGCTCTCAAAAATGGGCGCTTCTCGCAGACAGAGTCCACAAAACCCGGCTTTCCGCCGTTCGTGGTCGCGGCAGACGTTGACCCATCCCAGATACGGGGTGAACATGGTCGTACGCCGGTCCTTGCCTACGCTGCAATTAGGTTGTGGGTGTAATTTGAGAGCTCGTACGCACTGTGATGGACACTGCCTAGGCCGATATTACTAGGCGGAGCGTTGATCCTGCACACATAGCAGCTGACTGCGAGGATGCTGCGTAGGTGTTTCCAGAAGGATATTCGAACAGGGGGCGGAGGTTGTGCAGCTCCACTGACGAGCTGTTGAAACGGTGGAAGAGCGCTCTGTAATGGGATCAGTTAATTGATCTAATTAAGAGAAGGTGACGACTGACCGAGCCGCGGTTGTTTGAACCTGACCGAGAGACCGCCGATGGGGTGGGTAATGGTTGGGTCCACATGTGAGATAGGAAATAGTCCGTGGGGTCGATTAGCGCCACGGCTTGCTGCCAAAATAAGTGGTTTTGGACTGCAAAGCGGATAATGAGCGCACTACCTGAACGTCGAGGAAGCTGACTTACGGGCTTTATGCCAGCCCATGCAGACGCTCATTAGGTTCCTCTCGAGAGCGCCCCCGTCGCGTAAAACTGTGTAGACCATTCGTTGTTGCCAATGATCACGAGTCTCCCAAGTTTGTGGATTATAAGAGGTCGACGCGAGAGAAAGCAAGTAATATGTCGCGATATAGCTAGCAAACGGTTATCAGACTGGGAATAGAACGTTAACGAAGAAAAACTCACCGCACAATTTCTTCCGGCAATTGGGCCCAGGACCTGTGAGTGACCTTGCCTTTATAAACCTTGGTCCTTCCACCATCCTCGTCGACGACATCCATCGACTCCGCCGCTGTTGCTGTTGGGACTGCCATTAAGGAATCGGTCTCGGTGGCCATTGCGCTCGTCGTCGAAGTCGACACCGTCTCGTTATCCCTATCGTTCAATCTCCTCCCACTTCGTTAGCCGAACAATGTAAAAGCCCAAGTATGACGCGACGAGAACCGGACAAAGACAGGGCTTTTGGAGGCGGTAACAGCTTGTTTACAGCAGCTGTATATGGTCAGCGCCAGTGTATCGGTGAGGCCGATTTCGTTCGCGTCCGGTTCTGTGGTCGACGTCGCGGTTGGTGGAACGAATTAGGGGGTTTTGTATACCGACTCCGACCACTCAATCAAGTGGCAACGCGGTGGTCAGTGCGAGATGAGCGAATGTCTGATCACTCTGTTTACCTTTGTTTTTTTCGCACCGCATCCGGAAGGTGGCGGCCAGTTCTCACGCACGGACCATCATACTGTGGGCCTGTAAACAACGAAGGCGACGAAATTTAACCTACAGGCTGTATCTGATGCTAGCTGCACGAGCCTACATGTACATTTCGATCTCTGGGATGACTTCACCTCTCCACATCTCTCTTGACTCTGCTGACACACGAGATATGAAGGGATCCGCATTTGTCCAAAGGGCCTTCTTCAATTTCTCTTCCCGTTGATGATTCGAAATTCTCCGAAAGCAATTACCTCAGTCCTGACCTAGTACAGAGTAAGTTTGTAACTGGGTGATTCACCTGAGGCGTCATGACTGTATTCTTGTCACTTTACGCCTCCGGGCGCGTCGCGTACGTAGGACTAATTAGCCGACACGCTTGTTGACTTGTTACAAATTGATGTCGAAACGCGTCTGGTCTTGGCACTCGAGGCGAGAGCCAAATGCATACATTAGCGGAATCCAAAGTACAGTTAGGGTTTAAAGGCACTTTAAAGCCTCATATCCCAGAGGTCTTAATTACACCATCAATTATGCCAATAGAGATGATGCCAGCCCAAGCCAGAACGCCTCTGAGAATGACTGTACACCGTAAGTTGACGCTTATGGAAGGACACAGTACACCCAGTGAAGTATGATTAGATTGGCGTCAAAACAAACGCCAATGGGAGCAGGTCATTATGGCGTACAACAAGAAGACGACGATACGGAGGATCTGGGAGACGTTCGCGGCAGCGGTACTTGACTGATAATTGACCGAGATATACTATGCCTCCTACGTATATTTGATATGCGATTGACTCTTAGTTCCTAGAGTACACCTGGATTAATTGATTTTGAGCGCAATAGTATCTTTACACGATGTCGAGGGGGGCAGATGCCGTCGAAGGACACTTTCAAGAACATTGCACAGAAAGTTGATCATGACAGTGATGGCATCAAGGAAGAGAGTTCGACTCTTGCCTTGACACTTTATGTAGTGCGATCGATTGGGCAACAACTCCGATCTGGACATCATCAGGACCAGAAAAACTTTCGACGGCAAGGTCTTGCGCTGTACCTCAAAGCTGCCCTCGATAAGCTCAGTACCTCAAGCACCCAGCAACCCAGATCGACTCGGAATCGACAATGCTCCAAGCTAGATTGTCGTGACAGAGCGCGATACTGATTGCGACGTCTCTTTCTCAGACTTGAGAACATCAATGCACACGTCGAAGGGCCCCTTGTATGTCGCGAAAGCGATCTGGTTTGGCGACAGGGCTCAGTATCCCAGGATGACGGCGAATAACGGCGCCTCCAGCTACCCCATTTCGCGTTGCTCGTCCCAGCAACTTCAAGACACCTGCGAGGAAACTGAGGCTTGAAGCTCGTGATCTGACGTCGCGAGCAGACTTAGGACTAGGCTCAAAAAGCTCGGACACACTGAGGAGGATGTCGATGTTCTTACCACTTCGGATATCACGCCAGGATCTGCTAGCCTCTCGGAAGCAGGTGAGTCCCTCACAGTTCGTGGTGTTAGACGAGTGCTTATGATGTTGTATTCTTTGAATAGGAAGGACAACGACCAGTCTCGGAACAGAGGAATCTTGGAAAAGAGGAGCCGTTGAGCCTTGAAGACCTGGACGAACGACATAGGTGGATCTTTCGGCTTTCAGTTCGACACGACAGCTGGACGCATCGAAATGTCTGCTCTGTCAAATAATTGTTAGTTGGCGCATGGCTGAAGATGGATGACCTGACTCTCGTCGGCTTTCTGGACCCCTCCCCATGAACGTTTCGATGCTTGAATTCCGACCTATCTGAAAGCACTGTGGCCTCCTGGTTCAATCATACTACGGAATGACTCGTTCTAGGCTTCTGGAAAAGAGGCCCCAAACCTACGCGATGTTCAAAATGGTACTTGGATATCGAATGCGTCAAGAGCTAAGGTCTTGGGTGTCTCCAGCTAGTGTCATAGATGGATTTTGGACTAGTCAGGTCGGCGGTACTTCGACGCAATTGAACTGCGACTGCTGCGGATGGACGGCCTGGGTCCTTGTTATCTGTGTGGCTCTTGTCTCCACTCGAACCAGGGACTTGGTCAGCATTGGAGCCAGGCGGGTGGTACAAGGACTCTTCTGCCCTTCCGTCGAGACGTGCTTGCATGGCGTGGTGCCTCCCCTGTTGCTAGGCGCAGCCCAGTCAACGAGCCGTCAGCACTAGCTTCGACATGGTTACAGGACTCCAGAAATTTCGTGACCCTCGGTGGCTAGACCTGCTTTCCAAATCCTGACCCCAATACCGAAAGTTTGGCTATGCGACACATTCAACGATGATGGAGCGAAGACCCGGTCTGAGGTTAAGCATCATCTTCGCATTGCGTGCGTCATCGCAGCCTCTCTTCTGGATCTGCGCCAGACCCTGGCGACAGCGTTGTTTCCAGGAATCGAGTGGCTGCTCCTCACGAGCTTTGAGAATTTTCAACACGAGGAACTCCGAGTTTACTACGTGTCCAGAAATACATCCCTGGCTATAGAGTGGACGAGTAAACACATTGACGCCATATCTCAGGGAATTTCAACGTCATCTCTCCCTTTCATTCCTGGTCCTTTGTCCTCCGCCACGCGTTTCAGAGAGCATGCATCGCCGCGAAGGTAAGTTGGACGTCAGCGCGATAAACTTGCGATCATCATTGTCCATATGAAACCGACGAATGGGGCTACAAGGAGAAAACGGACCTTCTCCTTTATTAAGAAACCGACGTTGTCTGTCCACAATCTCACCTCGAGGCTTGCGCGCCTGACCACCATTGCAGGCCTAATATAGACAAGCTTTTCTCTGTTAACGTCCTTGTGGTTTTTTCTGTGAATATAAAAGCGGGCAAGGCTCAACGCGTGACTGATTGGCAGTGACTCGTGAGGCTGTGGCAGCGGAACCAATTTGTTTGGGGCATTGTTGAAATTTCTAAGCGACGCGTCGCGCTCGAGCCAAATTATTGGTTCCTCTCTTACCACCACCTCGTCCCGCTGCGTCCCACCATTTTGGCCCTTTGTTGCCCTTGTTATGCCCTGATTTCCTGCCTTTATCCTCAATCTTGCCTATATTCCCCTTTTTCTGCCCTCTGATTTCGCTAATTTTCCGCTCAAGTTCAACTTGAACCACCCACCATGTCGGGGATGAAGAATTCGCCGTTTGGCAAACGATTACGAGCCTCACATCGAGAGGACGACGATGGATCACCCAGGAAGAATCGGCAAAGGGTCAACCCAATGTTCGGTGTCGGCTCAGCAGACCTTACAAACTCGACGCCGTCGCTCGACTCTCGGGCGGGCACCAGTGAAAGCGTGTTTCCTCCAACGTCACCGCGACGGCACGAATATGGCGACAGATTTGTACCTTCGAGAGAGTCTGGCGATATCCGGACGTCGTTTCATCTGCTGGAAGAGGGAGGGCCGTCGACGCCGTCGAAAAACAGGATAATACCCTCCGAGTCTGACGCACAGAAGGGTGAGTCCCAAAGGAACCCCATACACCGCCCTTACAGACTAAACACCCCTATTAGAACAAGCAAACTCGATGTTTACATCGATCTTACACACAGAAGTCACCCCGCCATCCCCCCAACGCCAGATTTCTCCAATCCGCTCAGCACTACCGCCCTCCACACCTACACGTCGCCGGCTCTTCACCTATAAATCGCCAGGATCCAACGCTGCATCTCCAAGTAGACGATTAGACGACCCCATCGATGAAGCTTATTCAATGAGCCCCGTTCGAGCAGCGAGCCGGAGACTTCTAGAAAGTCCCCGGAGACAGCCCCGGAGTGTTTGCAAGACCCCCTACCGCGTTCTGGACGCCCCAGAACTCGCAGACGACTTTTATCTCAACCTGGTCGACTGGTCGAGCACCAACGTACTGGGAGTGGGACTGGGGTCATGTGTCTACCTCTGGACTGCACATAACGCTCATGTCAACAAGCTGTGCGAGCTGTCCGCCTCACACGACAGCATTAGTTCGGTTTCGTGGGTGCAAAAGGGGACGACTCTCGCCATTGGAACGCTTCTCGGTCAACTGCAGATTTACGACGCCAGCACCCTCACGCTTATTCGAACGTATCAACAAGCCCATACGCAGCGAATAGGTGCCCTCGCATGGAACTCTCACATACTCTCCTCTGGCTCTAGAGACAGGATGGTACACCACCGGGACGTACGCGAGCCTGGGGAGAGGCCTTTTAAACGGTGCACGGGCCACCGACAGGAGGTCTGCGGGTTGAAATGGAGCGGGGACGGAGGTGCGGGGTCTGCCAACCTGGCGAGTGGCGGGAACGACAACAAGGTGTGCATCTGGGATCTACGGGGGTCACGGAGAGCAGCGAGGCCGGGACAATCAACGACCGCCGGAGGCGCCGTTGGGGATGAACCGGGCGACACGCCATTGTGGAAGTTCCATGAACACACCGCTGCTGTCAAGGCTCTGGCTTGGGACCCCCATGTCACTGGCGTCCTGGCGACTGGCGGCGGTACTCAGGACAAGCACATTCGTTTCTGGAATGTAATCAATGGCACGATGACGTCGGAACTTGATACCGGGAGCCAGGTATGATTTGGTTCTGCTAAATGAACGGACTGTCCGCTAACTATGACCGTTACTGCAGGTCTGCAACCTTATCTGGTCCATGACCTCCCATGAGCTGGTCTCGACTCACGGTTTCTCCTCGACCACGGCGCAGAATCAGATCTGCATTTGGAAATATCCAACGTTGAGCATGGTTGCATCCTTGACGGGCCATACGAACCGTGTTCTTTACCTCGCCATGAGCCCTGACGGCGAGACGATCGTGACGGGCGCGGGTGACGAGACGTTACGATTCTGGAACGCCTTCCCCAAGAAAGAAAGGCACAATCGCGGAGGGGGCAGCAAACTGGATTATGCGCACCAAATCCGCTGATCAACATTCCCTCTCACCTCCTATCTCACTCGCCCACCCATCCTGCCTGCCAGCCTCATATGCCGTCACGACGTCGCCACGCCTTGTCTATGACTACCAGCCTATATCCTATTTTGCTTTGATTTATTTATCTCAATCGCATGCACTTCATTCTCGGAACCATCAACGCACAGCACACCGTCCCCAACATATATAGCAGCCCCATCATCTACTCCCGCCATACGCCTATCCCAGCTCCGACAACATCGACTCACCACATTAGCCTCATCCTCATCCCCCCACACACAAACAGACACCTATGATTTTCCGCCTCTGTCACCCCTATGGCTGCGAGCGCCCCATCTTCTCAATGTACATTTCTCAAGGCTTTCTCCTCTTGCAATAAGTAGCCCCCCTTTCTTCAAGCTAGCCACCTATGTCCTTTTTTCGCCCATCGAAGTTGTTCTCTTCTCCTTTCCTCTGGTTGTTTTGTATGACGAATGGGTTCTTGTTCTCCCGAACTCTTTTCCCTCTCTGAGTCTCTTCTTTCCTTCTTCCTTTTTCTCCTATATCCCATCTCCTTCTCCATCTTCGTTCTCTCGATCGATGATTTGTTGTCCTAGTTTTGTCTCTTCTATCCATCTTCCATTTCTCCTGCTTCTTTTCTTTTTCTTTTCTTTCCTCCCATCTCGTTTTGGCCTTTTTTGTTTCTCTGTGTTCAATAGCATCAGCCTTTTTTTCTGTTTTGCTTTTAGCACTTTTCTCCATGATCATCCTCTATGGCGTTTTTTTCTTTTTGACTGTTCTCGTTTCTTCCTTCTTTTTTCGTTTGTGTTTTTGTGTCTCTTGTTTCATGTTTTAGATAGCATCCGCAACCGAACCCATTGTTGGTTTTTGAAATCGGTTTACAGTGTTGTTCTGTGGTGTAAGTTGGAGGGTTGTATGAGGGATTGGATCTTGGGCACGGTATGAGAAGAGGTTTGGAGCGAACGTTAACGAACCTGGCCAAGGGGAGAAAAAGTATTTGACACTGTCGGGAATCGAACCATCCGCTTGGGTCACTCAGGCTGAACGGCTGGCTTTCATTCCGGATGTGTCCCAACCGTTGCGTAGACGCGTAACCAGCTGGAGGATGTTATGTAATGAGGACTTGGTGCAGATGAGAGAATCCTCGAGCTCGCTCATAGAGCGATCGGTCACCGGTCTAGCCCTTGCGCACAATCCTGTCGACGTTCGCCTTCCATGGTTCCAAGCTGTGAACAACAAGTTAAAGTATACCATCTCAACGAGTCAGTTCTCTAACATGCCAAGCGACATCACATCATTGCGCAGAAGAAGCGCCCCAGCGCTTATGGTATCCCGCCTCTAAAGTTGAACGTTGAACTTGTGAAAAGGCCTGACAGTGTGTGTGTATATATGCAATGAGACTTTTCGATGGGTATCATTCGATCCTGGGAATGACAGCCCTTTGGAACAGTCTTGGGCAGAGGGTGTTTGGGCCGGAAAGTGACAATCAGTGAGTGATAGTGATAGGGTAGATTGGGAAGGATTGGAGCGACTCGGACGTGGATGTGCATGTACGGCATCGGTGCATGGAGACGATAATATGTCCGATTAGACCGTGGGGCGTGCGCTCGTACTTGGACCTGGCCTTGCCATCTTTAGACACCTCCCGTCGATATTGACAGAACCCTAATAGAAACGATTCGTGTAGTGTATGGACACTGAACGAGGTGATGTTACAAACGGGAGGACCAGAATTACATATGTGGAACGACTGTGCGAACGGTTGGAGAAAATAAGGAGGGCATCATACTCTCAGACTCGTAGTGAGGGCAGGCTATATATAGCACAAGTCATTGGCCAAATAGCTGTCTCTCAACGGTGATTCTTGCGAGACGCGATGGATCTAGAGCCTCGGCGACGCGCACCACTGGCAGAGCGTTGCGATCTGTGTATAGATGAATGCGCCGGGCGCGGCTCTGCGCTGGAATCCCTGTTTCCTTCTCCTGCCGGAGACGAGGGAGTGGCAAGAGGAGCTAGAGCACCTTGACTGGTAGTGGTGGAATCAGTACTCGAGTTCGCAGTGCCGCTTGACGAGCTCTGGGCCACTTGCGGATTATTGTACGTATTTTGAACGATGCTGCCTGCAGTCGGGATGAGAGCTGAACTACAGACTGTCCTCAGCGCACGCACCGTGGTTCGGAGCAAGTACAGTGCTGCCACTATTGACCATATGGCCACCGTTTATCACACCATGATAGATGGTGAGTTGCCCGACTGGAAGAGGGTGGTTAGGTCGGAATGTGGTCAGCGGTGGGTGTTCAGTAACCCACAAGAGTTGTTTATTATGGTGTCCCGGTCACGACGACCGTCTCTGGTAGTGCGCGGAGAAGTGCGGTTGTTGGGATATTTCCTGGACATGGTAGTATGCAGCGGAGGAAAGCAATGGGAAACGCATGGTAATGGCCGCAGTGCTTTATAGCATTCCTGAACACGCAGCATACCTCACGTCCAACGCATCTGACTCGTGACTGTAAAGGGAGAAACAAAGACAGGAAAGTCCTAGTCCTGCTTTCAGACTCGGGTAAATGGGCCATCAGCTGCGGGACTTTCTTCGTGGAACTTCATAAGCCAGATTCACCTTTCTCACATAAATTGTGACAGGTTCTCAGACAGCTCCCTCAACCGCCAAGTTACGCAACTCATTCACCGGGCTACTGGTAAGTGCATCGAACTTCCCATTCGTTCGCCTGAAAATCCATTGACGCCCATGTCGGACTCAGTTGTCTTCCCGCCGGCTTCTCCGCAATTGTGCAGGATCATTACCATACTTATTCAAGGAGTCCAATTTATGTAGCTGACTCAGAAACTCCCGCGAACTATCTGCCTTCGCTTCTTTCGTTCCAGGTAGCGCGCCGCGTGCCTGGACTGAATGCCTTTCAAGTTCCGCGGCATGAAAGAGTACTACGAATCTGGTCCTCTTGCCATCGACATCTTGCCATCGGCAGTCGGCGACTACTGCGTATACTGTGCACCAACTCTGTCCTAACTCGGTCTATTTTGACGACCACAAAAAGCTGAACAAAAATTCTGGACTATTTTTCACGGATCGTCTATCAGGGGAATTTTAGACATACATGACCTATTAGTATTTAGACATGTAAGTATAGTCCCGATTATCCATTCGCGTTTTTCCTGATGCCAATGTCCTATTGGAGATCATCGGAGCTATATTCTCCTTCACCTCGACTTTATCGCGGATGAAGCGCCCTGAATCCACGAGGCGGATCCACAGGACTGACCAGTCTGCCCTCGCCGCGAACTCGATGCGGCTTGGGAGAACCCCGTACCCTGTGGACCGTGGGGAGAGAAATACTCTCCGTCCTCTCCAATCCCAGCCAGAACTGGGAAGAGTCGTCCACTCCAACGGAATTGCATCGAGAAGGCTGCACAGCACCTCCTTAACGACAAAGTCGCTTCGTTTAGTCTCCTTGCTGTGAGCGAGCAATCTTCGATCAACACCAGTCCTCTTCTGTGAACAGCCGCTTATTCAGGACAACTCCCACTCCCTAGTATACGGCTATGCATATTTCGTTATCTTGATCTCATGCTTCCCGAGCAACTGCATTCCGTCCACCTCCAAAAGAACATTCCACCTCCCTTATGCTGTGGGCTTCCGACCTCACATGCTCAAGGAAGGTTTCGAGTCGAACAACTTCTGAATGAAGGGCCCATGTCCGGCCAGTTCTCCGGCGCCTAATCCATATAGGGTCCGGCTCTATCACCTTCCTCCCATCGCCCCCTGAAAATGGTGCTTCTCCCGTTCCTGAACGTAAGCTGTGGCATATATATTTTCGAGAAACAACATGGAGGCCACACCCCGATACTGGGCGTTCCACCCACTGCATCCATCGAGAACGTCGAAGCGTGCCCCGCGTACATAGGGTACCTTCCCCCCGACACCCCGAAATAGTCCAATTGTCTCCTTTGAGACTACCTCAAAAGGTTAGTTAGCCATTTCCCTCGGAATGAAAGCACGCTATTGCAATTGCCAAAACCAGCCTTCTTAGCTCTCCTTCCTGAAAAGATCTATGTCAAAATCAGGCGCCTCAACCAGCTAGAAATCGTGAGTCTCGTCTCCCACAAGGTCAAAGGACATCCAAAAGAAGCGACTCTTCACGATACCCAAGACCCCGCATCTTTAATGCCTTCCCGTGCCGATAGTTCAAAATGTATGCGAAGTTGGCATAACAGAGACCGCTCTGAATTCTGGTATTGAAGGATGTAAATAGTGTGTATTAGTTAAATGGCAAGCACAAAGCAATAATATACGATGTCCATGGAAGTCTATGTATTTTGCATACCACTAATGCTATCGGTCCTCTGCCAAATCCCGAATGAGCGAACGAAGCCCCAGGTCCTCCTCAATCTGAAGGTATAATTAATAAGTCACCCATTGGATCGGTAGATCTCAGAGAGAGATCGGATCTTACCTCCTGCTTGAGATGGCTGTCCGCCTTCCCCGCTGTAGAGTTGAAGACTTCATCCATTTCCTCCAGCGAAACATTCGCCGTCTCAGGGACGACGTAGGTCGCCCAAAGATAGGCCACAAAACACGCCGTTGCAAAGGTCATGAACGTCCCTCTTTGATCGGAGGAGTCAATGCGCCGGCGTGGAATGCATACGAGCGGGCCAACTTACGAAGGAGACCAGCTGACGAAGACGGGTGTGAGGAGCCCAATCAAAACTAAAGCCAGAGTCAGAAACTAGTAAATGGAATCATAAAGGAGGAACGTGCAGTTGTTCGTCCAGTTCGACGCAGTGGACAATGCCACGCCTTTGCTTCGGATGGACAGGGGGAACACCTCACTCGGAAGGACCCAACCAATGGGTCCAAAGGAGACCCCATACGCAGCGGTGAACATGTAGATTCCTCTGTGGTCGAACCTAGAGTCAGAAATGTCGGGTCCCCATGGAGAGCCACTTACGCTACTGCAGACCAGGCGGCTGCCCTGTGTGCCGCCCAGTCATCTTCGAACGTCACAACCTGTGTCATCACCAAAAGGTACCTAAGATAAAGTGATGTCGGGCATCCTTTCAAGGAGAGGTGTTTCCTTCGAAGGAGTGGTGGCTTCGGTAAAAGGTGCCGAAATGATGGCTGAACTTCGCTCTTCATTGGTATGTTTGGGGGATGTATGATGATCCTCTTACCTCGATGCGATCCTTTTTGTAACATTTTAATGAAAGCAGAGAATTTTTGTTCCTTTCTGTCAAAGTCCCCGCTTCAGAGCAGCAAGCTTCGCTCGGTGTGACGTCATGACCCGCCAGGCTGGCCGGCCTTTACGTCGCTAGTTCGCTTGGCGGTCCGCGGGGCGAACCTTTTAGAACCTTTTAAACAAGTCGGCTTCATTTCAGTATATTTCACTCAGTAAAATGTCGTCCATTGAAGGGCCGTCCATTGGATCAGTAGTCTGATTATCCCGGGCGACAAGAAGGATCACTCGATATTTCACTGTATTGAATGGTTAGGTACCTTTTGGTGATGACCGTAGAGATGAGAAACGCGACCCACAGAGTGCCCGGTTCTCACCCACCAGAAGCGAAATGAAAAAGTGTGACAAAGTCATCACCACGCTTCCATCTATGCTAAGATTAGTGTCATTCAAAATGAAGCAAATAGCCACGTACATCGAAGCAAAGGTTTTCGCCCTGAAATAAGATCGCATTAGGGGATACTGGAGGGAACCGAAATCATCGCATCCGCACCTATCTTGTCTATGATGACGATGGCCGGCAGTACAGCCAGGAACTGCACGATGCCAATACCGCCCGACACAGCAAGCGTAACAGTGTCGCCCTTGAAACCGATACTTTCGACGAGTGTCGGTCCGTAATACAAAAGCGCGTTGATTCCACTCCATTCTGTGTACTGACGTGAGGATACCCTTCTGAGGGATAAAGAACCACTTACGCTGGAAGAACATAATCATGACGCCGATCCAGGTCCTCGGTCTGTACTCAGCGCTGAAAAGTTGTCTCCACGCTTTGACTTCTGTTAGGAACCCAGACTTGGAAGGGTCCTGTCCAGTTGTTCGGATGGTAAGTTCAGTCTCGGCACGCATTTCGAGCAGTTCAATCTGGAATGATTTCAGTATTTGCGTTGGTGTAACGACGGTTGACTTGCCTGTAGTAACGGATCCGTCCGAGCTTGCTCGGGAGTCCTCATTCGAAGCTTGGCCAAGCTCTTGAGAGCGTCATCGGTTCTTCCTTGCATCACAAGCCAGCGAGGTGAAGGTGGAAGGAACAGGCATCCCAAAGCAAGGATTATACCAGGTCCGATTTGAATCGCCAACGGAATGCGCCAAGACGCAGACCCAGGTATCGAGCGAGTGGCGAAGCCGGTCCAAAATCCAAACACGACGCCCAGAACGATGGATAGCTGCTCAAGAGCAAGGAGGGAGCCTCTCACTTCTGGAGGGCTGATTTCTGCCATGTAGAGCGGGGATAGCATACTCAATGCGCCAACCCCGATACCGCCGACTGCACGGCCAATGAAGAGATGAGAGAGATCGATTGCTCCTGCTTGGAAGGCCGATCCGATGATGAAAACGACTGCGGATGATATGTTGTTTAGTGGGAGGCGCTGGCGCGTGATGAACAGACATACCGCATGCAACGACGATTGCATGTCGTCTTGAATAACGGTCGGCGAGAAAACCGGCGGACAGGGCGCCAATTAGAGCTCCCAGCTCAAGAACAGCAGCTGAGAGCCGTCAGAGTAACGCCAAAGCGCGGAACCATCACTCCACTTACTCATAATCCCCTTCTGCAGCGGTGTAATTGGCCACCGACGAACAAAGTCTTCCATAACCAAAACATTCGCAATCTTCCCAGAACCTTTCAGCCAAGTTTATCTAAGGTGAAAGAGTCACATACCACTCCTTGGTCGTAGCCAAATTCCAATCCCCCAATAGAAGCAAAGAACGCGCAGAGCAGGGTGTAATAATTATGTTTGAGGCCTGCTATTCCCGTCGGACCATACGAATAGGTATACGTTCCATCTTCATGGATATCCAAAGACCCTCCCTGTTCAACCTGTCGGCGGTAGTTTACTCTGGAGGCCAATAACGGTTGCGAAGTCGAGTCCGCATTCTCGTCTACCCTTGCATCTTGGGCCTCGAGCGCGACGTAACCAGCATCACGGGCGGTCTGCGTGGTCATCAGCCTTCATAGTTCACCAGATAGTCAGTTTGCATTTACCATACGATACGTTCTGGAGCCTCCAGTTTGGATATTGTGTCGAGGACGTCGTGGTTGTCGGTCAAGTCGATATATCGCGCTGTGCCTGGAGGGGCTCGGTGGCTGTTGGCACACAACAGGCGCCGACGTCCGCGTTCGAATCCCGCCCGTGGACTTAGGTTGTGTTTTCTTTGGTACGCTACAGCGGTCTCAACTCGTGTTTACTCAAATGAAACGTGGAGTTCATCGACTTTCCGAGCGGTTATCAAGCCAAAGGACACATGTTCTAGTCGACAAAGGGCCTAAAGAACAGCAAAAGCTGATCTACACGCTCTAGCAACGAGGGGTGGCTCCAAGTCAAAGGGTCGAGAAATAAGGACAAAGGCGTAATCATTTCCACACGACGTTCAAAGGATTGGTATAAGTATGGCCTGGCTTTCAGCGAAAAATCCGCTCCGTGACTTGGTTTTCATTCTGCACCCCCTCGCCAGCTCTCGTTAACTTTCCCTAGATTCAGAATGCCCGCAACGACTGTCATTCGAGCTGCTCTTCGACAACGATGTAAAGTAAACCTCCGGATTTATACGGCCCTTTCACCCTACATCGACGACCTGCCAATCTACATCGAGGACAACCATCTTCGGAGCCTACAATGCGCGAAACCCAAGGGTGCGGTTGCACCGCCCAAAAACGTCCAATCCACCTTTGCAGTGCGAGCGCAAATCAACACGGAACTCTCCCAACAAACAATCCCTCGCATCCCAAAGTCCTCCCCTTTCCACCAGTTCCCCGACTTCGAGTCGTTCTACGAACTGGTCCCCTACCTCTCCCTCGCCTTCTCCGATGGCGATTTCACCCCCGAAATTGCAGCACGTTTCAACCTCTCTCCAAACACCAACGAATTCACCCATTTCCTGAAAATCGTCGACGCCAAATCTCCCTCGGAAGCAGGGAGAACGATACTCGAGACGGACGAGTACACGGGCACGCAAACGTTGACGCTCCCCATCTACCACCATCCACCACCCAACCGACGCCGAGATTACACCCTCCTTTCAGACCGCCAGCTCCTCGCAGCTCGCGATTTCCTCTCCCTCGCTCTGCCATACTTCTCCGAGGGAAGGCCGAACCTGAAGAAACGAGGGTCGTCGGACATGGCGCATGTGTTGATGACGGCGCCAAAGGGGATTGGGGGAGCAGTAGATGTGATGTCGATTGCCGCCTGCTATTTGAGTTACGCATCCATGGTCGACATTGATACGGTGGTGGAGCATATGGATGAGGCGATTGGATATGGCGGAAAGGGTTGGGTGGGCGTGATCGGTGAGGATGGCTTGGATAGGATTGCGCAGGTTACGGACTCGGAGGAGAGGCTGCCGCAGTTGCAAACAACACCTAAACGGTTGAATTAGAAAGATATGAATCGATCATCTCATTTTTAGACCTACCTCTGTATTTAATCACTATTAGCGTTCGTTAATCACAATTCTTGTCGACAAATCACTCCAGGTTTGGTGTCGCTTTTTCGCGAGAGGGCGGCCGAGATTCCTTGGACGTCATTGGCGACATAGCAGGAGGGCTCAAGCTTGATGTGCCTTGGGTACTTGAGGTCTTATCCCTCAACATAGATGGCGTTGGGGTCATATGGAAGTGGCCAGATGCATCGCGAGTGTAGTTGCGGGCCATAAACTCTGCGTCAATCATCTGCTCTCGGGGGTCTTCCTTTGCGCGTGATTTGAACTGCGAGGTGTCATCTGTAGGCTCAATGCAGCCGCAGCCTAAAGCAGTGTTAGAAACAGACATTGTAAATGTATGTGGAGGAACTTACCACAAAGATACGCCAAAGCCAGCGCAAGCTTGCCCATGGTGGATGAACGAACGTAAACCGAGACGTCTGGGCCAGTCCAAGCTTATATGCCGCTCAAGCTACGCTGGTCCAGTCAGATTCCCAGAAGTGCCAGCCCTGTCGCCCAAGTCCGCCCTATTCGGTCGCTGACGGCTCAGGCAAAGTGACGACGACAGCCAACACATTGCATGTCCGCCAAGGCGTGTTGGTCACCGCCACATTCTCCTCCCCCAAACCCACATGTCCAACTCCAACCAAATCAGCGACGAACATGGCTCTATCGTCATTTCCCGACAATCATGGCAGACGATACTGGATCAACTAGCTGGTGTGCTGAAGAAAAACGATGAGCTCAGCCAGAAAGTCGACGATTTGCAAGGAAAGCTGGACAGACTTACAGATCAAGCCGTGGATGTTGAGTTGTTGAAGGCAAAAGTGAGGAGCCTAACCGAAGGTGTTCATCGCGGAGATCATCGTGGTCGTTCGAGCGAGACCAACGGTGGGCTTGGCACCGCGTCGTCGCCATCAACGACGCCAAGACAAGTGAGCCGCCGGTCCAAATTGCGTTATCGAGGTACTCAGATTTCATACAGAATAACTCGAAGGTTAAACTTGAACCTTCGACAAGTAGAGCAGAGGGTCATCGCGGGGGAAAACCAAAGCTTGAGGTGGGTACACAATTTCCCCTCGTGGAAGTTGGTATCTCCAGGTTGCTGACGCGTTTTGCCAGGACCACAGAGGCGCTCAAGCCGAAATCATTGTCCTTCTGAGCGATGACGAGGTAAATACCTATGCAATCAAGTGCCTCGGTAAGATCTAATCATGATGCACCAGGATAGTACTAGTAGTTTCTCTCATCCGAGAGATGAAGATGGGCACCACCACGTGGCCATGAAACGGAAACCATCGACCGACATACACCCTGGATCCACAGCATCGGGACTAGTGTCATCCAAAAAGGCAAAGCTGGTTAAGGCCGAAAGTGAGAGTCCGAGAAAAGTTGGAATCGCTTTCGAACCCCCGGCAAGCGTCCCTCCCTTGGCGGATGAAAAATCCAGTGTATCCGACGAGCCGGGTTCCAGCGGCTCGCCCCCCATCACATCAACGTCTTCGCGAAGCAAACCTCGCGTCAAGGTAAACTCACGGATTTATATCCTTACATATACCGTCTCATCTCCCATTCAATATCCAGGTTCCCCCCAGCAAGGTTCGAACAGGTACACTTCAGTTGAAGGAGGAAGACGTCGACCGTTACCTCCACGGTTTCTCTCCCATCCCGATCTCCTCCCCACTGTCCCTTGAAATCTCCCTCGAGCTTCTCAACAAGAACTATGGGTCGATTACTCAAGGACTCTTGTGGGAAAAGGGACCGTACAAGTTCCTATTCCCGGGGTACGACACGAACCCCTTGATGCCTACCAGTCCCGGCGAGCCTGGACTATTGTTGAGTGCGAGGACTGAGGTCGTCCGCGACACCTGGACGCTCTTCATCAAGATCTTGAACAATTCCAAAGCAAGGTGGAATTACGCTGGAGAGTACCGAGGCGCTGTCGTGGGCTCGTTGGGCGCCAAGGGGTTCTCCGAACAGCCTGAGAAGGTCAGCTGCAGTCCCCAACGCATCGGCCTCTTCAATCTAAGAAATTTCTTGTTTAGGTTAAACGAACTTGGGGGACCAAGATCGCGCACCACAAGAAATTTGAACCATACCTCAGAATGCGAGCTCGGATTACTCTTCGAAAGCTTGGGAAAGCTTTGAGCGAGTTGAACATCCAACGGGAGCTTGAGGAAATCAAGAAGCGACCGAAAACATCCAGCAAGATTTCCAGTGACGATGTCATCGAAGCCTTCGAGTCCGGACACGAGGTCAGTGCTTATTTAGTCGAAACGACAAACAAGGCGTTAATGTTTCCTGTGAGGTTAGACCATACCGATCATCCGTATGACATGTGTTCAATACCGCCACAGCTTTGCACAAGACTTGTCCTCTTTGGCTTCAACAGCCCCTGCCGCCGGTCGAGGGAACGCCGCAGTTGGTGGGGGGTCTGGAACTCACCAAACTATTATCCGATCCGGTTCTTCGCTGAAAAAAGGAAAACAAAAGGCCATGTCCGGTAATCAGACCCCTTCCTCTCAGCCTGAGGGCTCTGATTCAGAAGGGTCCGACTAGAGGGAGCCTTGTCAGAGAACAGCATTGTGAGAACAAACCCTGTGCGCAGCGCTTTTGATCCTCTCGATCAGGGTGGGATATTCGAAGTTGTGTGGCTTTTTGTAAGGTCTATTCCATCATAAGACCCTGACATTATTCCGCACTTTCCGTATGGCAGCATTTCCCACTTTTCATAAGTGTGCGACTTCCTGGAGGCTAGAGCGTCGAGGTCGGCGAGTTAAACCATCCGATGGATACCACGAACAAGGCGTCGACGTGATACGGTGAAGAATCAAACCTGACACGTTGCGAGTTGGGTCTAACATACAGAAAGTTCCAAATGCTGGGTCAAGGATGTGAACATAGATCCGGATGTCATTGTTAGTAAAGGGTTCAAGTTCCACCCATGACTGCCTCGTGCTTTCGATACCATATTACGCTACAGTAACTTCAACCCTTTTTCCCTTTACGCCACTTCATCAGGGAGTCGCTATTTTACTTCGCCGCTTTGTCTAGCTTCTGAAGGCCCTGGACCGCGGAGAAGAAAGGCGCTCAAAGCTCCTAGAAAACACTGACTGTTTTGCACTTCCCAGTCGACCTGGGAACTTGAAACACTTGATTTAACCCACCCAAGTGGCTGAAGGGAGAGTGTGAAGTGAGGTATACCGCGAACATTTTTAAACTTTCCGACCGGAGGACCTGGGGTTTAAACTTTCAGCTGTTATCACATTGGGGCACTCTACTGCGCCTTTTAATGTCTTGTGAAGTAAATACCCGGTTTACTGATGACGACTTCCCAAACATCTGGGACTATGTGACTGCTGGCAAGGAGGAGCTCAGAAGCCGGATGCTCGAGAGCCTCTGGGCGTTATTGACAACAGCAGTTTCCTGTAAGTTCCTGCAGGGTTTGAACGTTTGAACTTTCGATCGGTAGACAGACACCGGTGGCGCCACAAAGCCAGCCGATGATCTGCAGTTTGAAAGAACTGCAATTCCTTCTTTAATCTGCCGCATTTAAGGCGTTTCGTTATTTGCTGCGAGCGTCGGGAACGAGGTGCCTTATCTGCTGAAAAATGCTATAAAGCGGAACCATCTCATGGACTGCACCACAACACTTACTGTGCCCGCCCTCGCTTACTTGTCGTGTCATTGTACATTACCATGTCAAGAAGATATCCCAACTATCGTATTTCCTCCCGAGCTACCGGAGGTGGACGTCTTGATGGGGACATACACAACCATTGTAGGTCACTCAATACCTGCCCATGTCTTCATCCAGCCTAACCACCCTGTCCCAGATGAGAACCTCACCATTTCTCAGGGCATGATAAATGGTGGCCATATGGTCAATGGCGGTAATGTTGTACTGGCCCCAAATCACGGTGAGTAGATTGATATCGGTCTCAGGGGATCCAACACCGACGTTACCTACAGGGAGCATCACTCAGAACACGTATCATGGTTTGCAAGGACATCAGGCCGCGCACGCCTCGCAAAACCCTGCATGCTCGACCTCAAGTACCAACACTAGCCAAAGTTCGGTACCATTGACCCCTCCCTCAGGTCCCCCAGCTGAAGGAGGAAGCACACCGGCTGCGGAAGGGCAGTCGGCCGCGCTTTCATCAACTCGAAGGGCGTCGAGCTCTCGTGGCCGACGCGCAGTATCATCCAGATTCACTGTATCTCGCAACAGCCGCCGCTAAATGCTAGGTGCACAAAGACAGTCATATAGCCCACCGTTACTAGAGCTTTGAGACCACCCCTCTTGTGCTCCCCTATATATCTCGCAGTGCTGTTCCTTGGCTGTAATATTGTCTCTCTGTCTTCTCTCACCCGTTTGCCATGAATTATTCTATTTCTAATCAAAGTGCTCTCTATACATTTACCGGAGTGGGCCGCCTACAAAGCCTCAAGTGTACGTTGACTCGTCAGTGCACGACAATTAGCGCCCAAGGCCAGGGTCTAGGAGTCGGACTTGGCGTTTGCTGATGCTTGCTCATCAGATGCCTTGTTCCGGGTTCGATTCTCGACACGTCCAAATACTTTTCGCGCGGCCATGACGCAAAGTGACGGCATCTCCACTCGTCTCTTTCCACAACCACCACGACGACGACGGCGACACAGCGAGCAAGATACAGCGCTGAACCCGTTTAAACCGTATTCGAGCTCATCGACCATACCAGGGCCTGGGACGCGTCGATACACGTTGAGCTCGACGTGCCTCGTGGCTTCATGATTCCCCCTTTTCAGTCAAATTAAAGCCACAACACACCCTCGAGGCAGCGTTCTCAACAATAAATAGCAACAGAAGGCCTGTTGGTGTTCTCACCATGGCGAAAGAAACGACAGCCCGCTCGATTCTCGGTTACCAGACCCTACCAACGACGGCGCTCATAGCGCTCATCTATGTGGTCGCATTCTTCTCGGTTCTCGTCTCAGACCAACTACCCTCGATTCCCCACCCAGGAAGCAAGAAACTGAAGGGATTTGACCTAGATCTAGCTAGAAGGGACCTGGAGCATGTAAGTCAGGCTCGGACGAGCCTAGTTCGGGCTAACGAGGAGAATAGATTGCTGCTCGACCACACCCATACAATTCCCATGCGAATGATGCTGTTCGCGAATACCTTTTGAACCGGTTGGACGACATCGCCTGGGGGAAAGACCACGTCCACCTCGACAACGACCTCAGGAGCAACGGATCTTGGGCGTCACCCAAGTACGGCGTTTACTTCGAAGGAACCAACCTTCTCGTCAAAATCGACGGTACCGACGACGACCCTCATACCCAGATACCCAGGGGCGTTGCAGATGGCGTGTTGTTCTCAGCACACTACGACTCGGTGTCTACCGCAGCTGGGGCCACCGATGACGGCATGGGAGTGGTCACTCTGCTGCAATTGATCCAGTACTTTGCAGAGAACCGACAACGCAAGACTGCTATCTTCAATATCAACAATGGCGAGGAGGACTGGCTGAACGGAGCTCATGCGTATGTCGCTCATCTACAAATGTGTGGTAACGCCACTGACAAACATCTAGGTTCCTCCAACACCCATGGGCAAACCTGACGTCGACCTTCTTGAACCTTGAGGGAGCAGCATCCGGCGGACGACCTATTCTATTCCGATCCACCTCGTTGAAGCCGGTCAAGGCCTACGACGATGTACCACACAAACTGCGTGTTCGCCACCCCCACGCGAACGTAATCTTCTCAGATGCTTTTGCACGAGGCTTCGTTCGGTCTGGCACGGACTATTCAGTCTATACAGGTATAGATAGGCATGGTCCAGGTACGTACTACGCAGTTACTCGTTTCCGCCATTTGCTGACCTGATGTGCTAGCTGCGGAAGGGGGACTACTGAGGGAAGGACTTGATATCGCATTCTACAAGGGCAGGAGTCGCTATCATACCCGCTGGGATGCACCCGCATACACAGAGGGAGGCGAGAGAAGTCTTTGGTCTATGATTGACGTTGCCAGAGGTGTTGGCGTTGGGTTGTTGAATCCAGAAGACTCTGCGAAACAGAAAAGCAAGCCTGGAGTTTATTTCGACCGTAAGTCTATCTTTACTTGTCTGAACGGAACCTAAGCTGAACGTTCATTCAGTCTTCAAGGCGGCGCTTGTCTCCTTTTCCCTGAAGGCACTGTTGATTTTCAACATCGTCTCGTTGATCGTAGGCCCGGTCGTTCTGGCACTCCTTTGGGCTATTGGAGCGGTGCTGAAGCATAACGCTGGATCTCCACCACCCCCACCAAAACCCACTGTTCCGCATTCTGCGAACAACGCAAGTGCTGGCACCGGTCGTCCCGGAGCATCTACCCGTCAACCCACCCGCTCATTTGGATCGAACGAAGACGCCAACTCTGAGCGCGGCATTCTGGCCCGAATCAAGAGCGTCTCCGTTAAGAACGTGCTGATTACAGTGTGGAAGCAAGCAAGCTTCTGGATCGCCTTGATCGTCACTGTCGGTCTCCAGGCTCTCTTGGCTTGGGGATATGTTGCAATCAACCCTTTTGTAAGTCTCCAACCCTCGAATTCAGATTGTCGCCTCACGCTTCCCATAGACCATCTATTCTCGGCCTTATTTCGTCCTGCTCTCTTTCTTCGCGCTCAGCTTCTTTTCCATGACACTTGTCCTCCAAGCGGCATTCCCATCTTCGCCTGTCAAGCATGCCATTGAAGTCCGCGAACAGGAGAAGACCACCATTCTGCTCCATCTGCACCTACTCTCGTGGATCGCCCTCCTTCTGTCGACCATCCTCATCGGCAAATCCCAAGTCGGGTCTTTCTACGTCGTTACTGTCTGGTACCTTGGCATTTGGGCAGCGACTGTCATTGGGACTTTGCAACCTATCCTCGTGTCTAAGCGAGCGGATGACAAGGGGAAGAGGCGTGCTCGACGCTCCAGGTCTGCTTCGACCAGTAGCAGCAGCAGTAGCAGTAGCAGCAGCAGTAGCGGAAGTGACACGGAGACGGAACGACCCTCTACCCAACCCGCAAGCGAGCGAACACCGTTGTTGTTTGGAAGAGCGAATGGTGCTTCGAACCGCCGCAAGACCAATTCTAAGTCGAAGGAGGACGGAGCCATTGGGTGGTGGATCGCTCAGGTTCTCTTGACCGTGCCGCCGGTAGTGATGTTGGTTGGTCAAATCACAAGCATTGTTTTGGAAGCGATGAATCAAACTTTAACTGACGGCAACAGTGCCTGGAGTAGTGAGTGTTATCGCTGTCAGTGAAGCATCGATACTGATAACCGTTCCAGTCTATCTCCTGACGGCCCTTCTCGCTACCATGCTCGTTCTCCCCGTTGCTCCCTTCAGCCCCAAATTGCACCGTGGTCTCATCTTCCTCTCTGCGGCGGTCTTTGTTGGTTTCACAATCTACCTCTGGGTAGTCTTCCCCTTCACCCGACAAGACCCCTTCAAAGTTTTCTTCCAGCAGACAGTCTCTTTGGATCGAGAGGACGTATTCCCTATGAACGCCACCGGCAACGCAGTCACTACCCACGGACCCAAGATCGTCACCGAGCTCACGGGCAATCCTGCCTACCTCAGACGCGTCCTCCCTTACCTCCCATCTTCCCGAGAGGAGGACATCACCTGCAGCCCCCACGAAGTCCGAACAGGCCTCGAAACCTGTCGATGGAAGAGCAACCGCCTCGCTCCATTCCCAGGTGGCAAAGATCCCTGGAGCACCTGGGACTCGGATGCCCAACGTACCACCACCGACGTGTCCTTCTTCAAAGCGGACGTCACACGCACCGCTTGGGCCTCCGCGCGCTTCATCGTCCAGGGCCGCAACACACGCAACTGCCGCCTCTACTTTGACCCGCCCGAAAAATCCGGTGTTCGAGTTGTGCGGTACGTCGTTCACGGCGGAGCGAAGGGTATGCAACCTGGGTACCCGGTTGACCTCGTCAACGGGGTGCAGGAGATCAGGTTGTGGAGTCGGACATGGGGCAAGGCTTGGGAGGTCGATGTTGATTGGGAGACGCCTTTGGGCACTGGGGAGGACGAGGGGCAGCTTGCGGGACGCATTGCGTGCGAGTGGGTGGAGTACCAGAGTGCGATGGTTGATAATGGCTCGTTTGGTCCGGATAGGCAGCCCAAGATTCCGGCACTCGAGGAGGCGCTGACGTTCCTCCCCGAATGGGTCGCTGTGTCCAAGGCTGCGGATGGATTGGTCGAGGCTTCTGCTCCTTTCACCGTTGTTTAAAGATGGACGATGTTTTCTTGCGTCTTGTTTTTTTTTTTTTTTTTTCTTTTTTTGACTTCTTGTGTTGTGCTCTGCTCTGCTTGGCTGACAACGAAAGGACACGCGTTACTAACCTATTGTCGAATGCATCCTGTACTGAAGTTGTTGCAATGCGGCGCAGTGTCGTGTTTTATATTTTGGGACCTTGTACTCTATCGTAAATATGTCTTCTTGTTTCCAAGTTTTGCCTGTTTCCTGGAATATCATACCAATGTGTGAGATACTGTATGCGATGTCTTTTCTGAAGAACCATGCTACTTATCTTCGACTTTCACACAAGACTCGTCACGTTACATGGTGTAAGATCAGGATCGACGCTCGGGAGGGTGAGATTTCCAGATATGTGCTTGATATACTTAAATAGTCCCACTTCCGCCGGCGCCTATTCGGATTTCGGAGGCACTCTGTCGGACCCGTATACGGTTCCATTCACAATGACTCGTTTAGCTTTCACACTGCCGCCGCAGCGATGACGCAGGTCCAAGGAATCTGCTGGAATCTGGTGTCCGGCACTCAACTTGATATGAATACAGCCGCTCTCCTGAAATTATAACCTCGCTCGTGACTCTATCGATTAATCTTCGAACGCACAGAGATGTCCGTTACCACTGCTACTGGCGCACAAACTAAACAGGCGGTTAGCCGCACTTGGGCCGCTCGCTGCCTGCAGGTGTCTCAACCATTGGCGGTGACTCTAGGCGCTTATGAATGACAACACTTAGCGCCCGCAATTAGTCTAGTAAAATGCCGCTGCTACTTTGAGGTACACTTGCACCAAAAGCAGGACGAAGCCGAAAGCACTGACCTGGCGTAGTAAGCAAATCAGGAAAGCAAAAATGGAAAGAAGCAAAAATGGGGGCACCGCGGATTGAACGCGGGACCTTTAGAATACGCTCGAAGCTTCAGTCTACTGCTCTCCCAACTGAGCTATGCCCCCGACATTTAGAGGGGAAAATGCACTCTTCTTAGGTCTAGAGCTCCTGTACAAACGGTTAGGTGAACGATATGCCAACGGCGAGAGGATTGTCATACTTGAGACGCCGTTCGCGTATACGGGTACCTTCCCAAATTTCCAAACGACTAGCTGGCGTGGCAAATTCGATGGTGCAAGAAATCGATAACAATTGCAACGACAACGAAAGATAGCGAAAAATACATCGATACAAAACGACCAAAGGTTTTGAGTTGGGGATGGTAGTAGTAGAAATTCCGGATGCCGACAGAGTCCCAAAGTCCATGCCAGAGTAGTATCACACAAATGTAAATCGAACACCCTTTTTCACGTCGCGCTGAAGGAAAAAGGCCCTCAACCCGGAACCCCAAGAAACAGGGACAAAAATGAACAATGAAAAACTGCATTGTCTCGAGCAACCCACACGACCTCGCGTCCTCACTTCCTCGTAAGCCCACTCCGATTCCTCGGCAACTGACCAGACCTCATACGAACTTTCATCCTCTTAAGCTCCTCCGGTGCCAACCCGATATACTTCCTCGTCCCCGAAACAGGATCCCATTGCGTCTTGACCCTCGACGACCTTTTTGTTGCTGCAGAGGACGTCCGAGTGCTTTTAGAAGCTGAAGGTGTGCTTGGCTTTGTTCGTTCGGTGCGGGTAGAGGCTGAAGGTGGGGATGGCTTTTCGGTGGAAGAGTTCTTAGAGGAGGAAGAGTCTGTAGGAGTTTTGCCTGAAGGCGCGGTTGAAGTGCTAGCCCTAGATGCAGACGGAAAGGAAGCCGTTTTTGAAGGCGACTTCGTAGACTGCTGTCTCGAAGAGGTAGACGCCGATCTCTGTGCTGAAGGAGGTGCCATCGACCGCTGTTTCGAAGGGGAAGCTGTTGACCTCGTTGACCTCGTCGTCCTCTGCTTCACAGGTGAATTCGTCGATGACCTCGTTCTGCGCGTAGATCGTCGGTCCGAAGTGAGAGGTGTGGATGCTGCCCGCCGCTTCTCTGCAGTCCGGGACCTCGTGACGCGCGTTATCAAGGCAGAAGCAGATTCAGCAGGGTCGCCCTCATCTTCGTCTTCCGATTCATCCTCCTCTTCTGACTGGACGCTGAGTTCGCGCTTTAACGAACCGTCGCGTTCTTCGTCCTCTGGTTGAACTTCAGCCTCGCCTTCATCGACCTGCATTTCCTCGTCGCTCCCTTCATCCTCTTCCTGGGGCTGGGACCCTCCCTCAGGACTTTCTGGGCGAATGACCTGCTCTTCCTCCCAATCCTCCAGGCGAACCTCCTGCTCTTCCTCCTCCCGGCCCTCATCTTGCTCCTCCCCCTCAAGTTGAACAACCTCTTCCTCTCGGATGGGCTCCGCATCATCCGTATTTCCCACCGTTCCAACCTGGCCCTCCCGCTCCTCCTCGGCGGGCTGGACTGCTTCCTCGAAATGGACAATGTCGACAGGCTGGACACGCTCTTCAGGATTGACAGGTTCTTCAGGGTCGGCAGGCTCTTCTGGTTCGACAGGCTCCTCCGTTTCGACATGTTCTTCTGATTCAACCATCTCCATTTGTCCAGATTCCTCAGATGTGCCCAGCTCTTCATGCTGACCACCGAACCCAGGTTCTTCCGTTCGGAAAGGATCTTCAGGGTATCCGAGTTCTTCAGACTGAACAGACCCTTCAGGCGGAACAGATTCTTCTTCAAGTTGCACCGAGACCTCCTCCCGAACCACCTCTTCAAGATGCTCAACCTCGACATCAGGCTCAGCAACCCCCACCTTCATCTCTTCCTCTTCTTCCCCCTGTTCCACTCCCGCTCCCAGTTCACCATCTCCCATCTGGACATCCTCTTCCTCTTCTTCACCTTCCGCATCTGCATCCACATCTTCCCACTCCCCTTCAAACCCATATATTATCTCCTCTCCTTTCGTCGCATCCTCTCCCATCTGAACGTCAACAATCGCCTCGTCTTCATGAACAAGAGTAGGAGTTAAAGATTCGTCTTTCAGAGCAACTGCGTCTGCTTCTTCGTCTACCTCCCTGTCCACACCAACACCGACGTCCCGTGCAACCTCCTCTTCCTGTTCTTCTTCTACCCGCTCCTCCCGCGCTGGAACTTCACCAAACACCTCTGGAAGAACACTAACCGAGGGAGGAGGCGGGTCAACTCTCCTTGCCTCCCTCGACAATAAAACGTCTCGCGAAAGTGATGATGTTCGTGGCAGAGCAGGCTGAGGTGGAAGTGGAGGTCCTGGTGGCAAGGGCGCCGTTTGAGGCAAGGACGTAGTTTGAGGCAATGTCGAAGCTTGAGGCAACGCCGAAGTTTGCGACAATGACCCAGCTCGAGGCAATGATGCCGTCTGCAGCAACGAAGTCGCAAAATCACCAAACGCAGGCGAAGACACCCGAGAAACAGGCGGCAGCTCGACATAAATATCACCCTCCCCCTCTGGGTACACCAAATCTGCAAATGGAGAGAACGACCCTGAATCTCGGCTACGGCTACGGGTTCCGTCTCTGTCTACTACACCTTCGCCGTGGTTCAGCGTGGAGATGGTGGAGGTGTTGGAATGCCCATTTAGACAAGTGTTCAGGTTCGTACGAGTATTTGGAGGATGGAGGTTCGAATGTGTCGGAGACGCGGGAGCAGGATGCGAGTTCAGTGCGCGAGTCGCGCGCGTGTTGGGCGAGATAGCATTAAGGTGCCCATTCGGAGAGGTAAGATTAGGAGGTGTGTCGAGCGAGGCCTGACCAGGGCGGTGATTCTGCCCAGGCTCTCGAGGCGGCGATGGTGGAGGTGGATGCCGCCGCGCCCAGGCCTGCTCCGCCCTCTTCTCCCCCTCCTGCTCCAACCAAACTTGCGCAGAACCCGAACTACCCGCCGCCCGCCGTCTTGCAGATTGCAGCTCCCCCAACGTCTAGATATTCCCATCCAATTAGCACAACCCGCAACAGTGCCAAAGCAAAAAAAAAAGAAGACACGCACCCTAGCTTCATCAGGAAACGCAGCCCGAAGACCACTCGATCGCGACCTAGATCTCGAACCAGACTTTGCATCACGACCATCCTTCTCCTCCCGTCTACGACGCTTCGACAACGGAACAGCAACATACGGAAGCTCATCCTCCACCGCCCGTTTGTGAATATGTGACTGTCCACTAGATGTCGACGCCGAACTTGACGAACTGGAAGACGCAACCGACCATGGACTGGCATTGGCATGTACACCGTTCACGCCAACACTACTTCCTCTATCCCGTGCCCCCACCACCGAATTTGAAGCAACTCCATTTCCACTCCCACTTCTACCACCCGACACACTCTCGCTTCCCAAACTCGAACTCGAACTCGACGAAGACCCCGGACTCGCTCTACACCCATTCTGCGACCCCGAACTACGGGCTCTAACCACCCTCGACGTACTCGTCCTCCTCGCATACTCCCTCTCCCTCGGTACCACCTTCGGCTTCTTCGTCTTGTCAACCGGTACCAAAGCATTACGCGTCGACAGGGTAGGAGGGACGTTATGGAACGGTGATGGAGGCTATTTATAGCATTCGAGTCACAATCCGTCCCGATAGCGTTCGAGCGCAGTAGGTTGAGCGACAATAATCAGGAAAAGGAAATGAGGATGATTGGAGTCAGACAAACTGCGCTTTGGAAAGGTGAACGTGGAACTGACGTACCAGAAGGATGATACGTTTGAGCGTCGTAAGGGGTTTAGCAGCGGGTGGCGGTTTACTGCTACTGCTACTGCGACTGCTCGTCGAAGCTTGTGGCTGAGTCGTAGCTCGCAGGCTCGTAGTAGTTTGTGAACTTGTCGTAGCTTGTCGGCTCGTAGTAGCTTGTAGAGTTGTCGATGCTTGTAGAGTTGTCGATGCTTGTGGACTCGTCGAATCATGCACGTTTATCGAATCCTGTGGAGGACCCTACCATCAGCACCCACATTTACCGCTGCACACAGAGAGAAATCTGCACTGACATCAACAGCCACAGAGACGGGAACAGGAAGAACAGGATCCCGGCCCATGGTCTGACTCGGAATCGCAGAAAAAACGCTCGTGCTCGGTCTCGGAACATCCTCTCGAGGTTCAGGTTTCTGAAAGTATTCATTAGTATTAGTGCGAATTCGTAGGAAAGAAACGATAGAATACTACTAAGTACGCACCTGCAGAATCCTGAAACTCTGACCGTTCGATGCCTCGTGCCGTTCAGGCGAGTCAACCGTCTGTAGGAATTGGCATCCCGCTCAGCACAGTCCGAATTCAATTCCAAGGAAACTCACAGCAGGACTAGCAGAGCCACTCGTCTCCCTCCCTCCACCCATCCTCGCCGTCTCCCTCCCTCTCAACCCCTCCACCCTCCTATACTCAACCCTCAAACTCTCCAACTCATCCCGAAATCTATCCCTCTCCCGCTGTAACCGTTCACATTTCTCTTGGAGAGCCTGGACTTGTAGCCGCAGTTCCTGCTGTTGTTGTGGTGGTAGCAGTCCTTGGTCTTCATCTTCAGGTTCAGGTGTATACGAATACGTCGGTTGTGTCGCTGGAGGTAGGACTGGTAATTGCGGTATCTGGATTGAGAAAGGTTGCGGTAGTTGCGATGACGATTGAAGTTGTAGTTCTAGTCCTTGCGGAGGATGAGAAAGAGGACGAGTCAGTCGTGCCGTGCCGGGGTCGTCCATACGGGAATCCAGGTGGTATACCGTACGGGCCTAATAGGTATCGGTATGCGTTATCCTCGCAGTCGCAGTCGCGGACGTGAGCTGGGGCCCATAAGGCGGTAGAGCGTTTTGTCGACCGAGAACCGCCAGACGTGCAACGGTCGCGCTCAAACTCAAGCCCGCGTTCTCGTGAACCTCGTTCCCGTTCTCGTCCCTCGAGAAGATCAAGGGCAAAGGCACAGCCAGGCGCGATTTTGATCACAGTTCTGCGCAGCGTACATCCCTGGCAAACACTTCCTTATAATCTACCCTCCGCCAAAAGGCGTAGGCAAACAACAACATACCACTTCTCTACACCTTTTAAACAGCATTCTAATAAAATAAGTAGTGTGAAGGAAGAAAAGGGGCGGTGTATAGGTGACAGTGCAGAGATGTACAGTGTAATATATGAAGTTGAGCAAGAGTCCGTGATGGTATGCAACCTTTCTGGTGTAAAGAAGTCCAGGAGATGGCGGGACAAGAACGTCCATAGTGCAAGGTATAAACAAAAAAAAAATCCAATAGCCCAAGGTCCATAATCCCTAATCGTCCATTTAAAAAATTCCATAACAGCGTCATGATCAAGCTTAAGCTTGCCATCCTCCCGAAGCATTCTGTAGAGAAAACCAGTCAGCCGTACCATACCGCACACATTTCGAAGAAAACGAAACGCCGAATGAAGGGCAAGCAATATGATGGAGAAGAACTCAGAAAAAGACACACATACCATCCGATCTTGCCTCTTCGCCTCACAATAAATCAAAACCAAAAGCAAAAACACCTCATCCCTCTCCAACGCAGTAGGACACATCTTCAAAACCATAGGCTTCGTCTTGCCGAATAGTTTAGGGCGGTACGGGACTTGGAAGGTCGCCACTATTTCGTTGTTCCATTGAACCTGTGTTTGGGGGAGGGGTCAGTTGATATTAGTTTGTGGATGCGGAGGGGATGAGAAGGGAATGAGACGGGGTGGAGGAGAGTATGCTATACGCACCTGCCACTCCTTCTCTTGATGATACACAACAGTATATTCCTTCCTATCATTCGACCACCTCCAAAACCTCTCCCTACAAAAATGATAAAATATTCATCAGCATCCCATCCTCCTCCACCCCCCAAACCCAAACCCAAAACCAAATCCCCCCACAAAACAAACACTCACTTGCTAAAACTAATCCCCTTCGGCTTCCTCCTAACCTCCCCAACACTCTTCCTAACACCCCCAACCTCAAACACCTTCTCCCTCCAATGAATAACACCAGCAACAGGCGGGTCTCCCAATGCCGGATTCGCATCCTTCAAAAAAGTAAGCTCACGCCGCCATCGCGTTTGGTCTGTCACGACTTTGTAGACGACAGAGTGGTCGTGGTTGGTTCGGATTTGCGCGGAGAGGACGTTGGAGCGGTTGTCGAAGGTGGCTTCCATTGGGCGTGAGAGGGGGGTGTGCTGTAAAACGTGTAAGGCGAGATGGGGAATAAGGGAGATGGGAGATGCAGGGTGTTGAGTGTGTGGCTGGTCGATTTACGAACGGCGGGGGGTGCCTAAACAGAGAGAGAGGGATGAACGAACTAGCAACAGAAGACGCAAATGCTCTTCTAAATGACAAAATCCCAACCCCAACGTCGAATGATAAAGCGTCACCCCAGACCAATTAACAATGAGAATCTGTCCGATGACCGAATCACAGGGGGGATTCAAGCCACCACGGGGCGTGGAATGACCGTCTACGTCGCTCGCAAAAGGGGTTGGAATGACAAAAGGCGAGGCGGGTACGGAATACAGAGGAGCGGGGAAGAAAGGCGTATGGTAGAAGAGGGGAAAGTAGAGCGAGGCGTTTTGAGCGTAGGGCGAGTCCTGTGCTGGGCGTTGACCAATGACCGAACCGCCGTTAAGCGTCAACCAACAAACCACCCTTGAGTTTGAACCTTGAACCTCGATATCGAGCGTCGAACGATGAAGTGGTGCCTTGTCAAGTTGAATCAAGAGTCAAGAGGCAAACAACACCCCAAGCGAAGGGTACCTGGAGAGTAGAAAATAGCGGAAGGGAAACGAATGGCGTGTTCCAATTACGATTCGGGGGTTCCGATGGATTACGAATTCGAAAGCGCTCTATATGTAGGCTTTCGCGATCGCGGGGGGTGTTTACCCAATCCACCCACGTTAACCAGGTCACCCAATCCCACCAACAGCCAACAACAGCGAATCACTGGCTGTACGCCGCCTTGCTTTCAACGTCTCCTTGAAGCTCGGAAAGCAGCAGGCCGTATTACGACAAGGGCGAGCGTCACCGTCACCGTGGCGCTGAAGGTAGTCGTATGTATAAGCTAGTCGGAGAATGCGGTTGTGTAAGCTAGCTGGTCGTAGAAGCTGGTCGTAGAAGCTAGTAGGCAGTCGGAGAAGGCGGTCGTAGGAGGCGGTCGTATGAGAAGCTGGTCGTAGGAGTAGAAGTTGGCCGTAGGAGTAGAAGTTGGCCGTAGAACCCAGTCGCAAGGCAGGCTATCTCTATCACCAAACGTCCAATTAAAGCTACACCAACACCACAAAAGAGGAAGCACCAAACGTCAGCAAAAAAGCTAATCCGGATAAAGATAACCTATCCTCAGCCTAAGTAAAGTAATGCGACAACCCAACTCACCTCGATGCTCTAGATTAGCCAACCGCACCGAAAAGAATAACGCACAAAAACGAAACCACAAACTAGTGTAAGGAAGTTCCCAACAGCGTTGACACCGGGGGCTTCCCCACACGGACCTCCAGCTCCTACTTATACCCCCGCAACTCAATTCAGATGATGACTGACTAGAACTTATCATCCCTTGAACGGCATGGACCCACCCACTCATCGTCAGCCGACCGATCACGATGATGGGATTTAGCCGGGGGTTTTCAACGAGTTCCGAGAGCTCCTCAGCCGTTCGAGCTTGGAACGATGGAGAAAGGGCTAGAAAAAACGGTAAAGCGTTTCCGTAAGACCCAAAAACAGTTCGAATGAGAAAAGTAGATTCCTTACCAAAGGGAGTGTGTAACATACATATGTATGGTGCATGGTCTACCAGAACCAGAACTGCGAAGCATGCTTTGGAGCTAAACGCCTCGTCGCCGTCGCCATCGCAAGTGAGAAGCTGAAGCATGGCTGCGAAATCCGAGGCTAAAAACGACAACCACTTCCACACCACCATTCATCCCCCCTAGATAAGGAAATAGAAACACTGAAAACAGTGCATCGTGTCCGCAAAACGACGGTGAGTAGAACAAAAGTCAAAACGACAAACCCAAGCGCTCACGCATCTCCCGTGCCATCAAACCTTCCATTCCCAGCCTCGTGAGAAACACAGCCTGATTTCCAAATCCGCCGGCGCTCGGCAATCAACCCAAGCAATCTCATTTTCTTCCTCATCCACCATCAACGTCCCTTGTCCTTCCCCATCTCCCTATCTCCTCAACCCACCCCTAGCAATGTCTCAAGAATACGAAAAACGCCGCCTAGTAGGCGTCCACGCCGAACACGTCTCAAACATCTCAAGCACAGACTATCCAGGCGTCTACCCCGGCCTCGACGACTCCTGGAGCCTCTCCAAATTCAAAAAAGTGCGTCTTCACAACGTCCCGCAACCACCGAATTCCCCAACTGCCCCAACTGGCTTTTGGGGTTTTGGTGGTTGTAGTCCTAAGGAAGAACAACGCCAACGTATTCCTTCAAGGCAGAATCTTAAAGTACAAATCACCCGCCTCTCGCAACACACGATAGAGTTCGATTTAGTAGGCGTAGACGCATCCATCGCGAACGCCTTTCGTCGTATCATGATCGCAGAGGTGCGTCCAACAATCCCCTTCCAAGCCTCCATTTGCATTAACAAACGAGGTATACACAGGTCCCAACAATCGCAATCGAGCACGTCTACGTATGGGACAACACCTCCGTCATAGTCGACGAAGTCCTCGCCCACCGCATAGGCCTCGTACCCCTAAACGTAAACCCCTCAATCATGGACTCCCGCTCCCCACAAAACGACCCAACAGACCGCGACACCCTCATCTTCAAACTAGACGTCACCTGCACCCGCAACCCAAACGCTCCAAAAGGCTCAACCAACCCAGACGAACTCTATATCAACCATGAAGTCTTATCGAGGGATTTGGTGTGGAGTCCGGTCGGACAGCAGGCGGAGGTGTTTGAAGGGTGTCCGCCGGCGCCTATCAACCCTAATATTGTGTTGACAAAGTTGAGGCCGGGTCAGGCCGTTAATATGGAGTTGCACGCTGTGAAGGGGGTGGGTAAGGATCACGCAAAGTTTACTCCCGTCGGTGAGTTTCTTCGTCTTGTCCCAATCTACCTCTCGCTAATCGCATCCCATTGCTCGATAGCAACCGCCTCCTACCGCCTCCTCCCACACATCAAAATCAAAAAACCCATCCCACCAGAACACGCCGAAAAATTCGCTAAATGCTTCTCCCCAGGCGTAATCAAAGTCGACCCACAAACTAAACAAGTCAGCGTCGACGAACACAACGTCCGAAAAGACACTGTCACCCGCGAAGTCTTCCGACACCCCGAATTCGCAGATTCAGTGGAACTCTCTCGAGTTCGCGATTACTTCCTCTGTGCGTTCGCCTTTTTTTGTTCTTGTTCCTTGGGCGAGAAAGCTAATTACGTTATTGAACAGTCAATGTCGAGTCTGAAGGCCCTTATGCCCCTGAACGACTGTTACCTGAAGCTATCAAGGTGATGAGGGAGAAGATTGCTACTATTAAAGCTGCCGCCGAGGCGCTCCTCAACGACCAAAATGGTGCTGGAGATGGGGACGTCAGTATGGCAGACGCTTAAAAATGCTATTGTATATTGGTATACGATAGATAGGATCGAGATAGATGAGCATTGGTGCGGATACGAGGGAAAGGTGACGATTCTCAGAGTGACAAGTAGCCTCAATACTTCGGTAGGATGGTATGAGGAGGAAGATAACTTGTCGACGTCCTCCGAGGCCTCTTCACTTGGCATGGATACTGTGACGCGCTCACGTGCCGTGACAAGCGCGACATCGCGTCACATTCGCGCAACATTCGCGGTTCACGAAAGGTCCAAGGGGTGGAACTCAAAACACCAGAAGACGATAAAAATGTGAACACTTGGTTGTATACATATTCCTGGTAAAGTACTCGATAATGAAGAGGAACTGAGAGAACCAAGCCGTGACTTCACAAATACACAATCTTCGCAGGGCCCCTATAAATCCATCAATCGCATCGCGTCGCGTCAACACATTCCGTTCAACCCTCCCAAAAGTGCTCGAAAAGTAGCTCACCGTTTCTCCACGCCCTGTATCGAAAGAAAAAAAAAAAAAAAAAACGGAAAATAAGTTCAACAGTTCCAAAAAGAAAGAAAAAATCCTGAAGAGACTCTCACATTAACCATCCACGCAATCTGAGCTCGCAACTCCGTAAGCCCAAACAACAAAACAACATCAAACGCAATACGCGAATGGTACTGGCCCGTCAGAGGGGAGAATTGCCACGCAGGGACAATACTCGAAACGTCTGCTGTAACACAGCATACCTGAGAGAAGGAGTTCGAATCTAGAGGAAATCGTAAATATAGACAACATAGGTAAGATTCAAATTTCACGATCGTCGATTCGGATTCCAGGTTAGTAGAAAGGCGATATCAATTGCACATTGCAACTAACCTTCCCCATCCATCCACTCAGGACACGGCCCATCTCCACGATAACACTGGATGTACACTCTGAATTGAGTAAGGTCCTCGTTCGGCTTGAGCCAATGATCATAACGGCCTCTGAATTCAGTCCTTTCAGCGACCTGGGTGCCCTACAACCAGAAATATCAATGAGAGCCCATCTTTCCGATGTACAACATGAAAAGAAAAGCAGGATGATGATAAATACCCTGAACAGAATAACAGAAAAACAGTCGTTGAGAATTAAATGTCTCGTGATCGAGTGTTCCCGCATCTTCGAGCGACGTTTGAAATGCTCTGGATCGTAAGGGTCGAAAAACACGAAGCTGTTGAGCCCATAGTCGAATTTCGATACTCGCGTCCCGACGAGATGGTCCAGGTAGAAGGATGCGGCGCCGTCAGAGACCGCTTTGTTTCTAGCGGGACGCTCAGTAGAACTGTTTGAAAAGGGGAATGGAAAGGCGTACGTATGGGTGTCAGGGCGGAATACTTTCACACCTCGTCTCTCCAGTCGATTCTTGACTTGATTGTACAGCCAATCGCTCGCTGCAAAGCCTCCGACTAAGAACACTGTCTATTCACAAAGTCATCGTTAGGAACTGAAAATCAAGTAACTGGGAGAAACCTACCGAAATTGGGTAATGTCGATTCGCCATCTGTTCCTCAACAGCCCCGACAATGCACTTGATGGAGGGTTCAAAGAAACCTGCGACGACAGACCTACGTGGAACACGCTCAACCTCCTAGAAACGAGGAACCAAGAACGCGAAGACTTGCCCTTTGAGCTTCATCTGACCACGTCGGATGTCAAGCGCGAGGTCAGTCTCTCTAGGAGACCCGAACTGGATGAACTGCATTTCAGAATCGGATCTGAAAGTGTGCTTGGTGCGCGTATCGAAGCGCTTCACGATAACCGGAATGTCGGCTTCGAAACGAGTTCCGTTGAGGTGTTCTAGCAGTCGCAGATGGTGAGTCTGTGTATTAACTACGATGTCGTAGAAGGCAGGACGTACGCTTCATGTATTCCTCAGCCCGCGAGGTGACAAACACCGACCCTTGGAAGTGGCCTAGTGAAGGGGTCAGGGACACGATATCTGAGGAGATGAAAACATCATCCACATACACTGCGCCGCAGAAATCTCGTTGAATACACCACCCCGCCCTTGATAGGCACTGACATCGATCGTGCCACCTCCAGCATCGACGATAACAACACCCTTTCCGCTCTGTTGAATAAAATCAGTACAGAAATTGATGAATGTGAGCACTATTCCTTAGACTCTTACCTCCAAACCATCCCCGCTCAAGCCATTATTGATACAAAAATGCAAACTCGCCTCGCCCTCCGTCACGAACATAACCCTCGCATGGCCCTCCTCACTATCCGAAACAAGACCAGCTTGCACCGCAGCCCGACGCATCTGAGTCTGCTGGGGGCCCTCCCACCCATTCGGATGCGTGAGCACAAAAAGAATGTCATCCTTGAGCGTGTTCCAGAGGAGATCCCCACTCGTATGGGTTTCTTTGATGTACGTCTCGGAGCAGTCGAAGAGGTACTTCATGTAGTCGGCGAAGAGCTGGAGGGCTGTCTTACGCGGTGGCAGAGGGGGGATGGCGGGCCCGAGGAGGTTGGAACGCTGACCCTGCGGACGGAGGTGTAGTTTGAACCTGGCGTGTCAGGCGTCAGAGATGGTCGAGACCTGAAAGGAAAAAGTATATGCCATTCCGCCTTGAACCAGCCGTTGTCTTCAGCTTGTTCTTCAATCCCTTCAGCAGTGGCCTCCGCGCCAACGACGCAGACCTTTCCTTGGGTATCATAGTAGATAATGCTGGGAATCTTGCAGTCGCCGCCAGACTGCGCTTGGGCGGGAAATCTAAACAGCGTTCAACGCGTTTAGCCTGGGTGAAGGTGGAGAGACACGTTACCGCGTCACAGTTCGGATCTCTGGTACCTCGCCAGGGTCCATGATGCTGTAAAGAGCAAGACTGAGTCGTCGCTTACACGGGATAGAACTGGAAACCATTGCCACCTGTACGAAACCCCGCTGAACGTAGTGCCAATGTCGAACGCGAGGAGCAACCTGCGGGTTGCGCCTTCGAACGGTTTCCGTGCCATTTGGTGGCTTAAGAAAGAGAAGCTACTAAGGGGAGGGTAAGTGAGGAAGGGAAAGGGCAGCGGTCTTTAAAGGCGAGAAAATCTCGGCATCCCAGGAGCCTGAAAGGAGAGAAATACAAAGAAAGGAAGTCAGGGTCCAAATACCAAACGCCGCTCCGGTTGTTGGAATTTCATAGCTTTCAAACGCTCTTAATATTTGAACAGTATCCTTTCGACAATTAGATATAAGAGACTGGGACATCAACGTGGACTGCAGACGTCCGGCGACGGAGAAGGGTGCCTCGACGCCCCTATCCAAACACGGATCGCTCTGACGTCACGCGACGCGCGCCAAACAGACTCTCTTGAATTCGCCATTGCTTTCTTTCGAACTTCGTTTACGATGTTGGTTGAATACTGGGAAGATCGAGTGGGATACCTTTCAAGCGTTACTCCCCCCAGCTCCCCCTCAGTCATTGCACATCTGTACTCAATACATCATTCATACCTTCTCTCTTGTATCACGGTACCGTTGTAGCTCACACGCCCGCCCCGGGTAGAGCGTTCGTCATCCCGGCAACCTCTTCGTAGATAATCCTCGCACGGCTCCTGCAGCAATACTCGGTCGTCAGTTCCAGTCTTTCCAGGTCAGCATTCCACTCACCGCCTTTCAACACCCTGTCAAAAGTAAAGAAAAATGGTCAGCCATTGGTGCAATGGGTTAGCAGGCTCCAAACGTTTAACTAACATTCACTTTCCAAGCAATCTGCGCCTTAAGCTCCGTGCCCCCAAAGATGAGAATCATATCAAATTGCGCATACTGGCAGTATTGCTGCGTGACCGGGGAGAATGTTTGGGCAATGGTGACACCTGAAATGTCGGCGGCAACCGTGCAAGCCACCAAGAATGAGCCTAATGTGTCGTTCAGTCGTTGGATCAAGAAGAAAGTGAGACGGAGACCCCAGACAAACCTGAATCTTCGTCTGTCCAGTCGGGGCACCTTAGAGACCCACGATAGCAGTGCACGGTTCTAGAAAACGTTCTCAGACTATTGGGGTTGCTGAAGTGCCAGGAAAAGCCGGAGCGAAATTCTTTGGCCTCTGAAACTTGAGTGTCCTGGTTCACAACAGTTCTTAATACTGCTTTTAAAGAGAAACAGATGGGTACAAACCTTGGCCAACAGCACAAAGAACTGGTTATCAAGAATTAATGTCTGAGTCACACTGTGTCGTGTGACCTTGTCTCTGCGTCGATAATGCTCTGGATTTTCAGGGGCATAGGGAGTGTATACTTCAATCCCATAATGGTATTTGGACACTCGATACTTGACGAACTGGTCAAGATAGAATGAGGCAGCACCATCGGAAACCGCTTTATTCCTGACCCCGAATGAATGAGTAGAAATCAACCGAGCTCGAGGAGAAACACTCACGTGTGACTATCAGGTCTAAAAACCACGACATTCTTCGATTCGAGTGCCTCTTTGACTTTCTTATACAGCCAATCGCTAGCTGCAAATCCACCGACGAGCAACACAGTCTATCTTCCAAGTCAAAAAGAGGCGCCCAGGATAAACTGACGGTCACTCACGGAGATTGGATGGTGGCTACTCGCCATTTGCCTTTCGACCGCCTTGATTATGCATTGGATTGAGGGCTGGAAAAAACTGGACACAACTGATCTGTGAGATTGGCGTTCAGTATCGTAATTGTGAGGAAAAAGAGTAGTAATTATAACACTGACCCCTTCAGCTTCAACTGCCCGTGGCGAATATCGAGGTCGGGCTCAGTATCTCTGATAGACGAGAATTGTATGAACTGGATGTCGGTATCCGACTTGAACGCGTGTTTGGTGCGTTTATCGAATCGCTCTGCGATATAAGGAACATCGTCTTCAAAACGAGAGCCGCGGAGATGTCCTAGAAATCGATGAATAGGAATTCCCGGTAGTCTTCAAGGTTGGGACAACTCACCCTGGATGTGTTGACGAGCACGCGCGGTAACAAAAACAGAGCCTTGGAAGTGACCTGGTGGTTATCAATATCGGTTCTCGGATGATGCCAGGGGAGAAAACGGACGAACATTGGGCAACGGCGATCTCTTTGAAAGTCTCGTTTACACCTTGGTACGCACTGATATCGATCGTTCCACCTCCCGCGTCCACAATAACTACGCCTTCTCCTTCCTGCCAAACGAAAGGGTGAAATCAATGGATTGACGACGTGCCCAAAGACAACACACCTGCAAAGCCTCCGTGCTCAGCCCATTGTTGATGCAGTAATGCAAGCTAGATTCGCCTTCGGTCACAAAATGGATCCGCTTATGCCCTTCGTCACTACCCGGAATAAGGCCAGCCATCACCGCGGCCTGTCTCATCTGTGCCTGTTGCGCCCCTTCCCATCCGTTTGGGTGGGTGAATACGAAGGCAATATCATCCTTGACAGAGTTCCAAAGGAGACCACCGTTGGCGTGTGTTTCTGCGATATACAAGGCCGTGCAATCAAACAGATATCTCATGTAGTCGGCGAAGACTTGGATAACTGTCTTTCCGGGCGGGAGCGGAGGCATGGAAGGACCAAAGAGATTCGAGCGCTGGCCACGAGGGCGTAGATGGAGTTTGAACCTATAAATATCGTTAGCTCTGGTGACGTGCGATTTTGTGGACGCACCATTCCGCCTTCGTCCACCCTTCATCTTCAGCAATTCCCTCGATACCTTCCGCGACAGCCTCTGCACCAATTTTGCACACCTCACCGTCACGATCGTAGTAGATCACAGTGGGGATCTTGCAATCGCCTCCAGATTGGACCTGTTCAGGGAAGCTAGGACAGCTTCCAGTTAATAATCCGCCAGGAATATGAGCGATATCGATCCGTACCGCGTAACTGTCCGAATTTCCGGCACATCGCCAGGATCCATGATACTGTAGCAGGTGATTGATCATCGATCGTTGGTTAGCCGAAGAGAGGATTATAGTCTCTACGCACCTATAGGAAACACCGCTAAACGTCGTTCCAATGTCGAAAGCCAGAAGTAGCTGGCGCTTTACGCCTTGGAATGGTTTTCGCGCCATTTTGCGAGGGTGTCACAAAGGACAGCAGATGGCTGAAGAAGAAGAGGAAGGGTGGCCACTTACTGTGCCGCATGTCAACAGAGTTTGGCAGCGTTTGGCAGGTTACATTTTGGGTGGGCATGAGGCACAAACGAGGACCAACTTCCAAGAACCATCCTGGGTTCTGGAGGACATGGCGAACCAAGCCACAGGCCCCTGGGCGCGTTCGTTCGGAGAATCGGTCACTCTTGACGGTGCTATTGCAAACAGATGGACCATCCGTGACTCCAGCAACGTCGTACGTATTTCTATGACTGACGCAGAGGCTGGTTAGTGGGAAATCGGAAATTCGATCACAGTGCTTCAGCACGGGTAAGACACGTGCAGGGACAAACACGATACGTAAGGGCCTGAGCAAATCACCAGGTTTAAACCAATCTCTGAATCGAGAACGAGGCCAGATAGCAACCAATGCAACATTGAAGCAAATAAATGGATTTGAATGAAACATCGCACCACCGCACAATCGTAGCCTAACGTTCATGTATCCTGATAGAAAACCAGTCTAGCCGTACTCCTGAACGACACCAATAAGCACACCTCCACAGAAACCAAAAACAAGAAACACTCACCTCTTCTCCACCGTCCCCTCATACCACATCATCTGCGCCTTCAACTCCGCCGAATTGAACTTTAAAATCACCCAGTACTTGGCCAAATAATACTTTCCCCCATCCTTCTTCGTCTGAGGTTCCAACTGCAAATGGGAGAGGTCCACCTCAACGCGACACAACTTTTTAAAGTTCACTGTGAGGGTGAGGAGTTGGGTAAATGGCACGGGAAGGGGGACGGAAACAAGCGGTGAAGCTTGAAGGACGTACATGGGTCCTCATCTTTCCAGGTAGGATTCTCCATCTTCCCTTTGTAGCAGATGACGTCGAACGAGACGGTCGATAGCTGGTCAAGCGAATCCGCCTCTTTCCACATATAGACCTTTGCTTCATTCTCTTCCGAGACCTTCGTTCCCTACAGCACCGAGTTAGTAACGCCTCACGAAGAAATGAATCGCGTCTCTTACCTTGGCCAACATCACAGCAAAGCTGTTCGGCACAAGACGCCTGCCTGACGGTCGAACGAGCAGTTCCCCAATCCTCTTCTCATGATCAGGATTACCAGGCTTGTATTCGATGTTACGGAAGGTCCCATAGCTATATCTCGCAATGCGAGCCGTGACCATGTGGCTGAGGTAGTAGGCAACAGCGCCGTCGGATACCGCCTTGTTTCTGTAAAGGTCGCGACCGTCAGCTGAAGGGAGCGAGTGAGGCAGAGAATTTCGCGTACACGTAGAGCTCAGGGCGCATCACCTGTAGACTATCCTCCTCAAACTCCAGCTTGAGCCTCTTAAGTAGCCACTCGCTAGCTCCAAAGCCCCCAACAAGAACAACATGCTAAAGCGAGCGAGGGTAGGTGAACAAAGGAGTCAAGAATAGGAGAGCAGTGCTTACCGAAACCTTGTAGGATTTAGACTTGAGGACTTCCCGTATGGATAAAACGATGCTTCGGATGGACGGCTCGAAAAAGGTCGCAACATCGGATCTAGGGACCAGTTAATCACGAACTCGAGCGTACGACAAGAGCGCTCACCCCTCGAGCTTCAACTGACCGAACCGAATCCCGCAGTTGAGGTCGTTGTCGCGAGTAGAGCCGAACTTGATGTACTGGGGCTGCTGGTCATCGCTAAACCGGACCTTGGTCGTCTTGTCGAAACAGCGGACGATGTGATCGAGGTCTTCGTGGTACTCCGATTCCTTTAGCAGGTCTGCGTTGTGCACGAGAGCGCGCGGTCAACCGGAGTGGAACGTCAGAGGACAATGGAACATACTGTCGAGGTATAACCGCGCGTTGATACTGACGAACACGGACCCCTGAAAATGGCCTGAATGAATGTTAAGTCATCGACTAGTCGCGCCTGCGAATGGGCTCACACTGAGGGGTCGATATTTCCTCAAAAGTCTTGCTGTACTTGGGCTTCCGGTATGCGCTGATGTCGATCGTCCCTCCTCCAGCATCGACGATAATGACGCCGTCCCCGCTCTGTAAGAAGTCGCTAAGTACTGAGAGGCGGGGCTCATTCAGTCCAAACACACCTCCATGACTCCCTGCGGAAGCCCATTCTGAATGGCGAAATGCAGACTCGCCTCGCCTTCCGTGACAAACCAAATTCTGTCGTGACCATACTTGTTGTCCGGGATAAATCCAGCAGCCACAGCCGCCCTTCGAACCTGGGATTGTTGATATCCTTCCCAGCCATTCGGATGGGAAAGAACGAAATCTATATCGTCCTTGAGCGAATCCCAGAGCTCCGTCCCATTGGCGTGGGTCTCTTTGATGTAAGTCTCGGTGCATTGAAAGAGGTATCGAAGAAAGTCCGCAAATAGGGTGACAGCAAACTTGCCCTGGGGCAAGGGTGGTATCTTGTCTGCAATGTCGTATGACGAGCCGTCTCGAGGCCGAATGTGAAGCTTGAACCTAAAATATAACTCGTTACGAAAGCGAACATTATAAAGCTCTGTATATGGACGCACCATTCCGCTTTAAACCATCCTTCTTCCTCTGCTCTTTCTTGTGTGTTCTCCCTCAGCGCCTCAGCACCAACAGCTCGGATCTGGCCTTCCTGGTCGTAGTAGATGATCGTCGGGATCTTTGATGCTCCGCTAATTTGTTCATGGGCAGGGAATCTAAGAAATGAAAACGATCAGGGAAGTTCACGGGCTACTTCTGCTGTATAGACATACCTTGTTACACCTCTGATCTCGGGTGTCTGTCCCGGGTCCAAAACCGCATAAGAAACTCCACTGAAAGTCGTCCCTAGATCGAACGCGAGCACAAGTCGCCGTCGAAGTCCTCGATACGTTGGCAACTTCATCTTCTGGTCGAAACAATGCTTTGAGTGGCAACCGAAAAGGAGGGCGTTAAACAATGACTCTTTAAGACCAGCAGCACGAGGCGGTGCAACGTGTTTTCCCGGTCCAGTGTCCATACATTGACGCCTGCGGTGTCATGGTCGATGCGTGGTTTCTGGTATGACGTGAACTGGGTCGCTATTGGTTGTCGGCTGGCGTTTGGTGTATCTCGTCGTTGTGCATTTGGGAGCAGAGTCCAAGGAGACTCGCCGCCAATTTCGGATCTGCAGCGTTCCCCACGCCAAGAGCTGGTGCAGGACATTGGCGGGATCAAGACGGGATTTTGCCTTTGCTTCGTGTCGACACTGTTGAGGACACAGGCCTACAATTTCTGGACGCCTGTTCAGCCTATACCACGTTCCCGTAACTCAGAGACACCGTTCCGATGAAAATGACACAGCGTTTCCATACGTTGATCGACCAGGCCGTGCCAATTTGTGAAGAGGCGACAGATCCCGGGCGAACTGTGACTCTGCACCCCTCCGAGGCTGTTGTCAGCACTTCTTTCTTCCACCATCGCCGGATACTGAAACTCACAGAAGCTTTCCGACAATGCCCATGAGCCCAGACGAGCACGATCGCATTCACAGCACTCGAAATAGCTTCGAAGATTACAACCAGCCGGCGACCATAACCAGGATGGCGATGACGACATGTGGTGCTCTCATTTACTGGTGCTGTAGCGAGTGCAGGGGATAAGAACGATGGATTGGGATCCCTGTGGTAATCAGTTGGGCCCCCAACCAGAATTAACGTTCCACGGCAACGCACCTCAAAGGCATATCGCTATGCTAGCTTCTCCAGCAGCCCTGGAGCAAGTCCACTCATTCCACAAAGTGTGTTCTAGCATTTCCTTCCTGCGATCAAGTCAACTAACTCGTACTAGAGGAGCCTAACTTTACCCTCCGCTTTTCGTTCCTCCAAAGCCGCTGTCGCCGAAGCATTGAAGCTCAGCACAATATACCCAGTCTATGAAGAGGACACGCACTCGTCTGTGGACCGCGGCAGTCAGCTCTCTGGGACCCGGCCTCCTAGTACCGATATAACAGCACTGGCTCTGGAACTGGAAAAGGTAGAGCGGCTGCATCAGGAGGACAAGGTCTTTTACACGCAAGAGATAGCTCACCTCCGTCGCCTGTTGGCTGATGCAGAGGAGGTTGTCAGAGAGCAGAGAGGCGTAATTCGGCGTCAAAACCTGCAGCTGGAGGAAACATCCCGGAGGATGCAGGTGTTAATAGAGGAGCGGAACCGACTGCGCGAGTTCAACGACAAGCTGTTGGTCGATCTCGAGGCGACACGCAAGGATTTCGCAGAGGCGATGGAAGACCTCGCAGCTACACAGAAGGAACTGGCGCCCGCTGCGAACAATGGGTCACTACGACAAAGACGATCGATGGAGGAAGAGAAGAGGGTGGAGAGGTTCGATGGCTTGTCTGATGCTGACGAAGCTGGGACAGGTACATTGCGAAAATATCTCGGGATTCCCGTCAAAGTCGCTGCCCTTCGGCAAAAATTGGCGGAAGGCGAAGAGCGATTCCAAGCGGCGTACTCGGCGTGGTCTCAGTCAAGCAGGCACCAACGGAGACTGAGCATAGCTGCTGCGACCGGTGTCACAAAAATGAAGTGAGGAGAGCCTCAAGGACCTTGTCAGCGTCAACCGACGACTTTCTGCGGAGCTCTCCAGCCTCAAGGACCGCCTGACCTTCACTTCAAAGGAACTGGAGGTTGCTCGAAGAGAACTGAAGTCGGGCAGGATCCACTATCCTCCACAAGAACGCGAAGATATCACCTCGATGGTCCATGAACTCAACGCTCGGATACGCGATCTTACCTCTGAACTTTCAGTGGCAGTCGAGCAAAGCCCGGACGGGTCATTGACCAAGCCCGACAGCTCTCTTGCGAGGGCACTACTGGGCGACCAGTTGACAGCGGCGCTTCCTTCCCTGAAGCCTACGTTAGTTTCCTCTCAGTGTCAGACTCTCTGCAAGGTGCTACTGCAAGCGGGCCTTACTAGTTGGTGCGCATATAGTGTCCATTCATGGAATCTGGATCTAGATCATACTCGCAATTCTGGGGACGCTCTTCTGACTGTTTACCGTAAGCTGAGAACTGTCGGTAAGTTCAATTGAACTCTTATTCGCGCATATATTCACTGACCGTCGATCAGAGGGTCCTATCGTAGCGGCCCGTTGGCGAAGCCTCACACGCGCACAAATCAAATTGTCGTCCCGCCAATGGACTGAGAACCTGTCGGCGGCCATATACAGTGTCTTGGATATGCTAGGTCTTCGATACACCCAAACTGAGCAGTCATTGGGAGAGATGTCGAAAGCGTTGCTCACCTCTGTTCGAAGCCTTAGGCGAGCCCTTGGCGAGCTGGTCGTCGAACCTGGACTTGACCTTGAGCTCGCCATTGTCAGTCCAGGGATCCCGTTCGACCCTCGGTACTTTCAAGACGGTTACCCCGACCACCCAGCGGCTACTCATGTCGGGGACATCGTTGCAGCGACGTTGGGGCTGGGTCTGAAGAAATCGACGTTAGGCGGGTTATCGGATGAGCTGGTTATTCACCCTACCGTTCTACGAAGGCGTTCTTTGTATACAAGTTTGTTTGGGGCAACGCTGTAGAATAGGCCCATAGTTTGAGTGTTGATTCTTGATTGTCCTCCATACGCGTGCTATACTTGCTATCCATGTGCGCCAATCCAGTGTACACTGCTCTCGACCTTTTCCTGATGCATCAATGGAAAAGCAAGGTATTGCCTCGACCCGATGCTGCAAGGCCGTCAAACATGTTCTTCGTGTTCAGAATCACCGTACCAGGGTCAGCATTTGGTGGACATCCCAAGAGCCTTACACTTTGTTGTCAAATCCCAACGTCGCATTCAAGTTTTATCGCAAAGTGATTGTATTGCATCGTAGCATACAGGGGTTGGTTTACTATTTAAAGCGAATTTAAGGTTAGGGTTAGGAGAACGAAAGGGCCAAAAAAAAAGAGCCTGCCCAGCCAGAGTGGCCGTAGCAGGACCGGAAAATATTTGGGGAGTGCATAGGGGGATACCCTATACAAGTGACCAATTCTCCCTGAGGACAAGGTCGCCGTGCAATGGGGAGCCTCAATCACCCGTAGCCCCAAGTACGTGAAGGGGACTACGCTCCCAAGGTAAGTATGAGGAAAAAGTTAAGGATTTTCGACCCATTTTATATGTTTTCCTTGCTATTTGGCCAACAAATATCCGCAAGCATATGCAAGCAGATTTACTTGGTCCGTGCGAGGGTTCTCACACGGGCCAGAACCTCGCACGGGCCATATCGTGGGGCTTGTGCATGCTTGGTGCCATGCGAGGGCTGGGCTCCCCGTAAGCGCGCGTGGCAGGCAAGGGAATGCCCCTATCTCAATTTACGACCACCCATGGAGCTTTGCGAAAACACAGTGGCTTATCCCTATACGGTCGGACATGAGGTGTGCCCTCGCTGATGGCTGGCCGCAGACAACAGCTTCGACACAGCATTCCCTGTCATCTTATCACTTTGTTCCCAGTCCTTTATAAGGAACCTATACCTTGCCTCCAGCGCTACAATGTCGTCAAATGCATCGACCGCATCGAGGTCAAGACCGAGAAGAGGAAGCGACGCCGAGAGTCACAGGGATCAGAGGATGGACAGAACGACGTCGCGAAGGACCGCCGCAGACGATTCAGCGATACCCCAGATGAGAGAGAACGACAGGAACACCCCTCCGGTATCGTCACAGGCATACAACTTTGGCAGGGGCGACTTGAAGGTCGGGAACTATCCTGAGCACCCGCCATCGTTGAAGAAGGAAGCCGATAGCAAGGGCAAGGAGGGCCGCGATCGACGCAGCGGTGAGCAGTCTTGCGTCGCTGCCGTTATCTCTTCTCATCGGTGGACCTTAAGAGAAGCCATTGCCGCATGCGGGAAATGCACCGGACACTGGCGCTCTGAACGCTGTCCAGGAACGAGGACAGCCTCTCTCTACGAGTCGATGCTCAGTTCAGTCTCTAGGCTCGCGCGACCCTGATAAACCCCATCGCGAGCGTTCAAAGAGTCCGGGTACGTTGCGTTGTACCGCGAATCATCTCTGACGCTAACCCTTTCGTTTCCCAGCGAAATCCAGGAGGACCAAGGACGAACGTAAGTCGTCTCTACATCCTCTGTGGCGCGGTGCTAAAATGAATCTTCCAGCACCCCACAGCACCATCGTCGACCTCAATGATACCCGTCCAGAGCATGACCACACAAGCGGCAGATCCAGAAGGGCTGGTGATCTCCAAGACGCCTCCCGCTCAGGTACACTACCCTTGGCATCTCCGCCATAGCCATGCTGACTCCCTCACCCAGAAGGAAAGAAATCCGCGCCTGCACCTCCCGTAATGGACCCTAGATCTGCCCAAGGCGACTCCTCCATGGAAACCAGTATGTCGTCCTCTCTCTTTCAACTCTTAACACATCTTGATAATGTCGACCGCAGAGACCGACGAATTCTCAGAGTCCGATTCTGACACTGAAATGGACTACGAGGAGGCGCGTCAACACCAAGATCCCGATACCATCACTATCCAAGAAGCTACAGACCGTGCTATCGCTATCGAGCTCCAAGAGGAAGAGGATGCCGAATCGAAGGCCAAGGCACGGGCCCTCCAGCACCAAAAACGCCTGGAGCATTCAGATGTGGAGTCGGATACCCCGATGCCAGATGCGCACCACCGACGCCCCGAGCCTCCGGTTACCGCTGCGGGAAGACTGTGGTCGGCGGTCGTGGGTACCAGCAGCAGCAACTATGCAACCAAGGAAGAGAAATACAGGGCCAAAAGTCAAGACCTCGAGAGAGAGCTTAAGCAAATGCATAAGGAGCTTGTCAGGTGTCAGCAGGCTCTAGAACGAGAGCAACATCATCACCGCCAGACGTATCATCAAGCCCGCGAACTCGAAAGAGCATACACCGACTCTCAACGACACATTCACTTCCTTCAGCAGGAAGTACACGGGCAGAGAAACGAGCTGGCGAACATCAAGCAGCAACTCAGCGATGCGGTCAACCTCTCAGAAGTTCGCGGCAAGGAACTCAAGGGGGCGCAAGTCTTCTTGACCAAAGCGGATTCTCTCTCTACAAGCGACGTCGTCCAAAAGGTCGCGACGCTCAACGAGGAGATCTTCCAAGCCGCCTGTCTGCTCGGCGAGACCCTCGCGTACGAGGTGTATGAAGAAGGCGTGGATCGGATCGAGGTGCGCAGGAAGGCCATTGAACAGGGTCACGAGAGCGCGAAGGAGCTTTTGGGCGCCCATCTCACTAGCATCCTGGCGGAAGAAAGTCTCAAGCCTCCTCAGCAACCGAACAACCCGCTGTTGGTGCAGATCGTTATACAGAGTGCGCTCACTGCGTGGTGTGCTAGGATTTGTGACATGTGGAAGCCAGGTCCGAGGTCGAGGGATAGAGATACGTCTCGTATCATTGCTGATATCTATGAGGACATCCGATCCAACGGTGCGAGTTCTCATAAACCCTGATCGGATCCCTTTTCTCATTCTTTTTCCTTTTCGTGACAGAGGACCAAGCCGTCGCTGGTCGATGGCGCTCCCTGACCCTAAGCCACATCAAGTATAGCACCTCTGAATGGACCCAATACCTCCTCCGCAACGTCCAATCCATCATGCACGTCGCCGGGTGGGCCGTACCCAGCCAAACCGAGATCGACCAATTCGAGAAACGGCTCCACTCGATCTTCAAGATCGTCCAAGACGTCCGGAAGGCGACGGGTGAGGACGTGACGTCGGCGGATTTGGCGGTTATGGTTGTTGAGCATGAGCGTGCGTTTGATCCGGCGACGATGGAGGATGCGTATGGTGATGAGCGGGCGGCTGTGAAGAGCGGTGGTGGGAAGGGTGCGGTGGAGGCGAATCCGGAGAAGGTTGTTGCGACGAGTGGGATGGGGTTGGTTAAGGTCATGGTTAAGAAGGGTCAGGCGGAGGTGGGGAAAGTTTTGGAAGTGCTGTCGCAGCCCAAGGTGGTGCTGGAGAAGACGGTGAGGGAGGCGATTGAGCCTCCGCCGCCGCCTAAGAGCAGGAGGAGGAAGGGTGGGGAGAGTGGAGGTGGAGGTGGAGGTGGAGGAGGTGTTGGGTTGGTAGGCTTGTTCACGGGAAGTGGTTGACGGGATACGAGAAGTCATCTTGACGGGATAATCTCTGTACATTAGTAGCGAATTTACGATACTTTTCTTGCTCTTCATAGCACACTTCTGGTGCTGGTGTCCGTCATCGTACGACGGACTCGGAATTCGAAGAGAAAGACCTGCATTGTCCTTCCAACATAATTGAGCTTTCAGCTCAGTACACACAAAGAGGATGATAATTTCATATTGTGCGAGAGTGGCGGTGGAAGACACGGTGGTGCTGGGTTGACGGGCTTTATCACGGGAAGTGGATAGACTCGCCGACGATTGAGGAGAGACGTATTCATGAATTTCAGCATACATTAGTATAAGTACCGTGTACATTATCGAACGCCATATATTCCTTTTGATGGTAAACATAGGATGTGACCAAAACTTTAGAGATAGCAGAACTTCAAGCGAGTTGGCATGTGGCGGATGAAACCCTCCAACTAGTTCAAGCCCGGTCCAGGTAACTCTGGTGATGGACTAGTCTCGTCGTCGGGCTCGTAAATGATTTGCGCTGGAGTCCTGTCGACCCAGTTTCTCTCAGTTACGCAGAGATGCAGTGCATGGTCCTGGCGACGTACCTTTTTTCGACCCCCTGCCAGGCGGTTAGCGTCATTCTGATCAATCTCTTTGAATCGTGATGGGTACTTACATTTTCCGTCCAGGCGAATTGAGCTTTCAGTTCGGTGCGTCCGAAGAGGATGACTATGTGGTACTTCCGCGTCGTGTAGGGCTCCAGGGTAACCGAATTATAACGTTTCTGGGGTATGACCGCGGAAAGGTCCGCTTCAATCCTGCATACAGTAGAGTATGCCTCTGTCAGAGAACATAAGGTCAGCCGCACATCGAAATACACACTCAGTGATAGGCTGTTACCAGGATCCGGTGCCTCCCGCCAAAGCGGTAGTTCTGAGGTGCCAGTGTATCGGACTATAGTTTCGGATGTCTTTCTATTCAAAGGTCCTTGTGACTTGACATGAGTCAGATGGTATGTTCTTCGAAACTCTTGCGTCTCGTAAACCTGGACGTTCTGTCGGACTCGCGTCAGTACCTTGATTGTACAGAGCTCTTGTATCAAATGACCGTTACCCTCTTCAATATTGTGTCGAATAGCTCTGGTATGCCTTTTATTCCTGAGATCGGGTGTTGAATGACCAAGTGCTCCAGTTGTCGGTGTTCTGCCAGACCATTGCAGTATTCCACAAACAATCTGGCACCATACGCTGCCCTAGAAATCCGCGCTTTGACAACACTGTTTAGGTGGAACGAGACGCCGCCATTCGAAACCGCTTTGTTCCTTTGACGAAAGGTTTAGCTTGATGTTTCATCGACACTGAGGCCTAGTGGAACTTACGTGTGTCTGTCAGGCCTCCAAAGTTCAATCCCTTCGTTGCTCAATCTTTGTTCGAGCTTTCTGTACAACCAATCGCTGGCTGCAAACCCGCCGACCAGGACGGCTGCCTTGAAATTCGGTGTACGTCAATTCCCGCGACCCACTAGCCTCTCTGGCTAGAGTACTTACGGTGATGGGGTAGTTCGAAGTGGCAAGCAAGTCCTCAATTGTACTTGTAAGAGCCATAATGGACGGCTGGAAGAATTTGGCCATCGTCGATCTAAAGGAACTTTGGTCAGAGTGCCAATCAACTAGTTAGGAAAAAGCGGGTACCCTTGCAGTTTGAGCTGTCCTGAGCGAATGTTCAGCAGTGGCTCGTGTACCCTCGGCATCCCCACTTTGATGAACTGCGTCTGATTCTCATCCCGGAACGTGTGTTTTGCCCTCTTGTCGAACCCACGCACGATGTCGTCAAGGTCCTCAGCAAACTGTGATTCCTTTAGGAAATCTGCATGCCAAATTTGTCAGATTGTGATCATCTGTTTCCATCGAGCGTACTTACCCTGAAGATATTGCTTCGCGCGCGCCGTAACAAAAACAGATCCCTGAAAGAGACCTGAGAAGGTGCTGTCAGGTGTCTTTTTAGACCCGTCGAAAGGAGAATAGATTACATCGTGAGGCAGCGATTTCCTCAAAGGATTCCTTCTCGGCCCGATATCGATAAGCGCTGAGGTCGATGGTACCACCGCCGGCATCGATAATCAGAACGCCTTTATCGCTCTGCAGAGAACCGAGTAAGCTGACGTGCAGAGATCATGCACCGACGCTGTCCAAACCTTTTTCAATCTTTCCTCCAAGCCGCTAAGAAGGCAAAAATGAAGACTCGCTTCACCCTCTGTGACGAAAGAGACTCGGTCGTGCCCTTCTGTGGTGTCCGGGATCAGTTGGGCCAGCACAGATGCACGGCGCAGCTGCGATTGCTGATAGCCTTCCCATCCGTTGGGATGGGTGAGGACGAAATGAATACTACCCTCGAGCGACTCCCAGAGGGTACGACCATTCACTTCTGTCTCTTGGATATAACGTTTCGTGCACTCGTAAAGATATCGTAAAAAATCTGAAAAGACTTGGACAGCAGTCCGGTTGGGAGGAAGAGATGGGATTTGGGGTACGTTTTGAAGTGTAGCCGCCATGCGACGAGGGCGGATGTGGAGTTTGAACCTGTTGAAACAGGCGGGAAATGGTCAGCTTAGGGGAAGTAATCAAGCCCTGGGATGATACGTGCCACTCAGCCTTAGTCCAGCCTTCATCCTCTGCGATAGCCTCTATACCTTCACGGATGGCTTCAGCACCGGCAGCAACGACCTTATCGTCCTCATCATAGTAGATGATCGTTGGAATCTTGGAGTCGCCGCCGACTTGTTCTTGACAGGGAAATCTACAAATAGAAATGAGCGGCGATTGAACCTCGCTGTGCCGACCAACCTGGTGACTGTGTGTATAACAGGGACTTCTCCTGGATCTAGGACACTGTAAACACATTTAGGGTCTGTCGACGTTTATGCAATTGCTGGCGTGTACCTGTAAGAGACGCCGCTGAAAGTTGTTCCAACGTCAAAGGCCAAGACCAGCTTGCGCGTGGATCCTGCGTAGGGCTCTTTCAGCATGGCTACTGGTAATATCACGACTCTGGAGGAAAGAGGTTCGAGAAATCTTTTGGGTGGCTAAGACGAGAAGGTTTCCTCCACAGTTACTGGAAATCGTAGTTGTGGATGTGCCCTTACAGCGTCCTCGTTGAGAACGCGTGTCGATCCTTAAATGAGTTGTCGCGTGACAGTGTCACAGTACACGTGGGTGTTACATTTGGCGACTCGGAGGTGACAGAGATTACAGCTGAAGGGTACATACAATGCGCAGCAGAAGTACATACATAGGCCTACAATCGACACCGTTCCGGACGGATGAAGTATCTCATTGCTCGTGGAAGATAATGGTGGCCGGACTCCTGTAGAGGGAAAGAAGGAAAGTCAACGATCGTCGTTATCTGGTAGTCTCGTTTTCACTGACCTTTGTTCGATACCCTTTGGAAACATGAGTACATATTGAGCGATGATCCAGTAACACCAGACTAGAAATTGAGGACGTACATTCTCCTTCCAGCAAACTTGGGCCTTCAGCTCGGTCAACCCAAACAGAACGACGATGTCGATGTCCAGTTCCCAATAAGGCTCAGAGGTCGAGGGATTGACTTGTTTCTTGTATTCAGGCGCAACAACCTCCGCGACGACTGAGCAAACATTCACGAAATCACCTGCGAATAAAGCTTGAGCTCAAGTGAAGGCGGAAAGACGGCCAGTTCTTACTCGAATCCTTCTCAATCCACAGCGGTTTGTCCAGTGTTCCATCGTACCGGATGATCTCTTCTTTCAGCTCGACCTTCTCCTCTTGGGTCTTGAAGATGAAGGAGTATCCTCGTCTGAATTCTTGCGTTTCGGTGACGCGTTGATTCTACAAATCTAAGATTAGGAATGATGGCTGACTCCATAATTCTGGAGAACTGACCTTGGGTAGGATGGTATCGAAGGCGTCCCATAGAATCGTTTCTCCTGTCGTCTCGTGAACTTCGATTTTGTCCTTCCGCTGTTCGTGTTCGGGATTCTTGGGGTTGTATGTGACGTAGCAAGTCACGCCGTACATAGCCTTCGAGACCCGGGCCTTGACGAGATTGTCGAGATAGAACGAGACACCTCCATCGGATACGGCTTTGTTGCTTCAGACGATGGGTCAGTTGAAGGATATCATTGTATGAAAAGTGGAGGAGACTGACACATGTCGATCGGGTCTCCATAGTTTAAGACCCTTCTCCTTCAATCGCTCCTCAAGTTTCATGTACAGCCAATCGCTGGCTGCAAACCCACCAACCAGGATAACGGTCTGGTAGATCTCGTTAGTTGGATGAGTTGGGACACTATAGAGAGAGACCTACCGAGATGGGATGCTGGGACTCAGTACATGCCTTACCAATGGCAGCCTGAATGCAAGAAATTGAAGGCTCGAAGAATTCGGCGACTGTAGATCTGCAATGGAAGGTCGGATTAGATCGGCCTCTTCAACTCATCTCTCGAAGAGAGCTTACCCTTTCAGCTTTAGCTGACCTGAGCGGATGTCCAACGACGGGTCATTCTCCCGGACCGAGCCAAATTGGATGAACTGGACTTGAGTGTCGTCACGGAACGCCAGCTTCGTTCTTTTGTCGAAGCGCTGGACAATATGTTCGACGTCATCAGCAAACTTGGAACCCTCAAGGAGACCTACGCATCTCATAAGTAACGAGAGGAACGTATCAACATCGATACCCACTTTTCAGGTGCTCTTGCGCTCGAGTGGTCACAAAGACAGATCCTTGGAAGTAGCCTACGAGGAAGTTAAAACGAGATTAGGATTGAGAGGCAGGTCAAAGATAACGTACATTGAGGAGCAATGGTCTCTTCAAATTCTTGCTTCTCCGCTACATGGCGGTAAGCACTTAGATCGATCGTCCCACCTCCAGCGTCCACTATTAGAATGGCGTTTCCATCCTGAGCGGCAAGGTTTAGTAGAAAAAACTCGTGTGGACCTCGTCAACGTACCGTCGTCACGGTTTCTGCCAAACCGTTTAGCACACAGAAGTGGAGACTGGCCTCTCCCTCCGTCACAAATGAAACCCGTGAATTGCCCTCCTCAGACTCGGGAATTAGGCCGGCTAATACCGCTGAGCTCCGGAGTTGTGACTGCTGATAGCCCTCCCAGCCGTTGGGGTGCGTAATGACATAGTGGATGCTGCCTTCTAGGGATTCCCACAGGGACTCTCCGTTCGCCTCCGTTTCCTGGATATACTGCTTCGTGCAGTCACGCAGGTATCTCAGAAAATCGGCGAAGATTTGGACAGCGGTCTTGTTCGGAGGGAGACATGGAAGTTGTGACTCCTGGTCTGCGAGGCCAGCAGCCATCTGAGCGGGCCGCAGGTGCAGCTTGAACCTACGGTTCCGGGATAGTATTAATTATAGCTCGATCTAGTTCCAGTCAAGGACGCACCATTCTGCCTTGACCCACCCACCCTCCTCTGCTACGCCTTGAATACCTTCCCGAACCGCTTCGGCACCGACTGCCACGACCTTATCTTCTCTATCATAGTAAACGATTGTGGGGATCTTCGAATCCCCTCCTACTTGATCCTGAGACGGAAATCTGGGCACTTATGAGTGCACGATGTTGCTTTTTAGGTAGTGAGGCTGACCTGGTGACTGTTCGTATTTCTGGCACAGCTCCGGGATCCAACACGCTACATGACAAGGGTTTTTGAGCGTTACCGAATTTGCTGGCAGAAGTCGGGTTCAATTTACCTGTAAGATACACCGCTGAACGTCGTGCCAACGTCAAAGGCAATGACAAGCGCTCGTGTAGACCCATGGTACGGCTGTCTGGACATTTTGCCTCCGAGTTCTGAGAGATTCGGGGATTTCTTCTTGAAAGGTCTGGTCGAAACGCGCCCCTTTTATTGACGTGGCGCGTCGCGCGGTGGTGGCATGATCGTGTGTGTCTCGAACGTGGCAGTGACAAAGCAGTCTTTGGCCTGGGTTCGATCCCAGCACAGGACACTTTCAACTTTGGATATCTTCCTTTGCCTCGTCGTTGCCCATCCCCTTCTTTCCCATTCCTTTGGTGTTCCCTGGTGTGGGCAGTGGCACAAACGTCGGTTGACATAATGGCGTCAGTGGCTGGATGCCCATACCCATACACAGCGGAAATGAAGCCGCCCACCGTTGCCGCTGTGAACATTCCCTGGGCTAATTCGGGCTCCCGAACCAGCACCAAGAGCGCATGGAAAAAGTCCTAAAACGCCTTGTGCATTGTGGTTGCCGTTGTGAACGACCATTATGTTCTCCCGAACAACAGGCATACCGCGTCGGCGAACCTGGCACACGACCATCTTCTACTCTGTTCCCGGAAATCCTGGGCGAATTCACTGTGCAGACTCTGACAAAAGAGTGGGGTTCATGGGATCTTCAGTTTTTCCAACCATTCTCGCAAAAGGCGACTTCTTCAGGTTTGGTAGCCGGTTATTTGAAAATCACTAGAAAGCCTATTATTCACCAGTAGTATCTCCAGAGACCTTCAGCACGGCAGGAGCATTTGACAGCAACTTCTTCGAGCCTACCTCATGTGGGCATCCGCTTGTCTCAGAACGCCTATTGTTAGCCTGGTTGATTTCGGGCGTCATCAATTCTGTTTCCGGCGACATCAGAACTTTCATCTCCTCCGCCTCTCACTCAATTGTGTCTTGATTGTGTCACGAAAACAGTATAGCTCAGCGGGATTGATTCCACTCTGCCGGTTCTTTTGTAGGCGCTCGTGCATAGGGCCCGGGGCACCGATGTATCTGCACTTGGCTAGACGCCACCGCTCTGGATTGGGCTGCCGGAGTTCGACGAAGTCCTTGATCGCTGTATCGCGTGCTATAGAATGGGCGAACAAAAAGGACCCAGCGTTGGGCATATATAGATAGCCATCTCTCCACCTAAAAGGCGAAAACTCGTCACCCCTCACCGTCCACCACTCTCGTTACCTGGTTCTTGACCAGGCTCAAGCTCGGAACGGACTGGTCCACGATGTCTGCAGCGCTCGTGTATGCCGACTACTACAATTCCGAGTATGATGACTCGAGGTCCAACTCTCCCTATCCACCCAGCACGCCTGCTTCCAGCGACAACGAGGGAAGCACAGGTCGACGTCGCCGCCCAGCATCGCTTACTCTCCACGGGGGAATACCGGCTACTTTTCGGTTGTCCCTCGATGCCATCCCTGACCACAAACTACGCGAAGTGATCCTGAAGGTTGCTGAGCGCAACCCTCAGTTTCAACGCGCAGTCCACAGGGAACTTGCGAGGGTCGATATCGATTGTTCACCGCGTTCCCCTTCCTTACCGCTTCATCCCCCTCTGCAAACACCTCCAACGACACCGACGACACCTCGTAAGCCAACGCTGAGACATGAGGGTGGGCCAAGCACGTCCTTCAATGGACGATCGGACGCGGTGATGGAGGAGCCTGAGGCGACACCTAAAGCCAGGACCAGAAGCAAGAAATCGAGACACTCGCGCGGTCGAAAACGCTCGGCTTCGTCCAGTTTACCTGCCTCCTCATCTGCCTCTTCGGATAGCAAGCGTTCCAGAGATACGGATACCTCAGGACATGATCCTTCCTTCGAAGAGACGATTTACCACCCCGGTTAGTCCCTCCGCGCCCGTGGATGTCACTAGAGACCGGCTAACAGACTCTCCTCAGGCCATCTAAAGGAAGATGCATACGAGTTCTTCACACGTTCCCCGGAGGGGGCTACGTTCAAGTCAGTTCAGACCATCACCATGTGGAACTGTTGCGACGAGGACGAATGGAGTCCGGGGTGTGTGCGAATCAGGTCTCCGAGTAGGCCAGCGCTGGACTTTGGATCCCGAGGGGATGCGAGGGGAGTTAGCCATGGGGTCCCCTCTTTGCCGAAACTCTTGGTGGACACACGGATCTCGCCCATGCTTGACGACGATGAAGACTTTGCTTCGCTGGCGACAGCGAAGTTCTCCCCTCTTGAGGATACCGCCCACCTGGAATTGTCGCACACAGAAGCAGATGTTTACCCAGATTCGGAGTTGGAGGTTCTTGAGATGGGACCGCTATCGCCTAGACTAAAGTTCGAGGCTGCATTGAAGAGCGCATAAGTGCTCTCGGAGATGAATTCCCCTTATTGCATTCATTAACTTTATCATTATGTATGACATTCGTTCTTCTCCACTCGTTTTCTCACTACTTTTCTTTGACGTTGTTGTTGTAACGCTACTTGAGGCTTTGTGTGTATTCTGTCCTTACAACACGTGCCTTACAGTGTGTTTGAAGCTAGCGCTTAGTCCAACCACTTTCACGCCCTGTCTGGACTTGAAATACAGGTATCTGGATAGGAGGTGATAAAACTCTGAGAGCCAGCAGTTTAGAGACCAAGCACTTCAGAGTTGTCGTCCAAAGAGGAGAATTCAATCCACCGTTTTGGAAGATGACACCCGGCTGGGAGGATCCAAAGTATGGCCTGAGGCTCAGTTTCGATCGTTCGTCCTATCCTCCCTTGAAGGAATGGGACCTTCACCACAGGGGTATGGTTAAGGCAATGCAGCCATTTACCAGGGTCTCCTTTGTAGCAGGGAGCAAGTAAGGTACTTTCATAGAAATTTAAAATAGGTCTCTCAGAGTGTAGTTTACTAGCACACACAAGCTAGTTCGGAGTCTCCTCGCGGAAGGTTCGTTGATGCCCATGTCGGTGTGGGTATAGTCTCCCGTAGTCAGACTGGCGTATGTGTGTTTTCTCAGGCCTGAAGTTCTCTTGGATGAGGCGGATGGGATGCCCGTAGGAACACGGAATAGTCGCGGCATGAGTGATATTTACGATTAAGCGCTCGTCATCTTCGAAGTCGCTGTTTCGTAGATGCTCGAGGTTCTCCTCAAGCTCAGTATTAAGTCACAAGGAAACAGCTCTAGATCTGCGCAGGATCCAATCATCTATGACAAGGTCATACTCTCGACAATACACCACAAACGCTCGAGGATGGGGTCGGCTGGGCCCATACGTATTCATTTCCATATGTAAGGTAACGGTAGTACTGTATGCTAGGTTTCCAGACGGGTATTCCGGTCTACTCATGCGCCATAAGGGATGTCTCGTCCCCCACAATGCACCCAGGATGATAAGGATGTATACTGATAGTACAACTCTTCCTCTTCCCTCATGGTTACTAGTAGAGAGCGCTCATAATCGACCAGAAACCAACGGTGCGCGCGATTGTGGATAGGGCAGATTCGAGCGGTTGGAGGGGCCCGCAGAACATTAGGAAGCCTTCCATCGCGATGACGGATCAAGGCGTACCTCAAGTCCTCCTGGTAGATGGAGTTTATGTCGTTTCTGCCAGTGGATCCGGTAAGCCAGCAAAATGCATTGAATGGGAAAAGAATTCCGACGCACCTGTTCTCGTCCATCGCGTATTCTTCCATCGTCATTCTCTCCCCGACTCGTTCGAGGATGAGAGCAGTGATGGTCGGAGAATCTTTCGATTCTCGGAATGAGAGCCAAGGAGATGACTTGTGGCTTGCGAAAGGATCGTCCATAAATCTGTCGGACTCGTCTTCAGACATCACCGATGTGCCGTCCGGGTTTCTTTCATATTGTTCCTCGACTACTTCATCGTAGTCTGGGGGGAGCAAGATAGACAGGTTGGAGGTAACCTTGGTGTGGAATAGCCCGTAGCAGCTCGGTGAAACGGCGCCCATAAGTTCCTCTTTGTCCAGTCGTTCGTAAAACCAAGCTTCACGGGCCACGGAACGTGCGTACGTGGGTCTGGCCACTTTCATGCAAAGTGGGGGTAGGGACTTCTTCAGGGCTTCGATGTCGACATGGTGCACGCGGCTCTGGAAAAGGGACTGTGGAAGCTGGCGAATGGCGACAACTTCGAGTGGGTAAACGTCTCCACTCCGCCCATACCCAAGTGCGAGAGGATTGGAATGGCTGCTAATCGGCTTGTGGGGGGCAGAGATGCATGCTTCCAGCTCTAGATTTAAGAAATCTGCCGTTGAAAGCGGTCGCGCGGAGACATCTCCCTCGGGGTCTTTGGGTCTCTGGTCAGGATCGTGCCACACAGGGATTGGGAACGAGACGGAGCGGTCCAGTTCAATGCTGAGCCGCTCCCCTTCCTGCGAAGAGACAAGGCCATGGATTCGAATACTAGCGAATAGATCCAGCGGATTTGGCGTCATTTCGATAAATTCGAATCAGCGTTGGGAAGTTGGTGTGTGCGGTCCGATGGTAAGAGAGAAACAATGGAAACATGCAGACTTGGTTCAACTCCGCGAGCACAAACGCTGACAAACATTCTAGATTGCCTTTTAAGATCCCGAGTCGGTGTGGCTTTAAGAAGTAGTCCAGGTAGTACTCGAACAGGGCAGTCGGAAAGAAGAAAAAAGAAGAAATGGTCATTCATACTTGCGGCCATCCAATTTATTTGCACTACCATGTCGCATCATAATTTTAACAGTAATCGTTAAAGCCTGAAAAGCGACTTGGATGTTTGTTCTATCAGACACCGAAGCAAGAAACAGGTAGATTCGCAGGCTGGCGTTGGAAGGTATCATACGTTATTGCTCTCGCGCTGTCCATTGCTTTGGTTGTCTAATGCACTTTGATTCATGTACTATTCTTATCTGCAATCCTCGCTCAGTTCCAAGATGAGGGCTCGGATACCTCGTCAAATACTCCACGTCCACAACTTGTCCCTGATGGGCCCGTTAGTCTCGACACGAGGCGCGTCCGAAATGAGACGCGTGTCCTCCCAGTAAATTTAACAGGGTTATGGATGACCTGCTACACTAGATGATGGTCAGGAAGAAAAGTCCTCGATTGGTACTCCATAGCGAGCAGCTCTCATCGAGCCTCGTCTTGCTACAGTGCCCGCCCAATGCTGGCATGGGCGCTTATTTGGCAACTCACGGCCCGGCGTTTGCCATGAATTCAAAGTAATGGCCCTGGCGGGCAGACCTGGACACCGTCCCGACTCCCCTCGCTGGCTCTCGCGGACCCTGATTCATGATCAGAGGTGCCATCCGACGAGCGGCGCAATAGTTTTCCATCCTAACAATTACATACAAATAGACGTCGAGCGAACAACGCTGAACCAACCTTTGCCAACTGTTCGCAAACCGAACCATTCATATCTCCAGGTAAGTGTCTATCATCAAGTTATACACGTATTACACTGTCATTAACTAACTTGAAGGGTACAAAACCAACACTTTTTCTCAAGGTCGACGAAACACTCTATTTGCTATGATCTGGCAACATAATCAGATCATCGGGAGAATGGGATAGAACTTCGTAGCAGTTACCTGGATTTTGCCTGGACTGGTACGCTGCCTCTGTCGCTACGTCCAGGATGGTGAGTCGATTTAGCTCTGATCTCAATTCCCCTGACATTGACTCGAAAATCTTTGATGCCGGAAAGGAACGTAGAATCAGAAGACCTTCCAGCCACTTGACCCTGGACAGCATCACGTATACCCCTTGCCCTCTCGCCGTTGAAATATCAACAATTGCTCGGGACAAAGACCTGCCCTGACTCTTGTAGTCGGTGTAGCTGTATGCAGGTACGAGCGGGACTTGCTTTCTGGTGAAGGACCGAGCAGCTAAAGTCGCGGATTTTATGTGATGTTTTATAGTCGTTGAAGTGGGAAACAAGGGCAGTGTTTCGGGAGGTAGGGTGTGAAGCTGGATACCGCTTCCCGGTATCTGGACATAGACTACCTCGGCGAATCGGAGTCCTTCTTTGTTCTCCGAGTAAACGATTTGGACGACGGTTCCTTCGGCGCCATTCACCGCCTTATGCGTAATTGATACATTTTCGGTGATCATGACCTTCATCCCCACAAATAGAGGCAGCTTCCCAAGGCTTTCGCTGTTTTTGCGTGAACTCAAATTCCAAAGCTGCGTTCGGAGCGGTTCGTGCGCGATGGGTTGTCTGTGCGATGAGTCCAGTGAGTGGTATAGGCACACTTCTTCCTTTTGACGATCAGCATTAAACTTGACAAGCTTCGCATTCAAGGCATCCTGCAGTAGCTTACTCCCAACTATCACGGGCGCATCCAAAAATGCCCTCAGCGACTCTGGATTCTCCCGAGCGACTCTGACAAGTTCACGATTTCGAAGATATTCGTAGATGGGTGTTTCGTTGATGATCTCGGAATGGCCGAGACTGTCATAGCATCGCCGCATCCGTATGAGCTCCAGGGCACGAGCAAATGTGGGGTCAGTCTTTTGTCGTTGGTTGGATGTAAGAATGACAACAGTTCCCACCAAGCGCCACAGATACGCCCCGGCCAGGCTGTCGATCCCATCGTTGTCCCGGGACTGCAGGAATGAGGGATCACGCACCAGCGAGTGCGAAAAGAGGCTTGTTTGCCTGGGAGGGGTGAGTTGACAGAAATCTCCCGTGAATATGACACTGACGCCTCCAAAGGGCCGTGTTCTTGCTTGGGGATCGTTCCCCTTGGCTATACGTATTTTGCTCGACATCTCTGCTAGGAACTGCGCCCCAACCATAGAAACTTCGTCAACGATCAGGTAACGAATGTTCGCCCATATTCTTGTCAACCGCTCATTGGCCGTTCCTTCACCCTTCCTCCCAGGATTTGCTAAAATCAATGAATGCAATGTTGTCCCCCCAATTAATGTTGCTGCAATTCCGGTTGGCGCGCCAATGAGCAGCTCATGGCGCCGTCCTAGCCGCTCAAGGAGCATGACCACCGCACGTATTACATGGGATTTCCCTGTGCCACCCATGCCGCCGACGTACATTAAAAGTTGGGGTCCACCATCAAGGATATGGTCCGCAATAATTGAGAAGGCTCGCCGTTGCTCTCTATTATTCCCCATGTTCATTTCCTCTATCACATGGTGAGGAATTGATCTGCGTCCATTGGCAATGGTTGTTTCTGACACTGAATCATCAACCGTAAAGTTTGTGATACCATTAGCAAGGCGCTCGGTCGAGACACTGGGAAGTTCTTGCTGAGTCGCTTGCGTTATGGCAATGAGGTCTCCGTTGAAATCAGTGTCCACAGACTCCTGATAGTGATCTGTGTGTGGTGCAGTGAGTTTCACGTAGGCAGTTCGCGCATTAGCAAGGAGCAGCTCTGTCTTCGGTACAACACTGTCAGACTTGGTGAGTTTCATGCCTTGCGAATCTGAGTAATAACAGCGTGCAAACGCATTAATGACGTCGACATTCAGAAGCGGCTCCAGGGGCTCATTGTACTGATTGTCGAATTCCGATGCGTCATTCACTACACAGTCAAAGACATTGCGAGAAACAGGTGTGCTTTCTGTGTCGTCGACACCCTCGGGCAGCCCATCCCAATCTCTGAGGTCATCAGTTTTCGTTTGACGAGGGAAACTGGCACGGGACTCTCTCCCTTCTGCCAAGAGGGACATGTTCTCGAGACGCTGTTTGTCCTGGGGCGACAGCGTAGCTTGAACCTGCTCCATGGCATCTGTCCACGATGTCCCTGCACTCTTGAGATCATACGGAGATCGCCAAGGTTTGAATAATGTAAGGGCATCACGGGACCAATCTTCCTTTTCAGTATTGTTCGACTGAGCTCTCGCGAGGTTGGGTCCAAGCAGGACTGGAATGACAGCAGTCCTACGCTCTGAGACACCGTGTGTATCATATTGGAGATGTGAGTCACTCAAAAAGCGGTACTGTCCTCGTTTGGGGGTTGCTGTCGCGAAGAGCGAACACTAAACCAAACTAAAGATCAGATAAGATGAACGGAAAGCGAGATAAGAGTAGTGGGAGCGATGAGAGACGTTGAGCAATAAGTTGGAGCGACGAGTAGAGCAGTGTATTGACAGAGAGGTCAAGCTGGGGAATCTACAAGACCAACTACACAACTTATATACTGTAACTACAAGCTACATAGCCGCCGTGAGTCAGAATGACGAATAACGATGCAATACATGAGAGACAATAAGGGGAGGTCACAAGGCTGCGCAAGAATAAGGATGAAACAATAAAGAAGCCACAATAAGTCATAATGAGTCGTAAGGCTGTGCGAGAAGAAAGGAACAATAGAAAACAGGGCAAAGGGCAAGACGAGGCAGTGTTCCATGAGGGAAAGTGTCCATAACGAGAATAAAGACAATGCAGAGGCGAAGATAAGATGAAGGAAGCGATAAGATAAGATATAGAAAAATAGGGGTCATACCGGCAGTTCACGACATTACCCCCCTCCTAAGACTCATCGTCCTCGATGATCCTAGGTAATCGACGCCCCTCCTCCCAATCCAAGTCCATGCGCCAGAATGGTTGAGTTGTCGGCTGCTTCTGCCACGGGATCGATGCAAAGGCGGTGGCGGAGATACGACGTGGTGCGTTCGGATGTCGACGGTGGTATTCGGCGATGAGCTCCTGCGCATTCTTCAAGTTCTCCTCCGATTCCCAAGAGTCGTGCCCGGCGCCATACCCCTTCCAACTGACCAAGTACATCAGCTTCTGACCCCTTCCCCTCTTGACGAACTTGCTATCCAGGATGCTGTCGACCTCGTATTCAAGCTCCCCCTCCAGTTCAACAGGTTCAGGCGGAGGCGGCAGAGTGCCGTTGACATCATTACCTTTCCAGGGGGAAAGCTTGTCAACGTGGAAGACAGGGTGGATACGAGAGAGGTCCTTGGGGAGTTCGAGCTCGTAGTCAAGGTCGCCAACACGTTTGAGAACCTTGTAAGGGCCGAGTTGAAGATCACCGAGCTTGCGGGTGGGTATCTTGAGTTGGATGTCCCTAGCGTCGAGCCAAACGTAGTCGCCTTCCTTGAACTGGTGGGCAGATCGCTTGCCAGCCTTGTAGGCATCCTTCTGGTGGGCCTTTTCGAGTCGAAGCGCAGCTTCGGCGTCCTTCCGAACGTCTTGCAAGTGTTGAAGGCGGTCGTCGACAGGTCGGAGTCCGGTTCTCTTGCCAACTGGGACGTTAAAATGAGGGATGTAGCCATAGAGGACTTCGAATGGCGAGCGGTTGTGAGCGGAGTGAACGCGCGGAGTTGATCACAAACTCCGCCATTGGGAGGTGCTCGTCCCAGTCATCTTGTTGGCGATTGACGTAAAGACGGAGATACTTCTCGACTTCTTGGTTGGCGCGTTCGGTCTGACCATTGGCTTGGGGGTGATAGGCCGTGGTGAGGTTGGATTGGATACCGAGTCGACGGAGTAGGGTACGCATGACCTTGGAAGCGAACTGGGGACCACGATCACTGATGAACTTCAGGGGAAGACCGTGAAGACGGAAGACCTCTCGGTAGTAGATATCGGCAATGCCCTCGGTAGTGATGTCGGACGTACAGGGTAAAGCGTGGAGAGCCTTGCTGTAGTGGTCGGTGAAGACGATGATGGCATCGTGCCCATGTGCTTCAGGCAGCTGTGTGATGAGGTCGACACCAACAGATTCCCAGGGGCCTTGGGGAACGTCTAGAGGCCTGGGTGAAGGCTGTCGAGCAAACACTATCTAGCTAAGGTGGTCTACTCTAAGACTTACCAGGTAGAGTGTTATGTGAGGCTAACTAGTGGCTAACTACAAGAGTTGTGACGAACTCTGTCATCTATTCCAAGGCCAGAGAGGGCCGGTATTTATAGTTTACAGGAAGCGTGACAGATGTGACGTATACTACATAAATATGGAAGGTGTGACGGGTGAGTAAGCAAATGAGTCATCATGAGTAAGAATGAGCGATAATGACGCGATATGGTGCAAGTATTAGCACCTACTCATGTGACGTTCCAGAATGTTCTACACTAGAATGTTCTAGAGTGTTCTGGACCAAGTCTCACTAATCTAATCTACGATATAATCTACAGATAAGATAAGATAAGTTCAACACTCCCCCTCGCTAAGTGCAGCTATGAATAGCGCGCTGAGCGTACTCAAGAACTTAAGCCCTTCCAAACTCAAGTCCGAGTTGTTCACGGAAATGCTCAAACTTGACATGACCGAGAGGTTTGGTAAACATGTCAGCAGGATTGTCATTAGTGTCGACGCGAAGAATCTCGACGTCTCCTTCTTCAACACGTTCGCGGATGTAGTGATAGCGAACATCAATGTGTTTGATTCGATGTTCCTGGATAGGGTTTGAGCCAATGAAGATAGCTCCATTGTTATCCGTGCAGATCGGCACTTTGTCGATGGGCATGCCTAATTCGTTGAACATATGTTTTAGCCACATGACCTGACGGCTACAATCAGAAAGCGCCATATATTCGGCTTCTGTAGACGAAGTAGCGATGGTCTTCTGGGCATGGGAAGTCCAACAGATAACGGCATTAGCCAACTTGACAATGAATCCAGTCACGGACCTGCGTTTGATGGGATCAGCGGCAAAGTCCGAATCCGAGTAGGCGATGAGTCCTTGTGAGGAAGAACCCCATCTAAGACCAGTGCGTAGTCCATAGTCCCTCGGAGGTATCGGCAGATGTAGAGCGCCTTGTCGAGGTGCTCCTTGGACCGGATTTGCTGCAGACTGCGATAGCTTGGTGACAGCATACGCAATGTCGGGACGAGTGCCTAACATAAGGTATAGCAGCGATCCAATCACAGACTGGAAACGTTGTCGAAGTTGGTGATCCACGGGACCAGTATTCGGAAGAGGTTTGTATCCCTCAACCATGGGAGTTCGAGCCACTCGGCAGTCCATCATTCCGAAGCGTTCTAAGACTGTTTTGAGGTAGTCTTTCTGATCAAGGCGTATGGTTTTTCCTTGACGTTTGATCCGCATTCGGAGGAATTCGGTTGGTTCGCCAAGATCACGGCATTCCCATTTTTGCTTGAACTCGTCTTTCTTTTGATTGACAAGTCGCTTGGAGGGTCCCATGAACAGAATGTCATCGACATATGCGATCATGATGACGAAGTTGCCATCTTTCTCCTGGAAAATAAAGATTCCGGTATCGGTCGAAAGTCGTCTAAAGCCAAGAAGCTTGGCAGACTCTACAAGTTCCTTGTACCAGGAGTTGGAAGCTTGTTTGAGACCGTAGATAGCTCGGAGCAGCCGGAACACTTTATGCTCCTGACCAGGTACCTTGAAGCCTTCGGGTTGTTCCATATAGATCTCCTCTTCAAGTTTGCCATAGAGAAAGGCATTCTTGACATCGACGGCGGTGACATACCAGCCTTCGAGTGCAGCGACAGCAAGCATCGTGCGAACTGATTCATAACGAACCACGGGAGAGAAGATTTCGTTGAAGTCAACACCTTCAACTTGGGAGAAACCCTTGGCGACAAGTCTGGCTCTAAGTCGACCGTCTGGTTTGACGTCGAACACCCATCGGCATTTGATCGCTTTACGACCAGCAGGCAGAGTGACGAGAATATAGACGCCGCGCTTCTGGAGTGCCTCAATCTCCAGCTTGCAAGCAGCTAACCATTTCTCGCGCTGTTTAGGCGGAAGTTTTTGGATGTCACGGAATGTGTATTCACGTGGCGACTTCTGAAGGGGTTTATCGGGCGAAACTGCCTTAGAAAGCAAGTATGTGATAAACTCTACTCCCCCTTCCCTGACCAATCGGGCCAATCGTTTCTCTAGGTCTCCACGCTCATCAGCAGTGCCACTATCGCGATTTGGACTATCGGCAGGATTTGGTCTGGGAACCTCATCTTGCGTTCTAGACTTGTGATAACCGGCAGGCCTTCGCTCGGTATCTCCAACAGTCTTTCTCCAATCACGCTGCGATTGAGCATCAATTTGTGAAGGGGTTTTATCCCCATAAATGGAGCCTGGGGCGAGTAACGGTTCTCCGCTCACGGCCAGATCTTCGAGGTTGGTCCGGTTGTGGTTCCGGAGCCTGTGGTTCCTCTGGTTGATCTCCCAGGGCAGGTGGCGGCGGATCTTGAGGTTGATCGTCGTCACGATCTCCCCCTCGATCCCTTTGGGGAAGGTCATCATTTTGGGAGTTGGGACGATGGACAAAGTCATCATCGTCACCCCCTTCAGGAGAAATGTTGTCATCTCCGCGATCCGATGGTGGAGGCGGTTCGTCGCCGGCACGAACGCCACCTCGTTGAGGTTGTGCACCAGGACACTTTGGGAAGTAAGTCTCATCAAAGACAGCCGTAGCGCCTCGGAAGAGACTGTTGTTGTGTAAGCGCATGAAGAGATAACCCTTCATTCCCTCAGGATATCCTAAGAACACCATAAGTTCAGATTTGGGTGATAGTTTGTTCTTTCGGACTTCTTCGGGAAGGTAGACGTAAGCGCCACAACCAAAGACACGTAAGTGCGAGATGTCAGGGACCTTCTTGTGTAATAGCTCATACGGAGTTTTCCACTTAAGACGTCTGACAGGCGTGCGATTGTAAAGATGCACAGCATGTGACACCGAGAATTCCCACCAGGACTCAGGAAGACAGGCGTCAAAGCGAAGTGCCTGGGCCTTATCCATAATTGTCCTGATAAAACGCTCAGCCCTGCCGTTTTGTTGGGGCTGACTCGGACGCGGAATGCTC